TTTTATTTCATTATTCTAGATTAAAATCTACACCTCATTCTTCTACATCTTCTTCTATATTATATATAAACAATGGATATATGCACTTTTTCATTCTAATCTCTTTTTTCATTCTTTTTACAACATTCCCATAACAATCACTCCCAACAACATGATTTTTATCATTTCCGGAACTCTTATTTTCATTCCTTCATTCGGTTTCACTTCTTCCTCTTTCTCTTCCTCTTTTTGTGTTTCTGTTTCTTTACTTGAATCACTCGTACATCTCGTAGGTTTGCATTTTCGCATCGACGTCAATGTCACCGTTGATGTCACTGTAGATGTACTTGTCAACGTACTCGTATGCAACGATGTACTCGTCACCCATGTATCTGTCGTCTGAACTAATGTACATTCTTCCGTTACCTTCCCTCCATCTACCGATTCTGTCGTCGTTGCCGTCGTTGTCGTTGTCGTCGTCGTCGTCGTTGTTGTTGTCGTCGTCGTCGTTGTCGTTGCTGTCGTCGTCGTTGTCTGTGTCGCCGTTGATATCACCGTATGATGCGGTGTAACTTTTAATCCTTCTATTCCTTCACACAACTTGTCTATTTCTGTACAGACCGCATCACACTTCGGGCAATCCTTTCTAAACTCGCAGTCTCCTTTCAAACTTTTACATTTCTCTTTCAATTCTAAATACAATTCCAATGCTCTCGCCGTTGCAACAAATGCCTTCTTTTCTGGTTCTGATACTTCTCCACTTACAAATGTTCTCCGAACAAGTATAACATTACTCGTGTTTGTCGTTCCACTTGGTGTTGATCCTCCTGGTGCTGCTGGTGCTGCTGGTGGCCCTGCTGGTGGCCCTGCTGGTGACCCTGCTGGTGTTCCTCCTGATGGCCCTGCTGGCCCTGCTGGTGCTCCTGGTGTTCCTGGTGCTGCTGGTGCTCCTGGTGCTGCTGGTGCTCCTCCTGATGTTCCTGGTGTTCCTGGTGTTCCTGGTGTTCCTGGTGTTCCTGGTGCTCCTGGTGCTCCTGGTGCTGGTGGTGGTACTGGTAGTGGTGCCCCTCCTGATGTTGGTTGTGCTGGCGGTGCTAGTGTTGGTGCTGGTACTGGTACGCCTCCTGGTGTTGGTTGTGCTGGTGCTGGTGGCTGTACCGGTGGTCCCACTGGTTTAGGAACACTGCCATCTTGAGCCTTTGATCCTCCACCTTGTCCATCTTGTTCAGGTCTTGATAATACTAACTTAGCTTCCTTCGCAAATTTTTCTGATTCCTGTTTCGCCTTTTCGTATTCATCTTTCTTCTTCTCTAATTCATCTTTCTCATTATCCAGTTTATTTTTTAGGGTTGGACATTTTTCTTTTACTTTTTTAACCAACTTTTTGCAAAGTTCTTCTTTCTTAGCATCTTCACATAGACTATTCAATGTTTGATTCCCTTCTTTTTTCCATTCAGTACAATGTTTTCCTAATGTTTCTTTACATTTAGTTTCATCGCTTAAACTACCTTTCAATTTATGCGTCAACTCATTCTCCAATTTTAACTTTTCAAAGAATGGCTTGCATTTCTCTTCTAGTTCTAAACAGACTCCTTTTCTACCCGCATTGTTTGTTTTTTTCAACCTATCTGGACAATTTTCTATATATTGATGACAATATGGATCAAACAACGTGCAGAGTTCTTCAACCAATGTTTCATTTCTTTTTCCATTTTCAATTTTTTCTATAATTTTTCCAATGTCCATGTTATTTTTTAAAAAAAGACACTCATTTTCTGTTTGTTCTACCATAAAACTACATGTTTCTTCTCGTAAAGCACATGAAACACTAAAATCTTCTTTTCCTCTTCTAGATAATTCCTCACATTCTTTCTTTAATACTGCCGTACAATTTCCTTGAGTTCTTAATGCATCATCTCCTCTTTTTAATAATCTTTTTCTCAATTCTTCTGTAACTTTTAAATATTCACATCGTCTATTCAGTGTATCACATTTCTCATGATTCAAATATGAATCACTTTCAAGATCTTCGCACTTCTTCTTCAATTCCACACAATCTTCCTTGCTTGGAAAATCTCTTCTCAAATTTAAAACTATTTCTAATTCTTCCGATTGAAAAATAACATCATCTAAAAGTTTATAACATAGTTCAGTTGGTCGATGACACTTTTCAAAGTATCTTTTATCCTCCTTAAGTTTTTTATAATTACCTACTACCGATTTTTGACATTTTTCAAGATTCTCATCAACCAATTCTAAATCACCAATAAGCCCTTTCAATTCTTCTTGAAAGTATCTATTCAATATCCTATCTTGTCCCTTTTTATAGCATGCTACTCTTGCATTTTCACATGCTTTTTCAACTTTATTCGTACATACACTTTTTAAATGGAAACATTCCGATTCAAACTTTCTACAATCTTCCTTAGTCACCAATTTTGATACATGTTCCCATGAAAAATAATCTGATTCTTTATTTTTTTCAAATTCCGTAGACAATCCTTTCAGGTAAAGTTCTAATTTAAAATTCGTACATCTATCTTCTACATCTACTAATTCTTCGCATTTTTTATCTTTATCTTTATCTTCACATAATTCTCCTAATCTATAATCTAGGTGTTTAAAAGATTCACAACCTTTTAACGCTCCTTTGCATTTTTCTTTATCATCTTTTTCATTCCTTTCTTTGATCAACAATAATATTAGATCTTGCAACGTCTTATATTTTGGTCTTCCAACAATAATTCCTTTAGCTCCCAGTCTTTTATAAAGATTTTCTACTTCAATCTTTTCCGGAAATCTTGGTTTTTCTCTAACCGGACTAAAATCTAATTTTGGTCCTTCATATACAATCCCTTTTTTCCCACATTTTTCCTTAGACTCTTTACATTTTGAATTACTACAACTTGATCCATAAAAATAACACTTTTCAAGATATTCTTGGCATTTTTCCACTAATTCATTATCTTTAAGTTCTGTCTCTAAAGGCTTACAACTATCTAGATAACTCACTTTAAGCCCATTACACGCCTTATCTGAATTAAAACATGAAAATATTAATTCATCACTATATTCACTTAATCCTTGACAAATTTCTTTCATTTTTTTTTTACATTCATCTGTATCATTAACCTTCCCTTCAAGAGCTCTTAAAAAAATTTCTTTTGTCACTTCTTGACGTCTCTGTCCATAACATCTATCTCTCAACTTAACGCATTTCTCTTCAAGATTACTTGGATCTGCTTCTTCTAATAATACACATTTTTCTTCACATTTTCTACACTTTTCATCTGTTGGGCCTTTCAATGCTTCATCAACTTCTGTTTTAAAACTATTTAATTCTTTTTCAACTTTATCTTTCAGATCTCCACATTTTTTGTCTATATTTTCACAAAGTCCCTTAACTTTGTCATCCACATTCTCTAATTTTTTATCTATTTTCTTCAATTCCTCGCAATATTCTTCGAGCTTTTTCTTGCATTTGTCTTTATCACTATAATCACTTTTCACAATTAAACCCAAAACCTGTTCCTCCTTAATCTCATCATTTCCTGCTGCTTGTCCTGCTGCTTGTCCTGCTGCTTGCCTCTTAACCGGCTGTGCCTTCGCCGCCTCTTTCTGGGCGACTTCCTCTACCCATCGCTTGTCCCTGAGTAGCATATGACTGGGTAAATCAAATGTAGATCTTGAAATAATTCTTTCAAAATAACCATACATTTTAATTTTTTATGATAAGCATACATTTCCTTAATCTTTTATGATAAGCTTGGACTTTACCCAATAAAGCAAAATCGCGGGGTAAAATTGCGGGGTAAAATAATCAAAATTTCAATTCGCAATTCTTCATGCTTTATTAAAAATTTATACATCATTCTTCTATATCTTCTATATTATATATAAACAATGGATATATGCACTTTTTCATTCTAATCACTTTTTTCATTCATTTTACAACATTCCCATAACAATCACTCCCAACAACATTATTTTTATCATTCCTAGAATTCTCATCTTCATTCCTCCACCTAGTGCCATTTCTTCCCCTATTTGTATTTTTTTACTTTAATCTATTGTACATCTTGTAGGTTTGCATTTTAGCATTATCGTCAACATCACCGTAGATGTTATTGTAGATATATTTGTTATTGTATTCGTATGTAGCGACGTATTTGTCATCCATGTATCTTTCATCAAAAAAGATATACATTTTTTACTAATCTTTCCTTCCTTTATTATTTCTTTAACTATTATTATTATTGTCTAATAAAGTGCAATTTTTAAAGTTTTAATTTATTGTATAATTTATCTATTTCTCCATAAATTTTCTTAGATTTTATGAAATTCCTTTTAAAACTATAGTTTAATTGCAGAATTTTACACTTCCCTTGATTTTAAGTATAATTCTAATACCTTTATAGAGTTAAAAGCTTTTGTTGTTTTTGATTTTGAGATTTAAATACTTAGACTTGCTTGAACAAATGTGAATTTTTCTATGGAATTTCTTGTACTATTTCTCCTGCCATTTGTTAGTGTATTTGTACTATTTAGTGAAATCACAGTATGAGGCACTATGCTATTCGTTGTATTTGATAGTCTGCTATTTTGTTGAATTACTTTTCCCCTAGATATAAATAAAACTAAATTTTTTCTCATAACGTTTTCTGTCTCATTTTAGTTTTTCAATTTTTTTCTTTTTTTGTAATTCTTTCCTTTTTTTGGTGTTTTTAAAGTCAGATATTTTTTTCAGTTTTTTGACAAATTTTTATGATTTTTTCATGATTTCATTACTAGCATTATTTTCATTATTATGTAGACTATTAAATTCCTCATTTTTCGCCTTTTTTCACTGAGTATAATATTTTTATAGTGTAAATTTAAGTTGAATTCGAGTATTTGAACTATCAATTCATGGGTTAATGTTTGCTTCAATTGCTTCCTTTTTCGTAATTGCTTGGATTTTTCTTTAAACTAAATACAAATTTCGTTATTTTTGCTATTTTTTTCTAAATTTTTGATTTGATATAAATATATTACTATACGGAGTTTATAATGCACAAATCTATTTCTTTATTTCTTTTTTTATATCATTAATAAATTTAAAAATACTTTATGTTGGATTTAAATTCTATAAAGTGATCAAGTAAATTTAAATATAATAATTAAAATAATTTTCCTAGTATAACATATTAAAGATTGAATGAATTTCCTCTCTAAATAATTATTGAATTTTCTGTACGATTTCAGAATTTGTTAGTTATATCCTTATTCTTTCGTGAATATTTTTTTCAATAATAGTTATTAGTATTACATAATTTTTATAAGTATTTTTTTATATAACCTTCATATCTTTTAAAAAATTATGGGATTCTTTGTAAGACCTTTTATTTTAATCGTTTACCTGTGTAACTTATTTTTTTTTATGTAATTTTTAGATTTTATATTCTATTAAGAATATTTAAACAATGTAATTTCAAATTAAAATATCATGATTATGACTCTGAGTAGTTTTCTTTCGTATGTAATTTCGATAATTGATTTTAAATAGGAAGGTTTTATTGTTTATTGTTATTTCTATGAAATACATTTTATTCAAGAGTTTTTTTCTTAAGTAAATAACGTTTTGATGTTATTTTTCTAAATTCTGATAATCGTTTCTTTGTATTTTCTTAGAAACAAATTCTTCATATCTTTAATTAGGTATTTATAATACTTGATATCTTTTAAAAATATTTTGCATTTATTAACTCTAAATTCCTATATTGTTTAATTTTGCTACAATATAAGTATATTCTTTAGATATTTTTTCCTTGAATTTCCTAATAGTGATTTAAATATTTTTTTCTGATAAATTTATGATAAATTTATACCTTTGTTATGATTTGTAGCTTTCAGTCTTATTAAATTAAGAATTAAAGCAAGAACTATATAATTGATATCTTTCATCTAAGTTTACTACATGCTTCTTAGATTCTATTTTTTTATACTTAGATATACAGAAATATTTTCTTGATTCATAATATATTTTTTAAGAATTTCAATTGTTTTGTTTTTAGAATTTTCAGCTTCTCTTTTTATTTTTTCTTATAATTTAAATTCAGTTTTTTTGTGTATGCGTGATTTTTTAATAATAAGGATTGTTTTTAAACTCAATTTTCTAATTTCAGAAAATAATTAGAAAAAATATATAAATAATAAGCATGTTTCTTAATATAAGTGCCTAGCGTTAATGAAAGAAAACACGTAAATTTGTTAAAAAATAAAATAATTGCAGTTATCAAAAAATGTTAATATTAAAAAAGAAATAAAAATTAAAAAAAAAAATATTTAAAAAATATAATATCTTTAGGAACGCATATGTTTAAGGAATAATTAAATAGATGTTCCCCCTTTTTATATTTAATATATTTTTATAATTCATGATTAAAGATTTGTTTGAGATTTTTATTTAAGATTATCTAATTTATTTTTTTCAAGTCATGGTGAATTTGCCCATATTTTTCCTACTTCTATAACTTTTAATGCTTTCTTTTTCTGATATTTTTGAAACATTTTAGTGTAACTTTGTATATATGTATATATACACATTCTAATAAAACTAAAATATATGTAGATACACATTACAGTAATAAAATTAAATTATGCATAAATATACATTATTCTAATAAAACAAAAATTGTGAATCTATATCTTTTTATATTCTTAGATAAATGTCTTCAAAATATATATTAAACAATTATCAATAACCCTGTTATTATTCCTATAACCATATAAAATAGTATTAATTTTTGATGCTTTTCCGTCTGAATTCCATGTCCTCTATCACGACCTTTATCGTGCATATCTCCTGAAATAAATGTCTGTGTTATTGTCTTCATAAATGTTTCTCCTAGTTTATTAGTTAATGTTAAGGTAACTGAACATTGCGTTTGTGGAGAAATCTCATCCACTTCTGAAGAAGAATCTATTGAATATGTTTTTCTTATTGTAGGACTACAGGCACTTGTTACTAAGAAATTTGTTGATACGCATTTTGTATAACGAGATTTGTCTTTACAACATTTTGTTCCATATAATATCTTCTTATGAGTATAGAGTGCAGTTTCCACATCTAGTGTTGTCTTGTCAATGACAATTTGAGAACCGTAAGGTTTTTTCTGTGATTCATTATATTTAGTAGCATTATCCGTCCCTCCTTTTGTAGCATTATCCTTTTCGCCTTTTGTAGCATTATACGTTCCGCCTTTTGTAGAACTATCCGTTTCGCCTTTTGTAGAACTATCCGTTTCGCCTTTTGTAGCATTCTGCAAAAGTATGCATTTTTCACTCATTTTCTTACAAGAAACATTCAATCCATTTTTGCAGGCTACTAGATTACTACATTTTTTTTTATAATAAACACACTTTGTTTTATCTGTAATAGATTCTACATTTTTTTTAACATCATCACAATATTGTTTAAGTTTTTCAAGTGCGTATTCACAAGTCGCATTCGGATCTTTGCATTTCTCTTCGAGCAATTCCTTTAATGATTGAGTTATACCTGGATAAGACGAAACAAAAGGGCAAATTAAAACTAATGTTTTTGAACAAGCAGACAGAGTTAATTGATTTTTTAAGAACCCTGATAACTCTTCAAGTAAAAATTCTTCATCTTTTGTTATATTTAAATTTTTTCTAGCCAGTGTTTGAATTTCCGGCTTTAGTGTATCTTTTGAATTTTCTTCAGCCGATGCAAATGCCCCTAGTCTTTTTAACAAAGTATAAAACTTATCATTAACTAAGACATCTTCTATTCCCTCAATAAAGCCATATGGATGCGAAGAATCAAAGTTTTTCGATTTTATATCAGTGAGATCTGATTTTTCGTCTAGATTTTATTAAAAAAATTAAAAGAAAGAAAAAAAGATACCTATATTTTCTATATTTTTTGAGAAAACATGTGCCAATCCAAATATATATATATATAGTAATATCTTCATTGGTAAAATAGTATAATAAATAAATTTTTAAATTTTTAAATTTTTAAATTTTTAAATTTTTTTAAATTTTTAAATTTTTTTAAATTTTTTTATAAAAAAATCAATATAATTAAAAATAATAAATAAATAATATTTATAACAAAAATTCTTTTAAATATATTAATAAACTTTCTATATAAAATTGTTTTTTTAAGATTTCATTTAAAATATTTCTTTTTTAAATAACTCTTCAAAAAATTCTAAAGAATAATACAAGTTTATTTAAATATCATTATTATTAACTGATTATTTCCGTTGGGTGACCATCTCTTCATTAATAGTTTTCGAAATCTGAAAGTTGAATTTTAGGATCAAATAATTAACGAAACAACCCTAACCCTTATATTATTGTTTACATCAAGATTTTAAATTATCTCTTTTTACTCAGTTTAATCAAAATTTTAGTATTTCATACATCTTAAAAAATAAATTTCTTTATAATTAATATTTATTAGTAATTGACTAAAACTAAAATTATTCAAAATAAGATAAAGTATAAATAGAAATGGCTGAACAAGAAGATTATTCATCTCTTTCTCTTTTAGAGAGAGCAATACATAAAGTATGTTATAGGGATATTAAAATTGTTGATTTATTGATAAGAAAAAATAGTTATGGAAAGTTCGGCTTGAAGCATATGAAGAAATGTCAAAACTCTTTTCAATTTCTACGTCAGAACAAGATCCTATTTTTCGGTCATTCTTACTTGATATTGGTTTATGGAAAAGGATTTGTACTGATTCTAATGTATTTGCTCAAGAAGCCGGTATTAAGGCTTTAAAGGATTTTCTTGAGTTTTGTGGCAAAGAAGCTTGTATAAGGTATATTTTTTTAGATTTCTTCTCGTTTTTTTGAATGTTTATATAAATAATTTTTTAGAACAAGAAGTACAGTTATACCATGCATAGTTGAAAAATGTTTAACTAGTACACGTGTTGGAACAAGGAAGAAATCTATTGACATTGTTCTTTTATATGTAGAACTTGATTCTCCTGATCCTGTTTTAGATGATTTGCTTCCTGGTCTTAATGCTAAATTCCCTAAGCTGGTAGCAGCAACAGCAAATGCTATAAAGGAAATATATCGTTTATTTGGATTGAAGACTGTTGATCCAAAACTTGCTCTTAAAATTCTACCTAAACTTTTTGCTCACAGTGATAATAATGTTCGAAAAGAAGCTACCGAACTTGCTGTTATTTTGTATTCGTGGCTTGGTGATGCAGTTAAATCTAGTTTATTTTCAGAACTTAAACATGTCCAGATTAAGGAACTTGAGTCTTCTTTTGAAGGTGTAAAGGTTGGGAAAGTTGCTCAGGAAAGGTATCTTAGAAGTCAACAAATTTTATCTGAAAATTCTTCTCAAGGTTATTTTGTGTTTATATTCTCTAGTTTATTAATATGCTTTAGTTCCATTGCAGAATAATGAGTCTGAAAATATTGACTTTTTTGATTCTTTAGAGCCTATTAATATTTTAAGTAAAATACCTAAAGATTTTAATGATCAACTTGCGTCTACGAAATGGAAGGATAGAAAAGATGCACTAGATTCTCTTTATTCTATCTGTAAAGTTCCTAGAATAATGGAAGATGATTATAATGATGTTATTCGTTTATTGGCTAGAAGCATAAAAGATGTAAATATATCTGTTGTAATTGTTGCTAGTAATTGTGTTGAGGCTTTTGCACGGGGATTACGAAAAGGGTTCATTAAATATAAATCAATTGTATTTGGACCAATTATAGAAAAACTTAAAGAAAGGAAAGCTACTGTTATAGATGCGTTAACAAATGCAATGGATGCAATTTTTGATGCTGTTAGTTCTATTATTATTAATTTATTATTAACGGAAATAGACATCATTGAGTGATGTGCTGGATGATATTTTGGAATTTTCAAAACATAAGAATCCCCAGATAAGATCGGAGATTCTTGTTTTTCTTGTCCGCTGTTTGAAATGCACATGTATTTATCCGAAAGCTTCGGAAATTAAATTAATAGCTGAGTCAAGTAAAATATTGTTAAATGATACTTTTGAGCCTGTGAGAAATTCTAGTGCAGAAATTATTGGAATATTAATGAAAATTGCTGGAGAGCGGCAAATGGGTTTTATTTTAGATGGTGTTGATGATTTGCGTAGAGTTAAAATCAGAGAATATTTTGAATCAGCTGAGGTTAAAATAAAACATGAAAGTCTTAAACATTCTGTTCTTTTTGATGATTCTAAATCAAATAAGTTTAATAGTTTAGAGAATCCTAATTCAATGGTTGTTCCAGTAGGTTTTTGTTTTACTTTTCTGTATTTTTAATATGTTCATATAGTCCAATGATGCCAAAAAAACTTTGCTTAGGCCTTCGTCTTTTAAACGGAAGGATTCGCAATCCTTAAAAGTTTCGTTTTTAGGATCTCGTCTTCCTTCTACTGTAGATCATATAGGAATTAAATCTGGTCTAAAAGTTTCGTCACGTCGACCTGTATCTTTACAAAATATAAAAAGTGATAATGATGTTGTTAATAGTTCATTTAGGGCAGTTAAGAATACAGGTTCTGTCCTTCAAACCTCTGCTAAATCAATAGAACAAACCATTGAACTTGGTAATCTCTCTATTTCAGATAAACGAGAGTTAGAAGAATTAAGAAAAGAGAATTTGAAACTTGATGAAAGACTACAGAAAGAAGTATCGGAAAAGGAGAATCTTTTAAATGAGATAAATTCTCTTCAGTTGAAGGTTTTAAATATTTAGTTTTTAAAATTCTTATTAAATTCTTGTAGAATGCTCAGTTAATTAATGATCATACAAGAGATATTTTGAAAATAAAGGCTACTGAAACACAGCTTTCTAGGGCAAGAAATGAAATAGAAATGATGAAGTCTCAATTATTATCGTTACGTAAAGAGCTAGATCAAAGTAGATTAAATGTTTCTAATAGGTCGGCTAATTTTCAAAATCCTACATCAAGTGATGATAAAATTGGGAATTCTTCTTTAAATGTAAATGAATCAGATAATAACTCTCCTAAACAAAATCAACATATAAGTATTTCTGGTGTTGATTCTAGTTTTGATATAGAAAAAGAAAATAGTCATTCAAATTTTTCTATTTTTAGTAAATATTGTAATGGATTTTCTTCATCTAGTTCTCTTGAATATTTTAATACATCTTTTAGTAAAAGTGACAATATTTCTAGTTGGGATAATGCTGCCGATTTGACTGCTCGTTTAAAAGAAAGGATAGAACAAATGAAACGTGCAGATATGCGACAACATTAAATAGGCAATATATTCTGTATGATTATGACATATCGAATTGCATATATTTTAATTTTTATTTTTCTATTGTAGAGTTTATGTTGATATTATAATTAAGACAGGATAAACATGTTTTCAAGTTGGGTAATGCATATTTTTGAAATAAAAGTGTTTATTATACATATAACTTTATCAAAAGTATCCTATATTATGGATTTCTTATTAAAAACTAATTTAAATATAAATGTTTTTATACTTTTTAAATGTGATGTTAAATATATTAATAAAAAAGAATTATTTTGAAAATGCTGATTTTATCTTAAGTTTAATATTATGGCATCCATATTCGTATTACTAAATCGACTCCACCACTAGCTATTGCTAATCTTTTTGAATTAGGTGATTTATTATTAGAAGCTTCATTTGATCCATTAGTAGTAGATTCAGTAGATTCGGATGCCCAACATAAGCAATTTATGAAATGGGAATGTGCTTCCTCTATTATTCTAGTACATTTTCCACTCTGACTCAGATCCCAGCATCGTATAGTTTTGTCATCTGATGCACTTATTAGATATCTACCAGATGGATGAAATACAAGAGCTCTAAGCCAGTTATCATGGCCTAATAGAGTCTTAATTATTTGTCCATTTTGACATCCCCAAAGCTTTATTGTTTTATCTCGAGATCCTGTTGCTATATAACCCATAGAATTTTTTGACAAATGAATACCAGAAAGTTGCATAAGAAATTTATATGCTGAATTTGGTGCAAATATAGCGCATTCTATAACGTGCTCATGCCCTTGAAATTCTAATTTACATTCTCCATTATGTGTATTAAATATTTTTGCAACCTAGTAATAGATTAGAAAAAACAGCAGCGGTTATATTTACTCTATCATTTCCAGCTGATAATAATAACTTTCCGTCATCCGATGGACAAATCGTTCTTATCCAGTCGATATGTGCATTAGAAATGGTTTTTATACAAAATCCTGTTGAAATTTCCCATATTTTTATATTTTTATCTCTTGAAACACTAACAATTCGATCGCCATTTGGTGGAAGAAATTTTATCGAAGATATAGAATGATCATGGCCATAAAGGGTTTTTATATTTTTATATTCGTTCTTAGAATCCCATAATTTTATTGTTAAATCTGATGAACAAGATACAAGACAATTTGAATTAGAAAATGTATTAAACTCAATATCAAGGACAGCTTTTGTATGTCCTTTTAGTGTTCTTTCGAAATCACCTGTTTCCCAATCCCAAATTTTTATTGTTGAATCTTCTGAAGCACTAGCAAGAATAGTAAAAACGGAATGGAAAGCAAGAGATGTTATTGGTTGCCTATGCCCTGTTAAAGTATGTTTTGCAGGCGCACATGGAATCCAAGATGTCATGTCTGTAGAATGGTTTTTATCTAACGGTATTGTAGATAATTCTGTTTGTGCTATGTGTAGACGTGCTTCTAAGTCCATAATCTAAAATAAATTAAATATATCATCAAGAAAAATTGTTTTAGTACTTTTTTTTGTAATCTAATTACGCTTGTCCATTTTTTTTCTAAAAGTTTATCATATTTGTGTTCATTTTCCTCATTAATATTAATAATGATTCCTTTGTTAGATAATTCAGATTCAAAGGTCGAAAATGTTTTAGGAAATTCTGATTTTGAAAAATAAAACAACAGAGCTTTGTATCTGTTAATTATTGTTAGACCTTGCTATATCTATAATAATTACGTAAATAAGATAGTCTTACAGTTCTTCTTTCTGTCGATCATTTAAAAGAGACATTTTTAATATTGAAATTAATATAAGTATTTTCTACGACAAAATAGCTTTAAATCAATTATAGTTATGAAATTGACAATCTGTTTCTAGATTATCTTTTTGACTAACTAAAGATTATATATAAAATGACGCGAAAATCCGAAGTTAATTTTTAAACTGCAATACTGAAATTATAAAAAAAATGTAATTAAATAAAATCAATAAATATTAGTAAGGAATTTTATGCAGAACTTTGGTCTATTCTATTATGAATTTATTTGTAAATAGAAAGATAATAATTATAAATTAGGCAAAATAATTGTGTGAAGAAAAACCAGATAAATCATCTAATTCTTCTCTTGTAAACATCTTTTGGTCCTTATTCCATGTATCTGAATGTGTTTTTTTAAAATCTGCCATAAATTTTTTAATAGTATTTCTAATTGGATAAGGATCTAATCCTATTCTTGCTAAACGAGCAACAACAGAAGGAATCCAAGATTCTAGAGTATCATATGGAAATGCCATTACAAGAGCTGAAAGTCCCAATACAGCTGCATGACGGGATATAATTGTTGATAATGTGTAATTTTTTTGTAAAGGATTATTTGTTAAAAGATCGGAAAATTGTTTTAAAAGTTCTGATATATTAGTCTCTGTTTCGTTTTTAGAACATTGTATTATTCCCGTGAGTGTAAGAGCAGCATTTAGTCTAACTTCTATTTGAGGATCTTCTAGAAGTATTCTAATTCCTTTAAAAATCTTTTTTTGACAATTTTGATGAAGAGTAAATAAATGTCTAAAAAAAAAATGTCTGTAGAAGAGGAAAAATATTAAGTTTATGGTGCCAGTTTTCTGAGGATATCATAATTTCGATAATTGAATTGGTCATGGAGTGTAATAGATGTGTTGGGAAATATATATCTCCTATTTGCTGCAAAATTTGATGTGTTGATGATAATAGATCGTGATCTTCTTTGATATTTAACATGAATACAATTTCTGGTAATATGGTTTCAGGAATATATGGTACAATAAGTGTATACTCTGTCTTATTAAGAGAATATTGAAGCCAAGAAAGTATTGTTTTACTACAAGAAATATATGAAACTGAATTGGAATTAAGTATGTATTCAGATTTCCGATCTTTTAGTTGAGAAAATATTTTTTTTATAACATTTTTAAAATGATTTGATGATATATAAGGAATTGTCATATAGGAATTCTGGTTTTGATATTGATATTCTATGAATGACTCTGCATTACAAAAAGATTCATGGTATTCAGAACTTGTAATAATATATAAGGTTTTTCCTATTTCGTCTCTTACACGTTTATATGGATGATCGAGATGAAATAAAAGGTTTTCTATAATTAGATTTGCAAATTGAAAGTGCCATCCGCAATGTGTAATAGCTTTTCTTAAAAGCGCTATTTTGGCTGTTTCCTTTAACATTTTAGAAAATTATGTAAATTAAGATATTTTTTTTACTTTAAATGCTAAGTCTGATTTTTTATCTAAGCGAAATGATATAAGCATTTTTAGAAAGGGCCAAGATCTTCGAGGATCCCTTTTGGACTATTTTTGTGTTAGATATTATGACAAAATTTTGGGAATGTACGAAAGAAAATTTTACAAAATTTAACCAAAAGATTAATGTTTCTGGCGTTATATTTTCAAAATTTTTTTTGACTATAGGTAACATCCACTCCCAGACTTCATTACAATACTCTAGAGATTCACATTTTAAAGATGAAACTAAACCAGATAAAATTTCGCAACCTGCTCGTATTTCATGTTTTTCATTTTCTGGAATACATAGTTGTTCAATTTTTCCTTTTAAATTATTCAGGGTTATATGACAAGGAACATTTTTTATAATTTGAAATAAAAATTTCATGAAGGTTGCTATAATAACTCTAAATTTTGGAGATTCTTGACGTGATTCTTGTTTTAAATGATTAAAAAACTGTTCAAACCATGTTTCAGAAAAAAGATGAATTGTCTTATCAAAAGTTTTTTTGGTAAAAGAATTTAATTGTAGAAATTGTGATTCTTTTTTAGTAAGATATATTGGATATGCTTTAGGCCATATTAGCCATCCATATTGAAGAGTATCAATGAAATGGCTATAATAAGAAATTAGTTTTTTACAATTTTGGGTTCATTTTTACTCTTTTGCCGGATTAGAAAAATCAGAAAGAAATTTTTTAGTATAAATTTTTACATTTTGTTGATTAAGGCTCACATGATGTAATATTCTAGTTGGTAAGTGTACTTCCTCCAATAAAATGGCCTTTAAGTTCCCATTGGTAAGCCCATGTTGCCAAAGGATTGATAAAAACTAATAAAATATTAGATTATCATAATGACTATTAATTTGATATACAAATGTTAAAGATTCTATATATAAAAGTCTAAGTAATGGATGTTCGCTAATGGATTCACGAATTATTGATGAAACCAATTTATCATCAGGAGGATTTTCTACACTTACTAAAATTTTTATCAATCCAGTTCCTATTTAAATTAATATTAACAAAAATAGGTGAATAACTAGCCAATCATAGCTGATGTTCTCCAATGTGTATCTTTTATTATGTCAATTAATTTGTGGCGCTAATTAATATTAGTTTTGTTATTTTTGTATATAAAAATAATTATTACTAATTTCTTAATTTCATTGCATATATATTTATGTTTTTCATTTACTTTTTTAATTAAGGTTATAACTTTTATATTAACATCGTCTGTAGGTTTTATTAAGTTGAGAAAATTCTTTTTATATAATGTAACTTTTGAATGTGATTTAAATGTAATGATGAAGTCTACATATGCTTTATTGCAGATTTTTTTAAGCGAAAGCTGTATATAAGTTATTTTTAAAAGGATATATTGATAAGTATTACAATATCAAATTTCATTATATAGATTAGACCATGAATATATTTGAGTATAAAATCCCAATTATCCATAATAACACGTTTAAAATGTTTTAACATGCTTAAGGAGTAAATTGCACCTTTTAAAACTTCAATATCTGATGATAACATAGCATTTAATAAAGGAGGAATTATGATATTTTTAGAATTAGTCATTATTTTTAATGCAATATTCAGTGTATTTTGTGCACAACGTCGAATTTCTGAATAAAAATTCAAGCAAGAGCAAACAAGATCCTCAAGTAATAAAATATCTAAAGAAGTCATATTTCTATATCTGGAATTAAATTTTAACCTAGTTATATGATAAATTTCTGCTCTTTTGACTAAAAAGAAATGAATATTGTTTATATAAAACATGTATATTTACTTAATAATATTCGAGGGTATTTTTTTCTAAGACCGCTAATTTTATATGGTTGTATATCATGTGTATATGAACGAATCAAATTATCCAATACATTGGCTGTTCGACAATATAAAACATCTAGAAGCCATGTTTTCAAAGTTGAAATTAAAGATTTGAAGCATTGAATATCATCATTGTGATATTTTGTTAGAAAAGCATGTAAGTTATGCAATGTATTTCCGATTTCTTTTTTTATTTGCAAAATTTGAACGTATCTTGGATCATCTTTTCTTTTTTCAAAAAAATAACCAGATGGATATTTATGCATAATTCCAGTGCCCTCACTGGATATGTTAGTAATATATCAATTATCAATAATATATACTCTTCTTGGGAATTTTCGTCTTTTATTTCATTAAAATCTGAATCAAAAAGAAAGGCTATTCCAAAAAGACCTTTTTTTAAATAAAATACGCATTTTGTAACATTGTCCGACCATTCCTTCCTTGTTTTAAAGGTTGATTTGGTGCATGTTTGCATTAAATATGATAAATCTTTTAAAATCTTATTAGATTGATAAATAAATAAGTTTACAGAAAAAGTTATTTCGTCTTCTGATGGAATATGCCATTTTATGTTTAATTTTTTTGGATCAGTTTTATGAGCCCAATAATCTGGTTGGATATTCTGATATTTTTCTGTGTTATCTTCAAACATTTCTTTATCTATCGGATATATCGTAGTAAAATTCGATAATATTACTGAAAAAAAGTTTCCAACATGAGTAATTATATTTCCTTTGGATTTTTCAATTAAAATGTTTAATATTTCTTCTAAATCTGTGCCATATGATATTAAAATATTTCCTGTGCCATTAATGGATGTAGAAAGTATTTGTAAATTCCATAATAAAGCCCTATCTCGAGGATGAATGTCATTACCTGTGCTTCTAGTTGATGCTGCCTCGTTATTTTCTATTTCAAAAAGGATATTTGTTTTAAGAATAGGAAATAATTTTTCAAAAAACAGTTTAGGATTTTTTGATATGCAAGAACTACATAAAAAATTTACCGAATGTATTGATTGATATAACACATTATTGGAAATAAAATGAATAATTTTTTCTAACGCTAATTTGAAAAAATTATCTGATAATGATGCAAAAAAATGAGTCAATGTCGATGGTAGTATTTCAATGATGTGATTTTCAGATGATTTAGTCTTTGTTGAAGTTTGGTCTGATAAATTCTTTAATAATGTAAATATACGATCTAAAAATATTATGATAAATTCATGAAAGAATGCTGTAGATGATTTAGCAATTAAATTGTCATCAACATTATTAACTTCTGTATCATTATAATTATAACTTTCTAACAAAAGGTCATCATCATCGTTAATAACATTCTCAAATTTATTTAATTCATTTTCAATCCAATTTAGAGCGATTTCATAATTTGCATTTTCTGTTAAATCGTGGAATGGTACATTCTGGGCAACTCTTGAGATAAATGTTAAACTATATGCTGCTTTGTCTAAATCATTTGCATCAATATAAGGTAATACTAAGTTAAGAAGACTTGTTATATGATTTTTGAATATTTTTGTGCCAGAAATAATAGGTGCAAGAATACATAAACTTTGAAGAGATGAGATTGTACGATGAGTTTCGATAAGACCTTTCATAGAAGGGTATATTCGTCTTAAAATACATGGAAGGATAAATGATGGCTCCAGGTATGATAAATTTTGTAGAGTTATTTGAGATTGTTCTTTAAAAACATTAAATTAAAAAATAGAAATATATAAATTACCCATTACTTCATAATCTTGACTATAAATAATCATAAAAGTCACTTTTCTTAGAGTCAAAACAAATTCTTTTCGTATTCCTATATTTAATTTCTTTTCTGGCAAGATATCAAGTTCTTTATCGTTCTCTTTATTCCATCTATCCACAAAATAATTGGAAAGATAATATATAAATTTAGAAAGATTTTTTGTCCAAGGCCCATGATTTGATGGATGAAAATATGTTTCTATACTCTTTATAAGGGTTTTAAGTTTTGAAAGTACTTTAGTTTCTTTTTTTTTGATAAGGCATAATGGTGAAATAGAATAGATAATTAGTTTTGCTGCTTGTTTAGTAAAACTTTTTTGTTGAATGAATGGAATCCCTTCATGTAAATCGATATTATTCAAGATAGGATTTTTTATATTCCCTATAGGAATGTTAAATAATCGAAGAATGGTAGTAAAAATATATGATAGTTGATTATCTGTAAAAAGGCAAGGAGCACGAGTTGGTGCTGGATGACTTTCTTTCGCCAGTCTTCCCAAAAGATCAAGAAATATGGAACTACATTGATTCGAATTTGATATAAGAAACCATAAATGAAAAATTGCTTTGATTGTAATTAGTAAGTAATAAAAAAATTGAATAGCTACCAGGAAGCCAGTATTGTGGGTCTAATTTTGGATCATCATTAGGGGAAGGATGACATGGTAGGAAAAGGTTGAGCATCCCAATAACGATAAATGCATCAGAAATAATAGATGTATTAAACTTTTGTTAATGGGTTAATAAGTATTTTAAAATAATTTATACTTACAAGAGGCAAGAGTTCATTTAATATATTTGGTATTTCTTTGGGAAGGAAATATAGACGAGCCTTTTTGATAATAGGAATGATACTGATATTATTAGAATTAGAAATGGCTCTAGATTCAATAAAAGCTTCATCATTTGGAAACATTATTCGTTTAAGAATTAAAAATGCTGGTTTCCAATCAAGTGATATATCATGAATGGAAAGATAGTGATGTCGTCTAAAATATATGTAAACTTAGGATAAAATATGGCAAGAATGTACTTTGTTAATGATAAAAAAAGCGATTCAAATCTTCTTTGATTGTTTGGTGAAATACCCTCAGTAGTACAAAGTTCGTAATATACATTAACAAGTTTTATGCGAATTTGACGAGGTAAATCAAATTTTAAGTTAAGCCAATTATTAATTTCTTTTGAAAATATAGCAGCTTTTGAAAAATCATTAGCTGCTAAACTTATATAAATATTTTTAGTAATTTTTTCAAGATTTTCTAGTTGCTTTTCTTTATTTTCTATGTTATAAGGTAATATTTCTCTGTATAAAAATGTTTTTTTGTGTTCGTTTTTCGGTTCAAATATTGGGTCTCTATTATTTGGAGGTTTTGATTTACTAAATTGGGTACAAGTATGCATATTTGGTTTAGTCTTAGCTATATTTAACAATAATAATTTATAAATAAATGATTTTTTGATATTTTGTATTAGTTTTCGTTGATTTTAAACTTTTTTTTTAATATATTAAATATATGTATACATATGAATATACTTTTAGTGCATTTAATGTAATTTAAATTATAGTAATTATTAGTTTTACAGAGATTTATAAAAATTTTTGCAATTATTTAATTATTAATGATATTTAAAATTTATAAATAATTTTATGTAAAATTATTAAAACATATGGTTCATAATATGTAATTTAAACATGAGTTTTAATGTTTAGATTTTTTAAAGAAAATTATTATTATTATGTTTATTATGAAATATAGTCGATTCTGTAATTTGAATTTTATAAAGTCAATATATTTTATAGGTTTAAAATTTTATTTTTTTTTATAACCTTATAAGTAATAGATGTGTAGATACGGTTATATAATAATACATATAATTAGAAGAATAATTAATATTTTTAATATAATATTTTTTAATATTATTAACGTGTAAAAATATCTTAACTAGATGTTTTTATGATATTTTAAAATTGAATATTTTTAGTAATTTCTATTTTTCGAATATCATAGTTCTTTAGGAAATAAAACAGTGATATAGATTAGTTTTCAATTTTGTTTGAGATGTATTAAATCTAAATTTATGGAAAATTATAATTTTTTGTACACATTAATTTAGTAAATATTTTTTAAAATTACGAAAAAAAAATCAAATGTTATCGCTTTAAATTTTATCGTTCTAGGTTTTAAAAAAACCCTTAATATGTTGAAAGTACGTTAGAAAAGATATTTAGTTAAATAATTTTTATCGAGTTGATTCAAAAATGTCTATTAATTCTGTAGACGTTAATCCAGAAAATGAACCAATTTTATTACCTTTTGAACAATTTTTTTTTTGTGGAAACAAGGTTGAATTTATATTAGAATGTGGTAATGGATATCCTGCAAATCATATAATCAATAAGACATATTCTTCTTCTTCTGGAAGGTTATATTTTTCTAATCACAGAGTAAGCTTTTGAAATAGGGATTATATTATATTAATTAGTTTTTAGATTATTTATTTTCCATCTCAAGCTACAGCTAGTTTTAAAAATTTTGCATGTCCTTTAAACAAATTTGTAGATGGGAGTTTTATTCAACGTTTGTTAGAATTTTTTTTCTGATTTTTATTTATAATTATTAGCTTGGTTTTCTTCTAATTATTATCAGGCCACAGTATATCCTGTACCGCAAGGTGGTCTCCCAAGTGTTGCATCAGTTTGTAAGGGTATTGTTTTGTGTTTTTTTAATGTTTCATTTAGGTAAAATTTATATTTAAGGAAGGAGGAGGGTTTGATTTTGCAACAAAATTTTCCGATATTCAATTTAGACTTCATGAAAATAATAATGATCCGCGTTATGTTCAACATTTAGAAGAGCTTCCTCAATACCAAGCTCATGATAGTTCCTTACTTCCTAATGTTAATCAGCTTATTATAGATGATATACCTAGTCTTTCCTATGTTAATAGAGATGCTCCTCCTAATTATGAAGATGTTGCTAAAAATAAGTAAAATTGGTAAAGTGTTATAAGTATCTTGGTCATGTCTATTTTGGTTTTATGCAATGGTTTTTTTTAGTTTGAATTTATTTTTAAGAGTAATTTTTAGTGAAGTTAAACAATCGTATGTATGCTGTTGGATTTTAGAAATTATAGTATTTAATCTGATACAATTGCTGTTGTGTTTTTGTATGGGTTATAATTTATTTAGATTTATTGTAACATTTTTAACATAATAAAATGGTATGTTGTTTTAAAATACAAATATAAATTGTATAGTAATATAATGTTTTGAATGATTATTTAATATAACTGAATATATATAATGTTTACGTATTAGATTGTTACACAATAAATTTGTACGAATTGTTAATTTTATTTTTAAATGGTATTTATTATAAATATTTAAGTCAGAAAGTATTTGTTCCTATTATAATATTTACTTAAAAACAGTAATAAGTTTTAGTTTGTCCTAAGTATTTTTTATTTATCTTATTTTTTATAAATATTAATATTAATTGGTTTTTCTTTCTTAAATTCGAAATTTTGAATATATTTGTAGCATTTATTCTTGTCTAAAATCTAAATAAAAAGCTTTTTATTAAGAAAAAAATTTTTTTATTAAATTTTAACGAAAAATTATATTATTTTATATTAATGATTTAGATTTTAAATCATATTTTGTATTTTCATATGATTTAACAAACGATTTTATATAGAGGTTTATTTTTAGAAATATATATATATATTCCTATTTGAAAAAATTGATATTTCTAAAGATAATTTTCTTTGTAAAATGTAGCCATTTAAGGTTTAGGGTTTGTAAAAAATCTGGACAAGACTTGAATCAGGATTTTATTGATAAATGGAGGTAAAGAAAAAAGCATTTAATGTTTGCTAATTTTTTATAGGGTATTTCGAGATTAAGGTTGTGGATTTCTGATATTGTATTTTTTCCTTTATTTGTATCTGCTGAGGAAAGAAACTATGATGAAAAAGATAATTTAAATGAGAAAAAGAGGGAAAAAAATGATGATTATGATAATAATGATATGGATCCAGAAGATATTATGCCGCAAATCCAAGAAGGTATATTTAATTTGTTGATTTAATATATATATTATTTAATTATATGATTGATTTAAATCACAGAATGTTCAAATACAAAAAAATGTGCGCCTTTAAAACATCATTATGACGAATGTAAGGAGCGTGTTTCTTCTGCTTTTAATGAGTCAGAAAGAAAAAAATTAGATAATGAAAATTGCGTTGGTATATTATTTGTTTATATATTGATTATTTTATTGATTTTATTATTAGAAGAAATGTTTCACATGTAATTAATTCGTTTCCTGATTTATAGTTTTGTAATTTTTTATATAGGATGCACTGTATTGGTAATTGTTCTGCTGGTAGGATTTTTTCAAAATTAAAATAAATACCTTGTTATTCCCTAATGATGTTTTTATTATTTTTAAGTTAATTTATGTAAATAAAAATATGGTTTTTTATTTTGATTTATTAATGTTTTATTTGTATTTAAAAATACAGATATTTTTAGTATTTTTTATTAAATATGAGAATGTGTTTGATTAGGGCTATTTTTCAACATATTTTTTTTAAGAATTATTCAATATTTCATATAATATGAAATATTTTTTTGTACTTAAGTTTTCGATATAAATTTGAATTGTAAATGACTTCTAAAGAGGCCTCTGAATCTATTCGTTCTAGGAAGCTATGTGAGATATGTTCTTTGAATTATCCGTCCCTTAAAGTTTGTTTAATTTTTTTTTTTTTTTTTTGATTGTTACAGCGTCCTAAAACATCTCAAAAACTATGTAAAGATTGTTTTTATTATGTTTTTGAGACAGAGATTCATAATACCATTATATCTAATTCTTTATTTTCTAGAGGAGATAAAATTGGGATAGGTGCATCAGGTGGTAAAGACAGTACTGTACTTGCTTATGTTATGAAAACTTTAAATGATAAATATGATTATGGATTAGATTTATATATGATATCTGTAGATGAAGGTATTCAAGGATATCGTGATGATTCTTTAGAGGTTTCTTGTTCTTTCTTATCTTTTAAATTCTGATAGTTATCGGAAGACCGTTAAGCGCATTCAAATTCAGTATTCTATACCTTTAAAAATTCTAAGTTATGAAGAGATTTATGGATGGAGTATGGATGAGATTGTTAAACATGTGGGCAGAAAAAATAATTGTGAATATTATATGTACACATTTGATTTTTTATTTTAATGAAATTCAAGGTACTTTTTGTGGTGTATTTCGAAGACAAGCTCTTGATAGGTGTGCTACAATGCTGAATATTGATCATATAGTTACAGGACATAATGCGGATGATATTGCTGAGACAATTATTATGAATTGTAAATTTTGTTTTTGGAAAAGTTGTTAAAATTTATATATAATAGTATTACGAGGGGATATCTCTCGTCTTGGACGTTGTACTGAAATATTAACAGGAGAATTTAAAATAAAAAGGTCAAAGCCATTTAAATATACATATGAGAAAGAAATTGTAATGTAATATTTAACATACTTTCATTGAAAAGAATTTAATTTTTTTAGGTATGCCCATTTTAAAAAGCTTGACTATTTTTCTACTGAATGCATTTATTCTTGTTCGTCTATTTTTATTTTTTTTTTTTCCATTAATTTTTTTTTAGCTGAAGCTTTTCGAGGTTTTGCTCGAACCTTGATTAAGGAATTAGAATCCTTAAGGCCTTCATCAATCATTGATATTATTCATTCTGGTGAAGCATTTTTGCTTTCTGATGCTGTGAAAAAAAATCTTCCTACGCAAAAAAATTGTAAAAAATGTGGATATATGTCAAGTAATGATTATTGTAAAGCTTGTATATTATTGGAAGGCTTGAATAGTAGGATTAGTAGATCTGGAATAGAAGAAATAAAAAAGTCAATGATTATAGAAATTATGAGAAATAGTATAAAAATGATAAATAATCAGAAATATGAGGAAAATCAAAAAGGATTAGATTTTTAGATTATTGTTTTGGGTTATAATTTAAAGATAATTTGATAATATTTTGATTTTAATTATGTTTTAATAATATATATGGTTTATATCTTTTTATTTTTCATATTTTATTGTTATTAAGAATTTAAAGGATGTTGAATTTAATATGTAATTTATTACTAATATAATTAGATGTATTTATGTCCCTAAAATGGTAAACGTCATATTTAGTTATTTTGCTAAGGTTGTTTTTAGTTTTAAATTTTATTAATTAAACAAGTATTTTATTTCGTAGTTATAATTTAGATACTAGATTAATTTAATATTCATAAAAGTAATATAAATAAAATTAAGTATTTAAATACTATCGTTTTAATATATTGTTATAAATATAATTTTCATATAAAAATTATAAAATTTAATTATATTTATCAGAATTTATATTAATTAGTGTTTAATTTCGATATTTAAGTTAGATTTCATCAAATAAGATAATAATATTATTATATTAAATTTGAAAACAAATTTGCCTATATTATAAATTTTTAGTTATAATTCTTTATTTAAAATTTTGATGTTTATGATTGAGAAAAGATTGCATTAAATTACCTAATTTTAAAATATCATCTATCATTTAAAATATAGTATATTCTGTTTTTATAAATAATATTTAAGAATTATATTAATTACAAGCTAATAAAAATTTTTTATTTAAAAACTTTGTTTTGCTCATGCAATAGAAATATTATATGTATATATATCATGATTTTTGTTAGTTTATTAAATTTTTTAATATACAATTTGTTTAAGAAGCTTTAATGTTTTCAAGTTTTTTTATAATTTAAAAAAACATTTTCAAAATATTTCAATAAAATATTATTAGAAATCTTTAAAAAATATATTTTGAAGCATTTTTTATTTTTAAAAGTATGTTATTAACAATAAAATGTTAAAATTAAACATTCATATATTTATAGTGTTTCTTTGTTTAATATATTTTAATTATATAAATTAGAAAAGTTTTAATTTTTTTTTAAATAAGAATATCGAAATAATATTTTGTATGATAAAAATTAGAAAAAATTGATTTTGATATTACTTTATTAGTTCATGAAAAATGGAAGAAATAACATTGTTAATAACAGGGGCAAACAGGTTAGTTTAAATGTAAATAGATTTTCGACTTAAATATATGTTAAGCTCGTATAGTGGACTAGGATTTGCTTCAATAATAAAATTTATAGAATATTATTCTCCAGTGTATCAGATCGATGAATATTTAACTGTTATTATTACTTGTCGAACTAAAAAGAAAGCAGAGGATACGATATTTCGTTTAAGAATGCATACTCCGTTACGAAAATTAAAATTGTTTTATGAATTACTAGATCTTTCTGAGATGGAAAGTGTGGAGGCTTTTTGTAGAAATGTATTATTGAAGTATTTTGTTTTTATTTTCTTTTTTTTTTTTTAATTTATAAAAGATATAAAAAGTTGGATATTATCGTTTTTAATGCTGGTATAGGCGGTTTTACTGGAATTGAATGGCTCAATGCTGTTTGGGATATTTTTACAAATTTTATGAATGCCATAACATACCCATCATGGAAAAAACAAGGTATTTCTGTTAAATCTAAAAATGAACTTGGTTTGGTTTTCCAAGTAAACTTATTTTCATATGTTTATATAGTTAGTAATTATCGTATTTTTAAGAAATTGCTAAAAAAGATTTTAGAGAGAGCGTCTTTCCTCTCTTCTTTTCCCTTCATCGCGTCTTATTTGGGTATCATCATTAGAATGTCAACCATCTGCATTTTCTGTTCTTGATATACAATGTTTTTATGGGAAATTACCATATGAATCTTCGAAACGTTTAATGGATATTTACCATTTTGCTACTTATGAAAAATTGCATTATAATCAATATTTATGTCATCCCGGGATTTGTCGAACAAATATTATGTCAGAACATCTTAATTTTTTTTCTACTTTCTTAATGATTATTATTTTTTATATAGCACGTTTGTTGGGAAGTCCCTGGCATACTTGTACTCCCGCAAATGGCGCATATTCTATTATTTATTGTGCTACAGAAAAAAAGGTTCCTCGTGATATTAAATGGGGTAGTGGTACTAATAGATGGGGACGCTGTGTTTTGCGAAAATCTGATGTTATTGCATTTAAGGAAAACGAAATGGAAATAGCTGTTGATTATCTTCATAATCTTGTTAAAGAATGGAAAGATAGATTTTTTATAGATTAGTTTATTTAAAGATTATATGTATTTTATGTTATTTCTAATATTAATGGCGATATATATAGTTGTAGGTATTTGATAATGACATTGATTAATGTTAATTTTTTATCTGTATTTTTAATATTTATAAAGTGTAAATAGGGCTAGGTAATATTTTTAGTGTCCTTTCAGCTTTTTAGTGCCGATTGTAGAAGAGTCGAAAAAAAAATCTAAAAAAAAACTATTATAAAAAGTAATCTCTGATAATTTAGAGATAAAGGATATTTTTTAAAAAAAAAAAGTTTCGGCACCAACTCAAAAAAAAAATAAAAAATAATAAAAGATTGGAGTTTTTTATTTTAACTTATTAAAGGAATCAATATTTTTAAAGAGGTTTCTAGAAAATTAAATTAAAAAATTGGCACTTAAGAGTATTAGAAATATTGTATACATGTCATTATTAGCTGTTGAATCTGTATCTAGCGTTTCTCCTATAAATATTTCAGATGCTTCCAATAAAAATGTTTTGGGTAAGTCTAAACTAACACGATCTGATGAAGTTGCTCCGTCTACCGAGGCCGCTGGCTCGGCTGATGATTCTTCTCGTTTGAATATTGGGGCCAACGTGTTAGTACCTGTTCCTCAAAATAGTCCCAATTCTGCTTCTTTGGTATGCGTTTTATTTTTTTTTTGGTTTTTTTTTTTTGTTTATGAATTTTCAGTATGTTGGTGAGCTTGACCCAAGTGTAACGGAAGCTATGTTATTTGAGCTTTTTAATAGTATATATTAATTGTTTTGAGAAGTGTGGTATATTTGTATTGATTTATATAGATATTGGTGCTGTTGCAAGTATCCGTGTTTGCAGAGATGCTGTGACTAGAAGGTCTCTTGGTTATGCTTATGTTAATTTTCATAATTCTAGTGATGGTAAGAATGTTAACGATATTTTGGTTTTATTAAATATTGATTTTTTTAATAGGTGAACGTGCTTTAGAAGAGCTTAATTATACTTTAATAAAAGGGAAGCCTTGTCGTATTATGTGGTCTCAACGTGACCCTTCTTTGAGAAAAACTGGGACAGGGAATGTTTTTATAAAAAATTTGGATTCTAGTATTGATAATAAGGCACTTCATGATACTTTTACTGCTTTTGGAAATATTTTATCTTGTAAAGTTGCTGTTGATGAGCTTGGAAACTCTAAAGGATATGGTTTTGTACATTACAAAACGTCTGAATCTGCAGAAGCAGCTATTAAGCATGTTAATGGTATGCTTTTAAATAACAAAAAGGTATATGTTGGTCATCATGTATCTAAAAAGGATCGTCAAAGTAAATTTGATGCTATGAAAGCGAATTTTACGAATATTTATGTGAAAAACATTAATCCTGAGATCAGTGAAGCGGAATTTGAGGAGTTATTTAGGAAGTTTGGGAATGTCACTTCATTGAGTCTTTCTGTAGATGAAAATGGGAAGTCTCGTGGTTTTGGATTTGTAAATTATGAGAATCATGAGGATGCTGCCAGGGCTGTTGGAGAATTGCACGATACAGAATACAAAGATCGTAAATTGTATGTTTCTAGAGCTCAGAAAAAGCATGAGCGAGAAGAAGAACTTAAGAAGCAGTATGAACAAGCTAAGCTAGATAAACTCAATAAATATAATGGGATAAATCTCTTTGTAAAAAATTTAGATGATGATATAGATGATGAGCGTCTACGGCAAGAATTTTCTATTTTTGGAACTATTACTTCAGCAAAAATCATGGTAGATGATAATGGAAAATCCAAAGGATTTGGATTTGTTTGTTTTTCATCACCAGATGAAGCAACTAAAGCGATAACAGAAATGAATCAGCGTATGGTTTCTGGGAAACCTTTATACGTTGCTCTTGCTCAGCGTAAAGATGTTCGGAGATCCCAGCTAGAGTCGCAAATAAATGCTCGTAATCAACTTAGAATGCAACAACAGGCAGCAGCAGCAGGAATGCCTCCACAATACGGAATAGCAGGTGCTCCTATGTTTTATGGACAGGGCCCTGGTTTTATGCCTGCTGGCCCTGTAACTGATAGAGGTATACCATTTCCGCAGCCTGGCATAGTATCATCTAGACCACGATGGGTTCCTCAACAGGCTGGGCAACCTAATGGACAAGCTATTCCTCAAATGTATTCTGGTATGTCTGGATATAATGCTTATCTTACAATGCAAGGAAGGCCTCAAAGGTCCGGTAAGTTTTTCTTTTTTTTTTTTGTTTATATTAATTTCTTTTTATAGGGCAAATTTCTCGTTCTCCTCAAGGTCTTCCATCTCGTCCAATAATGTCTATGGGTATGCGCCCTGCACCAGCAGGTGCAAGAGTGTATAGAATTGGCTCCAATATTAGAAATGGAACGAGGGATGGTATTGATGTTGGAAATGATAACCAACTTACCGCTGCTGCTTTAGCTGCTGCTTCTCCTGAGAATCAGAAACAGATGTTAGGGGAAGCTCTTTATCCTAAGGTTCAAGCGTAAGTGAATTTGATGTGTGGGTATTTTTTTTTACAACATTGATAGACAAGAAGTCAATTTTGCTGGGAAAATAACTGGAATGTTATTAGAAATGGATAATTCTGAATTATTGCATTTGTAGCGGTTTTTTAATATGTATTTTATACTAATAATTAATAGAATTGAAGATGATGTTGCATTACGTGCTAAAGTGGAAGAAGCTTTAATTGTTTTGAAAGAATATCAAAAAGATTATAGTGTTCAGGATCAAACAATTGAGATTAATACATAATAAATCATGAAAACGCTATGAATCTTAGATAATAAAAAATGCATCTTTATTTGGCTGTAGTTTTAGATATTTTAATTTCTAGCCAGTTAGACCTTATTTCTATGTATTTTTTTTTCATCTAATAAAATATTGTTGGTGTTGATAAAGCTTTTTCAGTTTTTGAGTACGAATATATAATTTAAATAAATATTTATGTGATTTGTGTTTGTTTTAGAGCTTTAGAAATATATTTTTAATGAATTAGATATTTAATCATTTAGTTTTCTTTAAGGAAATATCTGAGTTAAAATTAGTAAAGAAATATATAAAAATTATGTGTAAAATAGTATAACGATAAAAAATTATGGTTTATTAAAAAAATTGAAAGCAAAAAGAAAAAGTATTGTAATAAGTATATTAGATTTTGTTCAGAAAATGGAAAAGATAAAGTTTTAGATATGCTCGATTTAATAAGTGCTAGTGATAATATATCGTTTTTAAATGTTACTAATTTTGAGGCATTAGAAAGAAAAGATCAAGATATTGATAGAAACGACGTACTTAGTAAAAAAAATAGTCATCTTTTTTCTAGATTTGAAACTAGAAGTTCTAAAGTAGTTGTTACATAATCTTATTATTCCTAATTTTTAATGATATTAGATAAAAAATGTAGAAAATATTAAGTTTAGAAAAGAAAAGTTTGAAAAATTGAATCTGGATAAAAATAGATATAATATGTCACCTGATGTCGATCATAACTTGGAGTTATTAACACCGGATGCAGAAATCGGAATTGTTGAAGATGAAAACACATGTTATATTTCTGAAATATTTAATAATGAACAAGCATCATTTAATAATAATGGCTGTTATGATAATCTCGTGTCTGAAGATTTGGAACTTAATTGTCTTGAAGAATTTATTGAGACATTAGAAAGGAAACGGAAACATGATGATTTTCTAAAGATTAATGAATTTTCAAAAAAATCATCTTGTGAAACTCTTAGTAGCCATGTGAAAAACAATGAAAGCAATTATTTTGATGGTTTAGATTTCCTTTATATTAGAAATAAAACATATTTTTAATATTTTTAACTAGTTTCTGAAAAATTGAGTTTTTCGGAAATGATTGCACCTTTAAATGCCAATATTACAGCTAGCTCTTATTTGAAGTCTCTTTCTCAAAGCGATATTTCTAAATTTTCTGGTAATTCTTTAGATGTGCCATTGGCTAAATCAGCCCAAGATTTTTTTGATAGACAAGCAGCATATGATATTGTTAAAAAGGATTTAAAAAAATGGGAGGATGTTGTAAAATTCAATAGGGCATCTGAATTTTTGAAATTTCCTATTGATTCTTTAGAAAAATCGAAATTAACAAATAATTCATTATTTGCAAAATTTCAAGTTTGTTAATGTTTTCGGCATCTATTATATAATTTATTCTATTTAGGCATCTACACATTTTGAAAGAAGTATTGACGATGTTCTTCAGTCTTCGGGTTTAAAAGATGAAAGATCTGTTCTTGAATTTGAAGAATTATCTCTTAATAAACTTTCAGTAGAAGAAGTTGCAGCGCGTCGTGCTGAACTTAGATTAATTCGTGACTTAATGTTTAGACAAGAACGCAAAGCTAAACGAATTTCGAAAATTAAGAGTAAATCATATCGAAAAATTCATAGACATGAAAAAAAAAAAAAAAAATCTTTAGTTTTAGGTAAAATTGATTATGATGGATTGCCTTTTCAAAACGAAATAAATAAAACTAAGGAAGGAATTGATCTTTATGGTTTTGATAGTAATAAATTAGCTAAACAGCAATTAAATAATAATTGTTTTGTTATTGGTAATAAACAATTTATAAAAAAACAATTACAACATGATAAACGACTTCAAGAAAAAATTCGAAGTATATGTTCTTCTGATTCTGATGAAAATTTAGATAATGATAATAAAAGTTCTGATATTAACAATAAAGATTTATTGACAAATTTAATGAAGTTTAGAAATGAAAACATTAAGTTAAAAAGTTCAATGGGTATGCAATTTATGAATTCTGAGAAAGATAAAAAAATAAAGAATGAGAGAACCATAGATGATGTATTAAATATTAAAAAGGACCCTGAAATATTATGTTCAGAATATAGTAGTAATAAAGTTTATGAACGTTTTTCGAATTCTATTGGACGGAGAATATTTAATCCATCTTTTGTAAGTTTTTATTTTTTTATTAAGTTATTTGTAACTTTTTAAAGAATAAAGGTTATGTTTCTAATATTAATGATCAAAAGCCTGTTGAAACTTTTAAGATTGATAAGGTAATATATTTTGGAGTCTCGAAAATTGTTTGCTTATCATATCATTTTTGAAGTCTTGGAATTTTATAAGCAAGAATTTATCAAGTTCTTCATATGATTCAAAGATTTTAGATACACGTTTTAAAAACTATAATCCATGGTTGATTGCAACTGATGAACTTTCACCTGAGTTTTATGGATTGGAATTGAAATGTGATTCTGAGCAGTCTATAATATATAAAGATTCCCAAAATTTTAAGAAAACTGATGAAACGGAATTGTGTATAGATATTCCTCAAGGATTATTGTTTCCAACTAGTGAAATAGAAGTAAAGAATTATAGAAATAATGCTGAAGAAGATTTAAACATGATATATAATGGCTCAAGATTTGCTTTGAAACAAAAAGATTTGGTCGTTCGAGCTTTTTCAGGCGATAATGTTATAGAAAATTTTCAGGAAGAAAAACTTAAAAATGTCGAAGAACATGAATCTTATAAAAAGAATGATATAATGCCTGGATGGGTATTTTCTTTTTGAAATATTTTCATTTTATTGATGATCTTAGGGGAGTTGGTGTGGTTTTGGAATAAAACATATTTCAAAAAAAATTAAAGTTTCAGATATATCAAAAAAAAATAGAAAAGATTTAGAGTTAAACAATGTAATCATAAGTGAAAAAAATATTAAAAAAGTATAAATATGTTTTTATTTATTAATGTTATTGAGTTTTATAGAATAAGAAATTATTGGTATCTTCAGTTCCATATCCATATCAGACTAAAGAACAATATGAAAAATCCTTAATGTTACCTCTTGGTCTAGAATGGACAACAAGAGGACAGTATCAGGTAGTTTATAATAAATATATATTTAATCTGCTTATGTATTAGAAACTTATTACTCCACGTATTATAATAAAACAAGGTTCGGTTATCGAACCCTTAAAAATATCTTAATTATTAGAATTATTTTTATATTTGAATTATTTATTTGTATATTTTTTAAAAATTGAAAGATTATTTAAATATTAGATTTATAGGAATTAAAATAGATTTTAACTTTTATAAAATCATGATACATTTTTATATTCTTGAAGAGCTTTTACAATAGCAATAATTGTTGGTTTAAAATACTAATAAATAATAAATATGTATATATAAATAGGAAATCTGTTACATTTTTAATTATTTCTAAATTATTTATAGAAATATCATTGGACTTTATGATAGTATTAATGTTATCGTTCGTTTTCTTTAATAAATTAACAATTTGAGGAAGTTGTAAAGTAATTGTTTCGTTTGATAAAAATTTTATCCAAAATTGATTTAAAAATTCATTTGCTGTTTCATGACAAAGTATTACCTGATTCTTTATATCTAATGGAATAACTATTATCATAAATATATCCTTTTTATGTAATATTTTTAACCTGTCTTGAAATTGTGTCTTATTCTAGATTTTATGTTAATTTGTTGGAAAATATCATGAGTTGTATCTCTTGATAATATGTTAATATTGCTTATCTTTATTATGTTAAACTTAAATAGAAGTAAAAGGTTACCAACGTTTATAATTGGCTCCATTTGATGCTCAGTATTTTCAAACTTTATATATAATTTAGGTCTTTTCTACAATTATTAGAATATACAAATATATCATTATTTTAAACTACGAATTTTTTAGAGTAATCTTCTTGGAAGATACTATTTTTTAGAAAATATTTTTTCTGATCTTTTATATAAAGATAAATATTATCTTCGCTTATTATTCCTTCTAAATCATTAAGAATTAAATTGTTAATGTTATTCTAAATTAAATTAGATAGTTAAAAAAAAAAAAAATCAGACATTATCCTTTTTTTTTTTGTCTATATTTCTATATAGGTTAAAATGATTTTAGAATTAATGTAGTAGTTTACTTTTTTAAACAGTTTATCATTTTTGTAGAAAGATTGTTTAAAGAGTGCATCATTTGTATGTTTTCTAGTTCTTTCATAATAATTGATGATTCAAAATCAGCAGTCTATATTATTAAATTAAAAATAATTACTATAAATAATAATAACCTTTGTAATATGATGTTCATTTTTTGTTAAATCAATGAAATATGATATATTCTTTGTATCATTTGAGTATGATTGAATAAAATCTATTCTAAAATTAATAATTAAGTAATTTAGCTTAATTAATGTCTACCATTTTCATAATCAAGATACTTGTCTAATATTTCATCATTGGAATCATATGTATTTAGTTTTTCTCCTCGTAGTTTTTTACAAAGACGAGATAAAAAAAAGCGTCCCCAAAAATCATCTTCCGATAACTATATAAAATATTAATTGTATAAGATTTTTTGAAAAGTATTGTTACTGGAGGAACATTTTCATTATAAATATGTTTAATTAATGGATGTTGTTGAAATATATCGTAAATTTTTTCTTTATTTAGGGATAGTTTGACTTTATTATCAATTGTCTGAGGTTTTATAGTAGTAAGAACATTGTATGGGCCTCGTTTTTGAGCTTTTTCGACTGCATATGTTCTTAACAGATGCTAAATTGAATTAAAATAACATGTATATATAATATATATGCGTATACTATTCGTGTACTCCAAAACTGTTCATTTGTAAGATTTCCTTTAATTACTGCCTCTGAAAATGTTTTCATTAATTCGTTATTGTTTTTGAGAAGAGATTGCTGTAAGTCAATATCCTGCTCAAAATCATCTCTAGTTAATATATCAGTAACAGACTGTTGAATATTATGCAAATATTTTCTTTTTGAATTCTTTTTTTGGATTTCTAATTTGAAATTATTGCAATCATCTTGAGCTTTTGATGATATAAATGTAAAAATATAAGATACTATTTCATTTTTTTGGTCTTTTTTAAAAATTTTTATCATTGCTCTAGGGCTTGTGATAGGTGTAGCCTGCAAATCTTATCTAGATTAGACCTGTATATCATTAATTTCTTTTGTTATACTTTTGATTGAATCCAAAGAAATAGATACAGTAGGCATTTGTTTTCCAAATTCTATCCATTCTATACTACTTTCCTTAAGAATAAGAATTCCTTGTTTATTAAATATATTTTCGTGTGAAGATTGCTTGTAAAACCTTTTATTTTTTTATATAATACTTCAAAAGTTCTTATATCCATTTTCAGATTTCCGCTAGATCGTTTAAAAATTATTTTATATTTGTCATAATATTAAGTTTATTTAATAAGAATTTACATACATGAACTAAAAAATAAAGGAATTATAAATTTCATAGCAATCTAATTCTAAACTATATGTAAAGTTATGTAAGTTTAAATTTTATATACATTATTTTATCCTATTTTTCTTCGTGGTCGTCGCCCTTTAATTTGTTTTTCTAAAACACATTCATCACAATACCACTCTCCTTGAGGTGGTTCTGGAAGACCAATACCTAATATTTATAAAAAAAAAATTATAATAAAATTTAAATTACATGGTAAATGAAACCATTCCCGTTGACATTTTTTCCCATCACATGCAACCATTTCTCCATATGAAATTTGATCGCAATAACAATATGTGGGTTCGTTTGGATATATTAAAATGTTAACTTTAAGTAATATGTAGTAAAAAGTAATAAACCTGGATTTGAGTTCTCTAACCTAAAATATTTAGTGTAAAAGAATAAAATTATTTAGAAATTTACTTTCTAATAAGTTCTCTTCTTGGTTGAAAATGTGATTGTTGATTTTGATCTTTTGATTTAAATTTTTCATATGTATTTCCTTTTTTCCTGTCTTTATCAGGAGTATTAGGCCTTGGAGGTGTTGTTCCTCCATTAATGTGAAGTGTTCTTTTTTTTCTTATTGGAGTAGAATTTTCACGATGATTTCCTTTGGAATTATTGGGAATATTAAGTTCCTCTGCAGTTGTTCTTCTAGTTGAGATTGTTTCTTTTCGATTTTCAGATTTAGAGACGTTTATATTTGATGAAAATGCTGGATGATTTGTCGATCCGAAACGAACAACAGGAGGCATTTCATTTTCTATAAGAGAGAAATCGGAATCAAGACGTTTAAGATGTTTTTTTATAATATCTCTAGCTGATGATGCGACTGAAATTTTTTCATCTGCATAAGGAATAATTTGTATAAGAAGTGAACGTAATCTAGAAATACATATTGATTTATTTTCTTGAAATGATTCTGTATTTGCTAAAAGATTAGAAATAGATGATGATATAAGATGTTCAAGATCTTAAATAAATAAGATTAAGGAATTTTTTTTTTTTCGTTTTTACTTGAAACTTTTGCGTCAACTTCTCGTAATAATGTAAAAATTCTTGTTAAATCTATAGGAAGCGCTTCAATTGCTATTAAATAAAATGAGCAATATTGATAAAAATAGTAATATTACCATCAATAAAATCATTTAAAGACGCATATGTTTCCCCATTATTGTGTAGAAATTTATTAGGTGCTTTCATGCAATTTTTTTTATTAAACACTAATTTGTAATTATACGTAAATTTATTGTTATGATTTTTAATTATATATTTAAAAATTTAGTGAGTATTAAATTTCTAATATAATATAAATATTATTATAAATAAAATATTAAATGAGTTAGATATTTTGATATTTGAAATATTTTTCTCTTAATAATTTTATAGTATTTTAAGATAGTATAAAGATAAATATATAATTGTTTTACACTAATTATTTGAAATTTGGTTAAACTCAAAGATGTAATATTATAATTTAAGAGTTATTTTTATTGAAAATTTTGGTATTTATTCTAATAATAAACGATTTTTTGGTATTAAGATTCAAGTTTTATAAATATTGTAACTAAAAATATAATTTAAGAAGGCAATAATGAACTTAACGTCTAATGATGCAAATTCATTAAATGGACTATAACAAAATATGATTTATAAAAATATACATTATATAGTAAATTAATTATTATATAATTTGTGATTGTTGTGTAATTAATGAGATATTAGAATTTAATATATTTAAAGATTTTTCTTTTTTTGTTCAAATTTTATATTTGCAATAATATATATTTGCAATAATATATATATTATTATTCATCATAGACTAGTAAAATTTCATGTGAACTTTTTGTTATTTAAATAATTGTTATAATATTTTTAAATTTACAGTTAGATAAATATCTTCGGGTTATATAAATTAAATTTGATTGTAATTAATAGATGATTTTTAGGGTATTAATCGAGTATTAATTTTAAAATACACTTAGGGATAAATTATATTTATAAAAAAAAAAATAATATAAAATCTAATAATGGTATTTGATGCAGCCAAACCTATCAAGAAAAATAAATCGTTTTCTTCAATGGAATTAGTTCTTGATGAAGAACGAAAAGAAATATTAAAGTTTCTAGAGACTCGTGAAATGCGATTATCGACGGGATTAAAGAATAAGTTAGAGTAAGTCCTAATGTTATATCATGTATTTAATTTTAGATGTTTTCTTGAAAACAATTTGGAAGTTGGGTTTAGATCTGATATTAATTTAAGTAATACGCTTAATGTATCATCTTTGCCTGAAGGGTATTTAAAAGTATCTTTAGATTGTTATTGTCTTATAAATAATAGTTCACGTTTTTTAAATGAAGTCAAATTCTGTTTTTATATGCTTGTTTTTGTTTTCTAATCATTTACTTTAGTCAAATTCTATTTTTACGAAATCTTCTAGTATTGAAAATGTGATGCAAAAGAGTTTAGATGATGTTTTTTTAGAAAAATTTGATCGTAATGATGTTATTGAATCTAATTCTCATGATGGAGAATGCTTTGATAATTATATAAGATCGGCATCACCATATTTAAATTCTACTGTTAATGAACTGGAGTCTTTGTCTCTTTCTAATGGTTTTGAAATTCAAGGTTTTAAGCTTTAAATTCTATTGTTTTTTGGTTTTTAAATTTTTAGGAAAAAAAAATCCAGTTAATCCGTTGAAAGATTCTTATCATTCTTCTATGTTACCATCTCGCGTTTCAAAAATTATAACAAATAAGATTCATACTTCTAAAAATGCTTCAAAATCTAAAGATTCTAACATTTTTTCGCAAACAAATATGAACTTTTCATTAGAACAAGAGATTGATGCTGATGAGGATAGAAGATCGCAAAATATGAAAATTGACATGGGAACTATTATTTTTACAGAAGATAGGACCATAAGGACTATAAAACGTGGAGAATATCCCTCATCTTTTAGTGAATCTAGAAGAATTCGTTCATATCTTGTTTCTATTGATTTAAGTTCTGAATCATTATATGCTTTAGAATGGGCTATTGGGACTATTGTACGCGATTATGATATTATGATGATTGTAGAAGCCATAGATAAAGATGATAAAGATGATAAGGGTATTTTAGAGTTAGAAAAAGAAAGATTAGCTGCGATGGAAGAGATATGTCAGATTACCCAAAAGCTACTAAAAAAGACAAAATTGATATTGCAAATTGAAATTGAAATAATTCATCATAAAACTCCTAAGCATTTATTAACAGAAATGGTACTTTTTTTTTTTTGAAATTGAGGTTTTAAATAAATTAGATCGATTATCTAGAGCCGACTCTTGTTATTCTTGGTAGTAGAGGATGTAGTTCATTAAAAGGGTTTTTTTTTTTTTTTTGTATTTGTATTAATTGTTATCTTAGAGTTATTTTAGGGTCATTTAGTAATTATATTGTCAATAAAGTATTTGGGTTTGTTTTAAAACTTTAAAAAGTTGATTATTGTGTAGTCAAGTGTTCCTGTTATGGTTGCTAGAAAAAAACCAAGAAAATCGAAGTCTAAGTATGCTGTCTTTGGCACAAATATTCGTATGGCAAATAATTTATTTACTAAGGTTTTTGATTTCATTTGGCTTCCATAACTAAATTGTTAATAGACTATTGTAGATTAAGGTTTAGTTTATATAAAGATCAAAGTTACTTAATCCTATTTGATATTTATCTTATTAAAATCTAAAATTAATGATTATATTAATACTCTGTTTACACAAACGCTTTAAATGTTTTAATGATAAAGAGAATATGTATGCGTCTAATATTAAGGCATAATTATTTATTGAAGGCATGCGCGAAAATTATATCAAATCTAATATTAAATTCTAATTTGAGTATTTGCTTTATTTATCTAATTTAGGATTAGTTAATATTTAAATTTACACAAAAATATTTACTAATGCTAATTTATGTAGTTGTTCTTTTTTTTGGAAAACAGAACTGGTTCCATTTATAACAGCAATTAGTTCTTGTGCTAAACGTTCTGAGAAGTTTTTACTATGTTGTTTATTACTGGCTTCAAGTATCCAGATTATTGCTTTTCTATGTCGCTGATGTTCATTTAAAGGAACTGGCACTTTTATAGATTTAGTTCCTTTTTTTATGAACACCTAATATTGTTAGAATAATATTTTATCACTAGATTTATAATATACAAGTTTCATTAAGGGAGAAACTGTTTTAATAGCTTTAGAAAGAACAAAATATGGATCTGCGTTTATTTTTTGTTTAATATATATAAGCGCGTTTTGAAGTTGTTTTTGTGCTTTTGTTTTTTTTCCATTTTTCATTATGATTCCAACGGTATGATTGAAAAGTTTATCGAATTTATTAAATTGTTCTATTTATGTAAGTGAATTGAAATAATATCAAATTTCTAGCTAGCCATTCAAATTTTGTGATTCATAGTTTTTTTCTGAAAAAAATAAATTATTTCTATCATTTAAGTTGGATGTTTGCTGATTTATATTTTCGGTAATTTTAGTTTTAGATTTGCTTTTAATAGATTCTTTTAAAGTCAAGTCTTCATATGCTTCCGTTTTTATTGGCAATGTTATTTTTTTCTTATGTATTTTTTCATATGTACTTATTTCTTTTTTATATAAAAATATGATTGAACTATTAAAATTATGAAATTTGATTATTTTATTTGTTATTGGATTAAAAAATCTAATAAAAATTATATTTTTATTTGATAATAAATATGTCATTTCTAGATTTTGGTATATATAATGTGGTTGTGTAGTTTTTATGATATTTTGAAAATTAGTTTGAATTTATTTCTATCGAAAGGATATACGCTTCGAAATTTTTAGATCTAATGGATATTTATTTGCTTTTGAAATTTGAGTTTTAGGGAAATGCTTATGTGTTTGAGTTTGTGTTAAATGTATTCATTTGAAGGTAACTATAAGTTGAAGCAAATTGTTAATCTTGGAGGAAAACAAAAAGAAAGTAAAGAGCTTTTATTGAAGAAAGTTGCGAATGATAGAAAAAAAAGAGACGATGAGCGTCGTAGACATAATGCTGCTGTTTTGTTGCAGGTTAGTACTTAATTTATATATTTTCATTAACGAAAAGAAGAAAATTATACGTTCTAGAATAGCTATGAAAAATGTTAAGGATATGTTTCGCCATGATTTTGATCACGATATTTTAGAATATAAATCTACCTTGAATTTTTCAGAAGATCTTTTCTTAAAAAATATTAGAAGATTGATATTTTTTTATCAATTAAAAAATGATTTTTACAGATTGTACGGAATTGTAGATATTATTTTAAGAGATATTGATTTTGGAAATATGGCTTTTTTTCGTGCTTTTCTTAGTATTTCTTCTTGGATTACATGTCGTTTTGGTTGTATTTTGATAGAAACTTTAAATTTTACTAGGTTTTTTTCTTATGGGTATTTATTATTTATTAATAAAATTATAGTGATATTATGTTTCATAAAAAAATTTTTGGGATTTTACCTGATCTTGCTTGTTCAAACGTTTTTTTAATTAGTTCTGGTTATTATAGAGAGCTTTGCCTTTATATTTGTAAAAATGTATGGTATTGAAAAATTATATTATTTATTTGATACATTTTCTAGGAAACATCTTTCACTCCTTCCCTTATGTCTCTTTTTTTCAGAACTATTATGAATCCTTTGAAACATTTTCACACGTCTGAATATTTAGTACAGAAAATAGTGTTATCTGAATTTATTGTGAATTTTTTTGTTTTAACTAAAAAATATGGTGACTTGTTGGATTCTGTGATACATCAACTTAAGCTTTTTTTTTCTAACATTATATTCTTGCGTATTATATTAGATATAAACTTTGATTGTTTTTTAGAACAAGAGCTTTTATGGATATTACATAATATATTGATATATGTAGTAGATTGGGATAAGATGCGATTAATTTTATCTTCTTTTGATGAAATAGTATGTATTTGTTGATAATAAGTTATTATTTTTGGTATAATATTATATAGGATTTATATACTCGCTGTGTTAGTGAAATTTTGATACAAATATTTAAAAAAATGAGAGTTTCTATGGAATCATATCATTGTGATAATAATTCTGATAATGAAAGTATTGATGATGTACAGTCGGTAACGAATTATAAAATTGTTTCCAAGAAGCTGTTTTTTGAATTAAATCTTTCTTTTATTTTTTCGATTGAGCATATTTCCAGAATCATTGCTTATGTTTCCCCCTCCACCGTTGTTAGTATTTCTAAATTATTTGTGATGTTGATGGAGATTTGGCCTTTTAAAAAATCAGAAATAATGACACAGCTTGTTATTATTTCTACTGATACTGATGAGCATAAAAATACAAATATTTTATTCGTATTATGGGAGAAAGTTAAAATAGATATAGTAGGACTTGAAATTATAGAAAATATAGATGTTTGTAAAAATAATCTTTTTTCTACGTGGAATGATGAATGGTATGCTATGCTTCTTTTATTTGAGCTATATTCTCGGATTTTAATGACTATGGTAATCTTTAATTTTATTTTATTTTATAAAATAATTTAATTTAAAGATTGACGATGAATTTATTGATCTTATGAAAAAAAATCTTGCTTTTTATGATATAAAGATTTTGGTTGATTTCTTGAAAGTATAATGTTATATAATTTAGTGATTTTTTTCTAATTTTTTAAAGAGATTGTCTTACGCACTTTATTGTTACAATGAATATTCAGAAACACAATTTCATGTTTATGATATAAATTGTCTTAATATTGTTCGCTTACGTAATGTTGTTACAAGATTGATACAACAGTTATTCATTCGGGAGTATTTTTTTCTTGATATTTATCTTTGTTACTGATTTTTAGCTCTCGGAAACAGTTTTTTCCACATGATTATTGGTTAATGACTAATCGATTTGATATGTCTATATTCATGTCTTTTGTTATTTCTGAAATGATAAAAAAATATGAGAATTATAATAATAAGCAATCGCTAAATTCTTTTTTTGAAAATGAAAGGGATAAAACTGTTTTTTCTATAAATATTTTGAGAGATTTTCCTTTTTATTTTCCTTTTTCTGTTAGAATGCATATATTAAGAAAATTAATTGATCATGATATGGAGAAATTTGGGCATTCTGATTCTTGGAATATAATAAATAGGTTTTATGTAACAATTAGACGGAATAATATATTTGATGATGGATTTGAATCATTGTATACTATTGGTAAGGATATTAAGAAGCCAATTAATATTGTTTTTATTGATCGGTATGGTTTACCTGAAGTTGGAATAGATGGTGGAGGTATAACAAAAGAGTTTTTAACATGGTAATATTATATTATATATATATATAAATATAATAGCTTTGTATAGTATCTGTAAACAAGCTCTCGATGTGAATTTTGGTTTATTTTATGAAACTTCTGAGCATCTGTTGTATCCTAATCCTCATTCATATGCTTGCGAATGTATAAATTTAAATTTTACTTTTATATAGCTGATTTCTTAGCATCTCAACTTCAATGTTTTGAGTTTTTGGGAAGATTGATTGGAAAATGTATATATGAGTCTGTTCTTCTTGATGTTACATTTGCTCCTTTTTTTTTGACAAGGATTTTAGGGAAAAAAAGTTATTGTAAGGTTTATTATAATATCGATCATTCTGAATTATAACTTTGTTTAGTGGATGATTTGGTAATATTAGATTTCGAATTATATAGAGGACTGGTAGTGTTTAATTTTTTTTATTTTTATTTTTTTAATGATAAGATGTTATTGAAACAATACACTGGTGATGTTCAAAATGATTTTTCTCTTAATTTTACTATTATTGAACAAGGTATCTAAATATTCATGATAATTTTTATTGAAACTTTGAACAATAGAGTTTGGGAAAACTACTACAATAGAATTAATACCTGGAGGTTCTGACATTTCCGTAACAAATACAAATCGTTTACAGTATATATATACAATGGCTGATTATCGACTTAATAAGGTTATTTCCAAGCAAAGTTGTGCTTTTGCTAAAGGATTGTTTGATATTATTGATATTAAATGGTTATCAATGTTTAGTAGTCAAGAATTACAGAAAATAATTGGAGGCTCATCTCTACCCATAGATATAGATGATTTACGTAGTAATTCTGTTTATGGAGGATTTCATGATGACGATCCTACTATTGAACTTTTTTGGAGCGTTCTTCGTGAATTTTCTGTTTTTGAACGTCAAGCATTTTTAAAGTTTGTTACTAGTGTATCAAGGCCACCTCTTTTAGGTTTTAAAGATTTAAAACCTTTATTTTGTATTCGTGATGGTGGAAATGATACTAATAGACTTCCCACTGCATCTACTTGTGTTAATCTTTTGATTCTTCCAAGGTATAGTGATAGGGCTACAATGAAAAGGTAACATAAAATATATATTTAATAATATTAATTTATTTGAAATAGTAAACTTTTATATGCTATCAATTTTTGTGCTGGTTTTGATCTTTCTTAATTTTTATTTTTTAATACACTATACAATATTAAAAATATATATTTATTCATAAAATATATTAATACTAATAGATTACTAAATAATGTTAATTCGGTAATTGTAGTATTATAATAAATGTTTAAATTTTAATATAAAATTGTATAACATTCTATATCTACTGTGTAACTATATGTAAAGAAATTATCTATACTATTAAAAATATATATTATATTTAACTTAATAGGCAAATAATTATTAAAATATAATTCTAATTTTTAAAATAAAAAACATTGTATTTCCACCAAATATGTTATTTCTATAAATAAACTCGAAATATTAATGTTAATATTTATATGTTTTAAAAACATTATAAGTTAATATTATTTAATAGATTTTTAAATTATGCAATTAAGCGAAATTGCTTTTTTAAAAAAAAAGATATAATGTTAAATATAGTTAATTTTTAAATTACATTAAAAATATTAATTTTCAAAATGATTATTTCAAATAACATGATAATATAATTTATCTATTTCTAATATTTTTGAATTACTAATTCAAAAAAAAAAAAAATAATAAAAATATTCATACATTACTATAAATCTATACAATTTTATTATATTATTTATATTATTTTCTAAATTCAATTTTTTTAATTATTGCATAAAAAAATAAAAATTTGAAAATTAAGATGTCTTATCAAAAAAAAATAAATTTTAATAACAATGAAAACATTTCTTTTATTAATATTAACAATGCAATATCTGAAAATGATTTTACAAAATTAAAAAAATATGGATCACAAGGCTATGGCTTTATAAATAATAACTTAAGAAAAAAAATATGTATTAACTCGATTTTTATATTTCATTATTTAATATTCTTATAGGGGAAATTCTTATATGTCCAGAAGATAAAAAATTAGAATCTAAAATCGATTGGAAATTATTACCAGTACATAAAGATGAAAACCAAGTCCAACTTGATGTCGATAGATCATTTATACACTATCCTAAAAGTTGGTCATACCATTTCATTATTAAAATCTAATATATAAGAGACCTTAGCTATCTTGATATTAAAAAAAAAAGAAATGAACTAAATTCATTGATCGTAGAGATTCTTCGAAAACATCCATATCTCAATTATTTTCAAGTAATAATTATATATATTAATACATTTTAACATATTTAGGGATATCATGATATTGCTCAAGTATTTTTGCTTTGTATAGGAAGAAAAAAAGCAGCAAGACCATTAGAATTTCTGTCGCTTACACGTATTCGTGGTAATATATAATTTTATTATTAAATTAATTCATTTATTTTTCAGATTTTTTCCTACCATCACTATCTCCTGTATTAGATCATCTTGAATTTATAAAATTAATTGTTCAAAAAAAAGATCATGAACTTGGAAAACATATTGCAAATGTTCCATCGCATTTTGCCTTAGCATCATATTTAACGTGGTTTTCTCATGAAATAAAACATCTTAAACATATTTTCGAAATATTCGATTTTATTTTATCTACTGATACTGCTATGGTCCTTTATATTTATGCTGCAGTAAGTCTTTTTTTTTTTTTTCTTTAAAATAATATTAATATAAGATTATTATCCAAAAAAAAAGTGAAATAATGATTATTGATAAGGGAGAGACTGATATTTTACATAAGTTTCTAAATAATTTATCTCAAGAGTGTCACTCAAAAGATATATTCCGAAAAAGTATATCTTTAAGGGAAGAAATATCTCTCTGTTCTTTGTCAAACTGGAAATATATCATGAAGTATAGTTTCTTAAATGATTCAGAAGAAAGATATAATCTAGAATATGCATCAAAATTATATTATATGGAAATAAATGAATTAAAAAAATTAAAATCACAGCAATATATATTTACTAAAAATATATTAAATAAAACTATATTAATAGCAACTGTAGCATTACTTAGTATTTCAATTGCATATCTCAAAAAAATTATTAAAAGCATGTAAACTAAAAACTTCATATAAATATTAGTTTTTTTTATATATATTTTTTAAATATTACTACAATAAAAATGTCATTATTATTAGATATGATCTTTAAAAAAATTTATATTTAATATTAAAAATAATCGTTATATTTATATATAAAATATATTAAAAGATTTTTTTCATTCATTTTTTTAAAAATGAATACGATAATTTATATCTTACATTAAAGTTATTATAATTCATATACAATAATATACAGAAAGATGTACTGAAACATAATTCAAACAATAGAGAAAACTATTGCATTCTCGATACCAAAATACGTCATTAATATAGAAATACATAGATAAAATGATAAACATTCTTATATTTAAAATCAATTCCTGATTTTTTTTTAAAGATACAAAAAAATTACATATTTCAAAAAAACTTAAAAATTAGAATTTAATATGTTTAACTTTTTACAATTCCATTGAAATAAAATAAATTAGCTATTATCATTAATCATTCATTTTATAATACTGCTTTCAATTTCAATTGACACTTAAAAAAAATAATACAAATAACATAATATATTATTTTATTTGTCTCACTAAAAGATTTCTTAATGTTTTTACATTATCATACTTTATTAAATTTCTTAACGTAACACATATTTTATAATTTTTTTCTAAAAAGCACAAAACAAATATCAAGAACAAAATTTAAATAAAATAAATTGGTACGATTCTTTTATCAATAAAATTGCAACATTATTATAGATTTTATATCAAGAATTATTTGTCGCTATCGCAAATATTTTTTAAAAAAAAAACAAGTCATTTATCTAAACTATCAGGATCCATCAAATAAATAGAAAATCTATAAAAAATAAAGACCTAGAAAAAAATCCTATATGAGATGATTTTTCATAAAATCCTTAAATAAATTATTTATTCTATCAATTGCTATGATTTTTTGGTTATCAACAGTGAACGAGCATTGGCATACATTATGGAACTTAAAAATTAAATTTTATAAGCTAAATTAAATTATCAACATATTATTCATAGGTTTTCAAGAATATATCAATATGCTTGTTATTTGAATAAAATAATAGGTAAACAATTGTCCATGCTTCGATTCGAAGCACTTGGATATCTATCAATAAAAAAAGGACATTTAGCTTTTGATTATGGCCAATAAAAATAATCTCTTAGAAATTTATCAGAGGAAAAAGTTATTCTAGAAATAATATATGAGAATAAAAAATTTCAATCTCATATAAAAGAACTAATATCATCTATTGAACAAAATATTCTATATTACGCATATCATGAAAAAAATTACTCAGATGGTATTTTTTATCTCACAAAAAAATACATTTAATATTAAACATTTAACTTCATTTATAGAAAATTTTAATTCTGAAATATTAAAATGTAGAAACAAAGAAAATACATTTATAATTACAAAAATAGAATGACAAGGACATATTTCGCATTTTCAAGATACTTATATAGCTATTTCATTATCATATATTCAAAACCTATATTTATTAATTCAAAAAAAAAAGTATATAAATTATTATGAAAAAAAAAAGACCAATATAACAAATTATACCGACATATACTAAGGCTAAAAATATAACAGAGTAATATAGAAAAATCAGAAATAATAAAATCATTATTATTTATAAATTTATTAATATTTTAAATAAGCGTTCTGGAATAAAAGATGAACACAAGATCTTTATATTACATATTCATATACTACATACAATCATATTATAGAACAAATAATTCAGAATTAAAATTTTCTATAAATGAAGTTAAATGTTTAATATTATATGACTTAGAAATAATTTCGAAGTATGAAATCGTCAAATGAAAATATTAAACAATGTATTATTTACAAATTAATTAAATTATATGACGCTATTTTACAAGTACAAAATTCAAAAGTTTATTGCTAAATATATATTTTATTTTTCATAAAACCTTAATACTATATCAGAGCTCTCAAAAATCACAAATGATTTAAGCTTTCATAAACAATAAAACTAGAAAAATACTATTTCAAATCTCAACGTCATCTTACAATTTCCATATCATATTTTTTACTTTTAGATTATGGATCAACTTTAGCGCTAACAATACGAGGCTATAATTATTTATCACAGATTTTTCTTTCAAATAATAAAAAAATAATTTTTATAAATACATACAAACTTATTAAAGTTAAAAAAAGACATAAATACAAAAACAAATAGATTCAGCTCATTTTCATGCTTAACTATTCCAGATTTTTTCAGAAAAGAACTATCATTAAAGGTTTTTGTTTACGATTTGATATTTATTGTTTTAATAAAACAAGAGTCTACTTTAGGAACAGCAGATAATAATCATTAGAAACCTAACTTATCTACACTTATAAATTTTCTTCCAAGATTAAAATCATCATTTTGTAAACCTTTTTTTTCGATATAACATATAATTATATAGATTATAAAGAACATACAGAACAATCAGTTAATAAAAGCATTTTTCTTGAAAACTTTTTAGGAAAATAAGGGAACTTTAAATTTATAACTTATGATATATACCTTAAATTATTACTAATTCAGGAATTCAATGAATTCAGTTTATTTACATAATTCAATCTTATATGTAAAATATATTCCGTAAAAATTATTTTATAAATATCTTTAAAACTATTGCATAAATATCAAATTGATTTTCTTAAAAAAGCTTTCAAAAATAAAACATCTTTAATTATTACTAAAAAACATTTGACCAATGTCAATTTATTCAAACAAATTAAACATTATTTTATGCATAAAAACTTTTCTGACTGTTAAAACATTATTTTTAAATTTGAACATGATCAATTATATATCATTACTAATATCTACAGAAATAATTTTTATTTTTAAAAACCTAAAAACTATATTACATAACTTATGAATTAATCATTTAAAACATATTAAATGACATTACACCATTATATCAGTAGTTTTTTCCAAAAGCAAACCAATTCTTTTGTCAAATCTCTGTTGTCCTTTTTTTGCTACTTATGTCATTATTTTATATCTTTTTAAGCTATTTTTAACTCATAAACATTTTTCCTCTTAAATATCTACTATTTTTCTTTCTAAAATAATGCGACATTATTTTTTATTTAAAAAGATAAATCATTTTTATATTTATTACTTATTTGATTTGCAAAAAACAAGAATTGAGTAACATCAGAAGGTAAACAGTATTTTTTAGACAATTCATACTTTTTTAAACCTTTTTGCTTACATTCTTTCAAGAAACATTTTTTTTGTTTATTCAATTGAGCTATATATATATTACTATTTCTTAAGTTTTCCTTTATAAGAATACTCATAAATACATTTTATTTTTGCTGAGTTACGTCTAACTCTATTGACCTGATAAATCATTTTTCATAATTTCTTAAACTTTACTAGGATAAATTTTATATCTAAAATATAAATAAAAAAAAGTCCTAACAATTTCTAATTCATATATAATTAAAAACCAACTTAAAACAACAACATTAATTATGTATTAACATTTTTTAAATAGTTAAATATATACAAGTTATTTTCAAAATAACATATTTTTTCATTGTTAATATGTTAAAATGTATAATCTAATCATCAGAAGAAAGCTTTCATTTAAAATATTTCTATATAAAAAAACATTTCAAAAAAAAATAAAAATATAAAGGTATATAACTTTTTAAAAAAATACATGAATTTCAATCGGCTCGTGCACAAATATAATGTTTTCCAAGTTAAAATTAAAAATATCGAAATAAGCTATGTATTTACTGATCAATACTAGTTCTTTAAAATTATTAATATGAGAGTTTTATTGAAATATATTTACCTAAAAATAAAAACAAATAGATAAGTGATAATATCTGCTCCAAGATTTCAAAATTTTATAGATATTCCAAGATATTTTAAATCATAATATATTACTAATCCAATATCCAGAATAAGTCCAATTTTTTTAATTTTTTTTTTTTTATAAATCAATGTCAAACCTACGTTTAAATAAAGGAACAATATCTTTCCCTCCTATATACCTTGATTCTTTTATTGTTTGGTCCATTATTTATTATTTATAAATAACAAGATCAGAATACCAATACGTTGAACAGCATTATTAAAAAACAACCACAATTTTTAATATTTAAGTATAATATTTCTTTAATCATCTATTCAAAGACGCATATTTGCAATGAGAACTTTTGACAAAATAGGCTCATAAACTCTTACCTAAAATCTAAGTATTTATTAAATAAATAATATGGATCTTACAAAAGTATATATTTTTGAAGATTTTACATGTTTTTTAAATTCATTAATAAACATTTCACTCTGAAGAAAAAATAAGCAGTATAGAATCCTTATGCTAAATCTTATAAGATAATGAAAAAAAATAACATCAAGAAACATTAAGTCTATTAAAGTCATTAGCTTCAATAAAAAAAAAGAAATTAAACACCTACAGAAACTACACAGTTCATTAATTCCTTACATATTTCAAGATTCTTCAAAATTAATCACCTATAAAGACAAAAATAAAAACATGCCGGTAACCAGAGAAAATACTAACGTTGAAAAAAAACTGGTAGAATGCTGTCAAAATCATTTTTAAAGTTGCAGAAAGAATTTCCGAATAACTTAATTAAAACCGATACTATTGATAAAAAAACATTAATATAAAATAATATCAAAATGCCTCAAATTCCATATATACAGTAAGCATCACCCTTTGAAAAGCTTTCTAAGTGTCATTAAATTTCTAATTTATATATAGTTTCCAAAAAAAACAAACAGAAAAAGTCGATTGGGTTGAACCATTGAAAAAATTTATTCAGGCTACATCTATTGATGAAAATCAATATATCAATGTGATTTTATATTCTCTTATTGGAAAAAACGCACTTATATTTAGGAATGTAATATTCTTAATAAATTACGTCAAGATATTCAAGAAGAAAACATGGATATAATAAACCTAAATATGCTTTATAAGTATATCTCAATATATAGTATTTTATCATTTTATTAATTAGGGCTACCAGATACTACGGGCAACTTGAATTTTTAAGTCTTAGATTTCCTATAGATGAAAAGAATATACGAATTTTATTTACATGGTAATAATAGTTAGATATTTTATTTAGTATCATATAATTATAAAGGTATTGCGCATTTACGAATACAGCCATATCGCAATATTCATTAGCATACGAAAAGGCATGTGTTATGTTTAATATTGCAGCAACACTTTCTACAATAGGAACAACACGAGACAGATCAAAAGAAGATGAAATCAAAAAAGCATATCATTATTTCCAATCATCAGCTGGAATATTTGAGTTTATAAACACAAATTTTTTGCATGCCCCAAGTTTTGATTTAGAAAAAGATAATATACAATCTTTATGTGAAATTATGCTTGCTCAAGCTCAAGAAGTCCTCTGTGAGAAACAAATAAATGAATCAAAAAAACCTAGTATAATATCCAAGCTTTGTGCACAAACAGCTTGGTACTACGAAAATATTATAAGCAAAATTTCTAAAAATGTTCAAAAAAAAATTTTTAAAAAATATTGGTTACAACTTTGCGAAGTACGTTTTTGCTTTATTCTAACTAAATGTTAATAATATCAGATAAAACAAAAGTATTACAGTTCTATAGCACATTTAAATAAAGCTCTAGTTGATGAAGGGAATAATAAGTATGGAGAGGCTTTAGCACATTTAGCAATAGCAAATACACAATGTCGTGAAGCTTCTAAACTTTCGTTATCTTTACTTTTGTCAATATCTACTTCTGATAAACTGATGTTTGATCCAATGTCGTATTTTAATAATATAATTAAGAATCTCTCCATGCAGATACAAGAAAAAAAAAATAAATTAAATCACGATAATGATTATATATATTACCAATCTATCGTTAGCGAAGAATCACTTAAACCTCTTGAAAGACTTTCAATGGCAAAAGCAACTCCTATCCAAGAAATATATGTCAATCAAAATATACAAGAATTAATTGGGCAAGATATTTTCTATAAGTTTATACCAATATCTATTCATGAAAGCGTCTCATTGTATTCAGAAGAAAAGGCGAAACTAATTAGAAAAGAATTAGAAAGATGTGAAACTGCAGATTTAGAATTGGATATAGCGTTAAGTCATTTAAAATTACCTGATTCTTTAAAACATTATAAATATAATGATTCGATAATAGTGAAAGAATTATCAAAAGTTCCCGAAGAAATTATTGAGTTATCAAAATCTATACTTGATCAAGAGAAGGACTGTGAAGTTTTATCACTTATTAACAGTCTTTTAAATCTGAAAGAAAAAATAAATTTAGATCTAAATGAAGTTGAATTTATTATGAATGAAGAAGAACAAGAATGTGAAACAATGAGGGTAATATCTATTATTTTTATTATTAATTACTGATATACACTAGGAAAAATATTTACGTAAATGGTCACAGATTCCATCTAGCTCATTGACTTTATTAATGAAAAAACAATTGTCCTTATATAGAGAAAATCTTTCCTCATATGCTGATTTACATTCGCAATTAATATCTGAGTATAATTCTTTTGCACATCAAATAGCTACATTAATTGAAGGAGAAAAAAATATTCAAAAAAATTATGAACGAGAAATTGAAAAAGCTATTCAAAGCTCTCAAACAAACCTTTTGGATTTCGATGATTCTAATGATATTCAAAATGAAGTAAATAAAATAGAAAATATATTAAAAAAATTAAGTATTATTAAAAGGGAACGACAAGCAACTTTAAAGGATTTAAAAGAAAAAGTACAATAATTTACAATACAAATATTTGACTAAATTTATATATCTAGATATGCAATGATGACATTTCAAACATATTAATTTTAAAAAAAGCAAAATCAGACACAGAAAAACAAATTTTTTTATCAGAGCTTGAAAAATTTAAGCTCCATGAAACCAGACTGTCTGAAACTATTTATCATCAAGCTCAAATACTTCGAAACCTTACTTTAGATTTCGAAAATTTACAATCTATTTCATCAAAGTCACCTATTATTCAAAAATGGACCAAAATGACTGAAACAAATAAAAGTATTTCAAATAATTTTAAAGAAACATATAAAAAATACTGTAATATAAGATCTAGAATTTTGTAAAATCCAACAATATTGTTTTTATATCACTAATATTATAGAGACATAATTTCATCCTATAAGGAACTAAAAAACCTTTCCAGTTTACTTTTACTAAATACTAAAAAATTTGTAGATGATCGAAGACATGAAGGAGCAAACATTTTGTTTCATATAAAAGCTACATCTTAAGAAAAAATATGTAAAAGTTATATAAAAATTTAATATACAAGATAAAATATAACTAGAAATACAATTGATATTATTTAAATATAAACTGATAACTTTATTTAAATGCACTTATCTATTAATGATGCAGATAGTTCTCACAAAAAACATTCATCCAAATAATACTTAAAGCTGTTGTCATTAGATTTTACCAGGATTTTACATATGATAATGTTACTAGAAATGATAAGTGACCCAGCAAGCAGTGCAGCAAATTTAACACTTTTAAATATAAACCATTTTGCAATGAAATGAAATATTGCAATATAATATATCTATAAAATTATTTCATAAATACTTATCGTATGAATTATTTCATAAAATATTAATATATTTTTGTAGAAAATTACAGATATGATATGCTTCATAAAATTTTATAGTTGCTGAAATCAATATCCATGTCTCAAAAAGTCATGCTCCTAAGAAATTTACTAGTTATATAAATAATAATTATTTATAATGATACATATTTACTTTGATCGCAAATAGCACTGTATACACGTTTTGTTAACTTCAAACTAATATATGTTTGAATTGTATTAAAAAAAGCAATTATAAATATAATAAGATTCCATTTTGGCAGGTATCCTTCCGGTAGTCTATCTAGCATTATTTTTGCCTAATTTTTAATTTTTTGCCGATAATATTTAGCATCAAATCTAGTAATTCAAAAAGATCTCTATTTCTTAAAAGATTCAAATACTGATAGTGACCCTTTTATTTATATAGATTCTAAAGAGGATAGAATAGAAACTATTTCAAAAAAAATAAATACATATGCTAGTAATGAAAGGTATTTCATATAATAATTAAACTCAGAGTTTTTAATCTAATATATAGAAATTCTTGTATAAATACTCTAGAAGAGCCCATTTACGTGACAATTGTATTTTAGAATCTATCATGTTATAAACTAATATATATAAAGTATAATAGTGTTAAAATAATAGGCATCATAACAAAATATATGCTACTTCCTCATAAAGATTGCAATATCTTACGCAACTGTATCTATTTTTTTCAATAATATCATTCATTCATTTAACTATTTTAAAGGATTTATGAGGTCAATTTATTTTTCGTTTTACTTTTTTTTTATGTTTATCATTGGAAACATCAAAAAACGAATCAATCAATGTTTTTACAGGAATTTTCTGTATTATCTAGGTAGGAAAATTGGTTATCACTTTAAATCCCAAGCTTTTAAAAGTTCCAATGTATATTTTTTGAAATTTACAAATGAGACATTAAAAGAAATAGATCACTGTTTCAATCAATATGTATTCTTGAATATTCTTTATTTCCTTTTGTAATTTGTACTATATTTGTATCTCTCGAACTTTTTATTTTTCGTCATTAATATATACCAGAATCTTTTTATGCAAACTATCGTTATCAAGTTTATTCTAATCATTTTTGCATATATCTGGTCAACTTATGGTTTGCTTATCTTTTATAATTATTTTTTTCTAAATACTTATAACATCACTTAACGTTATAAATGATATTTCTCATCAAAAAAATTGTTATTTATCTTCTTTTACTCTACTATTTTTGTATTATATTTCTTTTTATATTTTACTCATTAAAAATTAATAATAGCATGGATAATTTTTTTGCAATTCATATAATTTTGTATCTCAAAAAAACATAATTATTAATTCATATACTTTTGTATTTTATCCTAATATATTATTTCCTATTATATTCAAAGACCCTTCTATCAATTTCTATATTATTATAAAGTTTAATAATTTTAAGCTAAAAAACTATTCAAAATTAAATATATTTAAATTGAATCTTATACAATTATTTTTTAAAATTAGAAATAATAAACATTATAATAATAGAAACTATTTTTAAAAATACTAAAGCTATAACTGTTGAAATTATAAAAATTACAACAATTATTTAACAATATCTTTGAATGTTTTATATCAAATCCTCAGATAATAGAAATTAAAATCATATCAAGACATTAAAAATATTAATTACTAGAAATCAAAAGATAGATACTAAATTATTAATTAGACTTCATCTACCAAAATGATTCTTAAAAATAAAACTACATTATAATATTATTAAAACATAAAATTTCACTAGTCATAAATAGGACTTTTCAAAACCATATATAATAATTTTACTATATATAGATATTCTAAAGAAATATTTCTATCATTGCATCTTAAAGCAAATACGAAATAAAAACAAAAAAAATCATGAAAAAAATATAGAAAACAAATTACATAACTATTTATATTTCTAAAAAAACCAAGGATTCATTGCTTTATTAAACTATTTAGTTTTTAAAACTATATATCAGAATTAATGGTTAATAAATCTAAGCTTATGTATAAAATAGAATTTATTTATATTTTTAAAATTCAAAGTCAAATAAACTCCACTAATTAAATAAACTAAACGGAATCTTTACAGTTAGAAAAATATAGTTTTTTCTATTTCAATATTTTTCAGAATCATATTGAATACTTTTTAATAAATATTCTACATATTTAAAATAAATCCTTAATTCTTTAGTAACGATATAATGTAAATTATGACTCATATTTCTATTCAAATGAAGACTTTTTTATTTAGATATATTTTAAAATATAAGATTAAACAAATAAATAATAAAATCTACCTTTTTTTTTTTTAATAAAATTATAAAAAATCTATAGCATAGTTATATCATAAAAATATGAACCAAATAAGTGAAATTCAAGAATGTAAATAACATCTAATAAAAATTATTCCCAATAAAACTATATATTAATATATGTTAACATCATTATCAAAAATCAACTTAAAATTAAAAAAAAAAACACACATAATTCATTTGATTTATAATAAAAACTTTTTTTTTTATTTTTAAATTACCAATTTTACATTTAATAACTTTTAATTACAAAAATCTAAAAATATTTTTTAATAATAAAAAAATTCATTTGCCCAGAAAATAATCAAACAATTAGTAAAATCAAAAGTAAATCTCATTATTCATTTAAAAAAACAAATATACTCAAAAAACTTATTTTTCCAAGAAAACATTCTTTAAAATTCAAACTTGAAATTAAAAAAATATTCTAAATCAAAATCTTTAATATAAAAACAATAAACTACATCTCTTTAAATATATAATTTATTTCAAATATTTTTCTTTTTCTATAACACTCTCATTGATTTTAATAAGTATCACTGTTCTATTAGGAAATCCCTGTGTTGGAACAGAATGCGCTGTTACTTTCGAAGGCTATAAATGTTAAACTAAAAACCCTTATATATATTATAAATTTCTCATACAAACTGCGATCCATCCATAATAGCTTCCACAATACCTGCAACAAATGCCGCACAATCAAAATAAGCCATTTCTTTTGGCACCGATATATATTTATTCACCATAGGCTCATTATCTACAATCATATCTATCATTTTAATTATTATTCAATATCTAACAAAAACCTACATTCATCCTCATTTTCCTTGCTCTTTTCAAGAGCGTCTGCTTGTTTATTAAAAAGTGCTTTCCATACATTTGAAAAAATAAACTGTAAAATTCCTAAAATTCTTATTTCTCTTTTATATTTCTTCTCTCGCCAACTAATTAACTCCAATAATTTCTGTCCAACTCTATATCCCTGAATATTAAGTCTATTCATCCTTAAATAAAAAAAACTCCTTTTTTTCCTTAAAAACATTACCTCTTTTCTAATTCATAAATTCCTTGAACTCTTTTTTGTGTATACCTAACTATTTCGCCAAATAAAAATGAAAATGCTGCCTGGCTTATTTCTGTCCCTTTTATACGGTTCAAATTACGCTCAAAGATAGATGTTTTTTTATATGTAGATATCTTAGAAGATCCTGATGACATTAATATAATCTAATCGATAATATATTATAAAATAACATATATTATTCTATAATTTGCAAGGCTTTTAAAATAAATCTAAATATTTATAAAAAATCACTCAAAATAATCTATAAAAACCTTAATCCATTTAAATTAAAGCTCGATGACACGTATTATCTATTAAGAATTTATATAACGCGTATTTAATTTTGTTAGAACACGAAGGTTGAAAAAAAAATTTATGATTTGAATATATAAGTTAAAGTCAGTTTATGTAAAGATATTAAGAAATATGGAGAAAAAACTTGAGAAGATAGCTTGTAGGTTTTTTCAGAAGAATAATTACTTAAATAACGAATGATTAGTGAAAATTCTATATTCTTTTGATGAAAAACATCAGATGACATGTTTGGCATGGCATGAGAATCCTATTTCAGTAGAAATAATATCTTTGGATAATATTTGTGAGAAAAAGATTGGAATAGTTAGTTTAAAAACATGTGTATTAACGATTATTGGAAAAAGGTGGTTGATATTATATATTATTAAATAATTTAATAATGTATTTTAAAGTCCAGAACTTGTATTGCAAAAAGATTATGATTTTACTATTTATACATTGGATCCAGCTGAGGATAAAGAAGTGTTTTCAGGGCAAGGAATGTTAAGTTGGATTTTAAATGTATCATTACAAACAAAAAATAATAATAAAAATGTTTCTGGACGTATTATAGGTTCAAAGGAAAGGAATAAGGAGGAAAAAACTATTCTAGAGGTGGTGATACGTTTGTCAAAAGTACCATCTACATCAGAAACTAATTTATTGAATACGATACAAAATCTTCATTTTCTTCATAGTCCATATAATACATTTGTTTTAGGAAATTCTGAAATGGTTTCATCCGAGGTTTGTGAAAAAAATAGGCAGTTATTTTTTGAGCCTCCTATTTATTTATGTAATTCATCATTAAAATCCATAAACGAATCACAAAACATCCTTCAAAAACGGCAAAAAGCAGCGCCTGATGTATTGCAGTCATCTATATTTCCGAATTTTGAAAATTTTCCTAATACAGAAACATTTAAACCATTTGCTCAAGCATCCTTTTTGGAGCAATTGTCTTCTCCAACTAGCGAATCTCTATCACCTCAAATATTATCATCATCATCATCATCACCGCAATATCTGCAACTTCCTCCATCATCACCACCTATATTTTCATATGGAAATCAAGTATCATATCCTTTATCTGAACCATCTCTTCCTCTTCCTGATTTCGAAACATCATATATGGAAGGAGCATCTAATTTTCAAAAACCTATGAATTGTCTACATCTTTCTCAGCTAGAAATGAATATGCTTCCTGCAGAAGCTAAAAAAAATATTGAAAATGAAAAGTCATCAGAAAATCATATAAAAATATTTAAATCATCCTCAGAAGAAAATTCATCCACTACTCAGGAATTGAAGAATAATGAAATATCTGATGATGAATTACCTGAACGAAAAAAACTAAATGAAGCAGTGCGAGCAGCACAGCTTGCTTTAGAAGGTTTTTCAGTAATAAGATTAGCTGATAATAAGGTGCAAAGAAACGATAAAATAGCAGTAAATTTATCAGAAGTACATGGTAATTATAGCATAGTATTGATTCTTTAAATACTAAGAATTTTGTAGATGAAAGTAAAAACAATGGAGATAAAACATTAAAACAGTCTGGAAAAAAAATATCTAATGCTCTTCGTGTAGAAATGAATCTTTTAAAATGCATTCAAGAAGGTATTTTTGTTTACATATATATTGAATTATTTAAATTGTATAGGAAAAATTCCTAATTATTGTAATAATTGTGGAACTATAAAGACTGTAAGTTGGAGAAGAGTCAAAACAACAGATGACAGACCAGAGGAAACTCTTTGTAACCGTACGGCAGTGTCATTATTTTATATTAAATTAACTATTTCTAGCATGTGGAGTTTGGTGGTCAAGTCATAAATCTATGCGCCCATCTCATCTTTGGCGTGAAGAAACAATAACTTTAGATTTTCATAATGTTTCAGATGCTTTATATTCAAAAAAAACAAAAAAAAGGGTTTCATGTATCAATAAAAATAATGAAAATTTAGGCATTAAAACTAAAAAAAAACATCCGGAGAACAGAACTACCTTAAAAAAGCAACGGAACTCATTATTCCAGGATAGAATAATACAATCTTCTCCCCCTAAATTCACTTCTCAAGAAGTAATTACACGGGAACCTTTTTCTGAATTAAATAATAAAGATAATTGGCTTTATCTTCCAAAAAAATCTATATCATCTACTATGGATAATAATGAAAAAGAGATCTTAAAATCATTTAATGATCAAGAAAATAAGAGCTTTGATGAACATTCTTTTGAAAAGATTCTCGACATTTCAACTGGTAGTCAGAGTAATCATGCTAAAACTACTCCTAGAAAAGTCAAAAATGTTTCATCAAATCTGAGTCCATGGAAATCTACAATTTTCCATCCTCAATCAAATATAGAAATAATAGACACATTTATAGAAACGCAGAAGGATTACGAATCTTCTGCAGGTCAGTATCAAGCTCTTGATTCAATATTTCTTGAAAACGATTTAATCAATACAACAGTTTTTGCATCATCTACTTTTTTAAAAGTACCAACTAATAAATCCAGCTCAAAAATTTCATGTATGAAAGACGTAAATTTAAAAAAATCACATGGGACGGATACATTATTTCCTGACTTATTTACATCTAATAAAGATACACAGGATCCTGCTAATGATATTTGGTCTAAAAACCCTAGTTCTCCTAGCTCCGATAAATATAAATACTGATAACATGTTTTTTTAGGAAATATGAAAAAACTTTATTACAGCGATTTTTTTTAAAAAATACAATACAAAAGCAATATTCAATACTTTATTGCCTTTTAGATATATTATGGATTTGTATTCTAATTATAATCAGATATATTCATAAATGAATATAACTAAAATGTTTTTGTTATGGAATAATGATGGAAATAAATATATAAATATTGTAATATTTATAATAGCATGTATAGCACTAAAAATTAAAATGTTATAAAATAATTAGTAAATTAATGTATGAACTAATTCATATCAGTAAAACTTGAATAAATTGTATTAATAAACTTTAAATTATCTTTTGCATTATTAGATTTGCATAAAGTTCAAATATGCCTAATTATAAAAATAAAAAAATAACAGATCTTATTTAAATTATGAACAAATATTAGCAATTTAAATAATATTAGATAAATTAACATTACAAATTAATACTTTATTAATAAAATTAAACATCATTATTATCTTTTTAATATATCATAATTTAGAATTTAATAAACATATATTATTTTCATTAATTATATAATATAAAATAATCATTTTTATAATTTGCTATATATTTTAAACTTTAAAAAAAATTAACTAATATCAATTATAACTTATCATCTTGTTAAAACTATAGTGACTTGTAAAATATAAAAATAATAACTATTAATATTAAATTTTTTCATTCTTAACTATACCTAAATAACAATTATTATTAAAAATATAAAACAAATATCATTAAAATATATTTCAAATTAAAAAGAAAATTCAAATAAGCCCAATCATAATAAAAATATCATCATTTATATTGTTAAAATATTTTATAAAATTAATTTTCCAATATCAATCCATAGTGAATAATAAATTTCCCTAAGTATATATAATATATATTGAAATATACCAATACTATTATTAATAAAAACAGATACATATGTTTCGGAGAATTATTTACTTTTTTAAAAAATAAAATTTATCTTATATAAAACTATTTTACTCTTATAAACAAATTTTTACTAATTTTACAAACATAAATTAAAATATTCAACATAATACTGATTACATCAAGTTTTATTTTATTTTCACAAAAAAGTAATTTCCAATACTCTAAAAATATAGTACTAATAAATACAAATCATATTGTATCATTGATAATTTTAAATTCTTTTCTTATATAATATACCCTATTTTTCATAACTTCAAAATGATTTTTCTAAAAAATATATAATTTCTATACAACATATATCTATTTATTCTAGTTATTTCTTTGACAAAACTTTTAAAATTATACACATAAATTATACTATTATTCTTTAATCCTAAAATATTTTTTAAAAATTATATCTTTTATTATTTAAAGATAATTTTAACAATTTTTAGATTGAGATTAAAACCACATATAATAAAGAATAGAATTAATATTTAAATCTTTAATTATAACTCATTTAACTAAATTATGATTTTCATATCTTTTTAAAAAATCATAAATAAAACAAAACTCAAACAATTTCTTACAAAATAAAATAATTTTATTTTTTTAATCATATATTCATTTTAGCTTATTCAAACCATCTAATTGTAAAATTTCATAAAAATAAGAAAATAAAAAAATCATAATAGGAAAAATTCTATTATAAATATAATATTTTTTAAAGACTTAATTTACGGCATCAATTTTATTTTAAAATATATGAAATAATTTAATAAAATATATAATTAAAAAAACAAATAATAACAAACATGAAAACTATATGCAAAAATTATCCACCTTTTCTTGATAAAAATCAACAAGATTTTTTAATTTCAGAATTAATGGATTATATTCAAGTTCATGGAATTAATATTCGTATAACACATTCAGAACAAGACAAAAAACATTTTTTCAACCATCAAAATGTTCCACTAACTCTTTTTCCATCTTTATTTCCATCAATTGCTTTTAAAAAAGCAAAAGCAATTCAATGTGATTTTAATAAACTTTATGCATTTGTTGCAAATGACGAAGAATTTATGTGTCAAGTTATGGAAAAGTAATACATCTATTTTAATAAACACATTTTTTATACAACTAGTCTTGTTAATATTGATGATTTTATAAAAAAATTATGGGACATACATTTAGAGGTCAAAAAGAAAGGAATCGTACAAGTAACAATTATTTAAAAACCATATATGTACTTAAAAAGTATAGCCAATATCATTAGGAATTTTTAGATCAGATTATCTTCTTGAAGCTACACAAAACTCATCACCTCAGTTGAAGCAAGTAGAATTTAATACAATAGCATCTTCTATGGGTTCATTCTCATCTAAAATATCAGAAATGCATAAGTAAATAAATATCATTCTAATCTTTTATCTATTGATTTAAAAGATATCTAAACAGTATTGGTGCTTATGGATCATGTATATTGAAAGAAGAAAATTTTCCGAAAAACGATTCTATTAAATTGCTTACAGAAGGACTGGCCAATGCAAATAGGTTATATGGAGAAAAAAATACTAAAATTCTTTTTATTGTTGAGCCTCATGATTCATTTATTCTTGATCAACGATGCCTTGAATATGAGTTATTTCAAGTGTTAGAAATTTAAAATATTAATTCATATAATTGATTATAACTAGTCACGGGATACAAGCTTATCGTGTATTCCTGCACTCAATTTTAGACTTTATAGAGCTTCGCCAAAATGACAAAGCTTTGCTTTTCAAATCGCCTAACTCAAAAATTGAAGAAATATCTGTAGTATATTTTCGGACAGGATATTCACCAAATCATTACCCATCATCTATTGAATGGTCTGCACGTTTATTAATCGAAGAAAGTCGTGCTATTAAATGCCCTACTGTTATAACACAATTGGCAGGTTGTAAAAAAGTTCAACAAATTCTTTGTAAAAAAAATATCATAAATAAGTAATTTTCCAAATCATAAAATGCACTAATATTTTCTAGATTTCTTCCAGAAAATATATCAAAATCATTGAAAGAAACATTTGTCTCTATTTATGCACTAAATAGAGACTTATCAGGTCAGGAAGCCTATCGCTTACTCATGAATAACCCTCAAAATTACATCTTAAAACCTCAAAGGGAAGGCGGAGGAAATAATATTTATGGATTAAATATACCAACCTTTTTAAAAACAATTCCGGAATCCCAAAGAGAACAATATATCCTCATGGAGATGATTCATCCACTTTTACAGACAAACACAATTATTCAAAATAACGAATTACATCATACTAATGTTATTAATGAATTAGGTATATATGGTGTTATTTTATGGAATAAAAATGGAGAGATCTATCATAATAAAGAATCAGGCTATCTTCTAAGGACAAAAGATAAAGATAAAAATGAAGGAGGCGTGATGATCGGCTGCTCATCAATAGATTCATGTGTTTTAGTTCCTTAATAAGCAAAAACCACAAAAATGCCAAATAAAATAATAATAAAAAGAATAACAATATTACTTAATAAACTTAAAAACAATATAGACAAAATATAATCAAAAAAAAAGTATTTATATTACTTAAACGCCATCACACTCTTAGAGCTACTTCAAAAATCACATTTTTACGCCATTATACTAAACTTTACATATAAAAAAATAAATTCTTTGACCTAACTTTTTTTACAAACCAGTTTCGGTAATTCTAAACTGATCTAGGTTAGGGCACATAAAGTAAAAACTCCTTCAAGTAACAACTATTGTAAACACTTCAACTATCTTACTATGAATAGCCTAATACTGCAAAAATAAGTTCATTATCGTAATGACTTTTATAAAATTTTCTTTACTAAAAATATGTAGGAAAAATTGATGAATTCAATTAACTTTTTTTGTATAATAAATCTTAGTCAAAATCAGCCTTAAAAGAAAACATATACATTTATAGAAAAAAAAATACAATTTTAACAGTAAGATATTAAATATATTAAAATATCTACACATCTATTTTTTATAACTATTTAAGATGGGAGAAGTGTTTTATATCTTTTTTTGCTTGATTGGATTTTTATGTTCAATTATACCTTCTATCTGGCACTGGAAATATCGAAATGTCGCGCCTTTATGTCTTATTTTTTGGATATCTTCAACTAATTTAATATATTTCATTAATTCTATCATCTGGTTTAACGGATCTAAATCAACATATCGTGGTGATCTATATTGTGACATTGTGACTAAGCTTATACTCGGATCGGTTACTGGAGAATTAGGTGCTACTGTTGCTATTACACATTACCTTTCGAAAATTATGAAGTCTTCATATTCATCTATCCAGTCTAAAATAACTCGTAGAAATCAAGCAATAGAAGATATTCTTTTTAGTTTTACATGTCCTATTATAATAATGTCTTTACATTATATCGTTCAGCCAGCAAGGTATGTAATCGATGGAATTAGTGGATGCATGCCATGGACGGATCGATCATGGCTAGCTGTGATTATTGTTTTATTATGGCCTCCTGTATTTGGTAGTATCAGTGCTTACTATTCAGGTATATTCTTCGTATGATTTATAATAAATGTATTCATTTTATTAGTTAAAGTAATTATTTCATACTTCAAAAAGCGAAATGAATTTCAAACTATTTTAAAAGATTCAAAATCGTCTATGACTTTATCAAGATTCATACGTCTTATAGGCTTATCATCTCTAATAATAGCCATTTACTTGCCACTTAATATTTACTTGTTAGCTATAAACATAGCCCAGATTATTAAAAGCAACATCAAATATTCATGGTCAGATGTTCATAATTGGAATTCTAGTATTTTTTATCTTCCAAAAAGCAACATGCCTTTCAATCGCTGGCTTTCGCCATCTAATGGCATTATTGTTTTTATCTTTTTTGGTATGGGTAATGATGCAATACTCATGTATAAAGAAATAGCAAGAAAATTGTACATTACTCAATTTTTCCATTTTGTCCAAAAGAAAATTTTCAAAAAAAAAACAGAAGATAACAAAAATTCACAGGATTATTATAATAGCTATAGTTTTGAAAAATCATTAAACAGGTAAGATAAATCAATCTTTTAATATCCTTTTCCTTACAAATATATTTAGTTGTCCTCCATTATTTTATAATCAAACACGAGACGTAAGAATTCTTGAAAATGGTTCTTTAAATGATTATTCTTCTCCTCCTATTTATACAGATCATGACAAGTACAACTTAGATTTATCAATCTATAATCAGTATTACAGAGACAATTCTAATATAAATAATAAATACGGGCCTCGCAAATAACAAAATACGAAAAATTCGCATTCATCTTTTTTTAAGCAACAATAATATAAAGTTGCATTTTTTACAGACATATATTTATGATACAAATAGCATCTAATTATTCAATACTTTCACTTTTTCAAAAAGAAAAGAAACTATATATATGTTCAATTCTTATCTACAGCTTCCTGGCATGCATCTTTTTCTTCTGATTCTTTTGATGGTCTCAAAACTTGAACACTTCCTTTATTTCTTGTCAATTAAAATTATCGACAAATTACATTATACCCACGCTGAATCACCGATATATTTGTATGTTTCTTTCCATCGTCTGTTGTATATGGACTTAACTGAACTGTGCCATCAACATAAACCAATGCACTTCATATCATTTAACTTGAATCATTTTTTTTTTCTCAGTCTTACCCTTTCTTAACAAATGATAACATATATGTATTTAAACGCGAATCAAAATTGATGATACGGAACCAACTTGTACGATCTGGTGATGTTTGACACGCAAGTGAATAACGAATAAAATCTCGTCCTGATTGACTTGTTTCAACTACTAATTCATTTCCTACTCGTCCGATCAAACTAATTTTTGCCAAATCACATGATACTCTTGAATTATGAAAAAACTAATGCTCATGACTCACTCAATCTATTCAAAACCCTTCAAAACTTACTCTCAAAAACATATATTTTAAAGGTTTCCTGCTAATATTCATTTTTACTTCAAAAAATTAATGTCTAAAAATATAGTGTGTCCTGTCAAATCAAGGATTTCCTAACATAATTAAGGTTCCGTCAATTTGTTACACCTGGGTGTTCGGTTTGATATATAAAACTTTTAATAAACAATTTTGGAACGGACACGTATGAGGGATGTGCCCCAAAATACCACCTAAGGTTTTACCAACTAATTAGGTTAAGACTTGATCAAATAGAAAGTATGATATTTATTTATTTTAATATTTATGTGTCTTAAAATTTATTATATTAAAAACTATGTAATTAATTGTATAAATATACAAATTATGTTTATATTTAGTTTTATTGTTTAAAAATCTATTTTTATCCATTAAGAATGTCAGCCTGCCCAGCGTTTGCTAAAATTGCCCATACAGAGGCTTTAAACAGGGTAAAGACCAAACCAGTCTTTCGTTCAAGTATACTTAATGAATCCAAGACATGTGACATAGGGGTATGTGCTAATACGTGCAAAATATTAGAAAGCTATAAAAATCTAAATTTCTTAAATATACAATCAATTTATTTACTTTATTCAAATTTTGTGCAAGTTTTGAATACTCCTGTAATAAAGCAATTTCTAATGATGAAAAAGAATCTATTGTAAGACGTGATATGCCCTGCACAGTCTTTTCCATGGAATATTTGTCCTATAAAATATCAAAAAAAAAACGTTAAAACGATAATACGTAACAATAAATGTCGTTTATTAATATTAATTATATAAAAATATATTATTTTAAAAAAAAACAAACAAAATATCCTTTAGAAATACCCAACAAGATCATATCCATACATTAAAAATACCCATTTTAACTATTCCTCTATTTTTTAAAACCATATTTTATTAATAACAATTAATATATTCTTGAGTTGGTATTAGAAAAAAAAATTAAAAACCATATATTACGTTTATGTATTTCCTTATATCTATAATAATTAACGAAAAAAACATATATGAACTATTTAATTAACTATAGAAGATTATCCGGACGAAAAAATCTTGCAACATATATGACAAAAATAAAGTCTTTGATGAGTATGCACACGTAAATGTCTATAATGAAATATTCAAAATAAAAAAATAGGAAAAAAAGCCTTTCTAGATGCTTATATATCTTAAATTTTCTATTACATGAAAAAGGACAAGAAAACCTTTTCACGTTGTATATAAATGCATCCACTTCATCTTTTTTAAGAATTAATGACTTATTTGATGGAGAACAAAAATTAACCTAAAGCTGGGAAAACATGAAGGAGAAATTGTATTATTTATGCAATAACAAGATGTTTCGAAAAAAAATAATGAATTTTTAGTTAAAAATTATACACAAGTATTATCTTCCATAAATGAGTGGTCCATATCGAATAAATCTTCATTATGTAGCTTAGAAGAATCGCAAACGTCAAGATGATTAAAATGATCTATAGGCTCTAACAATGTTTGTTTTGAAGTATTTTCATCAGACACTAACCTGAAGGATAGAGAAACGTTTAATAAATGATTAAATAATGGTGAAACGTATAACCATTCATTCACTTCCAGGGGCTCTAATTCATCTTTTTGCATCATACTCCTGAAACTCTAACATATCTTGAAGAGAACTCGGACCGAACAAGATGTTTCATAAGCCAATAGCCATGAATCTAGTTCTGGTTTAAAAAAATGTTTCAAATACTAATGACAATTTTTATGTAATCCATCCGATTTAAATAACTTATGTTCCAATCTTTTAGAACCCAAAATATCTTGCAAGCGATATTCAAAACTATCTATTCCCGTAAAAGATTCAAGAATAGATGGAGCATTTTTGCAATCTACAAACCCCTGTTGAAAACATATTTCACACTCGGATTGCTCTAAACCAAAATTACCAAGACTACAAAATTTACTAAATGTCGTTTTATTCGTAAATAACCCAGAATGAGAAATACTCATCATACATATGATCTTGCTTATTTCTAATCATAAGGAGATATTTTAATGGCGCTGTAGCATAAATTCATTCTATCAACAACTGACAATTATTTAAACGTAATGATAATACCGGTTCCAATAATGCAACTGTTGTTAGGATCTTACCAAACTTTTCTCTCTTTAAATCTCACTCCAAAACATCTACAAAAAGCTGATCATGACAAACACTATACCAGAAAAATGCTTCTTGCTTTTTTTGTGTTCAAAAACAATCATTCTTATATAAAAAAATCGAGAAACGGGCTTTTCAACTCTCCTAAAGAGGCATCTAATCCTGCTTTCAAATTTCTTAAGTCTGAAAAACACCTTCAAATTTCTTTGCATTTTTAATAGATCCTCCAAAAGCAATAAACCTGAATGCTAAACTACATATTATATCCATCTCAGAAATATAAAACACATTATTCCTATACATTTATAGGTTTTTTTTTCTATTTTTTACGTCCCCCAAAAAAACCATAAAACACAACTAACTGTTTCACCCAAAAGAAACAGTTTTTCTAATAAAATATAAACATAACCCTTTATTTTTCTTAAAAAATAAAAATATAATATACATTGTTCAAGCTGGCCTGGAATATCTGCATCTGTAGATCTTAAATACAAATCAATCCAACATATTCATCCTTCTGAGAATGCTTGCATCACACTCAACCTATCCTTACTCCGTACTGATATAATCTAACCCAGACAACTATTCATATAATCCCACTCAAAATGTATTATCCGATAGAGTAAACATCATCCAACTAACCCTATCATATAATTCAAACTAAATCAATACAAAAGCTTGTATTTTTCTCATGATATGCAGATTTTGCTTTTTAACCTATTATACATTCTGGTGCAAAACAGCATACAACACACATATATAACACATATGACCCTTTAAAATCTATATAAATTACAAGAAACTTGCTAGAACCTTCTAGATAATCCTAGAACTTTTTAGGAATTTCAAGGTTTAACCTTTTTTTTATATATCTTAATATACTTCTTTTTCTATATCTCCTTTAATTAAAATGAATTAAAATAACCTAGCCCTATATGGCTGTATATTCTTAACGTCTATACTTTATTTCTTTAATTTCGATGAAACCACTTATATCGCCATTGATAGGTATGTTTTATATTAATATTACATGTTACTTACGTTATAGCGTATACATGCACATTTATTTCAATATCTGGTATTATCTTCTTAGTAATTAGATCTTTAGTAAAAAACAAATATTTATAATGAAGTAGTTTGCCCTTGCAGCCTTATTTAAACATAATTCGGAAGCACTGATAAGTGATCTTCCACAAGGCTTAAGTGGAGCACATGTTGGTAATACATGTATTTTAGCAGGCCTAATATATATTGTATATTTTTTTTTATTATATAAAAAAGCGATCTGATATATAGCAAAGGGAATATTGGTTTTTAGTGGTACACAAATATGGTTAATTCGACGACAAACAGGAATTTCGCTTTGAAATTATTGTAAATTTGAATTATGGTATTTTTAAATGAGCTGTCAATTTTGAATCAAGACTTGAATTTTTATAAGTAAATGATAATAATACTTTAAAATAAAAGTTAGGTGTAAAAAAGAATAATATTTATAATATTAAAAGATTCTATATGTCACTCTATACCTTTACTATATAAATTCTATTATATAATACAATCTATGTTTAATTTTTGATAATGACAACAAAATGTGACATTTATCATAAATCCATTTCAAAGCCATTTAAAAAAATGATAAGCATATAATATATTTGTTATATCCATAGTATAAATTTTCAGCATAATATTGATAATTGTAAAACCCAAATAAAGCCAAATCTTAAATTATTAATTTTATTATTTTCTATTACAACTTCAATCCTATTATAATGAAAACATCATTACAAACTAATTTGTATCTTTTACAAAACCTTCTTTAGCCTTTTTAGCAGTTTTATCCTGACCATATTTAATTTGCAAAATAGCAGTAGAATCAGGAAAGTCAGAAGGATCCACAGAAGTTTTCATTGGGATAGAAAAACAAGCACCTGATGATCCATCATTATAAAAAGTATCTGGATGTAAAGGAAAACAAGAATAATTCATATTAGAATAACTCAAACAATATTTAGAATTATTGGGAGAAAACATTTCTGATATATGCTGATGATTCTTTTGTGAGAATAAATCAGTTGTTGAGTAGGTGGAAATAGCAGAATTTGAACTCGAGTCAGAAGACGAAGAATAGTTATGAAGTACATGTTTTGGATGCATCGAAAGACTCTTGTCAAGTAAAGAAAGATCATAAGAAGAATTAAAAATTTGATCAGAAGAAAGAGGAAACATAGACGTGATCGGATAACAACTTCGATCGCCCTCCTTAAAGTCAGAAGAATTCATAGAATAAAAAGAATCGTTCATATTTTTCTTAAAAACAGAAAAATTACCCAATGGCTGAGAATTTATATTATTGTCCTTTTCAGCATAAACATCCGTATGATTACTCATGTCTTCTATCCCATGTTTTTTAAGCACTAAATATTCAGAAGAAAGGTGATTTTGATCCCCTGAATATATTTGATTCTCCACTTGAATAGAATCATGTGTATAAGGGGGAAAATAATCCTTATGTAAATCAGTATCCTGTTCATTTGTAACACGATTAGAACAAAGATGTTTCTGTACAACTCCTAAATTATGAACCGGTTCAACTTCATCTGAATGACTTTGATGCGATTGTATTGATGATTCTGGTAGAAAAGCAGAAGACGAAGACGTGTGTTGATTAAATTGATTATCTATTTCAGAAGAAACTGTTTTATTATTCGAACAAAGATCATAAGCAGTTAACGTAATATATATTTCAGTAGATTTGTCTAAAATAATAAATAAATAAAATAAAGAAACGAAATAAATACCAATTTCCCCATTTCTCATTCTTTCTTCCTGTCGTGCTACTTGATAAATTTCTCTCAAAAGGCTTGTTTTATTAGGAGGCATAAAAGCAGAAATCTCAGCAGTCGCTAGCTCAAGTCTATTAATAGGAATTCTAGAACATCTTAACATAGTAAGAAGAAGGCCAATTCTTTCTATTTTAAATTAAGCAATTTTACAATAAATTATCGATCCGACCTGATTTCATAAGGTGATCCGGCTCTTTATGACGTATATTTACAGGCCACCACGAAGGCTTAGACTTATCACCCCTATTATAAGGATAACGAGTTTGCTTCTTCGGTTCAATCACTTTAATCCATGCTTTTGCCACAATTTTACATACGGATTGTTGCAACTGTTTAAATCGAGACTCCATAAATGCAATAACTTCAGCTGTATTTCCAATAACAAGAGACCTATACTTAACTTCCCCAGAAACATATTCGTTACTCTTATCATCAGTATCTACTTCAACAGAAAGACTATTCTTATTCACATCCTCCTGCTTTTGAAAATCCCGTGAATCACATGTTGTATTCGATGAAAGGGACTTCTCTTTTGGAATGAAAAATTCATTTACACCAAGGATTGATTTCATAATATCACTCATCAAAGATTTATCATATGATGGCCCTTCAAACAATTTTTCCAATGAATCAGAACACTTTAATCCTAAAACATCATCTTCACTTAAAACACCAGGATAACATATTCCATTCATCTTATCATCTTTTAATTCAATATTTTCCTTGTTTCTAATATTTTTCTTAGCTAATCCATCTTTAAACGTGTCTCCAGATTTTTGATAAGCAAGTGCTAACTTTTGAGCATCATTCAAAACCTTCTGATTAAACCACGATTTCAATTGTCCCTGAAATGCTTCACTTGCATACGTTTCATAATCCCCCCTAGAATTAACCAACAAAATCGCAAAATTAGACTTATTTATATAGCAAGACTTGCATAAAGCACGAAGAATCCTATCACGCTTACACTTAAAGTGTCTATTCTGATGCGAAGGACTAGAATATGGCTCCACACGTACAGGTATTCGTGGCATCACCCAATCCTAATTTCAAAAATGTTTAAGATAAAAAGAGCCAAAAAAACCCAATTTTTTCTCCGAAAAAGAGAATCCTATCATTAAAATACTAAAATATTCATATATCCTAATTATAACCTTCAAATACCTCTCCTTTATCCCTTATTAACCCTCTATAGATATACCACGTTTATCCCGTCGTTAATAGATTACGTTGGCTATTATATCCATGGTTGACATGGCAACCTCAAAAAACAATTCATTTTATAAGACAATCTTTTAAACACAATCATTTAATACATGTTTCTTTTGGTTCTAATTAACATTTCAATCCATTTTTTCAGCCCTAACATTTGAAATAGGGTCATCTTTTTTCTCATCTTTATCATTATTTAATCCAGATGCAGCAGCCTGTTTCCATACGTTTACTTCCCTCCATAATCGATCACATTCAGCCTTTAATTTCTGATTTGTAGCACTTAATTCAGAAATTGCTTGATCCGTTAAAAGCTTTTCTAATGTCCATTTTTCAATATTATTTGCTTCATTTTCTTTCAATTGTTGAATATATGCAACAGTTCTTTCAAGAATCTTTCCCTTGTTTTTTTCACAACCAGGCACAATCCGTGCTAATTCCGATATACTCTCATTAATAGTTTCTCGTCGTCGACGTTCTACTTCCTAAATAAATCATAAATATATATTTTAAAATCCTTAAAACCATCTTCTAATCTTACTTTATGATTTGATCTTCTTAATCGATGCCATTCTTCTGATCCCACCATAGGTTTATGTCCTCCAGCCTCATGTAAGTCCTCTTCTCTTCGAATCACTGTTGATTTTAAAATTTCTTCACCTGTCTCGACTGAATAAATTCCTCCACCCTCATCATCATCATCATCTTCTCCATTCATTCCCGTATACCTTGTTATCTCTGATAACCCATGAAATTCTTTGCTCAATGAATCTTCTGTTCGATAAACCTTTTCAACCTAACATTATATAAACAGACGATTCTTAAGCCAAAAAAAACAATATTATTAAGAATAAATAATAAAACATACCCTTTGATTTTGTTTTTTTAAGTGTTTTAAGGTCATTATTAGCTTTTCTGTTAAAATATTTGAAAAAAGTTAATCTTTTTAAGATCACAAATAGCTCGATATCTTTACCCGTCACGTGAAGAGGACCAGATATATATATATAAATATAGAAAATATACAGTAAAGAGATATAAAATGTCAAGAAACGCTGAAATTAAGGTGTTATGAATCAGAAAAATAGAAATGAGAGAGAATATCCCAGCGAGAGGCCTGAGAATAAAGAGAAAGATATTTGATAAAATGAAGAACTCCAGAATCTCTTAAAATAAAATGAAAAGTGTTCCATGAAGGGTTAGAATTGAATAAAATAGAATGTATAGGCGTAGGAGGAGTCATATAAAGATGATAACCACCATTTTTTCCATGATCCCAATGTCCAGATGGTGTTAAAGAAAGAATAAGATCAAGAATAGGTGATAAAGAGGTGTGTGGGATTGCAAGAGTGTAATCAAGACCAGGACGAAAACGCCGAATTAATGCTGAGAAAGTAGAAGGAATTAAAGTAGTACAAAAATGAATCCATTGATGAAAAGAAGGATGATTAAAAAGATTTTGTAAAAGAGAAATTAAAGGGGAATCAAAAGAAGAATCAGGTGAATCAATATATAAATAACGATGCTTATGAAGAGGTTTTGCAAGTTTCCAAGGAGGAGAAATATCTAATAATGTTTGAATCGAACTTGATTTTTCTATATCAAGAATCCAGTTTTTTATATGATTAGAAAGTGTAGATTCAAGAAAATTAGGTAATTCAAGAACTGAATAATCTAAAAACGTTTCTCTTAGCTGCATCATTTTTTCATAATTAAGATATTCGGGATTTATCCAATCCTTTAAATATGACAAATGATCTTTTAAAAATTCATTAAATTCATCATTAAAAGTAATTGAACAAATTTTAGGCTCCATACGAGGCTCATCATAATTCTGTATATCTGAATGAAGAATTTGTAGAGTACTTAATACATTTTCACTCGATATTTTAGGTTCTTGCCATCCTTCTTCTCCAGGCTGAGGCCTATGAAACCAACCAGAAATAGAAAGTCTCCATTTATTTTCCTGATAAACTTCTTCCACATCATGAAATGAACGCCCTGGTTGGACCTGAAAAAAACAAAGTTGATTCCATACAGGAAAAATTGCCTTTTCATAATCACAATCAGGAAAAGAAGGTCGAACCGTAGGATATAATCTTAATGCACCTCCATATGATGGTAACCATGCTTCATCTGGATCTACTAGATAAAGAATAAATGAAACTTCACGAGTACCAATAACATCATCATGATTAAGCAAATGTCCGCCCTATTTTATTACATTTTGACAATAATTCCCATGTTAACTCACTTGGCCATATATATTAACTGATATATCAATCATTTTGCCTGATAAATAACCACAACCTGTTACTTTAGAAATAAAGCAACGAAATTCATTGGAATACAGGGCATCTCTTAATTTTATTAATGAAGACAGCTTCTTACGTTCATCTTCCTCAAGACCTGAAAGATTTTCTAAATCACCTGTCTGAAAGACCTTTTTTTCATAAAAAATATATTCAATAAAAATAATAAAAATACCTTATAAATATCTGTTTCTTTCTCAGAAAATGCTAAATTTTCAAGAATTTCTTGACGAACTTTTCTTAACAAATTTTCACATATAATTCTATTTAAGACACAATGTTCATAAGGTTGAGCTGAATGATATTCTTTTGAAATATCATTTATAAATTCTGAAGATCCAAGTGGTTGAGTAAAAACAGAATAAAAATCCAGCTTTTTTTACTTTTAAAAATATTTCAAAAATTTTTATTAAAAGAATAAGTTTTCTTAACAAATTATTAATCTCGACCTTAATATTAAATAATATATTTAATTCATTGAAATTAACTAAAATTATCCTTAATGCAACAAACAACGTTATACGATCTTAATCTACGTGTATTACATAAGCATTATCCATCGATTATATCAATACTTGCAAGTTCACCATATGTTGTACTTTATTCATTCTCAGATTCAAAAAAAACTTGGGTAAAAATCAAAATAAATAAGTATTTATTATTTATTTTGTTAGACTAAGGAACACTGTGAAGGAACATTATTTATATTTTCAACGTTAATATATATTTATTTAAAATAAATTTTATTTATTTATTTATTTCTTAGGAATAAAGGTTATAGTTACACAATTTTAAATCGGCTTTCATTGGAGTCATTTTCAGCAAATTTAATTTATCCGGATGACCTTGAATATTCAGATCCATATATTATTCATAAAATCAATAATAGTATTAAATCAGTATATTTGGAAAAAGACTAATATTTTAGATGAAATCTATGGTCTTTGGATTTGGGAAGCATTTGACCGGCAAAAAATATCATCAGTTATGATTAATTGCGCTAAACGTAATGTCAATAGTTAAAGAAATAAAAGAAATTTGAATAGGATTTTAAGATAGAAGAATTTTTATAAATATGTTTAATATCAAGCATCAACATTATGCTAAATCTAACATAATCTATTTTATAAAAAAGAAACTAAAAAAATTATTATAAAATATCCATTTCAAATAAAATGATGATTACTGGTCATAGAAAAGAGCATTTCGTTACCTTTAAGATAATCCAATCTTTATGATTTCCTTATTCCTAAAATATAGAAATATTTGTAATATTTATCCTACAAAAAGACAAGTTATTTCTGAATATAGCAAAATTAGAATTAATATTCATAAAAAGTATATAATAAATTATTTTCCAGACTTAAATGCCAAAAGAGATGACAAATTAGAAAGACTACATGATTTCTTTAAAAATTCATGCTATATAATAGTTTATTACAATATCTATAAAAAGAATTAAGTATACCTCTAAAAGTTCCTCAGCAGTAGCTCTGCTTTTAACATCTACGCACAAGCAAACAGCCAGAAAACTTTTAAGTTCTTTGCTCAACTTATCCGGCTTCTTTAATGTTGGCGTGCCATTAGTAGCAATAAGGTATAAGGCTTTTAAAGGCTCCTCATTTAAATAAGGAGGTTCAGTTTCTATCATTTCTATAGCCATAATTCCCAAACTCCATATATCGACTTTAGGACCATATTCTTTTTGTTTAACAACTTCTGGAGCCATCCAATATGGAGTTCCTACCATTGTTGCCCTCTTATTCTTTTGCTCTGTCAATTTTGCACAAAACCCGAAATCAGCTACAAGTCAAAATGAGAATATACACTAAAAACTTAAATTACATACTAATTTTTACGCGACCATGAAAATCTAAAAGAACATTATCGCTTTTAATATCCCTATGAATTATTTTCTGCTGATGAAGATGTTGGAGCCCTTTACATGTCTATTTTCTGTTAAATAAACCTGTGAATAGATATAATAATATGCATTTAACCTCTAAAGATATAGCAGCAATTTGATCTTCTGTCAACGTATTATTATCAATTATATCCGTCAAAGCACCACCTTCCATATATTCCATAATAACCCATAATTCAGAATTTTTAGCTAAATATGCATCTAAAAAATTAACAATGTTTGGATGATGACTTTCTTTCATCACAAGAATTTCATTAACAATCAATTCTCTCCTTGGTTGATGTGCAATATCCATCTGCTTTATAGCTACCTTTAAACCTGTTTTTAATTCACAATTACCTGATTTTATATCTAAATTTACTTTCGCAACATAAACAGAACCACTTGCCCCTTGCCCCACTTTTTTGATCTTAGTATATAATATATTAGGGTCATCAGTAGATACTACATTTCTAAGCCTTTCCATCACCTGGTTTTCTGTTAAATCGTTAACTTTCTTGTCTTCAGAAGGCAGATCTTGTTTCGCTGTTCGCAGATTTGAAAGTGATGATGGTAACTTCTTATTCAGACAGGGATGTTTTACAGATGTCTCAGAAAATGCAGTTGATATGTCTGGAATATTCTTCGATGATACAGGAATTTTTGGTAATGGCTGAGTTGGTGCCTGAGAAATAAATGCTAAATTATTTTGCGATTGCTTATGTTTCAACGTGTCGGGTAGTGCATTTTGACGTTTTTTCACCGTAACTCCAAATCCCTTCTCAACATTTAAAGAACCAGAAGAAAGTAATGAATCATTTTCATGAGAAGACGATCCCAAATCAATGTTTAATCTAGTAGGCAAATTCTGAGGTAATACTGGAGGCACACGGTAAGGTACCATTTTTTCCGAACCTTTAATATCCATCTTCTTAAGCCGTTCTCGAAGAGGAACAATGCTTTTAGAAGCAGATGATACGGGATATTGATAGATAAAACCATTATTCGCATGATACTTCTCCAAAGTCATTTTGTTTTGTTCAAAAGACTTTACATCCAAATTTTCAACATCACAAGGATCTGGACCCAACATACTCGGCTCTCCAAACTCATCTTTTTCTCGTAACTGGGTATCACTATAAAATTGAAGTACTTCAATCACTGCTTCAGGATTTTTCGCATAATCTTCCTTAGTAATAGCACTAGCAGTTAAAAGCCTTGTCCATTCTTCTGGAAGCCCAGTAAATCCCCCACTTTTTGGATCAAATCCAACATGAACTTTATGCGTAAAATTCGTCGGATTCGAAACCATCATCAATGGACACCTCTATAATTAAATATTAACTATTAAAAATATTATCAATTACAAAAATACAGAGTAAATCTCATCCATCCACGAATAAAGATCATTATCACTCTTAAGACTAATAAAATAGCTCTTTTTCGTTCCAGATCCTAGTTATATCATTAGCCAACAATATAATAAACGAATTAAAATGCATCAGTAAACATCAAAATCTGAAAAAACACATCAATATAAATTGATCTATACTTTCCGATGCTAAAAACTCCCAATACATATTGATCAACATCAATTCATTCGGGTCTAACACCCGAATCATTGACACCTTACCATTACGTATACACATGCCAATCCCCGGATCCCTAACAATTTCGAAACAATAATCTTTCAATTCAATACGGCTCACATTCGTAATTTCACGCAAAGGAATAGATAAACCTGGACTTGTCGAACTCTAACATCATCAACCCGGTTCTTTTTTCAAAGCAAATAAAACCCCAATACCTCATTCTTCAAAATATAAAGAACCTTTTCCCTTAAGACTAGATATTTCTTTGTCCAAATCCAGCTTTTAATACTATCTTCCTTAACATTTGCCCATCCTGCTTTCAAAATCCCCTTTGAATCCTTATATGTCTGAGAAACATCAAAACAACGTCCTGCATAGATATTTGATGACGAATATGACGGAATTTTCAGAGGTGGAGCTGGTGCTGGACCCGGATTCACAAAATATTGTGATGATAGGTTATGAGCCATAAAAAAAAGTAAAAAAAAGCAATATAGCTCAAATAAAAACAAACAAGTACTTCAATTACAAAGAAATACACAAAAATCTATAAATCAGTAGTTATTTCAAGAAAAAACGCGATATTTACCTGCACAAAGAGTAACAGAAGTCCGCCCGGTTTTTGATGCCCGAAGCAATGTAAATGAAAGTTGGTTGCCATGACGACTGTCACGTGTATCCAGAAGAAATATATAAAATAAAAGAATTAAATTAATAAAGACTTTATTAAATTCCATGACGTTCATAAGAGGAATCATTAGTATAGAGTTTAAAAGTAAGATACATAGCTATAAGCGCAGAAATACCACTTATTTGAAAAATCCAAATAAAACTATAATCCATATTATCTTTACATCTTATAATATCTTCAAATTTTTTATAGCCAGTTAGCTTAAAAATAATTCCAACCATAATAATGCTTAATACTTGTGGTATAGTAATAAATATATTATGAACACCAAGAATGGTTCCGGATCGATGCAATTCGTTATTGGAAGAAAGCTCAATAGCAATAAGTGAAAAAGGTGCCCAAAGAGTAATAGCCCTATATATTATTATCAAGAAAAATATGAAATATAATTTATAATATTACCAACTAAGACCACATAGAGCTATAATGACGACTGCTTGAGTTGTTGTTCTTACAAGTATGGTTGAAAGCATGCATAAACTAAAAATAAAATGACCAAAAGTCCATAAAAAGTGAATGTTTATTTTTTCTAAAATGCTGAAACATTTTGCATTGAAAATATATTTAAATAGTTTTTTCTCAGAAATAAATAAAGGAAAGAAAAATGTCCCAAATAAAGAAATAATAGAAAAAAGTAGAAAAGCAAAAGATCCATATCGAGTAGCTTCTTCTATTAATAAATATTCTTTCTCCAGACTATATAAACTATCTGGATATTTTGAATACTTATTACAATATTTTCCAGCGTATATTTCAGCTACATATGTTGTTCCCTTCCATCCGATATAAGTATTAATTTAACTTAGTTATAACAAATAAATCTTACATAAAAAAGAATTGGAAACCTTAAATACCATCCAAATTAGTTCTCTATATATAATATAAATATATATAATTACCATCCTAATATTACATTAACTTTATTCATTTAAACAAAATCAAAATACCAATCCATGCAAAAAATTGAATTATACATATCCAAAGAATTTCTGACGGAAGAGATATAATAGTAGAAAATATCATTTTCAAGAAATTAAACAACCCCATCCACCAAGGTATCTTTTCAAAATCACACCCTCTATTAATAAATGTTAAAAAATATACAAAGCTAATAACTAAAAATTACCTTTCTATAAAATAACGCTTTTCCTTTGCAGTAAAAAAAGTAACAGCCGTACAAATAACTAATATAATTGAGCCAATAAGACTAAGAGCTTTAAATTCCGTATTCCCTAAAACAGGAGCAATCTTTGGTAAATTTAAATATCCATTTAAATATCCAACTACATTGAAAATTCCTATCATACGACTAGCCCACGCATTTGCCAAATCCTGTTGAATAATAGGCACCATATCAATAATTAATGCTCGACTACTTGCTTGAACTTTAAAACATTAAATCCTGCCAAACTATAAGTTTAATATACCAATATTAATAGAAAAATCAAGAAGATAAACAATCGCAATAGATATAATAATCGTCACAGTTCTTGCTACTTTTTCATGTCCTGAAAAAAAGAAAAATGCTACATCTTTAAAATACGCCAATCCTATCAAACTAATCACAACGCATAATGTTCCAATTACAAGAAATGGACGTCGTCTACCAAATCTACTTCTTGAACGGTCAGAAAAAAACCCAATCAAGGGCTGCATAATAGTTCCCGTCAATGGTGCTGCGATCCATACAAAAGAGGTGTAGTGCTTAGTCAATCCCAGTGAAAGCAAATATGGAGTACCTTCTTCTATGTAATCCAATACAAATGCCTAAGTAATTCTTACCATACCCCAATTCAATAGACCCTATTTATATTAACCAAATCCCACTCATTAAACGTACTTACATGTAAGTTGTAACCCACCTAAAACCAATGTTAAAAAAAGCAGATAAAGAGTCCCTCTTAGTGGTGGTTCCCGCAGCTCTTCACAAGAAGATAAGCCCTGCGGAGTCTCATCAAAATGGTCTTTCGACGTATTTACATGCGCATACAATCCGATCATGGAGATCGAGATGACCACGATCGTCACGGTGCTGTGATCTAGAAGAGTCAAAATATGACTAAATCAAGATAATAATGCCAGTTTTACAGTAGGTTTGATGCATATATAAATAAAATGGAGATTGGTTTTTATGATTTAAAAACAAATGAACAGTTAACCAGCTGGGGACTATTAATTTTGATGGTTTTATTAATAATGGCATTATGGACATCCTATTATTTGCAAGCCAAAAAGATAAAGAGTATCCACGAGACAGTAATATCTATTTTTTTGGGTATTTTTATTAGTATTTTTTAAAATAGACGAGATATATACATATAGGAATGATAGTGGGACTACTTATTGAAGAATTTCAAAATACAGATATCCAAAAAATAGTTACATTTAACTATGGATACTTTTTTAATCTTCTTTTGCCTCCAATTATCTTAAATTCAGGATATGAACTTCATCAGGTATCAAGTGAAAAGATTACCAAGTCAAATATTGAAAAAATAATAGGAACTCTTTTTTAAAAACCTTGGAGCTATTGTCACATTTGCATTTGTTGGTACGTTTGTTTCAGCTGTTATTACTGGGTATAAATAAGAAAGAATAAAAGTATTTTCTTATGAAAACAGACTTTTAACATATATTTGGGCATTAACAGGACTAGAACAAGTAAAAATTTCATGGATAGAAGCTCTTAAATTCGGGGCAACGATTAGCGCTACAGATCCTGTTACTATTCTTTCTATTTTTCGTACATATGGTGTAGATCCTACATTATATACGATTATTTTTGGAGAAAGTTTATTAAATGATTCTGTTTCAATAGTTATGTTTGAGTTGAATTACCTATACTATGGTTATTGTTAAGTTAACTTTTTTTAAGGACATTACAACGCTTTTATAATAAGGAGATAAATATAATAGATGTTTTTATAGGAATTGGGCAATTTTTCATAACATTTATTATATCTCTGGCCATAGGTATCTTAGCAGGTATTTTTATAGCACTACTTCTCAAATATTCGCATCTTCGTCGTTTTCCATATATAGAATCATGTATTATTACACTAATCGCTTATGCATCTTACTTATTTTCAAATGGATGCCATATGTCTGGTAGAATCTATCAACTTCTTAATCTTATATAACTTAAAATAGGTATTGTTTCTCTTTTATTTTGTGCAATTGCTTTGAAACATTACGCCTTTTACAATATGTCTACACAAACACAATTTTCTACAAAATTTTTGTTTAAAATATTATCTCAACTATCAGAAAATTTCATTTTTGTCTACCTTGGAATATCCCTTTTTACACAAACAAATCTTGTTTACAAACCATTACTAATTTTAGTTACAATGGTTGGTTTTATATCTTTTTAATTAAATTAACTTCTTAAATTACAAGTTTTTCGTATGTATTGCTAGATACATATCCATATTTTCCATTTCGAAGTTCATAAACATGGTTATGCAATCCTACAATATTATTTTTTGTGAGAAATTGCCAGCATCTTATCAAATTATGTTGTTTTGGTCAGGTTTAAGAGGTGCTGTTGGTGTTGCACTTATACAAGCAGTTGAAGGAGAAGCAGCAAATACCCTTAAGGCGACTATATTAGTTCTAGTTGTCTTAACCGTCATTATATTTGGAGGAACAACACCTCAAATGCTAGAAATTGTAGGAATTCATATGGGAATCATTAATCATGAAGATGATTATCATATAGAGGATTTCTATAACGAAAATCCTTCACTAGAAGAAAACATATCTGATAGATTTATATTCAAAAGAACTGGTTCTTTATCCAATTCTCAAAAAATAAACCAATATATTTATGAATCAGATCAACATTCAAAACAATTAGATTCTCTTGATCTATTGTACCATTCCGACAATTCTTCTGAAAGAAAGAAAGATCAAGATAATATTTATAAAAAATCTTTTGATTCTGACATTTTTTTCCCCACTGTTATGGAATATACAAAACTAGAAGATATTTCTTATACATCTTATGAAATGACAAGAGAAAACATATTCCAAGATAATGAACAGCTATATGCCTCAGATAATCATATAAAATGGTTCAAAGACTTCGATTCCAAAATTCTTATGCCTTTAGTTATTGAAAAAGATATCATGTCAAAAAAAAATAACTATAAAGTTTAAAAAAAAAAGGGAGCTAGGAAAGAACATAATTCAATACACACTTAGCAACTATTAATTATTAACAATTTCTTTTTCATAACATCTAGGTAAAATATTGATATTATATATGATTAATCTTTTCTAACACAAACTTCTTTTAGTAAGCAAAAAAAAATAAAAAACTATCACAAACACATCCATATCAAAAACAAATACAAAAATATTATTAAAATCAAAGCAAATATTTTTTTCTGAAAAAAAATATCAATTTTCACACAAAAAATCACAAAATATTCCTTTTTTTCTATTCATACAGACAACTGCACTTTCTTTTGAAGCTTTTACATACAATACTTCTTATGAATACTCTCATATATATTCATTTCTTCGTTCACAGCTTTCCTTATAAAAACCTCACGAACCTCAAAAAAATTTAAATCTACTTAAGATGGTGAGTTAAAGCTATTATTCTAAGAGAAAAAGAGCTAATATCTATGACAGGGAAATGTTCAATCAGGCAACAATGGGAAGCCTTCAAAACAAGAAGATCAAGAAAAAGTCAGTGTTTTTTTGCGTAAATAAAGGATGAATTAACATTAAAAAAACAGAAAAAAGAGTCTAAATATGAACCACCCATAATGTCCACACGGGTAGGAAGGAGATATAATAGAAATAAGGGTCCTGATGCATCATATAAATTCCCAATGGTTTATCCTACAACAAGGTGTCGTTTAAAGCTTTTAAAAATGGAGAGAATCAAAGACTATTTGTTATTAGAACAGGAATTTGTGTCTAATCAAGAGTTAATGAAACTTGATTCAGAAAAAAAGGATCAAAAAGAAGAAGAAGAAGATGATGATAAACTTCAAAGCTTAATTGGAAGTCCTATGGGAGTAGGAACTCTAGAGGAGATGATTGATGATGATCATGCAATTGTATCATCTGCTACTGGACCGGAATATTATGTTTCTATTATGTCTTTTGTAAATAAAGATTTACTTGAGCCTGGATGTTCAGTATTATTACATCATAAGGCAGTATCGATTGTTGGGGTGTTAAGTGATGATATTGATCCGATGGTATCAGTGATGAAGTTGGACAAAGCACCAACAGAATCATATGCGGATATTGGGGGGCTTGAATCACAAATTCAAGAGATTAAAGAAACGGTAGAATTACCGTTAACACATCCCGAATTATATGAAGAAATTGGAATCCGGCCTCCTAAGGGAGTTATTTTATACGGTGAACCAGGTACAGGAAAGACATTGTTAGCGAAGGCGGTGGCAAATCAGACGAGTGCAACCTTTTTACGTATTGTTGGATCAGAGTTAATTCAAAAATATCTGGGAGATGGGCCAAAATTTGTCCGAGAGCTCTTTCAAACAGGTAATTACTTCTTAAAAAGTGATTCAATAAAAAGTAACATTGCTCCAGCACATGACAATTCACCATCTATTGTGTTTATTGATGAAATTGATGCCATTGGGACAAAAAGGTATGATTCAACATCATCAGGAGAACGAGAAATCCAACGGACGATGCTTGAACTTCTAAATCAATTAGATGGATTTGACGATCGTGGTGACGTAAAGGTAATTATGGCAACGAATCGAATCAATGATTTGGATCCAGCATTAATACGACCTGGAAGAATGGATAGAAAAATTCTATTTGAAACACCAGATCAAAATACGAAACGCAAAATCTTTCAGATTCATACGAGTAAAATGAATCTAGGGGATGATGTATTAATTGAGGAATTCATAACAGCTAAAGATGAAATGAGTGGTGCAGATGTGAAGGTAATAGTTAAGCTATGTATAAAGTTTATTAATATATACAGGCAATTTGCACGGAGGCGGGTCTACTTGCTCTTAGAGAACGTAGAATGCGTGTAATCGCAGATGACTTTAGAAAAGCTAAAGAACATGTATTAAAAACGAAACAAAAGAATATACAAGGTGAGCTTTATTTATAAGCTTCTGTTTTATGTGGAAGATGGCTCAATTAAATTCTCATTTATCTAACTTATACGTATTTTTTCAACCATTGTCTTTTAAATACAAGTAATTTATGATATTTAATAAACAAATAAGACCGAATTCAATCCATTTACAAATCGCCATTTATATGCATAAAAAAGCTTATTTACTTTTAAACTCATTTAAAATTCAATATCTATGCTACAAATCTTGGAGAAACATTTCTCCAATGTCTAACCGGTCTTGTATCTTCTAATTCTACAGCATACCAATATGCCTTTTTGGCGTTTTTTAAATCGTTCATTTTTTCCCAACTCTCCCCTAATAAAAGCCACGCTTCTGATGAATCCCATCCAGAAAGCTTAGTTACCATGTCTAACATTTGTTCTGCTCTATCTCTATAGGATTCATATTTTTCTCCTTTTAAGTCCAAAAAAACTTTACTCAATCCAATATTAGCATTTATATGATCATGATCTTCTAACAAAGCCCATTCAAATCTTCTAGCAGCATCCTCCAATCTATTTAAATGATAATAAAAAATACCCCACTTCATGACATTAATTTAACAAAACAAGAACAAACAAAACTTGCCTGAGTATGTACATCTGGATGAAACAATCCAATTTTCTCTGCTTCTTTAATAGACATTAGAGATTCATCCCATTTTGAAGCACGACAATATAAGGATGAGAAAACTAACCAAATTTTTCTTAAACAACGCTTAGATATTTTCTTTTGCTCTTTTTTTAAATAATAATGAGAAAATTCAGATTGTTTGAATGACAAAATCTTACTCTGAGATCCATTTTCTAAAGATAATTGACTAATTCGAGAAACATTTAAATCAGAATGATCTAGTGATGAATATTTATGTTTTAATTTTGAATTTATATCTTGAATATTACTATCTAAAAAAATCAGATAAATATCAAATAAAAATGTAAAAACCTACTTAAGGAACAAAAAGAAACAGATCTTTTCGAAGCATTAAACAATGATAATTGACTAGAAGTATACCTTTGCGAAAAAACATGGCTTGATAACCGCTCTTCAAGAGACTTAATCATTACTTTATTTTCAGTAAGAAGCAGAGAAGAAATAGTTTCCATAGGTATTGAATCCGACAATTCAAAGACAGGAAAAGAATATTCTGTTTTAAAAACTTTTGCATAAAAATTAAAAATATTTTTATACATTTCAATAGCAACATCTATACCATCCCTTGCCTCTAAAAGTGCACAAAGAGTAATCTTTATTTCAACAAGACTTTCGCGATCTCTATAATCCAAATGAGAAAAATTATCACCAGTTTCAACACCTGATATTTGGATTGCAGCTTCACAAATTTGAATAGCTTGACTATATTCCCCTCTAGTAGATAATAAAAGCGAAAGAAGATGGAATGATTGATACAACATATATTTCTGAGAAACAACATTCTTTATTGTCAAAATAGCGTCAGTTATTTCTCTTTGTTCAGCATATTGAAACGCTAAATGATATAGAGTAGATTTCTTATCAGGAACATATTCTAAAGACTTTTGAAAAGCATTAATTGCATCTTGTTGTATAGAAGGCCTCTCAGAAGCCTCATATGCTATAGTTATATTAAGTATTGAATTAATTATTTCAAAAAAACAATACTTTTTATAGACTGACAACTATATGTTATTCCTATTACCTCCCAAATATCGCCAATAACTTTACAGTGTTTCGGAGATTCCAAAGTATCCAATGCATGACGCAATTTTTTAACAATTGCTAATGCCTTTTCAAACTACTTTATTAACTCAACATTCTTAAATAAAAAAAAACTTACATCATCATAATGAATAATATACAACTTTATCCCATTTACATAAGTCTCTGCAACTGTAATATCATCATCAAAATCCTGTCCAGTGTCTTGTTCTATTGGTTCATTTCTACGAGACATAATTTCTTGGCGAAAAGGTGAAATTTTAGCTCTTTCAACCAATTCAACATATAAATCAAATGCACAGCGTGCTTCATCATAATTTCTTAGAAAAATTAAGACCTCCATCAAATATCGTATAAGACGATGAGATTTATATGTTTTGTTGATAGCATGATAAATAGTCTAAACCATTAAATCTTAAAAACAGAAAAAAATAAAAATTACTTCTACAATTGTTTCTGCATAATCCAGTCCTTTTCCCATATTTTTCCAATTTTTCATAACCCAATCCACATATTCCAAGATAATACCATTTAACCGACCAGATTTAGGAAAATTAACAACTTGTAATAATAAACTTTTATATATAGGTTCTATCTTAAGAATACGTGATTCCAATTCAGATACAGAAAAAACGCAATAAGGAAGATCAGACTCTTTTAAGTTTGATGATTCATCTTTAGGAGTATCGCTTAAAATACTATTATTCAATAATTCAGAAAGTAACCGATAATATAAGCGACATACAGCCGCAGAATATAATGCTTTTTTAATTAGAGATATAGAATTGTCTAAATATCCAGATTTAATTGCATTATATGAACTAAAAAAATAAATTTGCAACCAAGTTAAATTATAATCACATACTCAGATCTTAAGAATAAAAGACATGACCTATAGTATATGAAATCAAGCCATTCAAACGCCTTTTCAGGAATCCTATTATGTTTTATCTGTTCTATAGCATAAACAGCCGATTTATACGTTTCAATTGCCAATGACGTTTCAAACATACATTCTTGACACAGACCTAACAAATACTAAACATAAAATAAAATTATACAATGAAAAAACCCTTAATAAAATATCCTTTAATTATATTAAATAAACAATACCCCGAACTCTCTAAAATTGATGTTACTTCACAATATGAACTTATTGTCTCCAAAGCACGCCTATAATCCGACTTCAAAAAGTAAATATGACTCAAAACAGTACGCGCATGCTAATTCATCCCTCCATAAGCCAAAATATATCCATATTTTCCAATTTACCAATTTTTCATGTTGTGTTTCAACACTATTCAAAAATTTCATAACTATCTCCATAATTTCACTTATAGACACTTCATCAACGACCGAAAACATATTCCTTGCATCAACAAATACTGTACACAGAATTTTATCCTCTATCTTCTCATTTTTTTCTGATTTCATCAAACTTTCTAAACGATATTCTGCAAGAACAATTTCACATAAAGCTTTTCCAAAGACAATAAGGATACTAACTACCAACAACGGGGGAGTATACCGTCTTTTTTCTCATCATGTTTCCTCACTTTCCGCACCAATTCTGGTACATTTGACCAGTCATGACTACATAGTGCGGTATCCAACAACCGTTCATATAAAACCGCTTTTTCCTGCAATAAGATGTGTTGGTAAGCTCTTAATGCCTAATATTCAACTTACAGAACGCATTTAGTCGGTATTTCTCAACATTTATGCGTATATATGCACTTGAACCTTTTTCATGTCGTCCAATATCGTGTATATGGAGGGCCTATCCGTAACACAGGAAGCCTTACTGCAGGAGATTTTAGCAAAAATAACAACAAATGAAGCGCATATACTCCACGTTTTCTCATTTTTATTAGATGATTTACACTATTACAGACCTATATGCGCACTTTCTCCAGAAGATGCTCTGTGGAATCCCTGGCATACACTAATATACACGTTGTTGCAGGGAAAAAAGGCAGAACAGCGCTGGATTGGAGCATGTCTTGTAAAGATCAGTGCATATCAGAATGGGGAAAGCTTAATTCAGTACGGCACTACATGGTGTCAACGCTTACTGTCACTTATTAGTGTAAGCGGCGAAAAAGAAAGAATATAGAAAGTTAAAGGTCATAGGAAAAAGAAAAAGATATAGTAGTTCGACGAGCATGTCTTAGTTTTTTATATATTATGTTGTTTTCAAAAGGAAAACCGACATATGTGCGTTCATTTGTAACGCCATTTCTTGGGACATTTTTGAACAACTTAATTACCCTTCCTAGAAAGAATATAGAGCTTACGAGTATCAGTATACAATGTATTCAAGAAATTATCGAAGTTTATCCGAGTATATGTAGGCCTTTTATATCAAATATTAGATGTATGAGTATTCGTGCTATAAAAGAGCCGAGTATAAACGGACCAGATATCCAAAAGGGTCTATTTTCTATATTATCAAGGCTACATCTTTGTGAAGCAAAAGAAAGTGGATGGGAAAAATGGAATTTCGAAGTATTATCATGTATTTCTGAATTACACATTATAATTGATCATTTTTTTGAGGACTCAGTTGATGGTTTAAACTATAGATGAGAGGAACGTTTAAAACAAACTGACATATTGTTTTAGGACCTCATACATGCTTAAAACCATCTGAATGGGGGCTGGAAGCATTTCCAGACAACTTTTATGAGGCGATTGAGCTAGGCTTACAAAGATTTGAGAAATGTGTACAAATAATACAGCAATATTTAAACCAATCAACTCCCTATTGTGTAAAAATACCATGCGGGCAACTTTTCTTCTTTATTTTTAAAGTCTTTAGTATCAACACAACATCAAACGTACATTTCAATATTTCTATGACATTTGTCTAATTTTAATAGATAAAATTGATACTAGACAATAAGGAGAAATTAGTATTGTTTATGAAAATCCCATATTTTCATTTAATAACAATAGAACTTTTGACTGTTATGATCCAAATGTATATATATTGTTTATTCTATTAATAACTAACATAAATAGTCTTGGTTCAAATATTTTACCGCATCTTTCTGGTCTGGTTTTTCAGCTTAACAGTATTTTTTCTAAAGAAAAAGAGTTGATGTAAAATCTCATCAAAATCTGCAAAAACTAAATATTTATGTTAGACCACTGAAAATATCTATATACAATGTCTTTAGCACACTTTTTCAAAATGTCGGTCCATCTTTTTCGTCCTGCAAACTAATTGATATGGTTATTCAAGAAGCATTAAATGATCTTAATCAACTCTTAACTATTTCACAACCAGTTCCTATATTAAATCATAAAAATGAACCAAAAAAGAATAAGACATCGAATGCGACACCAAGTAATTCTAGATTTCAAAAAGAATATCCGGAAAATGTAACCAAAGCATCATTGAACCTTATTTCATCTGTTATAAGTTATTTATCTCCAGGAATACTTTCTTCAGTTCAAAGATCGCTTATAGACAAAACTATTATATCTATTGCATTATTCCCTAGTCTAAGAGAGAAACTACGAAAACAAATATATAATTCATTAATAAATAATGTTCTTTCTCCAGGAAACACACAAGCAATCATTTTACCACATGTAATACGCATTTTCGAAGAAGCTGGTAAAGAAACAGATATTTTTACACACCAAGTAAGAAAAACTTCTGTTTAATTAAAAAGCTCATAATTCCAAGATGAAAAACTTTAATCACATAAAATTCTTAACACTTGATGCTATTTTACATCCTAGATTTCCTCCATTACAGAGAAGACTTAAAGAAGAAACATTAAAAGAAGATAATGATAAATCGGAAATATTGCAAAAAACGAATGAAATATATTTTAAACATTTAAAATATGACAATATATCAAATACAACTAATATTTATCATATACAAGACAATTGTAATATTTGGAAGTCATCAGAAAAAGAACCACTAAATATAACTCAAGATATAACCTCTCATCCTACATTTGAATCAGAAGAAAAGTTAGAATTTTCAAACGAACATATTTTTAAAACTTTCTTAAATAATGACACACAAAACAGTCATTTGTCAGAAAATATACTTCAACCACTAATAAAGACTACAGAAAAAGAAAGTAATCTAGATACTATTCCAATAGGCATAGAGAACGAATCAGATAATCTTTCTGATACTGAAATTCCTATAATTATTATGGAAGATAGCAGCAGTGAAGAATAATCAACATAATTCAGCTGATTCATATTTAGTCAATTTCATTCTCTTGTATAGAGATCTGTTATTTCAGGAGTATCCGTATTTTGCTTATTAAATATAGGAAAATCTTTTAAGACATCATCCCATGATATCAATCCTTCTGAAAGCTCTTTGACAACTTTTAATATCTCTTTTTCTGATGCTCTTATTTGTTTTGTCGTATCTCGTTCTCTAAGAGTTAAACTATAAAGCATGAAAGAAAGCTAAATCTATCTTAAAAACATACCTTCCATCATTTACTGTTTGAAAGTCAACTGTTATTCCAAATGGTGTACCTAACTCATCATTTCTTGAATATCGTCTACCAATTGCAGCAGAAGAATCATCAACTTTATAGGATATCCCAAGTCGACGCAATTCAGATGCTAATCATCATTAATAATGTTCACAACATTCAACTAAATATTACATAATTTATCAATAATAGGATCAAATGCAGAATTATTACTTAATGGAACTAATAAACACTTGACAGGAGCAACTATAGGAAGAAAAGAAAGAACCTTCTGGTATTAATATACTCATTAAATATTCATAAAAAAGACTTACACAACGATCAATATCATCAGATCTTATCCAATAAGAGTGTTCAATAAGAGAATATAAAATTCTTCCAATACCAAAAGAAGGCTCAATTACATTAGGAATATATTCACGAACTTTATAAATTAATATTAAATAATGAAAATATAGAAAAGTACCGCTAATTGTTTTTTTAACTTGTTCAATTGTAAATAATGATGATGGAATTTCGAATTGTCTTCCATCCGCTACTTTAACTACAATTTTACCTTCAGATACTGCTTGATCACGATATCTTATTTTATCTTCATTACTCCAACTGGAAATAGCTTGTTCAACAACTTTTAGATCCTTTTTAAGTAAAGGACCAATCTTTTTCTTATCTACGGTAACAACCCATTCTTTAACCTCCATAGGTTTCGACAAAAGCTCTCTAACAACAAGTTTTTCCTTTGTCTTATCAGAATGAACAGTTAAATCATATGCTGCACGATCCGCACACCCAACACATTCAATCCATCCCTATAATAATTAAAAAAAAGCTTAAAAAATTCCCAAAAATCACATAAGATGTTAGTAATTCAGCATCCCAACAATCACTAGCATAATGTGCCATTTCATTTCTCATATGCTGTCGAAATCTAAGCTTGTTCTTATTCACTCCAATTTTAATCAAGAATAAATGTATTCGTGCAAGAAAATATGCCAAGGTAGTATTGTCTAAAATACCCTAACAAATAATTACCATATTCAAAGACACCTAACAAATCTTACTCTAAAAACAGCTTCTCCAACTGTCATTTCTATAATTTCTTCTTTACCAGACATCTGTATTTCTCTTGTCAAAAATTTCATTTTAACATTTTCCACCTCATCAAATCGTTTATGATCCTTATTTAAGGGATCTACATAATGCTCAATCTCTGCCATTGTAAATTCTCTAACTCGTAACAGTCCACTTCTTGGACTAATTTCATTTCTAAAACTTTTACCAACAACTACTGATGCAAATGGCATCTTAGCATTATTGAATTCCAAAAGCTTATTAAAGTTCAAAAATTGTCCCTGAGCTGTCTCTGGACGCAAATATCCTGTCATATTCCCCGTAGGCCCAATTTCTGTAGCAAACATAAGATTAAACGCAACTGGGCCTTCTACTCGGACATTTGTCTGTGGATTCCGAATATCATGCTCCTCTATTACTCTAGAAAGACCTTTATCATCATAATTGTCAATCTAATTCCATCAGAAATATTTTTTCCCAAAAAATATCCCAACTTGAGAAAGAATACTTTCATATTGTTTTATTTCATTCAAACATGAATCAAATTTATCATATCTTTCTCCACAAGCATCTCTACTCATATCCTTACATCCTAAACCAGATTCCAACCCTTTTTTAATCCTTTCTTTTAAAATTTCCTTGATCAAATGATCTGCACGAAATATTTCACCTGTTGATGGATCTTTACACATCCAATCCCGAAATTTATAAACATGACCACTTGTTTCGAGAACCTCATGAGGTGTAACAATACTGGTACCAATTTCAAGCATATTTTCTTCATGTACAAAATGTTTTCTCCAGATCTCCAGAATATTTTGTTCTAATGCCATACCAGGTGGCCCATAATCATACAAACCAGAAACCCCTGCAACTGATAAGAATATTTAAAGAATATATGTTCCTTTTGCTTCAATACCTCCGTATAATTCAAAGGACGGGCAATAAAAGAACCTCTTTTTAAGCAGCTCCTCCAATCTTGAGCGGCAAAACCCAGGATTTTCACTTTTTATAGACATTTTTCTCGAAATAAGCAAACAAATTGAGCAGAGACGGGTAAAACCAAAAAAATGGGCCCTTTTTATGGATTGTATGCGCCTAAAACCTCCAAACATCCATTTTCCTGACGTTCGACCTTCGACTATAGTCTGTACGGAGATCCAGACTAAGGAGCAAAAAAATACATAATTAAGAACATAAAGAAGGCAAAAACAAGACAAACGTGTTTAAAAGGACATGCATGCAAAGAATTATGAAAAATTTAGGCGCATATATTCGAAAAAATCTAGAGTTTTGATGGGAGAAAAAATATCCAAAAAAAGAGGGAAAACAAGAGAAAAACAGGAAGTAAAAAGCATTTTATTGAATTGAATGCATAGAATAATGGTGTAAAAGCATTTTGAAGTAAAAAAAACGGATACTATTGAGTCTAAAAGAGAAAAAAGAGGAAACGTTTTTCCGGAGGAAAATATAGAGATTTATGAAGATATAAAGAAGAATGAGTTGAAATCAATCACAGATTCAGATTATACGCCGAAAATTCTTATTATAACTAGCAAAAAATCGTCAAAAAATACATATTTTTTTGCAAAAGAATTAGTTGGACTTTTTCCATATTCAACATTGATTAGAAGGGATATACAGTTTGAAATAAAGAAAATTACGGAATATAGTATCAAAAGAAAGTATACGAGTTTAATTTTTATTAATGAAAACCGAAAAAAACCGGGTATTTTTATTATATATATATTATTATCGGCTAAATTATACATAAGATAGCCTTATTATCATTAATTTGCCATCAGGACCATCCTTTTATTTTACATTATCATCAATTATGCCTACTTCATGTATTTATCGTCATGGACGCGCAACTTCACATGTACCAGAACTTATTATCAACAATTTTAGTACACATCTTGGTTTAATAGTAGAAAATTTATTTCGTTCATTGTTTCCTGTTCAAGCAGATTTTGAAGGACGCCAAGTAGTAACTATTCATAATCAACGGGACTTTATATTTATAAGAAGACATCGATATATTTTTAAAAATGATATCAAAGTTAGTCTTCAGGAACTAGGTCCTCGATTCACACTTAAATTGCGAAGAGTTCAACGTGGCATTCATGATAGAGAAGCCGGTAATGTTGTATATGAGTATAAGCCTGGGGAAGAAAGCAATAGAAGTCGTTTTTGGTTATCTTAATTATTTAAAAACAGGAAAAAAACTGCAAATATAATCTTTTTATTTATACAAAAAAAACATATGATATACATTGAATACATTTCTATTCAAAAATAAATCAATTTACACATGAATATATATTCAATATCATTTTTTTTTTTCTAAGACACTTTTTTTTTCAAAAATTTTTTCAACACAACAATAAATAACAAATGCACCAATGCCGAGGCCTAATCCAGGAAATATCTTGTTTATTTTCATAATAGTTGTGAAAGGATATTGTGATCTCCATGCTTCTCTTATAATTTTATCAGCAATTTTAATATAGAAAAAGCATCAAGAACCTTTTTCTCCAAGGATCGTTCATCCTACTGATTTTCTAAAATAAACAATAAGTTTAGTCAAACTTAAAGAACTTATTTTTTATACGATCGGTTTAAAAGCACCTCGACACTTAAAAATAAGATATTTTATAAAAAGTCTAGGGAAGCTCTTAAGGTATAAAATAATAATAAATATAAGATTCTAATATATTATAGAAGTATATTATATTTTTTTCAGCCTTTTTTTAGGATGAATTATAGTCCAATACAAGAAAATAAGGAATTTCGGGAACTTTTCCCAATGTCATTTGGGAAACGAGTATATTCTGAGAATTTAGAAGATGCATTTAAAAGAACTAAACGGGAAGATGCAGTTTGTTTTTTTTTTGCATGAAAAAAACTTGTTTTTTATTGAAAATAGGATATTCAAAAAATACATAAAAAAAACCCATTAATAACTAAAAAACAAAGAGATTCAAGCGATTCAGAAAGTAACTATGAAGAAGAGGAAGATGATTTTCCTATATCTCACGAGATTGTATTAAAAGATCATACCAAGGTTTGTTTTAAAAATGTGTTATAAAAGCTTAATATATGGATCAGCCTATATCGGCTTTATCATTAGATCCCAGTGGAACAAGAATTGTTTCAGGGTCCTATGATTCAAATATCAAAATGTGGGATTTTTCTGGTATGTCATCTACATTAAATCCATTTCGAACGTTAGAAGTGGTTGAATCTCAACATGTACATTATTTGGAATGGAATACAACAGGAGATGCTCTTTTATTTATATCAGCAAATAGTCAAGCGAAAATACTTGATAGAGAAGGAGAGGAAATCTCAGAATGTGTTAAAGGTGATCCATATCTTCGAGATTTAAAACATACATCAGGTCATATTTCTGAATTGACATCTGGATGTTGGAATCCGGTTTCATATGAACGTTTTATGACGTCTTCTGTAGATTCTACAGTAAGGTAAGGGTTTCATATTTTTAGTTATTATATGAACATTATTGATTATAATAGATTATGGAATATGAATCAACCTAGAAAAAATGAACATATTATTGTTCACAAATCAAAAACACCGGGGAAAAGAATGAAAGTCTATTCATCGACATATTCTCATGATGCAACATTTATTGCTACAGCAGATAATGAAGGTACATTATCTTTATGGGCAGCAAAAGGACCTTTTCATAGACCGATGGGAGGAACAATCCTTAATGCACATGAAAAAGAAACACATACATCATGCATTAGTTTTTTACCAAGTGGAAATTTAATGGTTACACGTGGAGGGGATCATACAGTCAAATGTATGTTATCTTTTCATATCAATCAAACTAATCTTAACAGTATGGGATATACGAAAATTCAAGGAACCACTCAGTATTAGAAATCAAATCGAAAACAATTATCCAGAAACTAACATCGCATTCTCTCCTAATGGAGAATATATTCTTACTGGATCATCAATTGTTACAACTACGAAAGATATCGGAAAATTAGTCATACTCAAGACACATAATCTAGAAATAGTCAAGGAACTATCTATTCATAATTCAGCAGTAATAAGAACACTATGGCACACTAAAATTAATCAAGTAAAATATTTTATATTGTCAAAACAATAACTAATTATTCAAGATACTTGCTGGAACGGCAAATGCAGCTATACATGTTTTATACTCGCCAAAATCATCCATTAAAGGTGCTAAACTAGTTCTAGCAAAGGCACCCAAAATTCAGCATATTGATGATGACTCTTCTTTAACCATTGACATCTATGCAGGTGCAGTTTCAGGCAGTATTATTCTTCCAAATGGCAAACTGGATGAAACTGCAGATACTGAACTCACGAATGCTAGACGAGAAAAATCTATGATTAGAAAAGATCCAATTCGAAGTAGGATACCGTCTGCACCTGCAAGAAATGCTCCTGGGGGTCGCGGTAATAATCCAGATGAAAATCATGTTAAAAATTCTATTTCTCTAATCAGCATGCGTGATGAGGATCCTCGAGAGGCATTATTAAAATATGCAGAACTTGCGGAAAAAGATCCAATCTTTACGGGGATTTATAAAGAAAACCAACCTAATCCCATTTTTGCAGATCATACAGAAGATACAACAGAAACAATCAAACATACAAAAAAAAATACATTAAAACCCTTATCCTAAACCAATATATACATCATTCATCGTTCATTTATCCTATTACATGTTTTCCTATCTTAAAACACTTCTTTATTACTAATATGCGAGTTCGAAGCAAGATTGTTCGTAACTGAACTAGAAGTCGCTTGTATAGCATCCAAACCTTTCTCTTGGCCAGGATTTTCCAATCCATACAGATATCCTCTACCAAAAATGTCAAAAAACCTAATAAAAAATTCAAAACATACGTATATTTTACGTCATCCAGAATATCTTTTAAAAAGTTCATTTTAAGTTCAAAAAAAACACGTGCAATCAGAAATGATCCCGATCCCGCTTGATGACCAAGACCCGTACGTGATATTCGTAAATCATCGGCAATATCCTGTAGTCCTCCTTCTAGCGTATTTGTAAATTTTATAATATATTTAATATCTATTCATAAATATTAATATAAACTATTATCATATATTTCTTTACCATATAACTTAGGAAAGAAAATATGAAGCAATTCATAAAACTCATTTTCTTCAACTGGAAGACAATTACAAATCATTATTTTAAGCAAATAACCAAAATCATAACTACTATCAAAATCTTAAAAAATTATACAACAAGAGAAAAAATACCTGTGAAATGACATCCATTTTACACAGTCAAGTAAAACAAATCCAGAGGAAATTAGAAGTTCACCGAAATAATTCACGTCTATTCCATATTCTTCATGCCGTTTAAAATCTATACCATTTTTTTGCAAAAGTTCAATAGAGTCCTGAGAATACATATCATCGCTAGCGTATTTATAAGACAGAAAATCCAACAATCTTAAGACTTTACTTAAGACTAAATTTAAAATTAAACTGCCATGTACAAGCATCTGGAGGAAAATTCCCTGAAGAATCACTAAAAGTAATACCCAACTGGATAATCTTAAGCAAATCTACATTGCACCGAAGCATCTGATAGTAATAGTCCGATCCTGACAGAAATGATCCAATCGGTCTTGCTATTACACCAGGGAACTCAATATTCTTCAAAAAAACGTCAAAAAACTCCTTTTTAAGCCCTGAAAAAAACAATACCATTGCCAAAAAGTTATAACATTCAACTAACTCCCTTAAATATGCCATTTCTGAGTCCAAATTAACCGCCCAAACCTCACGTACCGGCAACATAGATGGTGAAATTAAATGCTGAGAAACAACATGAGGTCCCATTTAAACTAACTAACCACAAATATATACTGTAAATATAACAAAAAACCACTATAACCCTTATTTATTTGAAATTTATACGGCCTTTCTTGCCATCTTCACCAATTTTTTTTGATGAGCTTCGACTTAGAAAAATTCCGATAAATATTAAGTCAAAATCTTGAAGAAAACCCGAAAAAATAGAGATAGGAAAAATCTATCAAAAATAAGAGTTTTATAAGAGAAAACATAAGAATATATATATAAAAACATATCTGTAATATTAGTTTGTTAGAAAAAAAGAATTGATAAAAAAATAAATAAGTAAAAGTGAAGAGATAAATGTTAAAAAAATAAAGTAAAATAGAAGAAAATCAAGAAAAATCAGTAAGAAACCATTTTAAAAAGGCGACTTGTCTTTGTAGATCCTGTTCAGTTTTGTCAGAAGAAGACCTCATAAGAATTGAAGAAAAAATGAGTACTTTTAAGATTAAATATAAATAAAAAAAGAGATAAAACTTACATATTCTTTGAAAAGAATCCAAAGAAAAATTTGAAGAAAGGTCTCGCATGAAGCTAACCATGTATATGAATAAATTTGCATTTAAACTTGGTAAAATATCAAGTATCTATATTATGATTTAAATATAAAAAAGAAAGAGAATAATTACCATTATGGAATCTTTTTTATAAAATGAAGCTCGTAAACATCGATTATAAAAAGAAATTGGAATGACAGAATTTGGAAGAGCATCCAGAAATAATAATAGTGTTTCGGCCATGGAAATGACATTCAAATTGTGTTTTGATTTATTTTCAAGAATGGAATCTTTAAATTCATTTTGAGTATTAAGTGCGTCTCTAATATGTGCCATTATTGGAGCAGAACCAAAGGTAAAAAATAAATCATCCTTATAAATTAAAAGGATTTCTTATTTTAGAGAAATACGTACAACATTTTTCCCATTATTTAAAAGATATTCAGTCATTCGTAGAATTTCCTTAGGAATACTCCAAGCATTGGTAACAGATTTATCAATAGGAAGAGCTTGGGAATCATTTAATCTTGAAAGCTGTTCCAAACTCATTCCAAAACAAGTGGGTGAAAATACACCCTGAATTAAAATAAAGAAATCAGCACCATTTTTTAAATGAAGTATTAAAATATCTTCCAGAGAATCTTCTCCAGAATTAAGTTTTGAAACAGATATATTATCTATGAATACGGTTAAATTAATATAACATGAATTACCTAAAAAGATTATAAGAAAATAAATAAATAGAAATATTTACCAGGATTAATGATTCCGGAACGTGGACATGGCCATATCCATGGTTTGCATATATGTTTATCATTTCTTTTAGGGATAAACTCAAACTCTGCAGTTACCTTAATAATTAATAAAAGAAAAATAAAAAAAAATCAGCACCTGACCAATATTATCAATTTTAATAACTTTTGTTTTTGGTTCAAGATAAACGACATCTTTAAAATCCAAAAAATTAAGTGAAATATTAACCATTGGAATTCTTTTATTCTCAGAATTTTGATACTCTTTAGTTAACAAATCTTTTAATTTCAAATAATTATTTACAAGTAATATTTCAATCTAAGTTTCAAGATATCAGTTTATTAATAACAAAAAATTATTCTACCTTAGCATCTAATTCCACACTAACAGGCTTATGATCACTCATAACATTATTCATATAAGATCTATAATTCTTTACTGAGATTCCATTACTTTTCCATAATATACGATCAGTCCATGATGGTACACGCATTTTTTCACTATATTTATTATAAAAAACAAAAATTTTACTTGAAAAACTTTAAAAAAACCTTGAATCAAACCAACTACTTCCTATTTTATATTTGAAAGTTGGAGGAAATTTGATTTCTTCTTCATTAAAACCTTCAAAACAACGATTTGAACGTTTTTGAATATTAAGCTGATCAAATTCCAGCAAAAAATCAAACTCGTTCTTCTCCAAAAGTTCCTTTACACTAAAAATAGACATATCAATACGATAATTTAAATCTCCTTTGACATCATCAAACAATTACATTAAAATAGGCAAAAAATACCACACCAAATGAGATGATCACAATCAAAAAGAGATTTTGACTTTTTATTTTTGGACATATCCTCATCATAAAACTGTAATCGACGACAAATCTCATGAAAATCTTGATTTCTACGTTCAACTTGAGATTTCATTGCCGCCAAATGAGAATTAACAAAACAAAATACTGTATCCCATATTGTAAGACGAACCGCTACTGCTCCTTTATTGCCCATAATTCCCATTATTCCACAACCAACGAAAGATGTCATTACTGAAGTTAAAGAGGGTGAAATAATTTTATGAGCGTATATGAACAATAAAATTCCTACAAGTTGTTTGGAAACGATCTTAAAAAAATAAGATATTTGTTTCTACATAAATATAAAATACCTTCTCATAATGATCCCCTAATACTGATATAATAGCTTTATCCCACAAGTTTTCCTTTGTGTTATCATTACGTAAATATGCTTCAGTACTAAGATCGACTTCTTGAAGTCTATAAAATAAGGAAATAACAAAATAATAATAAAACACAATTTACCCTATTGCATATAATTCTACACATTGGTCACAAACCTTATACAATAACCATTCAGAAAGATCTTCTATTGGACCTTTTCCATTAACATTCCAGGTACAAATTTTTATTCTCAGATCACGAGACTCAATAAAACTTGATCTTTGAAGACTTAATCTCTCATAAACCCAATATTCTTCACTAGTATTCATAAATTTTTTATAATTCTTTGCTTTATAAATATAGGAATGAATTTTTTTTGAAAAATATGATTTATTATAATCATTCAAAGCTATTAAAAAACAATATCAGCTATTCTTCATACATATGCAAATAATAGTCGTTTTCTAAAGAATACTTACATATTAAAGAATCGGAAAAATCATCATCATATAAAGACAACATTTCATCGCCATTTGGTGCATAAGATTTATAAAATGAAAGCCAAGCAAAGTTCTGATTTGTAATATATAGCCTTTTATTGTCTATATATCCTTCAATATGGAAGATCAATACATAATTTTAAAATCAGACCTAATATCTGTATATGTTTATGAGTATCTCTAATAAATTCGTATAAAATATTTTTTTTTGAAAATGAAAATAATAATTCCTTGTTATTAAAAGAAGCTTCTATCATGAATTCACTTCTTTTTTCATCTTTTTGTTTAATTTTTATCTCCAACCCTTTTGTTATTTCAATAACCTTTAATATAACAAATATCATAGGTTTTTTCACACAAAATAAAAATAATGCAGATTCTATATACCCACTAAGAGAATCTGCATTATGTCTAATAATTGCAACATATGATCTATTAAATATACTATTTTTTTCTTTAATATAAGCCGATACTTCAAAAAAAGAATATAGACTTTCTGTTGGCCGCAAAAATAAAGAAATACTTTCTCTAATTCCTTTATCACTTAAGATCATTGAGGATATTCAATAAAAATATCTAAACATTTAAAATAAAATAACTTAATGAAAATAAGCTGCATCGTCAAAAAAAATTTATTAAAAATAAATTTAATAAATCTCAAATCTAAAAATAATCAAATTATTTTTAAAAGTGCTATTTATGACTTGTTTATCAAGATAGAACATGTTTATAACATACTCATACATATCGTAATTATGATAAATAACCAAATCGCCATTTTAACTACCAATAAATTATTCCCCCCATTAATATAAATATAAGAATTATTATCTGAGTATCCACAATGATAACTTTTATTTGATTCTTCTTTCTCAACCAAACCCCCTGTTAACATAGTTTGAGATTTATTTATAGAATGTTGATGTGTATCCGAAGCCATCGCATTCAACTTTTTTTCACTAATTACATCCTTTGATGTCTTATTATCACCAGACAGTCCTTTAGCTGTTGTGTCAACATTTAATACACTTAAGGCCGTAAAACTTTTGCATCCGGAATACGAATAGGGATTAAAACAAAGTTCTTCAAAAAAATTCATCATTTTATCAATACCATTATATGGTTCTGAAGCAAAACATTTCACCAATCCATTAATAAAAACTAAAGAATCACAAAGACAAACAATATCAAGGGAATCACTACAATAGGATTTTCTTGATAACTTTATTATACAACGTTTAGTTGCATCTATAAAATATGAATAAAAAAGAAAATAATCAAGAAATATACCATCAAATCCATAGCCTTCATAAAAACCAGGGCAGATTCTACGCATAGACGTATTGGAACGTTCACCAATACATTTTCTATGAAAACGAGGCTCTTCACAAAAAGATTTAATAGCAGAAAAAATTCTTTGACTTTCTTGATCAAAAAAAGACGGAAAACATGTATAAGCAGTTGATACGAAGATAAAGGAATCACAAATACATGGAACATCAAAATCATTACCACATCTCGAAGCAAAAGCTTTCCTCTTTAAACAATCCTGTATATCGCCTAAATTAGTTAGAAATTAATGCATATTGTTTATGGAATGAAATACCTTCAGGAACAATATCTTTAAACATAGATTCACATTTTACTGGTTCAATGAATTCTTTCACAGAAATAGTACTGCAGCCCGAGAGAGATAGAGGATTTTTACAAAGAATTTGATGATAATCGTGTATCATATTGACAGAAGCAATTGTATCGGAAATACATTGACTAAGCATATTCTTATAAGAAATAGAATCACATAAACATGATACATCAAAAAAATCTGTACAAAAAGAATTACGTATTGCGTCTCTTGCACAATTTCGTGTAGTTGCTATATTTATTAGAAAAATAATAATAATAAAAGAGAACATACGATTAAACCTAAAATTCTCATAAGGTTTTGGACAAGAAATAATTTTTGCGTCTTGTTTAGGTTTATTAACACACTCTTTAGGAGGAGGCTCAGGATTTTCACAAAGCTTTTGATGATGTTCCCGAGCTTTTAAAGCATCTACTCTAGAAAGAGTGCGTAGACATTCTTGAGAGTGTTTCAAATATTCAACAGAATCACAAATACAAATTGCATTAAATGAATTTCCACATCTTATTTTCTTCAAAATATTCTCAAAACATTTTACAGCTTTGCCTATAACAATGAATCAAAAATGCATTTTCAATATTTTTCTTACCATTAATACCAGATCCTTCAAAAACGCTATTACATGTTTTTGAACGATGACCCAATATATAAGAACGTTTATTTATACGCTTCCCATGCCTATATTTGTATAAAGACAAACTACCTGTAGCCAAATAACTATTTCTTCCTTCCAATAATGGATTTGATTTGTGTTTAAAATTATCAAGTTTCGAAGTTCGGGTCTTTATAAAAGAATATAAACATTTTCTACAAATTCTTCCAAATACTTTGTTGTACTTCGAATCCTTATCCCTAACTTCTTGATATAAATCTACTTTCTGTAAAGATCTAGAATAACCTTTATTATTCACATGTTCAGATAATGCTACTTTAACATTCTTGATGTTATCACGACATATACGCATAGAATTCGCCAGGTGCACTAAATGCAAATTATAAGGTCCAATTAAATTTTGAATGATCAAAAATGGCTTCTTTTGAGTCCAACTAGAATCTAAATAACTTGTGTTTGCCTTAAAAGAATCTAAACATTTTTTTCTAGTATTTAAAAGGGTATGCTTTTGTTGAGGAAGTCTAATAACAAATCTCTCAATATACTTGGGTAGTTTATCATCATCATATGTTCTTTGTCGCTTTACCCTTAACACATCTGTATTCAATTTGCAATAAAATGATTCAATCAAAAAGAAAATAATAATAAAAAACCCTTTAATCATTAAGCTCATATGCATTTTTCTTAATCCACTTTTCACTTTTATTAAAATCAAAAATATTGATAAAGAATAACTTCTAAGTGTAATGTAAATCGCCTAAACAAAAAGCTTTATAAACAGTCTCATCAAATTGTTTATGTGAAACATAGGCCTTTGCATCAAAAATCCCAAACCTATGCAAAAAACAGATATTATATATATTATATATACCCTCTATGCAATATATATATATGCATTTTATGCAAACAAAAATCCACGTATTAAAGCATAAAAGCAATGAAAGCACATTACTCATTACTTCTAATGCCTTTTTTGCTTTTCTAAGGCATTACATTTTTTTTTACGCATACTTATTATGCTTAAGACCCATAAATTTTAACCAGCCTCGCTCCAATTAATTCAAATTTATCTAATTTCAAAACTAACACCGCATAAAACAAATAACATTTTTACACTAAAAAGAGCCTGATTAGCAAGAAAATATAGAAATAAAGTTGATTTATTTCTGTAACACAACCAACCCTAAACCTAAACCTAAACCAAAGAATTATAAAGCTAGGATTAAACCCTTAGTAAAAGAAGTCCCTCGCTTATTAATTTCAATAAAAAACATTAAAAAATCAAAATGTCATCCAAAAGAGCACGAGGAACATCTGGAAACAAATTACGAATGACTCTTGGGCTTCCAGGTTTGCTTTTTCTCCTTGGAATTCAAAAACTAAGCATTTCAGTTGGAGCTATTATTAATTGTGCTGACAATTCAGGAGCCAAAGTAAGCAAAACATTCATAATCCAAGGATGATTCATAACATTTCTCTCCAGAATCTTTATATAATTTCTGTTAAAGGCACAGGTGCTCGTTTAAACCGCCTTCCCGCCTCAAGCATTGGCGACATGGTATTAGCAACGGTTAAAAAAGGAAAACCAGAGTTACGAAAAAAGGCTTTACAGGTTATTATTGTTAGACAGAGAAAACCCTGGAGAAGACGTGATGGCACACATTTATATTTTGAGGATAATGCAGGTGTCATTGTCAATCCTAAAGGTGAAATGAAAGGCAGTGCAATTACAGGACCTGTTGGAAAAGAGTGTGCTGATCTTTGGCCAAGAATTGCTAGTAATAGTAAGTCATTTTCCCCTCTTAACCTTCTATAACTTAACCTTAAATTTTACTAGGCGGTATGGTTATTTAGATTTATTACACAATCAATTTAGAGACATTGGCTTCTATTTATACTTTTTTCCATCATATTTTATTATATGTCAAATAAGTAATATTACTTCCATCTGTTTATAATTTCTATAAATAACCATTAATTTCACGCATATATATAACCATTATCCAATATTTAACATTGTTCTTCTTTCACAAGTTCAATGCATGTATTTAAAATACATTCCATATATTCCACTGTCCATTCTGCTTCCAATGGTGTAGCGACATAACACTGTCGAGCAAACCGTTTAGCTTATAAAAGGTCATTTTTTCCTCTTATAAAATAATATTTAATAAAACCTAATAAACAAGATAATTGTTGAGAAATAGAATGAATATTGGTGGTTCTTAAGGAAGTTGAGGAAGCACCTTTATCTTTTGTCCAAATACTAAGAGACAAAGAGCCAAAAAGAGGTTTTTCAAGGAAATTAAGAATAAATATCAAAGAAGTTGAAGGACGTAATAAAATTAAACGAATTAAAATAGGAGGTAAAGAAGGATGAAGCCTGATAGTACGCTCTTTTGTTGAGATTAAAGAAAGAGATGACATAAAAAAGCAATTGATTTAAAAAAATCTAAAATATTCAGTAATAATGCAAAACGGAGGAAATGATGAAGTAGATATACAGTATATGCGTGATATATGCGTGGAGTATACGTGATGTATGCGAGTATATGCGTACTATATGCGTACTATATAGAACCAGCGCTCTCTTAATATTCGAATTAAAAATTATCAGATGTTGCCATGGTAACCAGTACACTCGTTATCATTTATCTGTCGAAAGTATATTATCGAAAATATATATCGAAGCTCAAGTAAATGTCAGAAAATAATAGGTTATCAGGAAAATATAATATAAAACGATTTATCAAGAAGATTGAAAGAGAAACAAATGATGTAGAAGATATTGAGAAAAATGTCTTAGTTAAGCGTATATATTCTCTTTTTCCGAGTTTATATGATGAAATTTGACTTAAATCAATAGGGTATAATATTTGTAAAGAAAAAGTGATAAAAAAAATACCAAATGACATATTAGAAGATCCTATAATCAATGATTCTATAAATTTGGTATATTTTTCTTATAAGGAGGAAAATATTAAATGTTTTTAGTTGCCTTCAAATTATAATTTTGAAATACATAAAACCGTATGGTATATACGGAGAAATGGATCAAAAAAGGGTATTTAAAGATTTAAAATATTAGATAAAAAGATTTAAATGTCAAAAGTTGGATTACAAATGCCAGAAGGTCTTTTAGTTTTTGCATGTACAATATCAGATATATTAGAAAGGTAATATATATATATAATAATATTAAAAGAGTTTAAAAAATGTTAAAGAGTTTGTATGGTTGACGTGTTTATCATGGGAGATGTAACTTATGGCGTATTTATGTAAAAGAGAATAAATCAATAGTTTGATGATTTTAGGCATGTTGCATTGACGATTTTACAGCTAAAGCACTTGATTGTGATTTACTGATCCATTACGGTCATTCTTGCTTAATTCCTGTCGATTCCGTATCCATAAAAACATTATACATATTTGTTAGTATTGAGATTAACAAAAATCATGTAGTCGAAACAATCAAAATGAATATACCAAACGATACACACATAGCGTTAGTCGGAACAATACAATTTGTGCCAAGTATACATAGTATTCGGCCACTTTTAGAAAATAAATCAAACTACAAGATTACTATTCCCCAGTCTAAACCTTTATCCCCGGGAGAAATTTTAGGATGTACAGCACCAGTTCTTCATAACGATATAGATGCAATTATTTATATCGGAGATGGAAGATTTCACTTAGAATCAATTATGATTGCAAATCCTTTACTTCCTGCCTATAAATATGATCCTTATTCAGGTAAATTCACAAGAGAATATTATCAACATAAAGATATGAAAGATCATCGTAAAAAAGCAATTGAAAAAGCCATCAAAGCAAAAAAATGGGGACTTATCATTGGAACTTTAGGAAGGCAAGGAAGCCCTAAAGTTATGGAAGTATATAAACACTTTTTCATGCTCTTTTTCATCTACTAATTGATTATCCAAGAACTTAGAAACACAGCTCAAAGAGAAAAAAATAGAATATATAAAAGTATTGCTTTCTGAAATCTTTCCTTCAAAATTATCTTTATTTCATGATATTGAAGCATGGATACAAATTGCATGCCCAAGACTATCCATTGACTGGGGTTATTCATTTCCTACTCCACTCTTATCACCTTATGAAGCATCTGTAGCACTTAATAGTATTGAATGGAAAAATCCATATCCAATGGATTTTTATGCAAATCAGAGTTTAGGTCCATGGACACCAATTCATAGACAAGATCAGCAACATATTTTACCTAAAATTCAAACAAATTAAATTAAACCGAATAATAATTTTAAACAAAAAAAATACTTTGCAAAGAAATCATTTAAAATAACAATTATAAAAAAAATTAAAATTTACGAAATGTAAAATTAACAAAATGATTAAATCATCGAAATAGAAAACATGATAAAATAAGAAGCTCTATAATATTCCTTCTTTTTTAAAAAAAGTTGGCAAATAATTTTTTTATACAAAAGGACCGAATTACTATGGATTTTTCTACAATATTTCAAGAAACAAATGACATATCAGCTAAAATTCAAAAATGTGTACAAGAACTCTCATCTTATCTTAAAACATATCCATTATTACAAGAGGTTATTCTTTAATATAAAACCAAATTTAAAAACAAAACTAACACAAAAAACAGTTAAATAATCTAGACACTCTAGAAACATCGGTTCTTGAAGATCAATCACAGTTGAAAATCATTTTTACCAAAGTAGTTCCAAAATATTTTGTTACACGTTTCTAAAATAATAGATGGATACACTTATCACAATGCTTGAATGTCTTCGTCCAATTAGTAATGAACTATGCGGTTTATATAAGCATATTGATCAGTTGGAGGTACGGAAAAAAATATAATTCGTTATTTACTAAAAAATATAGGAACGATTTGAAAAATTAAAAAAAGACATAAAACAGACAGAAAAGGCACTGAAAAAGGCAAAAAGTATGCTAGATGAGGAGGAACAATCAATTCGTGAGGGGAAGCCTAGGCCTTTATGGAAATATAGTACAATTGCTTTTCATCTACCTAGCAAATGACTCATTCGTATGGTTTATTAATTAATAGAATAAAACAGCGCAAAAATATATTACAAATCATATCTAGGATTATCTTTAGACTCATCTTCGTCTTTCCGCATAAGACTTTCCATAACTTTTTTTTTTTCTTCCTGCGAAAAAATATTTACACCTTTTTTCAACGCGGAAACAAGTAATGGCATTTCCTTAGGATTGAACGAGGGATCCTTCACTTATAAGAAAGCTTTCAAATAGATATAATTTAAACAACATACTCTTCTTAACTGATCTAATTCATCTTCAAATTCTCGAGCGACGACATCCATATAGTGTTGTTCGAATAAATCATATGATGTATCTAAAGAATCCTAAGAAAATTAGAAGAATAATGAAGCTTTGATTAACATGCATTCTCAGTAGTACCATTTGTTTGCTGCAAATTATTTTTTTCATAACTCAATATTTTTCGCTCATCTGGCATAGAAGTTAATACATCTTTAAATTCTGATCTATTATTGAAAATCAGCTAAACATAACATGAAATTATATGAATTAACATGTAAGGTGGTAAAATGTCATTATTATCTTCTATTATTTTTTTTCTTTTTTTTTCCATTCTAAGCGAAAAAACTAACGAATAAAAAATATCAAAAACATATTAATATTATGTTATAAGTTTTTCAAGTGTTCTCCAATGTTTGGGAAGCCATGGAGCTAGATGAAGTGCTTTTAGGCAATCAAAAATAGTTAACATTTGATGATAAGCAGATGCCAAAATTTCAGGTGAACATGGATTCTTTAGAGTGATTTGTAAGGCCATCAAAGAAACATCGGGGCTGTTCTCCAATAAGGCAAGTCTTGACCATATGATTGGGGAAGAAGGATATATATTCAATGCAGAAAGATATATATATTTTGGATCATTACCCTATATTAAATAAATATATATGTATTTATATACATCAAAAAACATACCTTCAAATATGCACTAAGTTCCAAATACCTCTCCACATTATGATCTATATCATGCTTTTTTCTTTCGTCCCAGTCAAGCGCGTGTAAACATTTTAAAGTAGTTGCTTCTACTTCAATATCTTGATTTAGAATGCCAATACTACCAAGAAGCAATAAGGAAGATATATGATTAGAGTTCTGAGAAATACTAAGTATATTTTAATTTGCGTCTTTCAACGAGAATAAGGTTTTTACCATTCAAATAATTGTTGTCGAGCAATATCACGTTCTTCTTGACCACCAGTTGCCCAAAGAATTTTGCAAAGCAAAACAATAATATCCGGATGTTCATTAAATTCCGTGAGACTGTTTTGAAACATCTCCAACGCATCCATTATCCTGTTTAAATAAAATAAAGAAATACTAGCTACGAGATAGCAAGATAACCTATTAGATGAGGCCTCTGATCCTTCTGTTAAATTAAGAACAATCTGTGCATTTTCTAAAGCCATTTCATATTGTTTATTAGCCAAAAAAGCTCTAGATAAACTTGATTTCGCATGTAAAAACTGTACTATGATTTCTGAATTTTCATTTCCTTCATATTCCTTTTCTAAAATATCACATGCTTTTGATGAAAATAAAATACATTTTGTCCAATCATAACTCATTTCCAATAACAGTGACATCAATATTAATACATTACAATCCGTAGGACGCTGCTCAAGATATTTCTGTATTGCAAATACATAAGTAGTAAGATTTCCCGTTAATTCAGAAAGAGATGTTTTCTTCAAATAATCATATGAAGATGTTACAAATAAATAATTTACAATAGGCTAATATATGTCATTTTATATTAAAAATATAAGGAATCTTACAATGTTTTGGGATGAATTAATAAATGAAATCTCGAATTGTTCTTTAGCTTCTAAAGTATCACCCATTATTTTTGATATAAAGCCTAAACCTATCCTAGATACCCAATAGTCCGGATCGACTGTCTGAGATTTCATATATGCTTCATAAGCTAAATCAAAATCTTCATTTATCATATATAATGTCGCAAGATCTGCCCATGTAATAGGATTCTAAAAATAAGCATAAATCCTTATTTTTGATAATCAAAAATTACCTGATCATCTAGCTTTAAAGATTTAATTAAAGCATGTTGAGAAATCTTTGAATTTAAGGTTGAATTAACTACACCAAATGCTCTCCAAAAAGTAGAATTTTTAGAATCCATTTTAATAGCCCTTTTTAAACAATAAATTGAACAATGAATCCAATCGCCATCTGCATCTACATTTCGAAGATATATCAAAAATAAAATTTGACCTAAACTGTACCAAGACATTGAATGTGCAGCTCTATTTTTTACAGAAACTCTAACAGCCCTCTTCATAAATAAAAACGCCCATAATAACAAATAACGAGAATTATTATTATCAAACAAATCCTTTTTATCTAAGGGCAAATCATCAATGATCGGAACTAGCTTTTCGCCAACGAAATCATATTCTTCATATAATATATTTAATATTGAAATTAATGACTCTGAATCAACAACAAAAAAACTCGAGAGCAAAAAACAAGCCCTACTAAGTATAATCCAAAGAGTATAACTATTCTTTTTACTATTGCTTTTCGATAGCTCAATTATTTTAAAACAATTAATAGCATACTCTTCCGACTTTTTGTAAAATCCTTTTTCTTTCCATGATGATGCCCAAAAAACATAATTTTCTGACAATGCTAAAGTAACTACAAATTCATCCGGATGAAGCTCAAGAATAGAATAATATGATTCAGATGCATCCTTATACAATCCTAATGTTTTCTGAACATCACCTATTAAATATTGCACAAACCAATTATCTTCATCTAAACTTCTAGACTTTTTTAAAGCCTTTAATGCTGCTATATATTTCCCAGACTTAGCATATGCTTCTCCAAGACCTGACCAAGAATGAGAATCATTTGCGCATATTTTCAGAGCACTTTGAAAATAAACAATAGCACTATTGTATCTTTTATAATTCTATTAACATTAAGTATTGTATATACATCCCATAGGAACAAACCATTTCAACTATTCCCAATGAGCGTTGTGGCCATGACAAATCGCGACTATATCTTCTATATATTTTATCTGCAGAAAGTACAATTTTTGCTATGGCCTCTACCAAATTCCATTCTCCCTTTTTCGCGTATGCAACGACAAGCCTTTCTGCAGCATCAACTTCTCCAGCGTTTAATTCAAATGCTTTCTGAAAACATTTCATAGATCTACTTTCATCTTTCAAAATATCGGCATAAAATATACCTAAATTTACATATGAATGGGAATACGTAGGATCGTATTTTAGAGATGTTATAAAAAATGAATATGATTCAGACTTTTTTGATTCAACGTCTACTATTATTAATATCTTTTAAAATTCCAATAAATCAAACTACTCTGCTCAAAAAGACCAACACCCTTTTTCCAACATATTTCAGCCTTATCATATCCAGAAAGAGAAATATCACTATTCATTTTTTCTATACAAATATCAAGTTTATTTAATCCATCTTCATAATTTTTTGTATTTATTTCGCACCATGCAATTTCAGATAAAATAAGAATATTATTAGGATCCATATCTTTTGCCTTCAAAAGCAAATCAATAGATGAAGAAAAATCCTTTTTTTCTTCTAATATAATTGCTTTCCCATATAATGACATGACATTATTACAAGATAACTCGAGTATTTGATCAAACAACTCCAATGCCTTATCGTGAAATTTAGGAAATTTATAGTGTACATATGATAGAGCCAAATGAAATTTCAAATCTCGTTGTGCACTAAAAGAATTAATGGTTGAAAAATAAAGTATAATAATACAAAGGAAGCGATAAACCTGTCTCTTCAGAAAACTTTGAAAGAGCCTTTAGCCCCTCTTGAGAAACAATAACAGCATTTTCGTACTCTTTTATAGAAAGATAAGAACGCACCAAAAAGCGGTAACAAAATACTGAATTTGGCAAATTCTCAGTCGCTTCCTTCAAAATGTCAATTCATAAAATACAAACAAAAATAAAAATTCACAATAAAAACGTCCAAAGGATCATCAAATAATTCGCATGAAATGTTTTTTAATATATAATCACTATTATTTTCAGATCCTCCATTAACAAATGTTCTCTTTGAATATTTTAAATATAAAGACAAAACCCCTCGAAGACACAATCCCATGGGATGCTTCGGAAATAAAGAAATAAAATCCTGAATAAACATAATATCCAATTCATCTAGTCTTATTAAACATAATGTAACTATATCAAAAATATACCAATTTCCTCAAAATCTTTCCATTCAAGAACAATCATCCAAGGTAAAATATCATAACTTTTTACAATAACCATCCCTGATGCAAGTTTCAACACTTTCTCTCTTTTATAGTTTTTTTCATTCGCATCAACTATTTTAAGATGCTCATAACAATGATTAAGCAATTTCACTTCAATTTCCCTACGCAACTTATCATCATCTATCCAATTCATTGCTTCTTCATATATTTTTTCCAACTATTAAATAATTAAATATATATATATATATAGTAAAAAATACAGTAGAATCCTTAAATACTTCCTTCTTCACATTTCGGGAGATCTCTTCCGCTGTAAATCCAAGCCTTCCTCGTTGTTTAGCCATAGATTTATTTATTTTTTCTCTCTCAAGATCTTCTGCTATTTTTATCATTTTTATATATGCAATCTCTGCTGTAATAATACAATTTTCAATATATTTATAAAATGGCCCTGACGGAAGATAAAACTTAAGTGTCTTTAGTATCTGGACCCTATTTCAATGATTTATTCCAAAAAATCCTAAAAACTCTCAACCTGATTCAATGAACCCCGTTCTTCCACAAATTCCAACAGTTTTTTCAGACTTTCAAGACACTTATCCTTTTCATCACTTAAATAATAACATTTCAGCATATTTATATCATCTTTTTAGGCGGAAATAAACAACCTTTTCATAAAAATACTTGCTAGCTTAACTGAAGCATAAATATACTCATCAACTCGATTCTGAGACGCATATAAGCATGAAAACCCCTAGAAACACTTAAAAAATGCCTTTCAACGGTATATATGCGTTCTTTCCAAGCCAAATAGGCCTCTTTATCGATTTCTAATGCCTTTTTATAGGCATTTTCACATTCATCAAATTCTGATACATTAAAATATCCAATTCCAAGAAAAACGTATGCATTGTAGTTAAAAGGATCAAAATCTAACGCCTTTTTTGCATAAATTATGGCATTTTTATAGTCTTTTGCTGTGATAAATTCTTTGGATGCTTTTAAGGCGGGCTTAGCCATATATATATATAATATCGATAGAAGCAAGAAATAAAAAATGATTTAAGGAATATATATTGATAGAAAACAGCGCATATATAAAGATAAAAATGATATTTTGGTATGAAAAAGCATTGTCTTTTTTTTTCGGTTTAAAACATATAAAATTGAGGGAACTAGATGGAAAGTTTGTTGTAAATAAAGGATAATAAGAATATTATGGCGCATATAAACAGTAAAATAAGAAAGAATATTGATTAGAATGATATGAATACTTTCTTTTTAATTTAAAGGCGTTTTTTTCTGGTCAAATTATAAGATATAGTTAATATATAAGAGAAAAAGGAAATAAATCGAGATAATAGTATATTTATGAAAGATATAAGAACTTTTAAAGGGGTTTCTATGTGCTTTTATTATTTTATCTTTTAAAATTAAGGGTTATATGGTTAAAAAAATATTAAAATATATATAAAGAAATATAAGATTGATGAATGAAGTTAGAAGAAGAAAGAAAGCTAAAATTAGTTTAAGAACATTAATTTGAATGTAGTGGGCGATAAAAGGATCTATAATATATAGTATTGTCAGAGTAAAAAGACATTTTATAGAGCCTTTTCTCAAAAACCATGGAGAATTTTATTATTTATGTGTTCTATTAAGGGAAAAGGATCAAAATGGCGAGTGGGAAATGAAACAGAATATTTATTTTAAATTCATAACTAAATAAATTAATTGAAATAATTTTTAAAGTTTAAAAGCTGATTTCCTAAAAAAATTTAAGGGTAAGTGAAAATTCATTAAAAAGAAGATATAAACAATAATATTTTTATATGGATTTTACTTATATTTACTTTTTTTTTAGAGGAAAAATTTTATATATAAAAAATGATAAAATATATATATAAGGACGATGAAGACATATCTTTATAGAATTGAGAGATTTTTATTTATATTAAATTATCAGAGAAATTATATAGTTAGCAAGAATCAAGAAATTAATTAAAAATCAAATAAGTCAAAAATTAAGATTATTAACAAAATTTAGAATTCTAGTTGTTGAAAGGTTTTTTGAAAGGATGTCTTTATATGAAGATTTTTTCAAGTAAAAATATTAATAAATCAAGAATGAAATTACTATATAAATTTATAAAAATAAGAGGGCAAAACCATCTAGGAAGTTTTTACGAATAAGATTATTCAAAATAGAAAAATAAAACATATCTATAAACATTTATTTAATTCCCAAACAAATAGAATATTAACTTTTTATATAAAGATTCAAAATATCAATTCTTTCAAAACAATCTTTCATATATAAGAGGAAAAAGCGTTAACTTTTCATTATTGAAATAATTTAAAATTCAATTAATTCAATAATATTAACAAAGTTAATATCTATATTTTGGATTTTAATAAATTATCTTTTTAAAGGTATTTTATTTAACAAGTATACTTATAATAACTTTTAAATAATACAGATAACTAAACACATTGGAATATTAGATATTTTATTTTTTTATATTGAATAATGATATTTCTTAAAAAATATTACATCCACAAAAGCGTTGTTTTTTAATGCAAGAAAAAATAATATTTTATTGATAAAATTAATAACAAATAGGCATGTTTTTTTTATTAATTATTAGATTAATAAAAGCTTACAAATATTTTTTTTACTTTAGGCAAATATCTTAATCATTTTAAAGCCATTTTATTTAAAAAAGACAACCAAGATTGTATTCTTGCTTGATTTTCCATATCGAATTATTATTTATAGATAATTTTTATAAATATGTCAAAAGATTTTTTCATCGTTAATTATTGATTCAGATCTTTAAAAAGTATGGCTGATCTTAAAGCAAAAAATAAAGAATTTTTTAATATTGATCCAGATGAAATATTGAACAAAGACGTTAAAACAAATGAATCAATAGAGAATCTTAGCAAAAGAACAATTAAGAGAAGATTAAAGAAAAAAAAATGGGAAGAAACAAAAGCAGAACGACGTAAATATAAAAAAGAAAGAGACAAAATTAAAAAATTAGAAAAACATAAAAAACATGTGGAAGCAGGCATGCATTCTATTAAATTAAAAAAAAATCAAATACCAAGTGAAATAAAAGTTATTATTGATTGTGGATTTGATGATAAAATGATTGATAAGGTATAATTGATAATTTTAAAAATGTATAGACAATTATAATAGGAAATTGTGTCATTAAGCTCTCAATTAACACGCTGTTATTCGGACAATAGAAAATGTGCATATCCAGTCGAACTTTATGTAACATCTTTTGGAGGACGACTAGCAGAACGTATGAAAACAGTTTTAAAAAGTCAATATATGTCTTGGAGAGGAATACAATTTTTTGATGAAAGTTATGATGCGTTATGTGAAAAAGAAGGTTTTAGTAAGGAAGATTTTATTTATTTAACAGCAGACTCAGAAAACACTGTTCATGAATTAAATAAAAACAAAATATACATTATTGGTGGGCTTGTTGATAAAAATCGGTATAAAGTAGTTTTCTTTTTTCTAAAACGAATTATATAACAATATATAGAATTTATGCCTGGATAAAGCTAAAAGTCAAGGTATCTATACAGCACAGCTTCCAATTGAAAATCATATAAAAATGGCATCAAGAAAAGTGCTTACAGTTAACCAGGTTCTAGAAATAATGCATCAGTGGATAGAGATCAAAGATTGGGAAAAAGCTTTTCTAAACGTGATTCCTATGAGAAAACTTCCTCAAAGCAAAATAAATAATACTGATCAGCAACTTAAAGATTTAGAAACTAGTTCATTAATACTTGAAGATATAGGAGATTTATCACAAGAAGCCATTAGCGAAATTAATGGATGATTTTATTAAATTTTTTTTGTATTATATAAATATACTGTTTGGGTATTTGAAAGAAACAACTATATACTTCTTATAAGGATACATCAAAAATCAAGCATAACAGATCCTTCGCTTTTATCTAATTCCTTTTTATTAATTGCTTCATCTTTCATGATAAGAGAAGTAAATTTTTTAAAATATTCTATATAAGGCTTTAAAGAAGTCTTTTCATAGTCTTAAAAATTAGAGAGGTATATATTTTTAATTCTTATTACCTTGAATTTGCTCTTGTTTTTCTGATATTTCTAGACTTTCTTTATGTTCTTTGTCCCATGCGTCAATTTCATTCAATAACTGAGTAACAGTAGGCACTTCAAAAGGATTAAACTTTTCAAAACAGCTGGAATCAATAGGCACGCATATCCTCCCTAAAACTATGTCAAAAAAAAATAGCATTAAACTTTTTTTCCAACCTGTTCCAGGATGTATACAAAATGGTGATTTCAAAAGATGATTTAAGTGTTTAGAAACCTCAGTATCAAGCCTTGGATACATATATTCTAAAATTATATCCTGCTTTGCTGTTAATAATGCTTTTGTATCAAGATTCTAATTTATTAATTTAAACATCAAATAAAAAATATAAATTTACCTTTGAAACACCGCTTTCAGCTACTACATCAATATCATGCCATTTATTATAACTAGATCTCATTGGTTGGGACTTCCATTTCTCACGAAGCGTTTCTTTAAGGTCTTTGACATAAGTAATATTCACTAATAATTACAGAATATACCATGATCAGTGATAAATTCAAGCAATTTTTCCGATCCCTCATCGCTTTCCCAAGGATTTTGAGAAATAAGAATATTCGAGCGGAAACTTTCTTTCAAAATATGGAGACTTCTACTAAAAACAATAATTAATCATAAAATCCATATTAAAAAATCATAGAAACCTTATAGAAGGATGAAGAGGCCTCTTAAATTCCACTTTTTTTCCATATCCTATACCTCCCCTTGAAACTTCAAGATATGCTGCAATTGCTTTACGTTTTTGATCATTCAGTTCACGTGCCTTTTTGTCACAAACCCATGCATGTACACCTCGTCTTCCTGAATAAACCCACAAAATATATTCAAATCCAAAATCATCCCTTAATGTAGAGTCAATAACCTTTATTGAAGCCGTAATAAACCCCCAACATTTTAAACAAATATCTGTTTTTGAACAACATGTTCGCACATCATCATAGTCGGTCAAATCAATATCAAAAACAAGCTCTTTTTCAAGAGGTTTAAACATAAACTTCCTTAAAGTCTTACGATCTCTAGGATTTGCGTTGTAAATAGGTCCTATCTCGAATCTAGACGGATTTAATCTTAAAACTTCTTTACGAAACGCTTCATATGTAGGAAACGAATTGTAGCGCAAATATGCATCATTTTGTAAAGTAAAAGCAATCTCCCTATTTAAAAATGATTTAGAAGGGACAGGAGATCTATTTAGCCACTGAAAAACATATCTTTGTCTTGTTATTTATCATCAAAAAAAACCAACAAAAAGTCACTTGAACGGAAAAATCCTCTGGTAAAAAGCAAAAAAAACACCCGGATCAGAAAACTCATTTGTATCCTCAGGTATTTCGTCGTATTTCATTGAAATATAGCCTTATTTCTCCTCAAAAAATCTCCCTAATTTACATATAATTTTTTTATGATGTTGCCTGGAGCCCTTTATTGCCATGGCAACCACAACGCTATAATGTCCACGCACGTACAATCTCAACGTCAGGAATTACGATAGCAAGACCTCCCATAAAAATGATGGGGCAAAAAGAGAATATAAGCGAGGGAAATAGAGGTATTTTATACGAAAAAAAAGAAGAAGAAGAGGAGATTATAGGGTATCGCGAAAAACTGCGGAAAAAATTGAAGTATTGGGAGAGAAAATTCAAAGAACAAGAAGGACGTAGCCCAGAAAAAAGAGACATAAAAAAAGACAAAAAAATAAGTATGAAGAAAGATAAAAGGGAAAAAATGACTTACAGAGGCGTAAAGAAGAGTACTATAAACTTTATAATCGAATTCGCATGGGAAAAATCGAGTTAAATGACGAAAAAATAGAAAAAAAAGAATATTTGATAAAAAACTATAATAAAATAGAAGAGATAGACAATGAAAGAGATATGGAGAGTACTATAGATAAAGAAGATACAGGAATGCTTTTTGGCGGAAATTGCGAAGAAATAGGACCAACACCGCAAAAGATAGGAAAACCGATAGGAATTTTTGATGATTTATATAATAATTCATATGTTTTATGGAAGGGACATGAAGAAGAAGAAGAAGATATGACTTTAAAAATTATAAAAACTCCAGAAAAAAAGGAAAGAAATATTGAAAGAGTGAAAACTCCGATAAAAACACAGGATAAAAGCAGTTTTCTTACGACACCAGTGTTTCTTAAGAGATCTATGAACATAACATCATCTATTTCTCCGAAATTTTCATTTAGGACAACTTTATTATCTAAAAAAAGTCTTAGCTCATTAATAGAAGAATTACGACAAATGGAAAATAATTTTGTTGATCCGGAAGAAGTATTAAAAGAAATTGAAAATCAAAACAGCAATACGTTAATTGAAGAGGAAAAGGAGCCTATAGAAAAAATAGTTTCAGAAAATAAAATATGGAAAAAAAAAGGAATTAAACGATCGAAAAAAAGAGTCATATGTAAGAAACAGCATCTTTCTATATATATATGTAAAATTAAATGTGTTACAGTGAGACCTGTTATTATTAAAAAGGAAACGAAAAAAATAGAAAACCAATCAAATAGATTAATAGACAAAAAAACTTTTAAAGAAAATCACATTCTTCATGAAAACAAAACTCTAAGCAATATAGATAAAGAAAATACCAAAGATACTGGTAAACATAAAAGATATATTAAGGGAAAAGGAGGCGTTTTTCTTCGCTCTCAAGTTAGTAGAAATTACGTAAGTTACAAATTAAGAAAATACAAGTCCAAATTTCGACAAAAATAATATTTATGGGAGGTATTTTAATGTTTTATTCTTAAAGATTATTCAAATCTTTCAATTAATCCTATATTAATTATATGAAAATTAGTCATTATTGCATATGAACTCTAAAATATCCAAATATATAAGACGATAGACCATGGTAATTTAAGATAAAATTGGAAAAAAATTTATCAACAATATCGAACCATTAATATAAATGATATTATTCTTTTTATATAATTCGACTCTTTTCTTATTTCATTATGTATAAAAGGAATTTTTTTAAGCATTCTTCAAAAAGTGTATTATTTTTCCATAATTATAACGGTTATTTATAAATAGGGTAGCATCCTTTATCCTTTTTATCTAAACACTCTAGATTTCCTTTAAAATGCAGAACATGTTATTTTGAATAACTTTTATTGTATAATTATTTCAGATATTAGAAATAAAAAATATTCCAAGATATTTTTTAATAATAATCTATTATATGATTTCTAAAAAAATATTTTAATCTTTTTAGTTATTATTTATAAGTAAAATGAATTTAATATCAAAAAAATTAATTTGATATTTATTTAATAAAAACTAGTGAGAATATAAAACTATTTCGTGACATTGTGTATAGATTCAGAGACATATCTAGATAAAAATAAACATTTAAAATATCAAATTAAATATACTAATACCTAACATTATTGCTAGAAATACCAGCAATAGAAATTCTGCCATCATTTGTTAAGTAAATATGATACTTATCAGTAAGGAGCTTGACTTGTTCTGGATTAAGACCTGTATAACAAAACATACCTATGTTTCATTAATTTTTTAGTAATTATATATATATATATATACCTATTTGAGAAGTAATATGCGACCAGTCATGCTATAAAAAATTTATATATATACATAGATAGATAATAAAATACCTTTGATTGAAAATCTTCTTCAAGACATTTTCGAATCATTTTTCCTATAAAATCAATTATATATTTTTATTGGTAAAAACCTACTTGATGAAATAATCCGATTAGCCATTCCCTTTAACTCTGAAAGCCACTGTTTATAAAGTTCATCATTACCCAAAATCTCAGCAGCAATTCGAGCACCATGAATAGGAGGATTTGAAATAAGAGGACGAATTAAAATCTTTAGTTGGCTTTCCACCCGTTCTTTTTCTTCTGATGATTCGCATACAATAGAAAATGTACCAACACGTTCACCATAAAGACCCATATTTTTAGCAAAAGATTGACTAACACATAAACTATGTCCCTCTTCAACAAAATATCTCAACGCATAAGAATCTTTTAGAAGATCTCCCGATGCAAATCCCTGATAAGCCATATCAAAAAATACATAATGATTTCTTGATTTAACAGCACTAGAAATCAGATGCCATTGCTCTTGTGTAGGATCTACACCTGTAGGATTATGTGCGCAAGCATGAAACAAAATAATAGATCCCTTAGGTGCTGCTCGAATATCCTCAAGTGCACCTTCAATATCAAAACCAATAGTATTTTTGTCAAAATATCTATAATAATTAATTTCAAGTCCTGAATCTTTAAATATCGGTATATGATTCCCCTAAATTCATTATTACAGTCGTTATTAAATCAATATATAAATAATATAAACCCATGTAGGTGATGGAAGATATATTTTTTTACTTAAATAAAACCTACTTAAAAATTCTCCACCCAGACGCAATGCTCCCGTACCTGAAACCGATTGAACAACAGAAATCCGCCCTTCTTTCAGTGCTTTTGAGTCTTCGCCATATACTAATCTTGATGCATATTTAACAAAAGAAGAAACACCTGTAATAGCAGCATATTCTTTATTTAAATCCGCAAAAAGAATTCTCTTTTCAGCCTCCCTAACAGATGGAAGAACATATGGTTTCTCATTATCATCACGATATGAACCAACCCCCAAGTTTACTTTTAACGGACTTTTATCAAGTTCAAAAACTTCATTAATTCCTTTAAAAATTAAAAAAAAAAAAAACCAAATTAAACAAAAATATACCAAGAATTGGATCGCGTGGACCTACTAACATTAAATATCATATAAAATTCTCATTAATTTCATATATTTACCTTGCTCGACATGAGCCCATGTTGAACTTAGAGCAACACCTCGAAACTTAGAAAAAAAAGTACCTAAAATATTCCTTTGAAGATAAATCATATAAAATATAACCCTATAATAAAAAGATAGTTTTCGTAAAAAGAAAAAACAATTTTCTTTTAAAATCGATTAATCACAAATAGGCAGTTAAAAAAAATGAAAAACATAATTATATCATCAATGTCATGTATATTTTTCTTTGTAATAGGATATTACAGTAGATCCTTTTCTCTTCCTTATTTAAAAAGACTTATATTGAAATTTTTATCCAAAAGCAAAAACATACAAGAATTGTTTATTAAAAAGATGCCCTATTTAAATATTAGCGAAGAATATAATGAAGAATATAAACTTGTATTAGTTGTTAGAACAGACCTAAAAATGGGTAAAGGAAAAGTAAATAAAAATTTTTAAAAATTATTATATACAACTGACATTCAAGGTGGCATCACAATGCTCGCATGCAGCTATTTCATGTTACAAAAAACTTATGTGCCAAAATCCTAAGGTATAGCAGAAGTTGATTGAAAATTACCAATTAATTTTTAGATAATCAAGTATTGGGAATTATACGGACAACCAAAAATCGTATTGCAAGTAGAAACAAAAGCCGAATTAGAAAAGTTACATGCCCATGCAAACTCATTAGGTATAATCTCATGTATTATTCATGATGCAGGTAGAACCCAAGTTGAACCGAATTCAGTAACAGTAATTGGTATTGGTCCTGGACCAAAATCAATCATTGACCAAATTACGGGATATTTAAAATTATATTAAACACTAAAGAACGTTTCGATAGAATAAAGTTATTTTTGAATTCTATAAATCAAGCAAGCATCAACCCTATGTACATATAATTAGTAAAACAAATGAACATATATAAAAAGAATATCTTATTTATTATATGAAAAAATAGACTGTTGTTCTTTTTTTTTCTCTTCAGCCAATTTTCTAAGCCGTTCATCAACCTTAGCTTTACCTGAACCTTTCCCATGAAACTGATGAGACAAAAATTTATATGCCTCTTTGTCTTTTATTTCTCTTCCAAACTCGTCATTATACTTTAATTGAATTACGGGTGTCCATTTTGCAAAAAGTTTTTGTAGTTCACGTGCTTCTATCATTGCATGACGCTGATTTTCAGCTTGAAGATATAATTCTCTCTCACGAGGAGTCATTCTATCTAATTTTCCACTGCAACGATCCGCTTCTTTTCTATATCTAGCTTCTTCTTCTAATTTTCTCCTTAACTTCTTTTGTTCTGCTAAAAAGAGAGAATGCTCATGTTGAGCCCTCTGAACTGACAACGCCTCATCAGTTTGCTTATCAACAATACCTAAAAATAAATAAACACATAAAAATAATACAAAAAAATACTGAAAATACCTTTTTGTTTAAGTAAATTAAAAACAACACCAACACCAGAACTAATATCCGCCTCATCTTCAATTCCTGTTGTTGAAATGTTTTTTGTAAATTTATCAGATTCATCATAAGGACTTTCTTTTGTTTCATCTTGTGAATTTTCTTCTACAATTTCTGGAGTTTCCAAATTTTGTATATACTCAATATTTTCAAGTACTTTCTGCTTCTCCTTCGGTGCAATAGCTTGGATTCCACGAACAAACTCCGTTGTTTCATCAATAACGAGCCCCCCATCATTTTTATCACCATTTTCTTTCAATTCCTCGAACATTTGTTCTTTTACTAATCTCGCAACACTTTCAGGATGCGAAGTCTTTTTACGCCTCGAAGCTTCTCTCTGTCGAGCAAGGCATGCTTGCAAATCATCATCATCCACAAAGGATACATTATCAAAATTCAAGTCCTTATGAGATACCATATTATCGCTATTTTGCATTATATGTTTCATATCAACAGAGTCTGCAATTAAGTCATGATCAACCTTCCTCATCCTATTTATTTTTTTCTTCTTGATCTTTTTAATAACAATTTGAGAAATATCTTGATAATCCGATGATATATTTTCAACAGATGTATGATTCAAAGAAAATATTTCCTGGTGACCCTTCTTCCAGATTTCCTCTTGAGGCTCTTGAGATACATTCCCAATAACAAACCCCTTATTAATTTAGATTTTGACCAAAACGTATAGATATTACCTTCTTTACTTTCTCATCGTATTGAGAAAGAATAGTTTTAGATTTTTCCTCAGAAAATTCGTCATCATCATACCCTGTATAAACAAATTTCTTCTTGTTCTCCAAATTCTTTTCCAATTTCTCCTTCTCAACCAAACCAATATTCTCCAATTCATCACCTTGATCTTAAAAAATCAATACAGATTAAAACAAACTAAAATATCCAGAAAATACCCTCATTCTCTAAAATAGTACTATCTTTAAGCGTTAAAACTATAGCCTCTCCCTCGTTAATATCAGTAAAATCGTGAGACACTTTTATTCCCTCAAGTTGATCTATAAAAACATCAAAAAATAAATCGGTAAATCCATTCAAAAAAACCTGATGTATACTCTTCTTTCTTATCCTTCTTTTGCATTTTCTCCAATTTTTCACTAACAACATTCTCTTTATCTGTAACATGAGAAAAATTACGTTTTCGATGATTCATAACCCATGAACGCAAATCTAGATCACCTTCATCACTTGCCTCTCCAAGACCTTTTCCTGTAAATCGACGCTGTGTTTCTCGTGTTTCTCGGGCCCTAATAAATATGAATTTAAGCATTATAAGCAAATAAAGATGCAAACAAACATTCGAATTCGTTCCTGAATCAACCGTGTCTCCTCTTCTTTAATTTTTGCCGCTCGAAACTCTTTAAAATTAGTAACAGCAGGATCCTCCACAGGTTCTACTGTTTCTGAAAGCGGTGCAAGTCCCCTATCAAACATGATTAATATATATAAAAAAAATATATACCAAATCTCATAAAAATCACTTACAAAGAACGACGAAGTGCATTCGTTTCTTCTACTGTCATAGATTCCGCAGTAAAACTATCTTTAACCGACGATTCTGTCATTTCCTCTATACGATACAAAAATGAACGCAATTATACACAAAAAAGCAAACAAACGTCTCCAATGTAAAAAATACACTGTAATATATTTTCTCAACAATATATATGATATTCTGGTTCGAGAAAAATCTTCTTCTGTAAAATGCTTCCAAAACACTTAAATATAGAGTTCTGAGACCAAAAAAAGAATAATCACTACCAAATAATAAGGAAACAAAAGGAAAAACCTTCAAATTTAAAAAACAGATGCCTGACAGATTATATACGTCTGAATCAATAACTTTGACCCAATCAATATTATAGCTTCTTATATTACAAAATTTCGAAAAAAAAAAACAATACCAAGACCCCAAACAAAAATATAAGAGTTTTCTTTAAAAATAGATAGATATATTCGCACAATTTCCTCAATTTATCTCTTTTATTTCTAAAAAAAAAAAGAATCTACGTAACAAAACCCAACGTCAATAATAGATAAATAACCCAATTTATCTTAAATACCTTTTTTAATACACCTAATTAAGTCTGAAATCTCTCATATTTGCCAAAATTCCTAATAAAAAAATGTAAAATATAAAGATCTCTTGAAAGGATAGAAGCGTCAAGATTATCAATTAAATAGGTATTACCTAGCCAACCGTTACCTAGACAACTGTTTCCAAGGAAACTTACATCTTACCATATCCCACCTCACATCAACCGAGCAATATCTTTTATACGTTTAAAAATACTAAAAAGCCCGCTTATTTTGCACTGAAAACTATCATTTAAAGACTATATTTTTAAGAAAAGAACCTATGGAAACAGATTTTAAAATAAACAGTGAAGCTTCCAAGCAAGATTATTCGCTTTATCCACGTATTTCTTATAAAACTGTCACAAGTATTTCAGGACCATTAGTTGTTCTTGATCAAGTCAAAGTAAGAATAGATAGCAGAAATTGACTATTTTGGATTTTTTTTTATGTTTTTTTTGGCAAAATTAACGCATTTTTGGCAGTTTCCTCGGTATAATGAAATTGTAAATCTTTACCTTGAAAATGGGGATGTACGAACAGGCCAAGTCCTGGAATCACGAGGAACAACAGCTATTGTTCAGGTTTTTGAGGGAACAGCATCAATTGATGTTCGTTCTACTCGTGTAGAATTTACAGGAAAAAGCTTGAGAATTCCAGTATCAGAAGATATGCAAGGTCGTATTTTTAATGGGTCAGGAAAACCAATTGATCAGGGCCCTCTTGTTATTCCAGAAGACTATCTGGATATTAATGGTTATATATATATTTTTAAATGATTAAAATCTGAACTAGATGGGGATATATAGGGTCACCAATCAATCCGTATTCACGTATTTATCCACAAGAAATGATCCAGACAGGTATTTCAGCAATTGATACGATGAATAGTATTGCAAGAGGACAGGTGATTTTCTAAAACAAAAAAAATTATTACATTAATATTTATTGTATAGAAACTTCCTATTTTTTCAGTATTTAAGAATATAATTAAGGAATTAGCTAAATATTTGTTTTAGGCAGCAGGACTTCCACATAACGAAATAGCGGCACAAATATGCCGACAAGCAACTCTAATTAAACCTACAAAAGATGTGCAAGATGGACATGAAGATAATTTTTCTATTGTATTTGCGGGTAAATTAGTCAAAGAATAAAGAAATAAAGATTAACCAAGCACAGCAATGGGAGTCAATATGGAAGTATGTATAATGATTACATAATTTTCAAAGAAATAATAAATAGACTGCTCGATTTTTTAAACGAGATTTTGAAGAAAATGGGTCATTAGAAAGAGTAACACTCTTTTTGAATTTAGCTAGTGATCCTACGTAAAGAGATATGATTAAATATTCAGAAACTTAATGATATAGGATTGAACGAATTATTACTCCACGTCTTGCCTTAACTACGGCAGAGTACTATGCCTATCAAACAGAAAAACATGTTCTTGTCATTCTTACTGACATGACTTCTTATGCAGACGCTCTTAGAGAAGTAGGCATTTGAATTGTATAAAACATGCTAACATTTTTAGATTTCAGCTGCTCGAGAAGAAGTACCTGGTCGAAGAGGATATCCAGGTTACATGTATACAGATTTATCGACAATTTATGAACGAGCAGGGCGTGTAGAAGGAAGAAATGGTTCTATTACCCAAATTCCTATACTAACTATGCCTAATGATGGTACATTTCCATAATAAGAATATTAATTGTTCATTTTTTTAGATATAACTCATCCTATTCCTGATCTTACAGGATATATTACAGAAGGACAAATATTCGTTGATCGCCAACTACATAATCGTCAAATATACCCACCGATTAATGTTCTTCCATCATTATCGCGTCTTATGAAATCAGCTATAGGTGAAGGATTTACTCGTAGAGATCATCCAGAAGTTTCGAATCAACTTTATGCGAATTATGCTATGGGAAAAGATGCAGCAGCTATGAAAGCAGTCGTTGGAGAAGATGCTATATCGGATGAAGATAAATTATCTCTTGAGTTTTTAGAGAAATTTGAAAAATACTTTATTTCACAAGGTTTCCCCCCTCTTGAAGTAATAAGTATCTTATTTTTTTAGGCCCATATGAGTCACGTACCATAGAAGTATTATTTATATACTTTATTTTAAATAACTGATATTTATTAAGGAATCTCTTGACATAGGATGGTCTCTTTTAAGAATATTTCCAAGAGAACAACTTACACGTATTTCAGAAGAAATCATTAAAGAATTTTATCCCAGAGCACCTGCTAAAAAGAAAAACTCAGAGATTAATAACTCAAAAAATAATTATGATAATGATGTGACAATCGAGTCTGCTATTTTATCTCAAGAAAATTCAAATTATTCATAATTTTTAAGTTTTATGTCAATTTATTTCACTATTAGAAATATCTATTGCTTTCTTTTTTTAATTTTACTTTTAGGGAAGATGTTATGTTCTATTAATATATACAATATCTTTTAGTTTATTCTAATTTCTAAAAAACCACTTAAAATCCGGGTCTTAAATAACTACTAAATTTTAGACATTTAGGAAAAGAAATAAAATTTCAATTAATTATTTTATTAATATTCATATTTTATAATTTAATCGAAACTTCAACATATCTAACATATTAATATACAAAACACCAATAACAATAACAAAAAATACTAGTAAACTGTCTGACAAGGCTTAGTAAAGTTATTGTAAATATAGATATACTAACCAGGTATTTCCTATTTACAAATATTATCAATAAGCGATAATATCAGAATATATATTAATTTTTGAAATAACGAAACTTAAATTATATACACAAAATATCATTTTTTTCAACATATACTTACCAAAACCTCTAATTATTCTGCTTTTCAAATTTTCAAAAAATCTAAAATATTTCCTAACACTTTCTGATGGCAAATCTCTATATCACATTTCCATAACTAGAAAAATCTTAAAGGCATATCTTAGTCCTTTCTACTATATCTTTCCAATTTTTCTAGAGAAATATCCATAAACCATATCATTTTCCATAACCATATTTAATTTAAACATGGTTATACAGTTGCTTTTTTCATTAAAGGTATTTTCCAAGTAGATTTGATGAAAAACTAACATTTTAATCATAGCACAAATACGAATTTACGAATAAAGCTATTTATTTACGAAATAATACATTTAAACATGCCATTTAATAATTTATAAAACAAACTATTAAGTAAATCATTTAGATCATTAAAATTATGCTAAAAAACAGGAAAGGAATATTTAATAAGATAAAAATCTATTATACAATATATTACAATGTATACAAAATATCCCTCAATTTCTAATTGTTTCAATATTATAAGGATAACTAGTCAATTACAAAAGAAATCATGTAAAAACAAAAAGTTACAAAAACAATTGATATTAAAAAGAATCATATTGGATTAATTATTTAGAACGGTAAAATATTCTTTAAAGTATATCGAGAAAAAAATGCATATTGCATACATTTTTATTCAGAACAAATCAGTACTACTATAAAAAGTATTAAAGAATTAAACAAATATTCTCTTAAAAATGGATATAATTTTATTCAATTTATATTCCAAATAAAGCCTTAGGAATAACAATTAGAAGGAAAACAGAATCAATTCGAAATTTAAAAGAGTACTCTGAAATGTATATCAATATCTTACATGAAAATCAAGTAATTTATAGAATATAGATAACGTATATTCATAATATTCTTAAATCAATACAAATAGGTACATATTATCGATAAAGTCATTTAAATAGATATTGTTATTCCACTTGCAACAAAAAATCCTGCTGATTATGCACTACAACATTATACATTATTACGAAAAACATACATATTTCAAAAATATCTATGTGAAACACAAGATCCTACAGAAGCTAAAACAATCTTATCTCTAATAAAATACTCTTGAAAAGAATATCTTAAAAAATCAAACATCAATCATAAAAAACATATTAAAGCTAATTATTTAACAAGCAATTAAAAAAATCTCAAGGACTAATACATAATAATTTTATTTATTATTTCCCTTAAAAATACAAAAAATATTTTATCTCATACAAATAATTATTTTAAAAATATTTTTAATTTTTTCTTTTTAGCTTTTTTATGTCATTCAATATAACATTAGCTTATTTTTTATCAAAAAACCTTGATATCTTTTTCTTTAAAATACTCATATTTATTACTAAAAAATTTATTTTACATCTCAAATCTATAAATTAAATATTAAATTCTAATTAACTATCTTAATATCTTAATAATTATATTAAATAACTCTTAAAATAATACAAATACAATCTTATATATATCTTTAATCACTAAAAATACAACATATGACTTCTTTATATATTTTTTTTATTTTCTTCATTAAAACACAATATATATATCTCTTATATGATCATTAACAATCAAAAGGAAGAGCGTATTCCTATATAATATATTATATTTTTTGCTTAACCCTTACCCATCCTTCGAGCTTATTATCTAACCAACGTCTAATTTTTATATGGAATACTTTAAATCATCAAATATAAAAATTTAAGAAGAATTAGATGATAAACAGCGCAAAAATGAAAAGATTAAGCTATACAAGGTGTTATTTGTGTTTTTTTCTCTTTTCAAAATTCGAAAAACCAAGGATTTATGAGTTTTATGAATTAAAATATAAATACAAGAGTAGTTTAACAAGATTTTCAACATATTCAAGAGTTTTACAATCAAATCCAAAGAAATCAGATGTTTCTGACTCTTTAAAATCAGAAATAGAAGCTTATGAAAACTTCCATAAGGGAGAAAGTGATAATTTATCATTAAAACGTCCAGCATCACTCCTGGGAACATTTTCCAAAAATAGAAGAAGAGCAACTCATAGAGAGCGTAGATCTGGAGTCGCTGTTAGATATTCCTATGAGCCAGAAATCCCGGATTGGTTTTTAGAAAAAAATGTTTTTTTATATGGATCTATTAAGTCAAAAAAAACAGAATTTAAGTTAAACAACAATTTTTCTGATCCAGATTTATATAATATAAATGTTCTTGAAGATACCTTTGCAGTTACTAAAAATCTAATTCTTGAATTAATTTCTCATTTGAATACGTCATTTATTCTTAATCCTGAGAAAAAAAATGAAAATAATTCTTCTAGAAAAGCAAATCTTATGTTAACATGTCCTATAAAAGGATCTATTTATTTTTTGGATGCTATAGTTCATGAAATTTCAAATTTACTTGAAGCAGATCTTATAAAAATAAGTCCTCAAGATTTAGAGGATTTAGTAGGCGATATTTTTGAAGAGGGTAAACTAATCAATACATAACGAAAAGAAGTAACAATTTTTTATAGATCGCATTGGGATATTTAACTCAAAAACTTTTGGAAACCTTTCTTTTGCAGGTCAAAATAAAAAACTATTAATTCAAGAGAATGAAGAAATCGATGAGGAAGATGAAGAGACTGAAGGAGATGATGATATATCAGGGGTAAATTTAAATCATAGTGTGGGAAAAAAAATTGTTTTGGGACCAGTTCTTCAAATTCTTACAGCCTCTTTACCAAAAAGTCCAAATAATACAGGATTTCAAGATATAAATAAGACATTAAAGCCTACTCAGAACAATATAGGATTTCATGGAAAGCTTTCTTTAATTTTATCAAAGCTATCAATTTCGAATCTAGAAAAACAAAAAAAACTTTTTTCATCGACTTTATCTACAGAAAAAACAAATACATTTTCTCAAAACAAAACCATTATTTATGTTCAAGAATACTCTTCATTAATTAATAGCATTTCTGGAAACTATGTTTTAAAAATCTTACGAGAAGCAATTCATGCTAGACGTAAAAAGGGTGAAAATATTGTTATTATAGCAGGCTCTCATAAAGAAAATATTGAACATCCAAATAGTGTATTATGTGATGATATACTTTTGACAATTGATCAATTTTATCGAAATATATTTATAGTCCCAGTAGTGAAATCAAAAAATCAAGATAATTTAAATATAGATGAAACATTTATTAAGCACAAAGCTAGGCGTATTAAAGAAATAAATATAAGACATCTAAATTCCCTTTTAAGACGACGATGCGGAATTAAATTTGAATTAGATATTTCTAAATTTCTTGACAGCGATTCAGAACTTTTTCCTAACATACAAGACGAAATATGGTCATTTGATTTTATACATAGAATAATTTCTATTGCTATAGGTCTCTATAAAAATTCTAAAGATAAACAAGAAACAATATCTCTTGATATATTAGATCTATCTAATGCAATGAAATTAATTAAAGAAAATGATGAACTAAAAGAATCATGGAAAGCCACACTAAAATATCAGCAAGAAAAGTGGAAACAAAGACAATTTGAAGATAAGAAGGAAGAAAAATTTATCAATTTTAACAACTTAGATTGCAACAAATATGAAAAAAGATTACTTCCAGGTGTTGTTAATCCAGGTATAATATATTTTTTTTTAGTTTATATCTTATATTTTACTAGAAATGATCACTGTTGGGTTTGAATCTGTTAGAGTTCCATCTTCTACTAAGAATATTCTTCAAACACTTATTTCTTTACCTCTTAAAGAACCAGATGCTTTTAATTTTGGAGTTTTGTCTCATAATAGAATATCAGGAGTTCTTCTTTTTGGCCCACCTGGAAGTGGTAAAACATTGTTAGCAAAAGCTATTGCAAAGGACTGTGGTGCAAGGGTTTTAGAAATTAAAGGAAGTGAAATCTTTAACATGTATGTCGGAGAAGGAGAAAAAAATGTTAAAGTAATTATATATTATTAAAAAATTCTATCTATATTTATTTTTCATAGGCTATTTTTTCTTTAGCACGGAAATTAAATCCTTGTGTAGTTTTTATTGATGAAGTAGATGCTATATTTGCTTCAAGAAAATCAGATTATAATAATCCATCACATAGAGAAGTAATTAACCAATTCATGTCAGAATGGGATGGATTAGTTAGTCAAAATTCAGGAGTTATCATTATGGGTGCTACAAATAGGCCTTTTGATTTAGATGAAGCCATAATAAGAAGAATGCCCAAAAGAATTTTAGTTGATCTTCCAACAGAAGAAGATAGGAAAGAAATCCTGAAGATTCACCTTAAAGATGAAACATTGGCTAAAGATGTTGATTTTGACGAACTATCTCAAAAAACCGTTTTTTTTTCAGGATCAGATTTAAAAAATCTTTGTGTTTCAGCAGCACTTGAATCAATAAATGAAAATTTGCAAAACAACAATTCTAAAAAACCCTATTCAAGAATTTTAAAAAAATCACATTTTGAAAAAGCTTTAAATGAAATCACTAGCAGTATAAGTGATGATATGAGTAGTTTAATTGAATTAAGAAAATGGGATGAAAAATATGGAAAGAAAAAAAATATAATTAGGAAAACATGGGGTTTTGGAGATATTAATGTTTCAGATTCATTGAAAGGACGTGTTCGTAAACCTGATAATTTGTAAAAATTGAATTTTCTTGCAAAATAATTCATTATATACCAGAATTTTCATATATAATTAGGCAATATTATCAATATATATAATTCAATTGGTATTTTAGCAAAATTCTTATTCTTTTATGACAATTTATTAAGTATTCTAACCTATTCTTTTATATAGTGTTATCTATTTTTAACTTATGTAATCAATCTAATAATGATTTTTTCAAAAAATTATAATTTATATTAAATTTTATAAATATTTCTTTTGAAATATAAATAACTAAAGATGCAAAAGTAACTGATTTTTCTTTAATTTATAAACACTGTTAAATATTCAACATTTTTAAAGATTTCTATTCCGATATTTATCGTTTTTTGATTTATATTGTTCTACAACCGCACCAGAAGGCTCATATTTTGCAAAATCTGAAATATTATCATCAACTATAAAAGGCCCTTTAGAAAATTCGGGAGGAATTTTAGCATTTTTAGCAGGATCTGCTGTATATCGCGGAGCACTTGATGGAATATAATCATATTCATCTTTATTCTTAAAAATAGGATTTGAAATAGCTCTTGAAGGAAATTCTGAATATGGTCCTCCACCTAATCCTCTTACAACAGGTTTTCGAGCAAAAATAATTCTAAGAAGACCCAAAACAAATATTAATATCCAAGCGGACACCAATACAAAAGATATTTTAGCTTCAAAAATTATAGATTTTTCATAACCAGCAATTAAAGTATTCAAAATTGAATAAAATTTCTGATTTAAACTCTTAGCAGCACTTACAAAATCTGTATGAGATGTAGAATTTTCAACAAAAGAAGTTAAAATATTATTTGGAATAATTGGTGATGATATACGAGCATTTTGATGTATCCATGTTAGTCCTATAAATAATTAGCAAAACATTAAAATAATAATAATATAAAAACCTTTCTCTATTCCTCTAAGTTTTATAAAAAGCATGCAATCTAAAACACCAAGAATAGGCTATATAATCAATTAACAAAAAATATATAATATTAAAAACATACTTGATATAAAACTGTACCTCCAAATATTTTCTTAAAGCTATCTGTTGTAGTCTCCATAAAAACATTTAAAGTATTATTTATAGACTGAGTACTTGCATAAACCCACCCAAAGATATGACTATTTAGATCAACAGCTGTTTGATTTAAAACATTATTCACATCATTTGACCACTTCAAAGACGCAGCTTGAAGTTTCTCAGAAACATTCAGCGGAACGTTTTCTTCTGGCGAGCTAAGTAAACTCTTTTTCATTATAGACAAAAGAATCATTTGAAGTCCACAACTTATAAACCCTAAAATCCCAAGAAATAGTACAAACAAAGATGATGGATGAAAAATATACGATATAAACCATCGTATTAAAATCTTATGATGTTGATTTCGAAAAGCAGAAGAAAATTTTAGACCTAACAATGTTGACCATGGATAGGCAACTGTAAGAATAAATTCTGTAGGATCAAATGTTTTAGTAATTGAAAAAATTGACCAAACCATAGCAGCTTTTGATTGCAATCTCTTCCAATTCCACCATTCTTTAATAGCAAAAGGAACTATAGCTAATATAGCCAATATTACTAAAACAAGCAAAATACTGTGAACAGCAGTGTAAATATCATTAGAAAGCCTTTTAAAAACTTTGTCAATATCCCCATTATCTGAATAAATTGCAAATTCATCAACAGAAGGCACAGGCAAAAGCGAAGAATCAAAAGAATAATTTGAAAGTGTATTATTAATAAGTTTCTAAAAATATAAACAACATTTACAACATAAAAAATAGTCTCACCCTTAATTCATAAAAAGGAATTGCAATTGAGCTCTTCACTGTATTTTTTAAAGGCTCTAAGGAAATTCTATCTCCAAGCTTTCTTAACTCATCATCATAATTATTCGGAATACTAAAATTAGAAATTTTTTCTTCAATTGGGATAGATAGAGTAGGAACTTTAATATTTTTTCCTAAAATCTTTGCTGTTTTTTCAATAGTATTTAAAATAGAAGCGATTCCTTTATTTATTTCTTGGATTCCAGCAAGAATATCTTTTTCAATAGACTTAAGTACTTTATTAACAAACTTTGAGATTTTTTCCACAACATCTGCTATAATCTTTATCCCGCCTTGAATAGAGAGCTCTAAAAGACATGTCCAAGTATCTATTAAAATTTAATAATATAAAAATATCAATAAAAATAATTTACGTATAATCATTTCAATGAAAAACAAAATAATATGTTGTACACCCAAGATAATAAGTATTAAAGTTTTATTTAAAGCCCTAACACTATTCTCAATACCAAGTGCAATCACTTTATTTGTTCCTATTGCTGTTGAACGAGGCATAAGTACTAAAGAATTGGCAGTATACTGTATAATAGTATACGCATCATGCATTTTCTCTTCAGCATTGACCATATCTTTTTTAAAAGAAATTAAAAAGAAAAGGAGCCGAACAAAAAGAATAATTAAAGCAATTGTCCATTTATTAACCCAAATAAGTGACAATCTAGCAGGCAATAAAAGATAAGGAACATTTTTATCCGGAGGAACATAATTCATTTGATATGTATGATAATTCATATTGTCATTATGATTTTTTTCCCATGATTCATAGCCTGTTTTTTCATAAACAAGTGGTGGAGCCTTAGGAAATGATTGCGATGAATATTGAGCCGGGCTTCGACAAGAGCCTTTACAATTATTATCCCTGCAATTTAAACTATGAACAAAAGTATGTGTCGCCTGCGACATAAATATTAAGAGATCAATTACACTGATTCAATTCTGGTACATTATAAAGAATTCATAGAATCTAGAAAAAAAACATAAAATATTTCAAATTAACAAAGAGGTTCATACCTTTTAGACAACTCTTTATTATCTACTTATTAATATAGAGTCTTGTCTCGATATGGTTAAATCAATTTCATTAGTTCTAATATCTTAAAAACATTAGAAAGAAAAGGAAAATAGACATGTTTAGATTAATCTTGTTCTGTTCTAAGTTATACATAATAAAGATCTTAATAATGAAATGTTACCTTTTCTTTTTTATATTTATAAACGCTATGATATCTTTTTTTAAAAAATCATCAAAAAAAAAAAGAAAAAATGAGCTTTCCATTCATTCTTTATAGCCAATACCTAATAATGGAATAGGAAAAGTTATACAATCCTTTCTTCTTTTTTAAAAAAAAGTTTTTCTAAAGAAACGTCAACAGAAAAAAATATAGAATCATCCAATATTAAAATATTTGTATGAATTGACCAATAATAAAAGAAAAACAAAAGCGTTTTCATATAAAACAGCATTGAGATAAAAGTACTGTTTTTTTTTAAAAATAAAAATTATAAAAAAATTAAAAGAATGCCTTATCAGAATTAGTATTTTATATCCCGTTAATAAACAGCCAATGAACAAGTTTATGCTTGACAGGGTGCTATATGTTTTTTTTTTTCCATAAAATTGACAAAATAGATATTTTGAAAGTTTGAAATCATGATTAGCAACAACCACAAACCTTTTATTCATTAATATATTATTAAATAAAATCGTTAAATTGAAGAGCATTCTTCAAAGCTATATAATATCTAATTATAACTTTGTAAAATATTGAAACCATTTAATATTTCGAATTATGTAAAGAACATAATAACCCTATAAAGAATAGTTTTTTTCCATAAAATTTGAAATATAAACAGTAGTCCTAATATGTAGAACCGAGTTTTTTTATAATGTTTGATATATCACTAGAAAAATACTTAAAAAATCCTATAGAAATAATTTTATCATTTTAATTGAAAAAAAATTCAATTATTTAATCCTTAAAACAATAAAAATTTAAATTCAGCCCCTGTTAAAAAAAGCAATTAATTCGTGGATCATTCTTTAGTATATAGATAAAACTTAAGTAAATTTGGATTATGGAAATATATTTAGTGTTATTTTAGTTAAGTACAAAATGTACAAAAAAAACAAACAACTAGAACATATTTCCACAACCATCTTATGAAAATATTCAGCCTCATTAAGCCCAAGTATCTCAAAAAAGCATTGAATTAAAAGCTTCATATATCCAAATATAATCCATAATCAAAATATAAGTCCAAATACATTAGAAAAAACAAATACCCAACTTAGAAAAAATAAAGAAATACTCAAATATCAATATTAAGCAAATTTTAAAATAACTATAAGCATTAATTATTTCATTTAAGAAATATATAACAACAAAAATGAAAAATACCTAAAAAAAAATAAAAAAATAGATAAAAAACAAAACAAAACATTCAAATGCCATTTCCCTTTATTAAAATTAACCCTTTTTTTCCCTAAAAAATAAACCTTACTAAAAAAATCATGTTTTTGACTGAATCAAACGAAGACATGAAATACTACATGCACGCATAGGAACAACTGAACCAATTACATTATATATTCCCACTCCACCACACAAAGAACATAATCTTTGCGAAAAACTTGGTACACTTCCCTTTTGCGCCTCAAAATATGTTGAAACATTAATATCAAGCCATTTCTTCGGAATAGCAAATACAGTCCCTTCCTTTCTATCAATCCATCGTGACATAATTGGTGATGACACCTTTGGTACATTTTTTTCTTCTTCCGAAGCTCCTTCATCATCCACCTTAATCCTTTTATATTTATGCATCACCTGCTTACTGAGAAGCTTATTAATAGTTCCCATCTTCATATTTTAACCTTCTATTGTCTTTTTTAATAGTTTATATACCTTTTCTTCCTCCAACTTCTGTTCTGAAAGATTTTTTCTGCGACGAGCAAGTTCATTCCTTTTTAACGCTAATTCCTCTTCAGTAAGGTTCTGATGACGCCTTTTTATAGCTAATTATCATTCTCCTTCAGTATAAAACCCTTTTTATCCAAAAAACTTACTTTCCGGCAACTGTACAAGATCATTTGTTTCTACTGCATCTTCATCTATTCTTGCTCTTTGACGTTTTGTAAGCCTTGTTAATTCCCCTACTTTTTCTTTTAATTCTCTTGATCTCTCAATATATTCTTCTGAATCATCAGTATCTAAAGATTCTTCTAATACTGTTTCTTCAAAATCATTAGATGAACTAAGTTCATCTAATTCACTCTCTGATATACTTTCTATCGCTTCAATTCTACGTCTCCTACTTCTTTTTCCTGTCATACAACGGGATGGAACACGAATTGTAATACGTAAAGACTTTTCTTGTTCCATATCTTTAGATTTAACCAGTATTTTATCAGACGCCTGTTTTCTTGACTGATCAATTAATTCTTCAGATTCACTTATATCGGCTGAAGATGTAGATTTCATTTTTTTATTTATAAGTTTTGAAAAAATAAAGGTTTTTATTTAAGGCTTAAAGGTTCTTTCTAATAAAAATGGAATTATCCTGTTAAATATGTAATAAAAGTTAATATTTATATAATACTATTGTATTATATAAATAAAAGATGCAGAAAAAAAAGAATAAAAATAACTATAAAATTAAATGACAAGCAATTATTTAAAGATGGATCAGAAAATATTAAAAGTCGATTGATGAAAAAAAAGAGTTAAAAAACAATATTGATGAATCGGGATGGATATATCGTGATTGTAAATAAATGCCTATATTCCTATATACCTCGTACAAGTGATTGATAATTTGGTGAAGCGTTTTCGTATATCTTTAAAAAATATTCTGCTTGATTCTTAACAAGAAATCTAGAGTGAAAATTAAAAGATGAATGAAAATATTAGTAATAGTACTTTAAAAAGTCTTTGATATAATTCTTTAATATTTGTATACTCTGATAATCCATATTTGTATGTGCAATTAATTCAGGAAGGGTTACTATTAATAAATAAGTTGTTTTAATAGATGCATTTAATAAATAAAATACCGAATAATCGAAGCAAATGTTCTGCACCATAAATATCACTCATTTCTTTATTTTTAGCGGTTTTCCGTATATCTGAATATTGTTGTCTTTCAAAGCGGTATAATAAAATATTACCCAAACATCGATCAAAGTACAACTTAATACCCGATACGACTTCCTCAAATATATCGGTATCCAAGTCAGTAAACCGTTTTTTTTGAAATGCTAAAATAGAGTTTTTATAATTTTGTAAAATTTCAGTTACAGTTGGAGATCGTGGCAATGAAACAAGCTATTACAGGAATCAATTGATGTTTAACAGCTCCAGTTCCAATAATTACTTGTTGATTCTTTGTTATATTTTCCCAATCATCAACAAGCTGTGCTTTTAATGTATCAGGAATTGGAATATTAATTTCCGGTTTAGCAGTAAAATCCTCTTCCTTTAAAAGATAAACTATATTCCTCAGCATCTTTACTGGACAAACCTTCTCTAGATCAGTATCTCTTGAGCGTTTCTGGCCTCGTGGATGAGGCGGTCCCCCTTCCGTCAACTCGCTAGATCTTCCTGAGCCTCTTCGTCCAGTTTTCTTTTGCGCAGCAAGTGCAGCCATCTGTAACTCCTTCTGCGTAGCCAAATTCTCTTCTGTCCACTTCAACGCACGATCTTCTGGTACCCATTCATCCCATCTAAGCCTTTTAAATATTTTAAATATTAAAAAATGATCAAACGTTGATTTCCAGCCCTTATAATGGACACGCAAATGAGGCTCTTTTTCAGCATTTTCACCTGCATCCTCCGGCTCTCTTAGTTCTGCACTGAGAACCTAATTTATATCAAAAAAACATAATTTTTTAAAGATTTTCAAAAAATACTTTAGCTTCATAAAGCAAAGGCCCATGAAAACTATTAATATTAGACTATAAAAAGAAGAATAGAGATCATAAAAATACCATAAAACTCTTTCATCTGGCTTAAACGCACTTACCATAATGTTTAGTAAAAGTTTAACCCGGGAGCGGTTTCGACGAAGCTTAAAGATTCAATTTATAAATGATAAGTGCTGAATAATTTATTTGTAGAAAAATACATGAAAACCATAAGAGAAAGAGCTATTATGTAGTCTTTTTTTATCTGATATTTTTTTCTTTCTTTCCTTTTTGAAAAATCAAATTTATTCCTTTTGAAAAAAACAAGATATTTGTATAAAAAAAGATCATAAAGTGCCCCGAAAAAGAATTAAAGATCCGTTGATATGCTAACGAATACGAAGTGGCTTGAGAATGGAATAATGAATACGCTCTAATTCTTTAAAATGATTAATTTCAATATTTTGTAATAAAAGATCATCTTGTTGAATATTATTTAGCCCATAAGAAGGCATTTGAAGCGTGCAATGAACTAATGGAGTTGTCTATAAATATTTAACTAAAAAAAAAAAAACGATAAAACTTACAGTAGAATTGCAAACAGGTCTTCGAAAAGTAAAATCATTAATAGAAACTAATGAATCCCTTTTAGCACACAAAGAAACATATTCCTCTTGTTGTTTAAAATGTTTATAACGAGGTCTTTTAGTCTCTGACATCCATCCATTTTGTTTTTTGAAAGATAATTTAATAACACTTGTTTTAGATGAAAACATCCTAAGAGACTTTACAAATATTAATATAGTAAAAATAAAAACATCATAAATAATACTTTAAGTAAAAATCTAATTTCCGAAGTCCTTTTTTCCCTCTTTTTTGAGATTTCGTCATTTGTTTTAAATAATGGTTCAGATAACCATGAATTATCCAAAATCATTTTATTAGTAGATAAAAGTTTAATTTCTTCCTTTAAATATGAAATGGAGTTATTGAAAAGTTCAATCTTAAAATGTAAGTTATTTTTTTTAAAAATATAATCAATACTTCATTAGAAAATTCCTGTATTCTATTTTGAAATATTCGACTATTAATAATACTTTCTTCCAGAGAATTAATGTCAGAAACATTTTTAGTAGTTTGAAAATTATTTATAATCTTTTCCATAGATTTAGTCTTCTCATTAAGAGTTTTTATAGTTTCATTGGATTGTTTTTCTTTTAATACAGCATCATTTAAAGATTTTTCAAGTATTTTTATAGTTTCTGAATGTCGTTTCAAATCAGCAGTTCTTTTGTTCAAAAGTTCAGTTTTAATATTGACTTCCTCTATTACTTTATCCTTTTATTTTATTTAATTTTTAAAAGCTTAAAAAAGTATAATCTCTACCTTAAGTCGTATATCAATAATATATTGATTAATTCTATCTTGAAGAATATTAAGCTTTTTTTCCGTGTCATTATTTTTCTGTAAGATAGATTTGATTTCATTTGAATGTAATATCCAAGGAGCAATATTTTGAGAAACTATTAAGTTAGAAATATATTCACAAATCAAAAACATTATCTTACTTTGAAATGTGTTTTCTGAATAATTAATATTCTTCTCCAATTTTAACAAAATAAAAGTAAAAGAAGCTATTTTTTCAGAAATATTATCAAGATTTAAATCTAATAATACATCTTTTTCAGAAAAACATACTCCAATACCCTCTAAATATTTGTTTAATAATCCATTAAAATACACCAGATTCTATAGCAAAATTTATAGATATAATTAATATTTATATATACATACTTTTTTCATTGCATCATAAAGGAAATTTGCCATATTCCTAAGATCAAAAAATTCAGAAACAATGGTTTCTTTTAAAGATAATGAATTCTCCTTCATAGAATCCATTATTTTAAAAAACTTACTTATGAAAATTTTAAAATAAAATAAAATAAAAAAAAAAACTTACTTTATTATAATTATAATCTTTTCAGCTTGGGAAGAAAACGTCTCTAATTTTTCAATTAATACTAAAATAGATGTAGTGTTTCCCCCCATTATTTGTTTCATATAATCAGATTCAAGTAAATTTCGAAGTATTGATTCTTCTTTTAAAAAGTTCTCAATATAACTAAGGGAAAAAAACAACTCGGATTCAATTTTTGATATCGATTCTCCATCATACGGTTTTATATATACATCAGACAAACTATTAAATAATAAAACAGCCCTATATATTTATTATTAAACATATTACTATACATATATGTATGCTATCTTACTCTTCTAAAACCCCAAGAAACTTTTTTTCATAATATTCATTCTTTTTTAAAATATTTATTTCTGTATCTAAAATATTTTCCAAAATATCCAACTTAGAAAATGAAGACGAAATTTCACCAAAGTCTAATAAGGTACATATATTCATAAAATAAGTAAAACGCCTAGCAATCGTACTTAAAAATACTAAATTTTTATTTATTTCCATCGCTTCTAATAGAAAATCAATTTCTAATATATTGTTAATAGATATGTTGTATAATATTTTTTCTTTAATAATATCATGTAAAAGAACGGATTTCATAGCAATTCTTCTACATTTAAAATATACCATGATTGAACTATTTTCGGAAGAATATGAGTCTGGAAGGAAAAACTATACATCATTTAATAAGTTATAAGCAAAAACCAAATATTTACTTGCGTAATTTCAAATTTTTCAACCGCTTCTAGACCTTCAAGTCTTTTAAGTTCATATTCTATTTTTGTAGCTTGTGATTTAACTGAAGAAGATTTTAATTTTAAATTTAAGTCCATAATTTCCTTAGATCTAATACTCAATTCTGTACTTTCCATTTTTGCATTTTGATTTTCAAGTCTCAAATTCTCAAGATCACTAATTCGTAAAAGTTTGATTCATATATACAAAAGAGAAAATACCGCTGTAAATTTCCCACTAACTCCCTAAATTTTAGAATAACTAGTTCATATTCAGAATTCACTTCTTTCAATTGTGTTATTTTATTCATATTTTCAATCAAAATAGAATCTTTATATTCTAATTCTTCTCTCATCTGTCTTTCGTTTTCTAAATGATTTTCTTCTAATTCATCGTTAAGTTCTTTTAAAGATTCTAAGTCTTGAATGGTTATATTCATTTGTTCTATTTTTTCTTTCAAATAAAGATTCTTTTCAGTCAACTCTTCCAACATTTCTTCTGCTGTCAAACTAATATCTACTTGTTGTCTAAGATCATCAACCAAATTTTCTGTTTCTTGAAGTTTCTCTTTTAAAGATTCATATTGTACTAAAATGTTAAAAAAATGAAACAAAACAAATTCGTACCTTTATATTTTTTAAGGCTCTCAATTTCTAATTGATGATGTTTAATCGTGTTTTTGAGTTCTACTTCTTGATTATTCGTCATAGTATGCAATCTTAAACATTAAAAAAATTATGTATAAACTAAAACTTACTTGATAAGTGCTTCTTTTAAAACCTTATTCTGTTCTTCTAAATCCTTTTCATCTAATTCATCTTGTTCTTTTTTTGAAATATCTTCAGATCTTTTATCTACACTGTTTTGTATTTCATTTTTAAGCGCGTTTAATTCAGATTCCAATATATCCGCCCTTTGTTCTGCTATCTCTTTATCAAGTGTAGTTACTTCCAATATTTCTGAAACCTCAATAAATTTCATTTCAAATTCTGCTTTTTCATTTTCCATATTTCTTAAGGATAATTTCAAATCTCGTATTTCATTTTGCAGAGATAAAATTTTATCTAGAACCATTATTCATTCTATAATCATATAACTTATAAAAACAATACTTTGGAGTCTATTTTTAGCCTTTTCCAAAGATTCTTTTTCCTGTAACTGTTCCTCTAACAATTTTAACTTATTTCTATCTTCTATCCTTTTTTTTTCCAAAACTTTCAACTCCTTCTTCAATTCATCTATTAAAACTGTATCATTTGACTAAATATTAATCATTCTTTATATACAAAACAAAATAATACTTCAAATTTTCCATAAGAATCCTCGAAAGACACTTTTGACTCTTCAAAACATAATCTTCCGCCAAAAACACCTTTTTCACATTCAATTCTCTCTTCTTTTTCACTTTGTATATCATTTTCTTCCTTTTCTTGAAATATCTTAGATCTTACAGGCGACTTACATACTGAACTTTCCATTCGTAATACTTCCGGTGATTTTTCACACATATATCTACTTTTTTTCCCTTTACAAGGAGAAATAGACTCATCGAATGATGCTTTTGTGTTTAATATTTTTTGCTGCCCTACCGATGACTGTATATATGGTATTCGAGAAACCGACCCCATACTTCGAAATGACTGAAAAACTGATCTTTTCGATGGAGATAATGAACTACTTCGTCCAGATTCATCATTTACCTTAATCTCGTTTATCATCCATCAACATTTTAACATTTTTTTTTACATCTTCCAATAACTCCTCTTCTTTTAACTCTACTTTCTTCACTGCTGATATCCGAACAAAAACACCATAGTTTTCTTTACATTCAAAATATTGTTTACCCTTAACCGATCCATTATTTTTTCCTGTAGGCATATCCAATTCTACTCCCACCCATTCTCCCGTTGAAAAATCCGTCCGTCCTATAAATCGTACTGTTCCTAATGTTTTTCCAACAAAAACTCTGTCATTTAATGAAATCATTTCACTAGAACTCCTAAAAATATACGTTTTTTTTTGGTTCAAAAAAACTCATTAAAACTCATTTAAAGCTATAATTTTGTTTAAACGTTGCATCAAGTCGATAGACTGGTTGTCTTAGCAACGAGAGTGTAAATGAGTCATCTTTTTTTTATGAATTATGTAGTTCTAAAAGCACAATAATGTAAGATTTTATGTAAAAAAACCAGAATATTTTTTCATTAATAAAATTCATATATTTTTTTAAGATATAGTGCATAAACAGGTTGCTAGAGCAACCAGCAACCTGCTAACCGCAAAAAAGTAAAGAAACTTATATTTCTTGAATTTCCCTTAATATTTGACATGTTCATGTTGAAAAGGCTTTTTGGAAAGATTTTGGGGATGATTTATTATATATTTCTTTTTTTTTCCGAGTTTAAATAACCGTATTTTTAGGGAATCCAGAAAGTTTTGATATTGCGCAGATTCCAGTAGGACAACTTTATCTTGTACGACCATCGTCTCCCAAAGGACGTAGAGAATGCATGTATGTATTATAAAGAATGAATGTAAATGGAAATATCTGATTCTTATTGAAAAAAAGCTATAAAGATGCAGCAGCAAACATAAAACGAACGTTCACAGAATTTCATTATCAATTAGTTATACAAAGGGCCTATGAAGAAGGAGAAGAACAAATTCTTAATGAGGATGAGCAAGAGGATGGTATATTTTTTTTTTGGAAAAAAGTGATTTATCTAAGATTTGTGGAAGAAAAAAGTTTTTTATTGGATGAATCTCTAAAATTCCACTCTTTTGTTCGAGAAAATTGCGTGGTTTATGCATGGAGTGATTTATCTGGGGTTTTTCTAAGTTTTTTATAATATTTATGCCTTATTTATATAAGGATGAACAAGATTTGTATGAATTTGTTTGCGATTCAACTATTCAATCAAATATTCTACACATGTTTGAAGAAGTTGCTTTACGATGTATGTTTGAGAGGAAATATCGAAGGTCACATGAAGAAGCTACGAATGAAGATTTAAGTCAATTTTTGTAAGTGATTTATAAAGAAGATATTTTTTAATATAGTTAAAAAGAACATCAAAGTCAACATTCTCTTCTTTTCGAAATCCATCATTAGTACAAAGCCCATTGGTTTCATCGAAAGTTAAGGGTGATCAAGAAACATGTCATCTTAAAGACAAGACGCAAGAACCAGTGGATAATTCAATAAAAATTATGGTACAGGTGTCTGCCGAGTTACATTTATTTGATGCAGCAGATAATGTCTTCATACTACAGGATAGTAATGTTGTAGCGACTGTTTCAGAAATAGATACATGGGAATGTAATGTTGAAATATCTTTAAAACAAATTTTTTAATAACCATAGATTGGTTGGAAATAAAAAGTTCAGAAAGAACATGGCTTGGTCAGCCTATTCATCCTGATATTAACCCAGTGTTTAACTATGTATGTAATATTGCTTAAGAATTACTATGTTAATTTTTTTAGGAACATCTTTCATTTATTTGGTTTAGATTATTATTTTTCAATTAAATTGTTAATTATTCTAGGAATTATTGTGATGACAGATCACAAATATATTCATGGTTACTCCGATTTAGTAACATTGAAGTTGAAGAAAGATTTCAAGAGGGATTTATGATAGCCTTATGGGAAATGTTAAATCAACAAAAATGGATCAAAATAAAAGATGACGACAAAGAATACATTATTGATGTTTTCCATCAAGATGTTAAAATGGAAGACGTAAATAATGATAATACTGAAGAAGATGATGAAGAGGATATAGATAGTGATAGTGATTTATCTTTTTATAAAATATTCCATTAAAATTAATTTTATATAGCTAATGATATCCCTGAAGATCAGGAGAATGAATTTTCATCTATGAGCGAGGACAACAAAGGAGAAAATAGCCAGCTAGCCGTAGGATATAAGCATGATAGATCATTTGTTGTGCGTGGCGATAAAATAGGCGTTTTTCGTCATATGGACGATGACCGACTAGAATTTGTAGCTGCTATTAACAAAGTTCAAACACCAAAGGGAAAACAATTTCAACCATCTAGGGTATATTTAATGGAAATAAGTATTTTATAATTTATTAATTTATAGATTATGCTCCACAATGAAGATTCTGAAATTATATTACAAAATCCTAATGAACCTCATAATTTATATCAAATGGATCTTGAATATGGAAAGGTTGTTGATGAATGGAAAATCGATGATGACATTTCAGTATTAAATTTTACACCAGAAAGTAAATTTGCCCAAATGACTACAGAAAAAACACTTATAGGCATTTCACACAATTCGCTATTTAGAATTGATCCTAGACTACCTAAAAATAAAATCGTTAAGAGTGAACATAAACAATATGCTACTAAAAATGATTTTACTGTTGCAGCTACTACTGAAAAAGGCTATATAGCAGTTGCATCTAATAAAGGAGATATAAGGTTATTTGATAGAATTGGCGTTAATGCTAAGGTAGATATTTGTTAAGGTATTTGTTTATCTAATTTTTAAAGACTGCACTACCAGCTCTCGGCGAGCCTATAATTGGAATTGATATCTCCGCAGATGGAAAATGGGTTTTAGCTACATGTAAAAGTTATATTTTACTTATTGATTGCACAATAAAAGAAGGAAAAAATCAAGGGAAACTCGGTTTTGAAAAGAGTTTTGAAAAAGAAACTAAACCAAAACCAAAAAGACTGCAACTAAAGTAATTACTTTTATTATTTTAATATCTTTGTAATAATAATGAAATATAGTCCAGTACATGTCGCAATGATGCAAGGACAAATTAATTTTACCCCAGCCAAATTTAATACAGGAATGGGTGTTGAAGAAAAGACTATTGTTACAAGTAGTGGTCCGTATGTTATATCATGGGAGCTTTCAAAAGTGGTGAAAGGTGAAACAGGAAAATATAAAATAAGACAATATACAGATGAAGTATACTTTTATTATTCTTTAAAATTTAATTATTCATGTTTTTAAAAGGTTAAAGCCGATAATTTTAAATTTGGGACAGATCAGAATGTGATTGTTGCTCTTCCACATGATGGTAATTTTTCTTTTACTCATTGCATAATTTAATTATATTAGTATCTATGGTAAATAAATACACTTTCAAAAAACCTAGTCGAAAATCACTTTTACGAACTCCTATAAAAGATTTGCAATCTCGTTCTAGTATTGTCAATTCTCCATACTAGTTATTTTTCACAATTAATTATTTTATATAAATATAAAATAATTTTTTATAAATATAACATTCATTTTTAAAATTGTACTATATACTTCACTCAAAATAGAAAAAAAATTAAAAATAACTTAAAAAACCAAATAATTTTCTAAAATCTCATATACAACAATATTATTCAAATTTATAAAAAATAAATATAATATTTTAAAATTACAATAAAGATCATTCAATCGAACATAAATACTCCAAGTATAATAAAACAAAATAACTAAGATTATTATAATTCTATTATTACTATAATTACCATAGACATCTATTTTTCTTTAAAATAACCTCAATATTATTTTCCATAATATTTATTAAAACAAACATTTATAAAATATTTACTGTAATAACAATTTTATTAAAAAAAACATTAAAAACAATTTTTCATTCTAAAATACAAAATTTCTTAACTAATTAAAGATTCATTAAGATTTTCAATAATTTTTAACATATTTTTATAAATCAAAAGCTTTTTGATTTATAAAAATATCAAAAATATTATGAAAAAAAAAAACAAAATTTAGATAAACAAATAAGTAATTTAAGGACAATTTCAGCATATTTTTAAGAATTAACCTCTTAAAAAATATATAAAAACTAATATCGAAATTACCAGTTTATATATATATGAAACGTCTAAATAGGATATTTCACATAGAATAGTAAAAAATATACAGAAAAATACCTTATAAAAGAATATTTTATATAAATATAGGACTAAAATCAATATAAAAGGATTTTTCAAGCCTTTTTAACATGTTAAATTGCTATTATAATGTTCTTGGCGTTGATCAAAGGGCTTCTTTGGATGATATTAAAAAAGCATACAAGTAAGACAACATATATTGAGATATTACTTCTAGAACTACATGATTTTCTATTTTCTCTGTTTTTTTTGGACACTATTAACGTTTTTTTTTAGACGTCTTGCTTTGATTTATCATCCAGACAAAAATAATAATAGTCAAGAGGTTTTATGAGCAGAAAAGTATTAGATATTATCTTAGGATATATAGGCAACAGAAAAATTTTCTTTAATTCAAGCAGCTTATGAAGTTTTGTCAGATGAATCAGAAAGAAGATGGTATGATACACACCGAAAGGAAATTCTTGTTCAAAACAATAAGACTAGTTCTTCAAGGAGTTCATTCACTGCTATAAGAGTAGAGGTACATATTTCATCTTTTTTTTTTATTTTTTTATGTAAAATCAAGGAATTAATGAGCTTTTTTAATCCTACTATTTCAAAAAAAATGGATGATTCAAGTGAAGTACAAGAATAACAGAAGATATCTCATTATTTGATAAAATATAGGGTTTTTATACAAAGATAAGAAATTTATTTGAAAGACTAGCATCAGAAGAGCTAGCATATGCAAATGAACAAGTTAATAATATAGAAAAATTGCCATCTTTTGGAAACGGAAAATCCCCATATATTCCAACTGTTAAAGAGTTTTATGAGAAATGGTCATGCTTTTCTACTTTAAAATCATTTTCATGGGTTGATCAATACAAATATAAAAATTCTGAAAGAAAAGCAAAACGTATTATGGAAAAAGAAAACAACAAACTAAGAAAGATTGCAATAAAAGAATTCAATGATGCCGTAAAGGTATTTCAGATATAAAAATTTATTCAGAATATTAATTTATTTAGTCTTTAGTTAATTTTATAAAAAAGCGTGATATAAGAGTTAAAATTGAAAAAGTATCAGAGACAGATCGTCAGGCATCTCTTCTTGCTTCTTCCAAAGCGCAGGCGGAAAAAGATAGGGCACTATTTCATGCCAGTCTTGGTGTTTATGACGAACAAGAATGGACAAAAATAAATACTAATATAGAGGAAGAACAAGAAGAAAAAGAAGAAAAAATATTTGAATGTATTATATGTAAAAAGTCATTTAAGAGTGAGAAGTAAGTTGTTATTTTTTTTTTGAACTTTAATTTATATATATAGACAATTCATAGAACATGAAAAAACCAAAAAGCATATTAGATCTGTAAATATTTTTAAAAAAATATTAAAGAAGGAATCTGAAAAATTAAATATTAACATTTTAGAGAAAGAACCAGAATCATCAGATAGTGTTGAGGAATATTTTACAGGTGATGATAATTTTGAAACATATCAAGAACAGGATTTAAATAACCTAAAACAAGAAAATTACAACAAAGAACACAGTTCTATTGATGATGAGCAATCATTGCAATTTTCAGATGAAGAATCAGATATAAAATATAATTCAGAAACGAGTTTTATGGAAGTACAAGATTATAAAGATAATTTAAGCAAAAATGTTGACTCTTTATCAAATATTTTGGATCAAAATTTAACAATTAAAAAAAAAGAAAATGATATAACTAAAAATAAATCTCCAAAAAACCCAAAAACAAAAGGAAAAAAAAACAAGAATTTAAATAATAATAATAATACATGTACATTTTGCTTCGAAAACTTTTCAAGTAGAAACAAATTATTCGATCATGTTAGACACTCTGGTCATGCTCAACCATTACCTCAACTAAAACGCAAAAAATAACATTTAATATTATAAAACATTAGTTTTAAAGTCTAAATATGAAATAATATTGTATATTTATTAAATGCATCTCTAAAGCAATGCGAAATGTATTATATGTTATAAAAACACTATCTAAGTCCCAATTTAGTCGTTTTAATCACAGCCATTACAGGCACTTCAATTCCTTTATTATCAGCTGCTCCTAATCCATTGCCTGCAATCCACCCTAGCTTTTCTAGCATCATTCTTCCTTTATTATCTTTATCTATTTCAGGTGCATCTTTACCAACAATATCACCATCATGGTATTTATATTTATGTCTATTCTTAGAAATTTTGCGATAATTATCTTCTGATTCAGAGCCTTTCATTCTAGAAACTTTAAAATTATATTGTTTATAATTAAGAATCTGTAAAATTCTAGCAACATGACGTTTCGAATAGTTATCATGAACTCGAGTAGTTTTATATAAAACTACATGCCGTAATTCCTTTTTCCCAGAAGATTTTGAAACAATGCCATAAGCATCAGCCAAAATATGAACTGTATTTATATTAAAATGTCACAATTACTATTTTAAAAAATACCCCATTTACGAGCATGGGAATCCATAGGAACAAGATCAAGACTATATCATTAAATAAATCAACAAAATTACTTAACGTACTCCATCAAATCACAATCAGACAAAAAACATAATATTATATCATTAACATGTAGAAGCAATTCTCTAAAAGTTCTTCCAACCATTTTATCTTTTTTATTTTCCCTTTCATCTTTCTTTAGATTTTCCAAGACAGAGACCTTTCCATAAGGTTTTTGATGCTTTTTTCTTCCTACATTTTTGCCTGAATTTTCTAAATTCTCTAAATTATTATTATAAAAAGAAAAATAATTATCATCTAAAAAAACAATTAAACCTAAAAAAAAAGAGCATCTCTTTAAACCTTCTAAATCGTAATTCTTTTTAAATCTTTTATTCAAATAAGACAATGATATTCTGTTGTTTTTCCAAACCCGACGGTCTGATCTTGGGATAGAACATGTATCAAATTCAAATCGATTATATATATCATATTTATTTTTTTCACTCAAATTACCGTCATCATGAATTACTACATCTTCTTCATCTAAAAATACTGAACTTAATTCATATTCTTTTAAAAGTTCATCATAATTTAAATATCCGCTAGCAGTTATATTCTATTTGTAAATGTAAAAAATACATAAAAATAAAACAAAGATAATCACCTCAATATAATCCAATTCTGCGTCATCTTCTTTAGTATACTTAACCTTATTTTTTAGCCCTTTTACTTTCCGAGAACCAGATAAAGATGGTTTTTGACTAGATTTAAAATTTATAAAGCCAAAATTCTTAATTAAATCACGTTCACATTTATCTTCTTCAGTTGCTTCATCATTTCCTTTTAAATCAATTTTCTTATAAAATATGTCTATAAAAAACCTGATGATTTATATTTGTTTTTATAGATACCGGATAGCTCTTTTTTTAATTCTTTACATCTCTTTCCAACAAAAAGTATTTCCTCCGGAAAATCATCTGGCTTTAAAGCACCTAAAGACTTAGAAGACAATTTATATGGCTTATTTTTTGTATCATTTAAAGTTAATACTGAAGACTCAAATAAACAAGGATAAAGACCATGTATAACATTCGTATCCGACAATACTGTTTTCTTCATTTTCTAGTCCTTTTCAAAGAGAATACTATATTTTTATAGATCTTTAATTATGTTTTTAATAAAATATATAAAATTTGTATTTTTCTCATAAAAATAGGTATTTTTTTCTAAAAAAAAAGATATATATATATAACCTAATATTTAATTAAAAATATTGACTTTAAATCCAATGAATCCTAAACAAATCATCCATTTTTAGTGTATTTTTTCTAAAATTATTTTATGCAATTTATCGAATTTTAGACCTTGGTTAAAAAATTAAGAAAATCATATCCTTTATTTAAAAAACAAATAATTGTGTCACATATCCAATAAAACATTAAAAAACAGAATTCAGGTCCAAAGTTTATCTATAAAAAACATTATATTACAAAATATAATATAACTCTAAAACTAAAAACTCAACTACAGAAATCCAATATTTTATCATATTATTTATAAAGAGATGATTAATAATTTCCGAATAAGCTAGTTATGATAAGATAGTATGATTCGCTAAAATCATAGATAATGCTTTTTTAAAAAATCAATATATTTTAAAGTTGAGTCTAATATTTAATAAGAATTTGTCCATTAAAAGCAGAATACTTTAGGATACTAAGTTAAAATCCTTTAAAAAACCAATATACAACTGTAATAAATAAGCCTTTATAAAAACAGGAATTCGACAAAAAAAACAAATGATTCAAATATCAAGATATCCTACCAACAAAGATAGAAACGCATATCATTTTGAAAGAATGAAAGCAAATGATATCTAAAGATTTTTAAAATATCTTAACTCTAGAAAAAAAAATATAATCAAAAATTATACATAAAAAACCCATAACTCTTAATCAATTCATACAGAGACATCAAAGGTCTTCTTATCTCATTCATATATTCATTATAATCGATTCTAAACTGAATATTCAAGAAAAAATTCAGCTTATTTTACCATTAAATACCATTAATTCATTCAAGCAATGACACAAAATGTGAAAGAGTTTTCAACGGCCCTAATCGATTAACCTGTGAAGCAACCATTAAAGCATACATGTCAGTCAAACTTTCGCCCATCTGATATAAATAAAAAACTAAATTAACAAAAAAATAAAATATACTTCAAGACATCTTAACGCTTTACGAGTAATCCCCAAATCATTTACTGGAGATAATGGTAGATTTGAGCGAGCCATATCCCGTAAAACGTACTCATCTGATCGAAGTGTAATAAATTCAAACCATTCCATTTTCAATATAGCTGGTGTAAATTGAACACAAAGATGTCCTTCAGCAACAACCTGAGAACCATTTGAATACCAATAAATAAGTTTTGCTTGAGGACATGCCACTACATAACCATGCGCAACTGTTATTTGCTCTTTTACTGCTCCCAAGACAAATTGCATCTGTGTAACTCCGTTTTCATGATTTGTCCATAAAAAAATAGGTAAAACAAGAGTAGATAATTCAAAAACACGAGACGTATGCTCCATTTGTGCATTCTGTGCTGCATACGGCGTAGGATATGTTGTCTGAGGCGAAACAAAAGATAATCTCATCATAGCGTAATCTGTAAAATATGAATGAACAAAAGCTTTCCATCCTGCCAAATCATATCTCTAAAACTACTTGTCATTTACAATATACAACCCTATTTAGTACCTTTTGTGTTGAGCTTAACCCATCAATAAACTGCAATAATAATAAAATAGCTACTCCAGGCTGTGCTGTTTCTGAACAACCAATAACACTATTTTCCGTAGGATAATTGTTATGACTACGACTCATCCTAACTCTTAATAATATTTTTAATAAATTTAATCAACTTTTCTTTAATATTTTTTAAAATTTTTAAAAAATCTAAACCCTTTTTCTTAAAAACGAAAACATAATTGATAAAAATGATGAAAAATATGATAAAAAACGGATCGACGCTGAAAGAAAAATAATGTGATTTTTTCTTAGTTTTTTAAGAAAAGTTCTGATTTATCCTTATGTTTATAATTTTTTTTTTTTGACGGTTGACTTAAGTCTTATTTTTATGTTAAAAAATTAAAATAAAAAGAAGACTTAAAGCAATTTGAATAAGCTCAATGATGAAGTCCATAAGCTTTACATTCGCAGTTTTCAGTAGAGTACGATAAGTATTTGAACCCAATTTAATCGTACGATGAAACCTTAATCCTTCCTTGGATGTCTGAGAGCTTGTAAATATTTGCATTTAGTTTTTGTATTGAGAAATATAGAGTTGTAAATATTTAAAAGAAATATAAAATAAGAAATCTATAATATATTTTCCATAGTAATAGTTTTTGTCTGAAGTTTTTAGAGTTAAAATATTTTAATAATTCTAGTTACCATATTTTCAGTTTTATAGATACCAATGAGCCTTGCAGCAAGTTCAAACATGTTATTTCGCAAAGAAATAACAATAAATTGAGCATTTTTTGTTCGGTCCTTGATAAAATTAGAAAAAAAATATTTATAGTAAAATACCTTGATATAATTAGCAACAATAGATACATTACGAAAATCTAATGCAGCATCTATTTCATCCATAACATAAAGGGGTGTTGGTTTATAATGATGAAGTGCAAAGACTAATGCAAGAGAACTAAGTGTCTAAAAATGTTACATGATTATATATATGATTAAAAAAAGACCTTTTCTCCACCTGATAAATTAGAAATATTTTTCCAACTCTTTTTAGGAGGCATTACGCTAAAGAGAATGCCTTCAGAAAAAGGATCTAAGCTATCAACTAATTCTAGCTCAGCGTTTCCTCCCATTGTTATCATCTAAATAGGATAAATAAGTAGATAAAAAGTTTGAAAACATATTTAACCTGATACATTTCCTTTAATTTTAAAGATATTAAATTAAAACCAAGCATAAATTCATTTAATCGAGTTTGCTTTAACTCATTTAAATAAGAGCAAACAGAATTCCTTTCATTAACAATATTTTCCAAATCCTCACTTCGTGCTTTATATTCTTGTTCTCTTTTTCGATATTCTTCCAACACACCAAATTCAATTTTTATATTTTGAGTTTTTTCTATATTATTATAAACCAAAGATACATACATATATATATATGCATTACTCACCTTCCAATACAAGAATTTCTGATTTAAGTTTTTCTTGATTTATATTCTTGAGTTCTTCTTTACTAAATACTTGCAATTCCAGTGGTTCATTATCTTCTAAGGTATCACTAATAATTTAATTCAAAATTAAAAAAATACCAAATCAATATTTACCTAATATTTTGAAGTTTAAGACCATTTAATTTATCTTTCCAATGCTTTGATTTCTTTTCATTATCAAGAAGAACTTTATTGTATTCTTCTAATTTATTTTTTGTTTCAATCTAAAAGATTAAAAATAAAATAAATAAATCAAAATATAAAACCTCTTTTGCACGTGCAGCATTATTCACTTTCATCTCCTCATTTTGCCTCGATTTTATTTCTAACAATTCATCTGCTTTATCATTTATTTCCTGAATTATTTAGTATTAATTAAAAAGTATAAATAATTCTGTACTTGTTGAATTTTTTCAATCTTAGAACGCAAAGTATCAATTAATTTTGTTTTTTTAGTAATATTACTTTTAACATCAAAAACTTGCGTTTCAATGACTTGTAATTCATTTTTACTATCACTTATAGCCTTCTCAAACCTTACTTTATCCTTTTCCTTTTTAATTTTCAAAACATCTGCATTTGCAATAGAGTCATGAATTGTATTAAGCTGATCTTGAATGTTATCAACCTTTGCTTTTTGAGTACGTAAGCGAATCCCTCCAATTTCCATAATACGATCTTGCAATTGTTTTATTTCTTGTTCAATTCCAACCATATTTTTACGAGTCATAACATTTTCTTTCTCCAAAGAAGCAACCTCATTCTCCAATTCTTTTTTCTTTTTTATCTCTACAGGAGATATTTCATACAAAGAACTTTCATTAGAATTGCAATACTCATAATATCATACTTAATACCTTACTTCTTTTAATGTTTTTTTTGCATCAAGAATATTATTATGATATGTCGAAAGTTCTAAAGAAAGAATCGATATTTTAACATCTAATTCAGGAATTTCTTTAGCTATATTATTTATCTTACTCTGAAGTTGTATGTATTTTGAACTGAACGTCTGATATGCTTTTTCAATAACCTTTCGTTCCTGTTCATACTTTGTTATAGATGAAATAGAGACATTTGACTCTAATTTGCTACTCATTCCACCCCGTAAAACCTTATTTCCTCCACCTGTCATTGTACCGGACTTATCAATCAATTGTCCATCTAATGTAACTACTCTCCATCTTTTCTTCCCATATGCTATACGATTAGCTTGCAGCAAATCATCTACAACAAGTGTATTTTGAAGAGCATTAAAAAACGCAGGGGAAAATTTCTTTTCTTTTGGTGTAATAAGATCAAATAATCGTGGAACATTTTCAGGCGTTTCAATAGGACTCATAGACCGAGATGGTAAGCGATTTAATATAATAAATACTGCTCTCCCAAGATTGTTCTCTCTAAGATATTCTAAACATTGCTGACCAGCTTCAACTGTCTCGACAACCATATGATTTAGAGAGGAACATGCTGTTGATATTGCAATATCATATTTATCAGGAATTGTTCCGAGACTTCCTAAACGCCCATAAAATCCATCAATACGACCGGATTCCTTAAGCTTCATAAGCCCATCTAAAACAGAATTATGATTCCGAAATTCTGAATATGAAGCTCTTGCTTCATCTTCTTTTTGGTGGCATTGAGAAAGCTTTTCTTTAAACCTTTTTTCTTCTTCCTTCATTTTCTCATATTCTTCTTTAGCATAAAGTAATTCCCTCTCCTTATTTTCTTTATCAATTCGACATTGTTGTATCGTCTCTTTTGCAATAGTCTCTTCCTCCTCAATTGTTCGAATTCTTTTTTGAATATTATGAATTTCTTGCACAGATCTATTCTCTTTATCTACAAGTATTTTTATTTCAGAATTAATAACATCAATTTTAGATTGTCTATTATTTATCTGCTCAATCCAGGGATCCAATTTCTTTTGTTTTATTTCTAATTGGTCTGAAATATCATGGGTTTTATCTAATAATATTATAAAAAATAGGATTTTTTAAAAAAATACCCTTAAGCTCGTATCTTATTTTTTCTAACTCTTTTGTTTCTAACTGTAACCTATTCGTTAATTCGAAAATTTCCTTTTCACAGGATGTAATTTGATTAGCGCAATTTTCTATAGATCTTACGGCTTCTAAATAAGAATGAGAATTCTAATATCATATTAAGGATTTTTCCATATCAAAGAAAGACCCTACAGTTTGTATTAAAGTATTATTTTTTTTCTGTTTTTGCAGTAAATGCTTTTGCTTTTCCTGCAACTTGATATTTTCTTGATCATACTTAGTAAATTCTTTTTGAGCATTTAATAAATCTATTTCTAAATTCTAAATAATAATTAATATTTAAAAAACATTAATAATAATTTACTTCATGTTCTTTTAATATTTTCTCATGCTGTTTTTCTAATTCTTTAATTTTTTTAGAATTCTCTTTATACATAAATTCATCTGCATCAATTATCTCTCGTAACTTTTTCTATAAATAATTAGATATCTCAGTCAACTCAAAGAACCACTACAATATGCTCTTTTGTTGCTTCAATATTTGCATCACATTCAAAAATATATGCTTGATAAAGTTTTGATTGTTTCATCGTCAATATATTGTCATCCCTAATATACGATAACACTATTTCTTTACGAGACTAAAAATAGATAAATATAAAAATAAAATACATAGAGACTATTAAATTTACCTCAAGATTATCCTTTTCCTTTTTAACAACAGAAACCCGATTCAATCGCTCCTCACAAAGCTCATTTAATCGATCCAATTTAATCGAAGTCTCTTCTATACGCTTTTTATAATTGGAAGTACCTATAATATCCTCTAAATACTCTAACAAACCATCTTCATGATCGTTCGGTGCTTTAGGCTTCATTTGTGCAATTGATTCTACCTCACCCTATGACAAATGTCTTACAACACAAAAACATGACTATTTATAATCACACTTACTTGTAAAATAAGAAATCGCTTATGATCCAAATCAACACCCTTTTCCTTAAGAAGTTTTGTAATCTCTGTATAACTACTTTCTCGATCATTCACCATATATTTACTTGTATTATTTTTAAAAGCTTTACGTGAAATAACCATACGAGACTCAGGTTTAATAATATACGAAACAGATGAAGACTAAACTTAAAGTTAAAAAAAACTATAGAACCAACAAAATTAATAATCAAACATTAGAGTTCTCAATTTCCTGTATTTCTTCAAAATAAATTTCAACACTGCAAAAATCAAGATCTGAATAAGCCAAAGATTTATGAATCAACGCCGATATTTTACTTTGACGCATCTGGCTTGCTCTAAATCCAAAAACAAACAACAGTGCATCAATTACATTCGATTTCCCTGATCCATTAGGTCCAACTATTGAGGAAAATGACTATTCAAGTCAATTTAAACCACTAAAAAAATGCGTCTTTTACAGGATGGAATGGACCAATACATTGTCGTCCAGCATAGGACTTAAAATTCGTTAATACCAATTGTGAAATCATTAAACGTTCTATCTGTTTTGAATCATTTACAGCCTGTTCTGACAAGATCAATTGATTAGATAACCCTAACTTAGCCGGTGAAATTGAAGAAAGTTTTTGAATTGGAGAATTCTGACTCAAAGATGATAATTGAACAAGAGGAACCCTTTTTACTTTAGAAGATAATGGTCCTTGCTTGATTTTTATATCCTTTTCTTTTGTTTTATCTGGACTAGTATACATCTTTAATGAAGAAAATTCCATCGTCAAATTATCCTCTTTTTTTGGAGATAAAGCGCTCATAGGAGATGATGTCATTGAAGCTACTGATGTAGAAGTTATTGGAGATCTTGTTATGTCTCTTTGCTCTTTATTGTTCTCATTTTCCGTCTCAGATTCAGATGACCCAACTATACGTCCATAACACCGTTTTTTCTCCGGAAAATTCGCCCTGGTATTTCTTGAAGGCCTAACCATTATTTCTAGGCGATCAAAGCCCTTATTTATCTTCCAAATATGCTTATTTAATATTCTTAACCTTATAGTATTTTATACGTAGTTGTACGTACGCACGATAGGGAAGTATACAGGCACCTTAATAATAGAGTAAATAATAGTTTAGTATAAATTATTTGTATTATAAAAATATTTAATAAGGATATTTAGTAAAGATTAACATAATTAATATTAAGGATTATAATTACGCTTTTTTTCTCCATGTTTTAAAGATAAAATCTGATTAAAATCGATTTAAAAATATATATATAGTGAATTAACCTTGAAAAATCAATCCAATTCTATCATAAAATGATCGAGCACGTATATAAGGATCCAATTGCCAATAATTTAGAGAAAGATCTCTTGCTATGAAATTACGTTGTTCTAAAAGTAAATCTGATTGCACGGTATCATTTTCTTTAAGCCATTTTATAGTCAATTGTTCAAAAGAATGAATTATATTCTTTCGTTGCAATGATAAACGTTCTTTTGTTAGGATATCTTGCATTTTGATATTTTCATTTTCTTGTGGTTCGATATATCTATATTCCCAATCCTTTTTTCCGCCCAATTCTTTAATAATTTCAGTATCTTTAATATAAACTTCTAAATCTTTGCGTGAATTCGTAAAGCAAACTTTCTTAGCAACAACAGGATCAAGCCAGGTTTTAATAACCTTCCAAATCCCTATTTTATTTTAATAAAGTTTAAAGAAAACTTTCAAAATACCTTGAAATACCCATGGTGCTTTATGAATAATACATATACCAAGACTCTCTGGATAATGTGCTTCAAAACATTTGATTAAAAACTTGATAGGTATATAATCCATATTTTTCAGCTAAAAAATATTAAAAAAAGTTAAATGAAATTGACAAAAAATATCAATATAGAATCAAAGGAAAAGAAATATTTATGATTTTGAAAGACTTACCGAAAATTTAGTTAAATCAAACAAAATTGTCGCAGTTTGGACAGGATATGTAATCATTAGTCGTGCACTTTCCATCAACCAAATAATATATCGCTGAATAGCTAAATCCGGCTGTTCACCTGCCCTATGCAAATGCGTTCGAATATAACAAATAGGACGATGTTCCCGATCAACACCTTGAATAAAACTTTTTCCAAGCCTTAATTGTTTCATAAACGCATCATCTCCTGTCTCAATAGCACCCGCTTCTCCTGTTCGAAGAACTTCTTCAACCCCTGTTTCTTGACGCCAATAAACTGTTGCTGCTAACATAACAAATGATTTGCTAATATCCCATTTTCTCGCTCTTAAAAAACGCAATAATACGGCATCCGGGTGGTCCATCTTGATCATCTCCCAGAACACATCATAAAGTGCAAAAAAGTAATTTAAAATATGTCGTTCTCTCAACAATTTCTTCGAAACATTATTATCATCAATACCTCCCATTTCTTCTGAATTTTTCAGAAAAATTTCACACTTTTTTCCAAACCCATGACTTTCCTCATTCAATATAACATATTCCCCTAAATCTTCCCTATTGATCTTCTTAAAATGAAGCAAAACAAACAACCAAAAGCATTTTAATGCTTTTTCTTCATTTCGGGTCAATTCATCCAATTTTTTATCAATAGCAACCATTCTAAACTTCTAAAACTATAAAAAGCCTCCAAAAGACCTCTTATAACTCTATATTACTCAATTTTTAATTCTTTTTTTGAAAAAGACCAAATCCTTTAAAACTTTAAATCAAGTACCTGTGCAAGAATAAAGTAAAGCTTAAAAACATGAAGTCTGACTATCGATTGCCTTAAGAGCAAAAATATTAAAGAAAAGGAATTTCCTCGTAAAGAGAAAATAAATAAAAATTTAATATTTTTGCAGATAAAAATTAATTTAAAAGGTGGATAACTTATAGCAACACCTAGTCAGAGCAAGACTGTCATAGCAACATGTTGTCATAGAAACAGCTAATCCTAGCAACACATCGTCAGAGCAACAGCACTGTCAAAGATATAACGAATATAGTGAAATGCCATTTAAATCGAAATCCCGCCCAACTACCCCTCTTCGACGCATAGAAAAAGGTAGTTTATCACATCTTTCATCATCTCGAAGTAGACAGGATCCTTTTCCATTAGATTCTCTTGCACCGGCATTTGCAGAAATGGCAGACGCTTTAATAGATGTACAACAAAATTTTGAACATGTTCAATCGATACATTCAAATCTTGTTCAATTTAGTGAAAGCTTTGCATCCTTTCTTTATGGTCTTAATATGAACGCTTTCTGCGTTGATTTTCCTGAGGTTTGAAAACAATTTTTTTCTTTTATTTTTCAATTAATTTATTAAAACAGGCACCTGTATATGAATCATTCAAAAGAGCACAAAACGACCTAAACTACACTAATACATCTCAATCTACTCCATCTCGCATCTGGGACAATAAAAATTCCCATACACAAGGATTAGATCTAGCGGACACAACTTTTACAACTAATGAAACTTCTTTCATCGAACGCCCCTCACAACCCTCTAAAACAACAGCATCCAAACGCACTAACAAGTCTGATCGAACAATTCATACACAATCTTCAAAAGCTCGAAACACTTCTCGGCCTCGTTAAATATGATCATGTGATCAGGCACAGTATCGAGTCATATTAATTTATCTCGAATTGTTTGAGCAACACTTTCAAGTAAATCCGAGCCGACTGAATTAGCTGATTTAAACTCTACGTAAAGTCCTTCAGAGCTAGATGGCTTAGGAATCAAGTGAAAATGTACCTTTTTATGTATTATTTTTTTTCAAAAAAAATATACAACCTTACATGAAAAACTGCTTGATAAGCCAAAGAACCATTATTCTTTTTTAAAATTAATTATAAAACAAAAAATAAAAAAGTACTTGTAATAGATTATATTGTTCAAGACCCATTGCATTAGCAAGTCGTTTAGCAATCGGTAAAATATCTGCCAAAAAATCGTCATTAAGTTCATGTAATTTTTCTGCATGTTCCTTTGGAATAATAAGAGCATGACCTCTACTAAGGGGTTGAATGTCAAGAAATGCAAGCCTAAATCTTAGGTTATTCTATATATAATATTGTGATGACATACGATTTCTCAGTTTCCAACAGTTTATAGGCGGGTAATTCGCCTAAAATAATACGACAAAAAATACATTTAGAAACAATCATAATATAGATTAGATTTTTGACTTGACCAAAGGAAAATCTATATAGAAATATCTATAAAAACTATTTAAGTGGTATTTACTGATATTTTTAAGACTAACGATACAAATTGGATTTTTTAATAAAATTTGTCATTAATAAATAAAAAAGAAGAAAAAAGGCTATAAAAACATATAAAACTGATACAGAGTTGTGCATATAGTCGAAAATACATGCATATAATCACTAAATTTGTGCATATATTCGGAGTATTTGAAAGATAAATTTATAAAAAAAAGATTAAATTACCATTAAATTCATTATTAAGCTCTTAATACAGTTATTTTTAGGCATAAGAAGGATTTTATGTTATCTATATTATTTGAAAGACATATAAAGTATAGATATATATAGCGGATAAAAAAAGAATAGACAAATATATAATTTAAGATAAAAATGTGTAGAACAAAGACATGTTGGATACCAGGTATTTCTAGAAAACAAACGGATTTAATTAAAGAAAAATATGCTCCAAGAATTGAAAATATCTTAAGCGGAGAAACTGTATATCAGGTAAAAAATAAAACAGATTGAAAAATAAAAATTTATTAATTATAGCGTATTATTTTAGTTTATGGAAGAGCAGGAACAAAAGATATAAAAGAAGGAACAATTGTTGTTCATCATGACAAAAATAGTTTTCCGTCTCAAACATGGCCATGTAATATTTTTGGAGGATAAATACATATTAATAAGTTTTACAGGCATAAAATCACATTTTAAATGTCTGGTTCATTTGAATGAGGGAATGAATTGTTTAACTTTTGAATTTTTTCCTCCACATAACATGTCTATACAGTTTTCTACAGTTATTTTTCTAAATTATATTAATGTAGTTAAAAATCCACCACTTTATCTTGTAATTTTGTTAGCAAAGGATTCACCAGGTAAAATTAAGTATTCATATAATATTTATAAATAATTAATATTTTTTCCTTGTAGAAGAATATGATGCACCGCCTTCACGCAAAGAAAAGGAAGGAAATGGATTAGAATTAGCAATAAAAAAGCTTCGAATGATTGCATATCTGTGGCAAGCGTTTACGGGTGAAAAAATGGCAAGAAATGGGTTTGGAAGAAGATGTTTTCGTTTTGAAGAAGAAAATTTAATAGATACATTGTCATCTCAAGAGAAAGACATCATTAGACAAACAGCAAAAATTCATATAGTTCGATCTAAATATTCTCTTAAGGGTTAGCTTGAATCTGAATATTTTTAAGAGTTAAAAACAGTTTTAGAAATTCGAGATGTTAATTTGGCTCAACAAAATCCAGCTGCCACAAAAAAGGATGGTTTATATGAAATAGCGCTTGAAAGCATAAGAGAATACGGAGATGTGTTTAAATCCGAATCTCCAGTCCATGTTGCAGCATGCATTCTAGATAGCCATTGGGATGGAAAAATGATTTTAGGCCATGCAGCTTTAGGAGGAGGAACTGGTAAGATTAAAATGGACATATACATATATACGTCCATTTTAGTGGATAAAAATTTATTTATTTCTTTAGATCTACAACGTCTAGCTATATTTGGATCTCATTCTATGCATTGTTTTCCATCTTGTATAGAAGAAGTGGTACCTACTTTTCTAGACGATACAGCAATTGATACAAGATATGTGGCAAATGATAATAATGAAAGTTCTACAATCTGGGAATGCGCAAATATAGGAATTGGCGCATTTTTACATGAAGTTGGCCATCTCTTAGGCGCTCCTCATCGATCTACTGGAATTATGCATAGAGATTATGTACATTTCAACAGAACATTTTGTACTATAGAGCCATACTCAGCAAGAACAAAAAAAGAATCTTGGGGACCATGCCTTCCTGAATCTGAATGTTCATGGCATTATTTAGACATGATTAAATTTCGATATCATAAACTTTTTGCCTTACCAGATGACCCTATTATAGAAGCTGGAAATCTTCTTTATTATTCTATGAAGGACAAATTTCTTGTAATGTCAGATGAAGGAGTTATATTAATTGAAATATACGCAAACGATAAGTATTATGCATATCTTGATTTTCATGATAATTCAAAAAAAGAAATTCTTTTAGAAGAACAAAGCCTTCGCAAATATGCAAAAATTCCTAATAATATACAACCTTTAAAAGCTATTATTACTTCAGCCGCATTATGTGAAATTACTATCGAAGATTTCAAAAAAGAATTACTAGACTCAACTGTTTCTTTGGATGCTGGATTGGGTATTAAAAGCTTCCAGTTTGGTAGATCGGATGAAGCATTATTAAAATTTCAATTCGATTTTTCTAATAAACTCGACAAACTGAGCAATATTTGTATAAAATATATATTTTATTTCATTTTTCTGATATTCTAACTCATAAGGCATACGCTCTGGTTTATTTATCGATGGCTTAAAATTCATCTTTAATAATGAATCAACCATGGCAACATCAGGGAATGGCGGGAACTTAAACAATTTCCCCATAGATGGACCAAAAGGAGAACGTATAAAAGGCCTTTATATCTGGTCTAACGCATGGATCGATGCTTTACAGGTAATCATTTACTTTAATAGGTATCTAAATTACAACTAAAACTTAATATAGATCATAACAACATGGAATAGAACAAGGCAGGCATCTAAAATAAATATATTTCCTTTTTAATGATAGAAAATAGCCCTTTATATGGAACTGTGTCAGGTCACTATAAATACGTAACTACACCCGAAGGATATGAAATCGCTGGTTTTTATGGTTCAACTGGGGTAATTTCCAATATTATTTCAACAAATCCTAACTGTTTTTTTTCAAAGAAATGGTGTAATACATTAGGAGTCATTTATATAGATAAAAAACAATTGCAAATTTGACCAAATATAGCCCTTAAAACCAATCGTATTGGAAAACCCTAATAATTGACAAGTCCTTTTATGAATAAAAAATAATCTGTCTAAATCATAGATACTAAAGAACCATTTTTCTTGCCAAATACCAATTAAACATTCCTTATAATTCTTTAATTAATGACACAATATAAAGATATAAACAATACCCAATGCATAAAATTCTTTTGATTTAAATAGACAACTCTCCACCAAGCTCCATCGAACCTGTATCCACTCTTAAAGTAGAACCCGGTGTCGCAGGAGAAGAAGATAAAGGCAATGATTGATCATAAGTTAATCTTTTTCGTGCAGGTGTACTTCCTGGTGTTCGAGAAGACCATGCCACTTGTGCCGGTGATGGTGTAATATTAACAAAATCAGAAAAATCAAAATTCTGAGGCGTATTTGGCGCTAAAATTAAAAAATTAATTTAAATAATAACTCCAAAAAATTCCTACGGAATCGAGTAGATATAGATGCATGAGACGGTGATGTAGCCAAATAAATCAATAAATCAACACCTTCTTCTCCCGTATGAGGCGTCATCGTACGCATAGAAGGTCTGTAAGGCGGTGTTCGGGGTGGACTCGATTGTGTCGGTCGTATCAAATGATATGCGTTTAAATAATTAGATGGCAAAAATGTATCTACCGAATTATTTTTATGAACCGGCGATGACTGATGTAAACGAATCCTATCCGACCAGACTGGAGTATTTTCCACTGGGTGCGAACCCTTTCCCAATACAAAATCTAACCATTAAAATAAGATAACGATATAAAATAAAAATTATTAACATTCTGATTGTGTTGTAGGCATAATAAAAGGGTTAGAACGACGATCTTTATTCAATTTAAACTCCTCTGTAAGACGAGGTGTAATATTTTCAAGAGCAAGATTCTGCCAACCACGACTAGTTTTATATGTAGCAAGAGTTAACCGAGATTTTAATAGTCGAGTCATCTGATGATAAAAAATCAAATATCAGAAACAAAATATTCAAAAAAAACATATTAATTTACACGAGAAATTTCCGCTCTTCGAAGCACTTTAGCTGCAACACAATCCTGCTGTGTAGAGCTTAACGTCATTTTCTTATAATTTCGATCTTTTCGTTTTTTCACTTTATTTACTTTGAGGCGCGAAGACGCGGCTCAAAAAGTAGGTAAAAACCCTGAAACTCAAAAATTGGGATTCTTATAAAATCTCAATAATTTCAAATATTCAGTCATTCTTGTTTAAATTGGATGTATTTTTGACGAAAAAAAGAACAGACTAAAACTGAAGAGACAGAACTCGTTCATGGGAGATCTGGAGAAAGGTTACTATGACAACCTGTTGTCATAGTAACACATATTGTCATAGTAACTCAGTAAACACGTTGTCCAGGAAACGCTTTTATAAAAGCTTTTTTTCAAATCTCAAATTCTAATCCTTTATTTTTCACCAAAATGTCGCTGCCACCGGGCTTTAGAGGAGCAGTAAATGGAATGGAAATGAAGATAAAAGATCCCATTCAGATACAGTTGGATGAAAAGGCACGTAAATGGAGACAAAGTCAACGACATCGGTTTGAAGAAAAAAAGAAACTGGGATATATTGAAACACAGAAAGCAGAGCTGCCAGCAGAACATCTGAGGAAGGTATGGATGAAGGGAAAAGTGTTGAGGGGAATGATGAGAAGTGAAGTTTATGGGTATATGCGCAGTATATAGGGATATATTCCGTAATATAGCCAGTATAGGCTATTTATGTATATTATATATGTGTTGTATGCGTAGTATGTGGTATACAGATATATGCATAATATTATTCGAATATGGTCAGCATATAGTACGGCATATAGACGCATATAACACAGATATAGCACGCATATAGTACGTATACAGCCCGCATATATGCCTATTTTATGCCTCTCATTTCATTCCCAATAGACTCTTCTTTCATGATCTCACCTTATCTAGATCATCAAAGATCATGGAGATATGAGCAGCAAGAAATTTCGTCATGATAAACGCTCATATCTTGGAGCTCTAAAATATATGCCACATGCAGTACTAAAGCTGATGGAAAATATGCCAATGCCTTGGATGGAAGTGAAATGTAGAATTTTTGTTTGTTTGAATGAGGAAATATTGAGTTTTTATAGATGTACCCGTGCTTTATCATATTACAGGCGCAATTACCTTTGTTAATGAGATTCCCAGGGTAATTGAACCACATTTCATTGCACAATGGGGTACGATGTGGATTATGATGCGACGGGAAAAAAGGGATAGACGTCATTTTAAACGGTTAAGATTACCTCCTTTTGATGACGAAGAACCAGTAATAGATTATGGAGAGAATATTGCAGATGTAGAACCTCTTGAAGCTATTCAAATGGAATTAGATCCAAAAGAGGATGGAGCAGTTAATGAATGGTTTTATGAACATAAGGCATTGCTTGATACGGTTCATGTGAACGGACCAACATATAAACGATGGAATCTAAATCTTGCACAAATGTCTACATTATATCGGTTAGCACATCAGCTTTTATCGGATTTAACGGATCAGAATTACTTTTATCTTTTTAATCTCAAGTAAGAATATATAAAAGAGAAATCTCTAAAAGACTCTTATAAAAATATAAATAAAAAAAAGAGGCTAATGAATGATGTATAGCTCTTGGATTACGTCGAAAAGTTTAAATATGGCGATTCCAGGAGGTCCCAAATTTGAACCATTACATAAAGATACATTAGACATGGATGAGGATTGGAATGAGTTTAATGATATTTATAAATTAATTATACGACACCAAATACGTACAGAATATAAAGTGGCATTTCCATACTTGTATAATTCGTATCCCAGATCCGTGAGGTTATCGATATATCATGAGCCATCAACGACCTATATTCGAACAGAAGATCCAGATTTGCCAACATTTTATTATGATCCAATTATTAATCCTATTTCTATGAGGTCATTTATCGAATCTCTACCGATAGGATTACATGAAGATAATATTTTTCAAGGGGAAGAAGTAGACACGTTTAGATTACCAGAAAATCTAGAATCATTTCTTAATGATGTACCATTATATACGGAAAATACATCTATGGCAATTGCACTTTGGTGGGCGCCACATCCATTCAATAAAAGAACGGGAAGAATGATTAGGGCAGAAGACGTTCCATTAGTGAAACAATGGTACTTAGAATATTGTCCTCCGGGTAAGGCTCATTTTAGTGATGATTGGATAAGCTTACGTATAATTCCTAGGACAACCCGTTAAGGTTAGAGTATCATATCAAAAATTATTAAAAAATTACGTTTTAAATGCGCTTCATACAAAACCGCCAAAATCCCATTTAAAAAAGGATTTATTTCGACAATTGAAAAATACGAAATTCTTCCAAACAACAACGATTGATTGGGTCGAAGCAGGACTTCAAGTTATTCGTCAAGGCTATAATATGTTAAATCTTTTGATTCATCGTAAAAATTTGAATTACTTACATTTAGACATGAATTTTAATCTAAAACCTGTAAAAACATTGACAACGAAGGAAAGGAAGAAATCTAGATTCGGAAATGCATTTCATTTAATGCGTGAAATCTTACGGCTTATGAAATTACTTGTAGATTCTCATGTTCAATACCGTTTGGGCAATATCGATGCATTTCAACTTGCAGATGGAATTCATTACTGCTTTAATCAGTATTTCAAGATTCTCATCAAAACTAATACACTAACATTTGAGTTAGTATTGGCCAATTAACGGGTATGTATCGGTATAAGTATAGACTTATGCGTCAAATTCGAACCTGTAAAGATTTAAAACATCTGATATATTACCGATTTAATACGGGCCCAGTAGGTAAAAACTTTCTATCATTTTTCTAATTAAATAAATTAAAACATTAAAATTTAGGCAAAGGGCCTGGATGTGGATTTTGGGCACCGTCATGGAGAGTTTGGCTTTTTTTCATGAGAGGCATTGTACCTTTGCTTGAAAGATGGCTCGGAAATCTTCTTGCTCGACAATTCGAAGGACGTCATTCAAAAGGAATTGCAAAAACGGTATAATTCAATCCTGTCCTTTTTACAAACTGATAAATTTAGATAACGAAACAACGTGTAGAATCACATTTTGACTTAGAATTGCGTGCAGCAGTTATGCATAATATTCTTGATCAAATGCCTCAGGGAATCAAAGCGAATAAATCAAAGACCATTTTACAACATTTATCAGAAGCATGGAGATGTTTTAAAGCCAATATTCCTTGGAGGGTTCCTGGATTGCCTGCTCCAATTGAACAAATTATTTTAAGATATGTTAAAGCAAAAGCTGATTGGTGGATCTCTGTTGCTCATTATAATCGAGAACGTATTCGAAGAGGTGCTACGGTTGATAAAACTGTTGCAAAAAAGAACCTTGGACGTTTAACAAGGTTGTGGTTAAAAGCGGAACAAGAAAGACAACATAACTATTTAAAAGATGGACCTTATGTCACAGCAGAAGAAGCGGTTGCCATTTATACTGCTACAGTTCATTGGTTAGAAAGTAGAAAATTCAGCCCTATTCCATTTCCTCCTTTATCATATAAACATGATACAAAACTCTTGGTTCTTGCATTGGAAAGATTAAAAGAAGCATATAGCGTTAAGGGTCGTTTAAATCAAAATCAGAGAGAAGAATTGATATTAATCGAACAAGCATATGATAATCCTCATGAATGCCTTTCACGTTGTAAAAGATTTTTATTGACACAAAGAGCATTTAAAGAATGCGGTATCGAATTCATGGATCAATATTCATATTTGATACCTGTGTATGATGTAGAACCTATGGAAAAAATCACAGATGCATATTTAGATCAATATTTATGGTACGAAGCAGATAAAAGACATTTATTTCCATCATGGATTAAACCTTCTGATTCAGAGCCTCCTCCTTTATTGGTGTATAAGTGGTGTCAAGGAATTAATAACTTATCAGAAGTTTGGGAAACGGATCAAGGACAATGTAACGTTATATTAGAAACTTCATTAAGTAGGGTTTATGAAAAAATTGATATTACGTTATTAAATCGTTTATTACGATTAGTTGTTGATTCGAATATTGCTGATTATATATCTGGTAATCATATTTATAATTTATTAAAATTTTTAATCAGAAATAGGAAAAAATAACATTAATCTTACATATAAAGATATGAATCATATTAATTTATACGGATTAATTCGCGGGCTTCAATTCTCATCATTCGTATTTCAATATTATGGATTAATCATTGATCTTTTAATCTTAGGCTTACATCGTGCGAGTGAAATGGCTGGTCCTCCTCAAATGCCTAATGATTTCTTGCAATATCGTGATATTGCAACTGAAATTCTACATCCCATACGATTATATTCACGTTATATAGATAAAATACATATATTTTTTAGATTTACTGCAGACGAAGCTCGTGATTTAATTCAAAGATTTTTAACTGAACAACCTGATCCAAATAATGAAAGTATAGTAGGTTTTAATAATAAACGTGTCTGGCCTAGGGATTGTCGTATGAGGCTAATGAGGTTTTCTCTCCATTTTATCTAAAAATAATTTACTCATTTGTTTTAGACATGATGTTCATCTAGCCAGAGCAGTATTTTGGGATGTTAAAAATCATATTCCTAGATCTTTAACAACGATCGAATGGAGTGATTCATTCGTTGGCGTTTATAGTAAAGATAATCCTAATTTACTTTTTTCAATGTGTGGTTTTGAAGTTAGAATATTACCTAAAATAAGAAGTGCAACGGAAGAGTTTACACTAAAGGACGGTGTTTGGAATTTAGTCAATGAACAAACAAAAGAACGCACTGCTCAAGCATTTCTTCGTGTAACAAAAGACGATATGGCGAAATTTAATAATCGCATACGTCAAATTTTAATGTCATCTGGATCAACAACATTCACAAAAATAACAAATAAATGGAATACCGCATTAATAGCTCTTCTTACATATTACCGCGAAGCAGTTGTATCAACTCCGGAACTTTTGGATTTATTAGTAAAGTGCGAAACTAAGATTCAAACCCGGGTGAAAATTGGATTAAATTCAAAAATGCCATCAAGATTTCCTCCTGCTGTTTTCTATTCTCCTAAAGAACTTGGTGGCCTTGGAATGCTTTCTATGGGTCATATTTTAATTCCTCAAAGTGATCTTAGATGGTCAAAACAAACAGAAGCAGGAATTACTCATTTTAGATCAGGCATGTCTCATGAAGAAGATCAAATGATTCCCGCTCTTTATAGATATATTATTACATGGGAATCCGAATTTATAGATTCTCAAAGAGTGTGGTCTGAATATGCTATGAAGAGACAGGAGGCAATTCAGCAAAATAGGCGGTTAACCTTGGAAGATTTAGAAGATTCATGGGATAAAGGTATTCCTAGAATAAATACATTATTTCAAAAAGATAGACATACTTTAAGTTATGATAAAGGATGGAGGGTTAGAACAGATTTTAAGCAATACCAATTACTCAAAAATAATCCATTTTGGTGGACAAGTCAACGGCATGATGGAAAATTATGGCAATTAAATAATTATCGAACAGATGTTATTCAAGCACTAGGAGGAGTCGAAGGTATTTTAGAACATACTATGTTTAAAGGTATAATATTTTTTTTGATAAGTTATTTACTAAATATTCTAATAGCCACTGGATTCCCTTCATGGGAAGGATTGTTTTGGGAAAAAGCTTCTGGATTTGAAGAATCAATGAAATATAAAAAATTAACCAATGCTCAAAGATCCGGTCTAAACCAAATCCCAAACCGTCGGTTTACTTTATGGTGGTCTCCTACAATAAATAGAGCAAACGTATATGTTGTATGTTACATATATACACATAATAGCTATTTATTTTTTTAGGGATTTCAGGTACAACTTGATTTAACTGGTATTTATATGCATGGCAAAATACCTACTTTAAAAATTTCTTTAATTCAGATTTTTCGTTCTGTAAGTTTTATAAAAGTCATAAATTTATAATTAATATTTTTAAGCATTTATGGCAAAAAATCCATGAAAGTGTATGTATCAATTTAACACATCTGATTTAACTAAAGATTCTAGATTGTTATTGATTTATGTCAAGTTTTTGACCAGGTAATATTATAATTTTTATACTAAATTTTAAAATTAAAAAAAAATTAGGAACTCGAAACTCTTCAAATAGAAACTGTTCAAAAAGAAACAATTCATCCTAGAAAATCGTATAAAATGAATAGCTCATGTGCAGATATTTTATTGTTTGCTACTTATAAATGGAATGTTTCTAGGCCATCTTTACTCAATGATAGCAAAGATGTACTAGATGGAACAACCACAAATAAATTTTGGCTCGATATACAACTTCGTTTTGGAGATTTTGATTCTCATGATATAGAACGATATACTAGGGCAAAATTTTTGGATTACACCACAGATTCCCAGTCAATATACCCTTCTCCTACAGGGTTAATGATAGGCGTCGATTTAGCTTATAATTTACACAGTGCATATGGCAACTTTTTTCCCGGTCTAAAACCGTTAATTCAACAGGCTATGGCAAAAATTATGAAAGTTAATCCTGCTCTTTATGTTTTAAGAGAACGTATTCGAAAAGGTCTTCAGCTTTATTCTTCTGAGCCTACTGAGCCTGTATATAATCTTTACATTCTCAAGAATTTATTATCTGATATGCTAATAGTATCTGAATTCCCAAAATTATTCTGAACTTTTCAGCAATCAAATTATTTGGTTCGTAGATGACACTAATGTATATCGAGGTAAAATAATTAATTTATTTCTAAATATATACTTAATTTACTAGTAACGATTCATAAAACATTCGAAGGAAATTTAACGACAAAACCGATTAATGGCGCAATATTTATTTTTAATCCTAGATCAGGTCAATTATTTCTGAAAATTATCCATACATCAGTATGGGCTGGACAAAAACGTCTTGGACAATTGGCAAAATGGAAAACAGCAGAAGAAGTTGCCGCGTTAATTAGATCACTCCCAGTTGAAGAACAGCCGAAGCAAATTGTCGTTACACGTAAGGGTATGCTTGATCCTTTAGAAGTTCATCTACTGTAGGAGATTTAATTTAATTTCTACCATTGTTTAATAAAATTAGAGATTTTCCAAATATTATTGTGAAAGGAAGCGAACTTCAACTTCCCTTTCAAGCAGCTTTAAAAGTAGAAAAATTAGGTGATATGATTTTAAAGGCTACAGGTCCTCAAATGGTTTTAATGAATCTTTATGATGACTGGCTTCAAACAATATCATCTTATACTGCATTCTCAAGATTAGTTTTAATTCTTAGAGCACTTCATGTGAATATGGATAAAACTAAAATGATTCTTCGTCCATCAAAAGAAATTATTACAGGTATTTTTTTTTTTTTGTTAAATAAAATCTAATAATTCATAGAAACTCATAAAATATGGCCTACATTAACAGATCAGCAATGGATAGATGTTGAGTTGGCCCTAAGAGATTTGATATTGGGTGATTATGGAAAAAAGAATAATGTTAATGTGGCAAGCCTTACATCTTCTGAGGTTAGAGATATTATATTAGGTATGGAAATAAGTGCACCATCTATACAAAGGCAACAAATCACGGAAATCGAAAAATCTCAGCAAGAACAAAGTCAATTAACAGCAAGAACTACAAAAACAACAAACATTCATGGCGATGAAATCATCGTTGTTAATACGTCAAATTATGAAGCCCAAACCTTTTCATCAAAAACAGAATGGAGGATACGTGCTATATCAACAACTAATCTTCATTTAAGAACGAATCGTATATATATATCTTCAGATGATATTCAGGATCAAGAACAATATACATATATTATACCTATGAATATTTTAAAAAAATTTATAATCATATCAGACTTATATACTCAGGTCGCGGGTTTCTTATATGGCGCTTCTCCTTCAGATAATGCTGAAGTTAAAGAAATAAAGTGTATTGCTATTGTCCCGCAACTCGGGAGTAATGCAGGCGTTCAATTACCACATAAACTTCCGAAACATGAGTTTCTTCTTGATGATTTAGAACCTTTGGGTTGGGTTCATACACAATCTCACGAAATGCCACATTTATCCCCTAATGACTTGACCATACATTCAAGAATCATGGCAGAACATAAAGAATGGGATTCTAAAACAATCACAATGACTGTCAGTTTTACACCCGGCTCCGTTTCTTTAGCTGCATATTGCTTGGTAATTTACCTATATATTTGTCAATAAAATTTAATAAACGATTTAGACTTCATCTGGATATGAGTTTGGTGCAAAAAATAAAGATATGACAAGTGGTAATCCTCAAGGGTATGTATGTATTCTTATTCTTATTTTTGCTGATTTAAATATTAGATGGGTACCTACTATGGCTGAAAAATGTCAATTATTACTATCAGACCGAATCGTAGGTTTTTTTCTTGTACCCGAAGATGATATATGGAATTATTCGTTTAATGGCGCAAACTTTTCAGACAAGGCGACTTATCATATGAAATTGGATGTTCCCATTCCTTTTTATAGTCCTCAACATAGGACAACTCATTTTTCTTCGATGATGCAATTAGAAAATGAAGATACACTATTAGGTGATCGTACTGATGTATTTGCCTAAGTATTATACTTAATGATACAATATGTTTGATCTTTATTAACGTCTATATTTTTAATAATTTAATTATTTTATATGTTTTAATATTTTCAAATAGAAATTTTAAAAAATGAATTAATATTTATTAAGTCAAAAAAATCTACAAAACATAAATATCTATTGCAAAGATAGGCCGTAAAACGAGAAAGATTCATGAGAAAGTATTATAAAAGGAATTTTATCTAAAAATATTATCAAGTTTTTTTTTTTACGGAAGCTCGAAACCGTCATTAAAAAAAGTATTAATGAAAGCAGAGCTTTAAATCATAGTTTTTTTAAACAAAGGGATATACTTAAGGATGCTATGAAGGAACATCGGTCAAGATCTAGATCTCCAACAACAAGCTATTCGAATAATAAGCGTGTTAAATCAATAGGTCGTATTAGACGTATACCATATGGGCCATTAACAGAAGATTACAAGAAGATTCTTGTATGGCAGTCAAAAGAGGGGGAGTTTATACTTTCTCAAGCAAAAAAAAGGGCGGAATTACGTGTTCAGTACGGTCGAGAAACACCAATTGATATTTTAGCAGTTCATTTAAGAATTATTGATAAAACTGAAGATTTTTGTGAAGAACAGCCTGAACATGCAGAAGTGGTATTGAAAGATCCTGTAGTTTTCTTGGAAGTAAGAAGAGAAAAATAAAAAATGTATTTTAAAACGTAAAAATAGACATTAAATCTAGAAGCTTTAGAAGAACTGGAAAAAGAAATAAATCAGTATTTGAAATGGGAAACAGAAGAAGAAAATATAGAATTTTGGAGGGTGGGGAATCTTTGATAGAAATATAAATATTAATGAAAAAAAGTCTATTGATGTGATTAGGCGGGATCAAATATTAAAATTGAAGTCGAAAGGACATGATAATGGAGAATTTCGATTATCACGAACAATTGAAGCACAAGTAGATAGTCTTTTAAAGGGAAAAACAAAGGAAGAATTGGAAATATTAGGAGCTCAAATCGATGAGAAACTTCAAGGAGAAACCTTGATTGACGTGGATTATTGGGAAAAAATGAAAGAATGTCTGATTGTTTGGAAATCAAGAGTATATTTTATTTTTGAATGTTATGATTTTTATTTAATATATAGGTTATATTAAAAGAATTACACAAAAAAATTCTTCATCAACGAAGAGAAGCATTAAAAAATCAACAATTACATGAAGGAAGAATGGATAGAGAAGCACTTAAAAATATTTATAATAAAAAAATACTAGACCCTAATTATTGTTTTATAAAAGATGATAAAACTTTTATTGCACAAGTAACTGAATTACCGGATATTTATCAAGAAACAATGGATCCAGAACCTTTATCTATACTAGAATATGAAGATAAAAAATCATATCGAATTCATGAATCAGCTTATCAAGATCAATTGGTATTAATAATTCAACTTTTTAAATAAAAAAAATTAATTATAATTAAGATATCTGATCGAGATAGAATATTACGTTCCGGCTTTGTTCCTATTAAAATGGTTAAGAATGACATACCTATTTCAAAAAATTTGCCAAATACCGATGATATTACAGATGATTCGTTTTCTACGATAACAAATGTTTTATATGAACGAGAAGCCTCAAAAGGAGAAAATGATGATGAAGAATTGTTTAACGTTGAAGAAGAAATCATTCAAACAACACCTAGCTGGGCAGATACTTATCGACCTCGAAAACCTAAATTTTTTAACCGTGTACAAACTGGATATGATTGGAACAGATATAATCAAGTACATTATGATGCAAATAATCCGCCTCCAAAAGTAACTATTATCTATATTAAATTCTCATTTCTTATCTCGTAAGGTTATTCAAGGATATAAATTTAATATTTTCTATCCTGATCTTATCGATAAAACAAAAGCTCCTACTTACAGAATTGAAAGAAACAAAAAAAAGAATTCTGGTCAAGACTTATTTTCTGAAGATGAAACATGTTTAATTCGATTTATTGCTGGCCCTCCTTATGAAGATATTGCTTTTCGTATTATTGATAAAGATTGGGATTATAGCGCTAAACGAGAAAGAGGATTTAAAAGTTCTTTTGATAAGGTTTTTCCCTTATTATTTTTAATATAAAAATAATTTGGTATAAATTAGGGAGTTTTACATTTAAGTTTTCAATTTAAAAAGGTATATTCCCTATTAAAAAAAGCATCTAAATTAATAATTTAAGGTTTTTTATAGAAAATGAATCATTTATATATAAATTAGAAGTTTTATAAGATTAGGAAATTCATTTGTATTTTATCCAAAAGTTCTCTACTTGTTTTATTTTATACAGATACCAAAACCCGTTAATGAATTTAGAAAAAGAAGTTATTGGACGTTGAATAAGGCATTGTTGAAAAATGGAGGCAATGCATCTAATAAATTAAAAATCCATAGATATTATGATGCTTTTTCGAAAAAAAAATTTTTAATCCTCTTATTAAATTAAACAGACAATAATTTATAACATCAACAGTAGAAATTACTAATATTATTTGTTAATAGACATTTTCACCAGATATCTAAAAAGTATTTCATTCTTATCTCTCGCAATATGGTCCAAACTTTTATAATCATCTACAGACCCTAGCAAAGACTCTTTAAATTAGTTCGTATTTTTGCATCAGTCAAGCTTTTAATCATGAACAGGACTATAGGATATTGTGATAATATATGTCTTATATGATAGTAAAAAGAATGCAAGTACAGGTGCAAAAATAGCTGTTAAAATTTGGTTTATAAGAGATACAATTAAAATTACCAAGACAACTTTGAGGACTAAAAAGATGAATTTAGCTATTTGTTACTAATATAATAAATTTAAATGTATAGTTCAACACTTTTTTCTAATAGTTTATATTAAATACAATCATATTAAATGAAATAATAAATTCATATTTTATGACATGAATAGGATCTTGTTTAGATATTAAATTTAGAAAAATTGTTTTATAAAGGGTTAATAAATCTATCAATTTTTCTACAAAAGCTAATTGTTTCGTTTTTTGGTTCTTCTAATCAATTTTAATGATTAAAGTATGTATCAAAAGCCATATTTTATGTAGAAATAATTTTTTAATAAATGCATATATGTTTCAATGAAATTGTATAAAAACATTTAAATTCTTAGATTAATCTAAACAATACCTAATATTAATTATATGATAGATTTACCAATAACGGAGCAATGTTTTTTGTATCAATTGTTTCTACACCTTCATCTAAAAATTCATATTTATATTGGGGTAAAGATGCTTTTTTTTCTTCCTAATAGCTATTAATTCATTATTAGAGTATATACAATAACCTACAGGAGACATTTCATTGTCATCATAAACTAATATTTGATTAGATTTAAGTGGAGTAGATGTTTTTTTTATAGATGAAACATTTGGGATAGAGGTATTTGTAGTTAATGAATCCATAGAAGCAAAAGATTTGTCGGAATTCGACAAAGCATTCGACTCTTCAAAGTTATTTTCTGAACATGTAGTATTTAATGTTTGAGTATTAATAAATGCTGGAGGCATATTTGGTACAGTATGATTTTGTCTAGGAACAAAATTATTATGAAATATAATTATTAATACTTCCCAACATTGGATAATATGTATTACTTGATATTGAAGTGTTTTTCTGATAAAAATTTTGATATTGAGGTGGAATTCCATAAACAGAAGGCATAACTGATTGATGAGGTATATCAATTGTAGTTGGTTGAGATGATTCTCCCGATGGAGATATAGAAGGTTTAATATCAATCATATTCTCAGAATTATGATGTGAATTTTGTTTCTGCTGTTGCATTGCTGCCTTGTGAGCTGCTAATCTAGCTTGAATATCTGCCGCATCAACATATGTTTCTATTTTCTGTCTTTTTGACTCCAATTGAGGAACCGTTTCACGGTGTTGAACTCCTGACATTAAACGGTTATAATGGGAATGTATAACATCTTCTGGTATCCCTTCCATTCCATAAATCTCAACCTCAATAGAATCTCTTCCTGGAATAGCATTTTCAACTGTACTAATCGTTTCCTTATGTACTTGGACAACATGAATTGCAAGTCCAGATGCTGTATTGAGTTTTCTAGAGCATCTTGCACTGCTTTATTATACTAAATTTTCGAAAAATTGAAAAAAAAAATACCATTTAAAATGTTTTGCCCGTTGATGCGCCGTCAAAACTTTAAGATCATCAAAATCTCTCTCACAATAATAACAAAATGGACGTGTTAAATCGACTTGATTATGTCTTTTACATGCTTTTTTCGTCATCTCTACCTATTTATTCAAGACTACTTTTTTCAGGCATTAATAGATAAAAAAAACAAATTCAAAAACAAAAACCAGTCAAAACAAAGACGCCCTTTCCAATAATACAGTCTATTTACCACAAATACCCTTCTTTAGAAAAAAAATACACAATCTTTAATCTTCCCTATCTCTTTCAGTTTTGGACCGTTAAAATTGAAAAAAAAACACTACAAACCGTAAAAACACTTTTTCTATAAAATAAAAACTTAATTATACACTATTCTTATCCGAAACCTTCTTATTTACAGAAAATAACCCAACAAAAAAAGATAAATAAAATATCAAAACTTGGACGTTCATAACCATGTTGAACCTATCCGTTGTCACGCCAACTGTTTCTATAGAAACATCATTTAACGTTAAAATTTTTTTAAAGTTAAATAATGACAAAAACATTAGAAATTGTTCACAGTGATTGCGCACCTCCTGCTATTGGACCATATTGTATGTTTATTAAAGGAGAAAAGAATATTAATTAATAAATATAATATTTTTTTTTTTTTAAAAATCCGGTTAAAAATGAATGAAAACTAATATAAATATAGCTCAAGCAATAAAGGCCAATGGACTAATATTTTGTTCAGGACAATTGCCAGTGAATATTATTTATTAATATTTTTTTAAGTGATATAATTTTATTAGGCGTTAGCAAATGGCTGCTTAGTAACGACAAGTATTGGAGAACAAACGGTATATTTAACTTCGTTCTAATAATATTAAACAATTATTTTAATATAATACAGAAAGCCTGTTTAGATAATCTTCGTCATGTTCTAGAGGCGGGGAATTCGTGTCTTGAAAAAGTCGTCAAAGTAACCGTTTTTCTCAGTGATATGTGTCATTTTAAAGAATTCAACGAAACATATGAAAAAGTAAAATATAAATAAGAAATAGATCAAGTTAATAACATGGCAGGTATTTGGTTCTTATCGTCCAGCACGATGTTGTGTTGCGTATTTAACTATTAAAAACTTTTCCTATCAAAAAAGTAATAAAACATAGTGTTCGTGAATTACCAAGAAGTGTAGACGTTGAAATTGAATGTATTGCAGTTGAAAATAAATAATTGATTTTAATTATTTAAAATATTAAGTTTTAACAAATATTTCCAATATAATTAGATTTAACTCTATTAAATTTTAATTTCGTGCATCTCTCTGTATTGACATGTTTCCAATGGGTTCAACAAAAGCAAAATCAACGGATAACTTTGATTCTAACAATTCTGTTCCATTACATTTTTCAATTGCTTCTTTAGCCTCAGATAAATTTGAATATTCAATAAGTGCATAGCCCTATCTATATCAATACCATTTTCAAACTTTTTATATGTATTGAACCTTAACATAACCTATTTTTCGTTAATTTTGGTCCTACCATTAAAAAATTATTACCTGTTCTTCGATCCAAATTTAAATGTAAATTTTTGATATCTCCATATTCCGAAAATTTATCCTGAAGATCTTCTTCAGATGTTTCTTCATGTAACCCCGTTATCAATAGAATCCATCCTTCAATTGCTAATATTTATTTATTATATAAAAATGACCAAAAAATTAACCTTACATCGTATAGCACGCATTCCTGATCCTGTCCATGCACTCAACTCGTCATTACCATCCGTAATAACCTGAGTTTCCATATTTTCCCCACTCAAAAACATTGTTTCATCTGAAATATTTATTAATTATTTTCTTAAAAAAAATATCTTTACCTTGTGTCATAAAACCTCGACCCTTACGTATAACTGGATCTAAAAAAAATAATTAATAACATAAAAATCTTAGAAATATACCTTGTGTTTCTTCAATGTCCATAACATCTTGTAATTCTGTTGAAACATCCATTGTTTTTTCAATTTTTTTTTAAAAAAAATATCGAAGATCTTTTTAATGCTGACCCTGACCTACCTATATAAACTATATAGGGTTTAAAGACATTAGGTCTAAGATTTTTAATAGTCGCACGGATTCAAGAAACCTTTAAAAAAAATATAAAAAAATGCAGCGGCTAACATATCGCCGTCGACTATCTTATAACAGTAAGTATCTTTTAATATGTTTTTTTTTTTCAAGCTTATCAGTGAAATAGCACCTTCAAACAAAGTATATTTAAGATTTTGCATATTTTTTTTTCCTTATATTTTTAGGTCCGTGTGATTAAAACACCAGGAAATAAGTTAAAATATTTATATGTGAAAAAGGTATTATTTGGGTTTATTTTTTATGTTTATGTTTAGAATTGTTTTATAGAAAGGAAAACCCCCACGTTGTGGTGACTGTTATCATGCTTTGCAAGGCGTTGGTTATTCAAAAATAAAAAATAATTAATTGATTAATGTGTAGATTCCTGCTGTCCGACCTCGTGTCTATTCTCGTTTATCAAAAAATAAAAAATCAGTATCAAGATCATATGGTGGTTCACGTTGCTCCAGATGTGTCAAAGATCGGATTATGCGTGCATTTCTTATTGAAGAGCAAAAAATTGTAAAAAGAGTATTAAAGACACAAATTCGACTCAAAAAATAATTTTTTGATATCTATCTGTATATTAATATATATTCATTTTATATTTTATTAAAATACCTTTATATAATAACTCTTATATTTAATTTTAAAAAATGATGAATATAAAATAATAGAATTATATATTGATTATTTCAAAGATGACTTTAAGATAACCTTTATTGTTTGATATTCTTTATTTTTTAAAATTAAATATGTTTTAACGTCTTTTTAAAAGAAACAATTGACGTTTCAATTGAAGACATAACCCTAACCTTTTTTCACTAGGAGGTAAAGAAAATCTTATCATTTTATAAATTAAATCTCATCGACATTGATTAAAAATATTTTTTTAAACAAGCGGGTGTTCTTTCGTAAATTTCGTTTTAAAAAAAAACTAATGGAATCTACGGACAGCACATCTTCAACCGTTGTCGATAATAATATAGCTAATATTCATTATACAATTCATCCAGTTGATTCACAAAATTTAATCCCACAACCACAAGTAGGAGTTCATTATGCTTCACCAGAAGATATTCGTGCCATGTTAGATGCTTATGCTAAATTTAAAGGATTTGCAGTATCAGTTCGAGCTTCTAATCGAATAACATATCGATGGTATGTTCATATTATTTATTAGTTATAAATAATATATATATATATATAAATTAAATATAAGCATTTTTTCTTATATTAGTATAGGCAATGTGTTCATGGAGGAAAATATCGAAACACACGAAATTTGCCGAATGAAATAACAGTTGATCCAGTTATAGTATCAGATCCAACAATACCTCATCGTCAACGTAAACAAACAACTAAAAGAACTAATTGTCCTTGGCTTGTCCGAGCAGGACTAAGTCAATCTGAATTATGGAAAATAACTAAAGTGGTTGATGAACATAATCATCGTCTTTATCCCGAAGATCCGACTATTTATCATCAAAACCGACCTATGACTAAACAACGTGTACAGCGTAAAAAACCTCGAAAACCTAGTGCGCGAATTCTTGAACAACAAATGACCAATACAGCATTATCATCAACACCATTGAATAATATGGAATCTACTTTAAAAATTATATCCTTAGTTCCTCAGGATTTTGAACAAGGTATTATGGATCCAGAATTAGATATTGATTTAGACGAATCTATTATGAGAACAATTGGAACACAGACTGAAGAAGTTTAATTTTGTTAAAGATACCTTTATTGAAATTTTAGATCAATGATTTTTTCCACCAGTAATTATATAAATAACATATTTATTCATCTATTTATTAAACGAAAAAATATTTGTTTTCAAGTTATGAATACGTTTTATGTTCAAAAGATGGCGAAAATTCATGAACTTGTGCTCGTATTTTCTCAATTTCAAGAGAAAGCATATTCATATTATCAAGTAACACACCAACTTCATCATACTTTCTACGTTTACTTGCATCTTTAATCCAGTTTTGGACTTGATGACGTTGTTCTTCAAGGATATGTAGTTCTAAATATTTCTTTTCATTTAATTTAGGAAAATGCATCATTTTGTTTGTATTATTGTTGCCTTTTTTCTTTAAATTTGGGACAAATTGCAATGAAAGCATATGCTTCTGAAGGAAACGCTTTGCTTCCGAATGAATTTCTATTTGAAGATTTTTTATTGCTAAAGATTTTGTTGTTAATTGAGAAATATTCTTTGATAATTTATCATATTGAAAGAATGTGTCTAATATTTTTTCCCGAATCAATGCAACTTCATCGATTCGTTTTTGGTCTATATTTCCTCTATTTTTTATTAATATTAAGGCTAACTAGCATTAAAGGCTTTCCTTAATTCGTCCAATTGAGATTTAAAATTAGGAAGTAATGTTTCAATCTTATATCTAAGTGTAGATAATTCCTATAAACTTATTAAAATTAACGAAAAAAAGACAGAAACCAACTTTATAGAAAATATCTAATTGATGAGGTTTTGAAAGAGAATCAGAAAACTCTTTTCTGGAAAAAACAATACGTCTACAATTTTTACATATACGTATAGACAAATCTGAATAAATCGAAGCATTTGTTGAATTTTTATGCACTAAATATAAATAATGACGAAGATATGTAAAAATGATATACCTATTTCTGAATTAAAAGTATTTAAACATCGAGATTTCATATTTAATTGAACCATTGAAGAACATTCTGTTTTCAAATTAGCACATATTATCTTTCCACATAATCTACAATGATGTTTTTTATTAGTATAATTAAAAGAATGTCTAAGCAAATTGAGATTAAAAAATTAAAAAAAAAAAAGAATATTACTTGCAAATTGGACAATGTGTAACAGAAAAATCATCTTCCCATGAAACAATGGTTTGTTCTAAAGCCTTTTTTCGTGATTTAAAAGAATTAATCAATTTATAAAAAGAATTTGTAACAGGTACATTTTTTGAATCCAATACAAGTTCAAAAAGCTATATAAACATTATTAAATAGTTTTAAATATACAAAAAAATACTTTTGAAATCCTTTTTTCAAGTCTATTAGCGTGTAGATTGATTTTGTCTACTGCTTGCGTACGAAAATGTTTGAATTCTGAAAAATAATCTATAACAGGCCCTAATATATAAGAGTCATAATTAAAAACAGTTTATATATTTAATATTACCATTCGTATCCATATATCCTTTCCTTTCTTCATAACAATACTTGCATACACGAGACCATACACCATGATAAGGATCATGTTGAGCATCTTGAGAAAGCTTAATCTAATAAAATGTTATAATGAAAAACATATAATTTCTTTATCTACTTGATAAGTTGTATGAGCATTGCAAAATAATTTTCCACATTTTCTACCTTTAAAATAGTTAGTCATTCTATAAAACGTAACTAATAATAATTCTGATAAGGTTTATTTTAAAAAAATAAACACCAATATCAATATAACTCAATATTTATAACCCTAATTGATATTTTCAACCAATAAAAACACAAATATCCAAATATCTCTACACATATAACCTTTAGATATATATGAATAATTTTATTCATACTATAAGGCCTAGATATGTGTAATAATTATTTTTCGCCAAGATTCTCTTTTCCTCATACAAATATATTATTATACCCTTAAAACAGCATAAAATCAGATCCGTGAATATATATGCGCATCATTATCTTAATTTTAGGTTTTTATCATAGAAATACATACAATTAATACGTTCTCCTTTAGAAATAAGACTTTTACAGCATGATTCAAAAAAGCATGATACATTTTCTTCAATTTGCCAATGTTCTTTTGTAACTTCTGTTTCTACTTGATTTTCATTTAATTCAAATTCTTCTTTATGTAAATAATGTTGAGTAACTACAATCGATGCTAACTGCTTTGCTTCATCAACCTTCTTCTTAAACCATGACTTAACCGTTTCTTTTTGCTTTTCTGTTACATCAAAATGGTTTTCATCTAAATGAACATTCAATTCATATAAATCTTTCTAAACTTATTAATATTTCAACAATATTTATTCAAAAAACAAACAGATAGCTTATTACAAACAGGACAATAAAGTACACCTTGATATTTTGACCTAATCATCTAATATTGCATCTTTTTCCCTATTTATTCCTTTGATATTCGACAACTCAGCACCCTGACTTCACAAATCGAAATCTCAAATTCCTAAAATATAAACATAATTCTATTTTAATGAATCCATACTTTACTCCTAAGAAAATAACACGAACAATCACTCCATATAGACCTCTTCAACTTTATATCCAAGGATTTCTTGATTGTATTTTTATTATTGCGACTATGCGAGGTAATGTCTCTGAATGGGTATGTCTTACAAAATTTGGCCAATTTTATGCAATAATCACAACTATATTCTAAAAAATTGCCAGATTTCTATTGATTTGAATCAAGCAATTCCACTATTTGATCAGACCTCAATAGCACAGCAAGATCAATTACCTCTATCCCATCTCTCTGCAAAATTTCTTTTAGGAGCAAGCCATCTTCCACGAGCAGATTTTGCACGAATGCTTGCTTGTCAAATAGCAAGTTATATTGTCCGTGATTCAGTCAAAGAGCAACGGATGGTTTTAGTTGGATTTGGATTGGATTGGACTGAAGATTTGGAGGGACAACGAAGCCTTTATAATAATGTTTTGAAGATGCTTGAAGAATGTAAAGTTTGGTAAACAGACAGGTGAATTGGGGGAGGGGAGGGGGTATTTATAGAATAATATACGCATATTACTAATTTGAAATGTATGCGCTATATATTCCTTATGTGTATATATTAACAAATATATGTAATAATACGTATTATATATATGTTATATACTATATATACAATTACTTTTGCGTCATTTACTATCTGCTTTATATTCGACTACACCGAATTATCAACAAATAGATTTCTTAGTCTACAAATATATCCTCTATTTTATGAAAATATGTATAATTATGTATTGGTTTAATGTAGCTTATATTGACTGAATATATAAGCACTGCTAAATCCTATGCAGAAGTACATATAAGACGCATATAAGACGCATACAACACGCATATATAACGCATACATCCAAGTATTTTAGCTCATTCGGCTTCTATGAAGGAAAATTGCAGGATATTGGATAAAAAGGATATGTTCGCTCTTGGATTAGAAGGTGAGTTTCAGTATATTAACTTATATATCTTATAAATAAGGCTCTGCAAACAAGATGGGTGTTGGAATCATCAAACATCCAGAAAAAGGACCAGCAGAAATGATTATTAATCTGCGGCATACATATATTACGCCTCCAGGAGAAGGGTTCTTGCCAAAACATACAGCAAAACATCATAGAAAATGGGCTATCTGTTTAATTAAAGAAGCCATGAAAGAAAGCGGGTTAAAAATGAAGGATTTTGACTGTATATGTTTTACAAAGGGTATAGAATGAATATTAGGAGGATATATTGATAAGACTAAGTCATTAAGGGCCAGGAATGGGCGGACCACTTCAAACAGTAGCTATTATAGCAAGAACTCTATCAATTTTACATAATATACCCTTAGTAGGTGTAAATCATTGTATTGGACGTATAAGACGATTATATATATATTTTTAAAATTAATGAATACCTCAGATATAGAAATGGGACGAGAAATTACAGGTGCAATAAACCCAATAATATTATATGTTAGTGGTGGGAATACGCAAGTTATTGCATATACTAAACAAAGGCAAATTTATTGTATATTATAATATCAAGTATTAATAGATACAAGATATCGTATTTTTGGAGAAACATTAGATATTGCAGTTGGAAATTGTTTAGATCGCTTTGCAAGAACAATTTACATTTCTAATGATCCAAGTCCAGGATATAATATTGAAAAGCTTGCAAAAAAGTATGTTTTTTTTTAAAAAAAAAAATAATTTATATATTGTTAGGGGGAAAGTGTTAATTGAATTACCTTATACAGTGAAAGGCATGGATTGCTCATTTTCGGGCATTTTGAGTGCAATGGAAAGCATTGCAAATGAATTTTTTGACAAAAATACGAAAGAATTTCGTAAAGATTCACCATATACAAAAGAAGACTTATGTTTTTCTTTACAAGAAAATGTATTTTCCATGCTTGTTGAAATAACAGAAAGAGCAATGGCACATGTGGATAGTAAAGAGGTTTTGATTGTGGGAGGCGTTGGTTGTAATGAAAGATTACAAGAAATGATGAATTTAATGGCACAAAGTAGAGGAGGGAAATTATTTTCTACAGATGAAAGGTAATAAATTATTGAAAAATAGATTAACCGAGTTTTAATAACCATAATTTGACAGATTCTGTATAGATAATGGTTTAATGATTGCACACGCAGGATTATTAGCATATAAAACAGGGTTTCAGACTCATATTTCTGATAGTCAATGTATACAACGTTTTCGTACCGATGAAGTACATGTTACATGGAGAGAGTCATAGAATTAATACGTATTATTAATTATATTTGTACTTTTTTTGGAAATATTTGCATTTTTTTTAGATCATTTCATATTTTTTTTCGAAATTAGTAATTTATAAATTTTTATAAAATATTAACTAGGACAATATTGAAGATTTTTACAAGATCTTTTTGAGGTTTTTATCTTTCCGGTATATTTCTTTTTTTCAGATAATCCAATAACAGTTTAAAATTCAACAAAATAAATAAGTCGACAAATCAAAAGAAAATTCATAGACATTATTCACAACAAAAAAATAAAAAATACTGATAAATATATTTTTTTCATAAATTTCTAACTTATATATTCTTAATTTACAGCTTTTTTGTATTAGTTTTCAAAAGATTTACTATTTAAAGTTTTGAATATCAGATTCATGATAATTTATCAAGAAATTAAGATTTACTAGAAAAAATAAACTAAATAAAAGTTTATACAAACACTTCATTAATAATATATCAATGATACGGTTAAAAATACAGTGGAAAATATTTTAAAAATTATCAAGGGTAATAAATATATAAATATGAATTACGAAAATAAAACAAAAAGTAACATTCATCAAGTATCTTTTAATGATCAAGATTCTCAGGCAAGTTTATTTTTATAAAATATTTTTTTCTGAAAAATATAAAAGGTTATTGAAGAAGGTTTACTATAAGATGATCATATTATATATTTTAATATTATTAGAACTTTCAAAAATTCCATTTGGTGTCTTAGTTTCGGTAAAAGATGAACTTGATAATGCTTTAAATATCAAACAAAAGTATCAGAAAGTACTTGATGCTAAAAAACAATTGAAAATCAATAAAAAAAACCAAGAAAAAATAATTAAAAAAAAACGCTCCAGTAAAAATGCTCCGCTAGAAATGTCTAGTAAAAAACCAGTTTCAAGGTTTCGAAAGGTCATTCCTCTTACAAAAATAGAACGGCGTGATCCTCGTTTTGATTTTCAAGACCGTGTAAATCTTGCTAATTTAAGTTCAAAATATTCATTTATAAAAGATTATCAAAAAGAGGAACTTCAATTGTTAAAACATAGATTAAAACTTGAAAAAAATAATGAGGAAAAAGAACGGATAAAGAAAACTATTGTTTCTATGGTTATTTTAAATTTATTATAGTTTTTTTTAATAATATTTAGGAATCAAAATTATTAGCTGCCCAAAATAAAGAAGAAGCCACTAGAATTCTTCGTGAATACAAAAAAAATGAAAAAAAAAAGGCAAAAACAGGCAAAAAACCTTTTTTTTTGAAAAAAAGTCAAAAACTTTGTTTATTATTCTTTAAACTAATTTTTCTCTAGAAGAACAAAAAAAACTAATAGAAGCAAACAAATTATCTAGACTCGAAGGAACCAAAGCCTTAGATAGATATATGAAAAGGAAAGATAAAAAATTAGCATCTAAAGAACGGAAAAGATTATTCAAATATCGATATAGAAACTAAATGATACCTATGTTTTATAAAATCGATACTATAAAACTTTCTACATTGTTTTATACATTTAAAATATAATAAACAGTAATTTTATTTAAAAATTTTCCCATCTGCAGCAGGATAAATCTTACCATCAACTTCAATTGGATCATTCCGACCCCAAACGGACTTAATATGCTTTTTATCTTCTTCCTTAGTAGGATCAAGACATATAAAATTATAGGATTCCCAATCAGGAGCTACATCAAAAGCTGTCTTAAAATCTTTACCTCGAACAAGGAATACACCACTAATAATATTGTCACGGTCTTTTCCATAGACAACTAAGGATCCAAAAATATGTTTTCGACTTGCATCAAGCCTCTGAAAAAAACCTAATTAAATAAGATTTTCTTAAAAAAAAAAAAAAAAATAATAAAATACCTCCACAAAGATTTGAACTTTGAAAAATTAAGCCAAGTTCGTCATTATACTATAAACAAAAATTAAATAATAATAATTTATGTATTATAAACCATACTTTATAATCTAATCGCCATAAGGAGTATGCTTCTATATCTAAATGCTCCCAAAACCATTTCATAGCAGTTTCCAGATCATTATTAGAAAATTGACGCTTCCATTCATCCAAAACAAATGAAGATGAAGGTGAAGAGTCAAGAAGGTGCTTTGGCTTCTCCACCAATGGTTTTTCCAATTCAGCATCTGATTTCGGAGGAATAGTCTCTTTTTCTGACTTTTTAGGGACATACTTAACCGGCTCTTCAATCATTACTGGAATGGGTGATGCTGCAGTCCAAATAGGTTGATTAACAACAGTTAGATACCATCGAACAAGATTCGGAAATCCACGTCTCCAATCTGCTCCAAAAACCTAAAAAATATAAATTTTCTCAATTTGGATTTTTTTTTTAAAAATTACTGTCAAAAATCCAGGCGTAATATGAGCAGCCATAACTAAATCCGCAAGAGTTAAACGTTCTCCAACAAAGAATGTCCTCAATTTCAAAAAATCATCTACATATCTACAAAGTCGATTGGTCTCTGCCTGGTTTTCATCTACTACTTTTTTGGAATATGGCATCCTTCCAACTAATGGAAAAAACCATAAAGCAATAGATCGAATAAGATCAGTATTTGCAAAAGACATCCATTGAAGAATCGATGTATATTCCTGCTTAGTTTTTCCAAGTAGAGTCGTTTTTTCATTTTGACTTGCAACTATAACAAAAATGTAAGAAAAGATAAATAAAAAAATATTTTAAATATATCTAATTCTTTACAAATGATTCACTCATTAAAAAGTTGATATAATTAAAAATATTCATATCATAAAAAATATAAATTTATTTTAGCTGTTTTATCAGATCACTTGTTTTCAGCACGGTTTTCAGACAGGGATAACTGAGTGATTCATTTGGATCATCATTTACCCAAAAAATATTGCAAAGAAAAAAAATAAACATATACTTACAGTAAATAGCAATAGCATTCGTTTCTGTCAAACAAAATCCATCTGAACCTAAAAACCCTGGAATCTAAAAACAATAAAAATATGACAAAAAAATAAACTAAACATACTTTTCCCTTTGGAAAATGTTCCAAGTATTCCTTGCTTAATCCTACATTGGGATTTTCAACAACAAGTTCTACATCAAGATTATTTTCTTTTGCAAGGATCAAAAGAGCAATCGTTCTAAAATATTATAAAAATATAGCAACAAAAGGCTATTCATAAATACCTAGAGTTTTCTGCATAACCGTAAAGCTTTCCAAACGACATTTCTGCCTCGTCAAAAGTATTAATAATTTTTTATATTAATTTTGTGTAATCTATAAAGTTGCTATAGTAACGTAGGTAAGCAGTCTCAGAAAAGATAATTCATAAGATCATGAATATTTAGGTCTATTTATAAGGAAAACAAAAAAAATAAAGCCATGCATAAACTTACTCATATGTCTATCGTTTAACCCATGTATTTTTCTTTCGAGCCTTTGGTTGACCTAATATTGAATAAGAAATATATAATAATAAATATAAAAGTATAGAACCAGGCTTCTTGCGTTCAACACGACGTGCATCACACGTAAGACAGGAATCTTTTTGTATTTATTAGAAACTTGGTTTTTAAATATGGGAAAATATACTTTTTCGAAGAAGATATCTTAATTCAGGCTCATGAATCACCAATCCTCTAGAAATTGCAAGAGCAGAAGCTTCTGCTTGACCTAAATACATTTATTAATAGATTCTTTAAAATTAAAAAAAAAACCAGTAGATCCTCCTCCCTTAACAAAAATACATAGATTATACTGATCAAGACGTTGTGTTATTTTTAACGGCCAAATAACAGATTGTCGGTCAAATAATCGAGGAAATGCTTCATAAAAAGCCTTCCCATTAACAAGTACCTGTCCATCACCTTTTATCATCCATACACTGGACACTGCTTCTTTTCTTCGTCCAATTGTACGAGAACGCCCTAAGGCATCTAAAGATGCTGTATATTTCCTTTTTGATTTCACAGATATTTCTCGAGAATATTTATCAAGGACTTCTTTGACTTCCTCAGGCATAAATATTGGATCAATTCTATTGATCCTTACAAGAAGTTGTATAATTTTCCGATATTCCGATGGCTTTATACATTCCACTATATTTCTAGATTCTCTATATTGATTTAAAGTTTTCCATAATCGCTTAGGTGCTTCCTCAAAAGAGACTGTAGGAAGTGTTTGATAACGCTTTAAAATACTTTCCAATGATAAAAAATCGTCATGAAATCCCTCTTTTGCTGTAAAATATGAGCTTGAAACGGGCTCATAAAATGATGTATATCCAATATAACGAAAATCTTTAAAACGTCTCAATGCCTTTTGTATAGGCAAAATTAAACAAGAATTTGAATAAACAATTGGACCATGAAACAGGTCAACTGTTCTCATTAAACATTTGTAAACCATCCCTTTCTTTTAATCCTGATATTTAATAAAATAAATATCTATATAAACCAAGTTATATAGATTTTTACACAAAATTATCAAATTATATAGACATTACATATTTTTTATCTCTTTTATATTCCAAACAAAAAAATCTCACAGGCTGTATGCGTTATATATGCGCGATCTATAAACTCTGCAGCTTTTTTATCGTTCTAAACTTTCTTATATAAAACTAAACTGTTATCTTATAAAATTCCACTTATTATTAATACCTTCAAATTATAAATAAGATGAAATCCCAAGCTTAAATAGTATTTATTATCAATAAGAACAAAAGATTATCTTCATTTTTATTAAAAAATATCAGATTCAATTCATATAAGGGTTAGGACTAGGGTTAGGATAAGGGTTAGGTACAAAACCTTCAATATACCGTCCTATACCTTTCTTTTATTAATATCTTAATATTATGGCATATATAATAGTCGCTGGACGCGCTATTAAGTCTGAATATGTAATATAAAACATATATTCAATAAATTTATCATTAAATTTATAATAGATTGCAATTGGAACAATTTTATCTGCTGCTAGTCTTCTTGGTAAAAAACAACTCAATAACAATTATTTAATACATTTAGCTTATACTATACATCGAGCAAATAAACGGGCTCAACAACGATTAGCTGGTGATCCTCCGATTTATGCGAAAAGTCCTGAGGAAGAGGCATTTATTCGGTAATTATTTATATAATATTAAAAAATAAATATAAATACATATAGAAATAAATTAGAAGCCTTTAAGCAAGAACAAAAAGTATTAAAAAAATAATTATATTATTCATAATAAGCCATTCTAAAAAGAACTATTTATCATTAAAAATAATATTTATTTCATAAATAAATATATTTCTATTTTCTATATTATATGGATTATATATGGACTATATATGCGTGTTATATGCGCTTAATTATGGATATTATTAAGTAAAAGAAGCATAAAAAGCCATCTCTTGAGTTCTCTTGATTGATTTCTTGATTGGTTTTGTCATTTTGTTTAAACGCTCAGAAATTTCCGAGACATTTAGCGCTCGATGTTTTACTCCGTTAGAAACGGCGTTCACATCCTTTTACCGTTCAAATGGAATCTCCAGATGAACAGACAGATGAAACTGCAGATTCTACAAAGGAAGGAATAAACGGAGGAAATGGAGCAGAGGAATTAACACAGTTTTCAGAGAAAGGAGTAGGGTTAAGGTCTCAACATGGAGTAAAGAGGGTATGTTCAGAAGGACGGTATTCAGAATGGCCAGTTAAGCGGAAAAAACCGAAAAATATGAGTAAAAATGAGGTCAGAAATACGTTCTACGGGTTAAACAAGGGATTAGATGAGAGTAAGGCAGAATTTATGGAAAATATACGTCAACGGTTGAAGAAGGCAAAAGAAGATGAAGAAGAGCGCATTAGAGTAAAAAGGATAAAGATTCAAGCAATGTTAATTGAACGATTAAATAATCGTGCGAAAAAAGTGTTTGAAAAGAAGTCCGAATGCAGTTTTAATGAAGTAAGCTTTGATCAGACATATTCAGAGCTTAAAGATGCAAAAGAGGTTGAGAGAAAAGAAAAAGATATATTTAGAAGGGAGAAAGAGTCTTCTAGGAAAGAACGAAGTGTATTTAGGGAAAGAGATATAGTAGAAATGAATTTTTCTATTGATGAGGAAACATCAGGATCAGAAGAAACATATAGACCTAATAAAAAGGCTAGAAGGAATACGAATCATCTAAAGACTTTAGAAGAATCTATAACACAAATTTGGAAAGAAATATCGAAAAAAGAGGTTCCTAAGGTGTATAAAATGATTCAGCAAAATTATACAACACGAAGCAGCAATTCTCGTAAAACGGCATTGCTTTGTTCAAAAGAAGCAAAACGTTGGCAATTTCGGACAAACAAAAATATTAAAGATATGCAGGCTCGAGCAAAACGAGCAGTGCGAGAGATGCTTGTTTTTTGGAAGAGAAATGAAAAAGAAGAGCGAGAACAACGTAAAAAAGAGGAAAAAGAGGCAATGGAAAAAGCGAAAAAAGCGGAAGAACAAAGAGAAGCAACACGGCAAGCAAGAAAATTAAATTTTTTAATTACACAAACAGAATTATATTCTCATTTTATAAGTCGAAAAATAAGAACCGAAGAAACAGATAATGTTGACGAGATAAAAGATGTCTCTAAAGATAAAGAGGAGAAGGCGTTAATAGAAAATTCATTAGAAATGACAGAAACTCCATTGAATCATTGTTCAATTAAAGATCTCGATTTTGATGGAGTAGATGATGATTCACTTCGCCAAATCGCTATTAAGAATGCACAAAATGCTATTTCATTAGCAAGGGATCATGCGGAACAATTTAATTCAACTGGTGAGTCTAAAAATACCTTTGACGGTAGTGAAATGAATTTTATGAATCCATCATCTCTTGGAAATGTCACAATTATCCAACCAAAAATGCTTCAATGTCAGCTTAAGGAATATCAAGTAAAAGGACTCACGTGGTTAGTTAATTTGTATGAACAAGGTATCAATGGTATTTTAGCCGATGAAATGGGTTTAGGAAAAACGGTACAGTCAATTTCTGTCATGGCTTATCTTGCAGAAAACCATAATATATGGGGACCCTTTTTTGTAATTGCTCCTGCATCTACTCTTCATAATTGGCAACAAGAAATTACTAGATTCGTACCAAAATTAAAGGTATAATTTAATGCATTTTTGATTAATAAAATTTCATTATTCATTAGGTTCTTCCCTACTGGGGAAATAGTAAGGATAGAAAAATTTTACGTAAATTTTGGGATAGGAAACAACTTACATATACAGAAGATGCACCTTTTCATGTTCTCGTTACATCTTATCAACTCGTGGTTCAAGATGCGCAGTATTTTCAAAGGATAAAGTGGCAATATATGATTCTTGATGAAGCACAAGCTATAAAAAGCTCAAGTAGTTCAAGATGGAAGAACTTACTTGATATGAAATGTAGAAATCGCTTACTTTTAACCGGAACACCAATTCAAAATACAATGCAAGGTATTTTTCAATCACTTTAATAAAAAACCCTAATGCATTTAGAATTATGGGCTTTATTACATTTTATTATGCCAAGTTTATTTGATTCACATGACGAGTTTAGCGAATGGTTTTCAAAAGATATTGAAAGTCATGCACAGAGTAATACATCTTTAAATGAGCGTATACTACATTTTTATCTTTATTTTTTTTTCATTTTAATTATTCTTAGAACAATTACAACGTCTTCATATGATTCTTAAGCCTTTTATGTTGCGCCGTGTTAAAAAGCATGTTCAAAGTGAATTAGGGGAAAAAATTGAATTGGAAATTTATTGTAATCTTTCTTACCGTCAAAAAGCTTATTATAAAACATTACGTGAAAAAATTTCTATTGCAGATATTATTGAAAAAGCTGCACAAGGTGGTGATGAAAACGTAGCAAGCCTTATGAATATTGTTATGCAATTTAGAAAAGTATGCAATCACCCTTATTTGTTTGAAAGAATAGATGTAATTTCGCCTTTATGTTTTGCACAATGGGTCGAAACACCTTCATTAATGCGCGAAGGATCGAATCTTTATATACCATATAGTTTAAAAAGTTTAATTAAATTCCATATACCAAAACTTTTTTATCGTAATGGTGGTATTTTAAACAATCATGGGCCAAATTCGTCTTTTGGATTTCGCATTAAATATTTAAATTATATAATGAATATATTTGACTCAAAATATATATATGATTCCTTATGGAAAAATCATCATGGTAATTTTCTTACTAACTTTAGAAAAAAATTAATAAAAGTAGATTCACCGTTTTCATGGTCATATTTTATTGGACTTTCACCTTCTGAACTCTCTAGATTATTTCATTATAATATATGGAAACGAGCTCTTCGTAGCCGAATGGATTTAAATAAAAGATATATAGCAAAATTACATCTATTATATGAAGATATTCAAATACCCGATCGTTTTATGTTTTTCATAAAAAAGTTTACTGAACATACATCAATCTTAGATATAGAAAATGGTTCTGCTATGTATAATTTATGCAATGTATCCCGTATTGTTTTCATTGAGCAACTATTACATCGATTAGAGCCAATGTATGATCAAAAAGTTAGTAAATATTTAATCATCAATTTATCAATTCTTTTCTAATATATATAGGTTTCATCTCCTCCTATAGACGCTGAATGTATAGATAGAACTTTTACTATTGAACAACAACAGTTTTTTTTTGATGAGAATCTTAAAAAAGAATTTCTTGGAATTACAGTATTTGATGAAAAAAATATTATTGATAAAAATATAGACTTAAATAATATCGAATTTCCTGTTGAAAGTATATTGGGAAAACCATTGCTTGAAAAATCAAGTTTTGGAAGACTTAGAATGCCTTCTATGAGTAGGTTTGTTACAGATTCAGGAAAACTTGCAAAATTGGATGAACTTTTAGCCGTTTTAAAAACAGGTGGTCATCGTGTACTTATATACTTTCAAATGACTAAAATGATCGATTTAATGGAAGAATATTTGACATATAGACAATATAAGTATCTTCGTTTGGATGGTTCATCTAAAATTAATGATAGAAGAGACATGGTAAATGATTGGCAAACACGACCAGAAATATTTGTATTTCTTCTTAGTACTCGTGCAGGCGGTCTTGGTATTAATTTGACAGCAGCAGATACCGTAATATTTTATGATTCTGATTGGAATCCAAGTTCAGATGCACAAGCTACAGATAGAGCGCATCGTATTGGCCAAATGAAGCAAGTTACGGTGTACAGGTTTGTTACTCGAGGAACAATTGAAGAACGTATTTTAGAACGGGCAAAACAAAAACAACAAGTACAAAATATTGTTATTTCTGGAGGAAAATCAATAGACTTTGGCAAAAATCATAGAGAAGTTGTTTCTTGGCTTCTTAATGATAATGAATTAGAAAAAATTCAAGAACACCAAAATCAGAAAAATTCCAAATCAAATTCATCACAAAAGAGCACTTCAAAAAAAATATTTTAGAAACGAAATAAATTATTCTCCGAGTTCTATTAATTCTGCGTCAGAAGCTCTAACAAAATATTGAAAATTTAATATATTTTTCAATTAAGACTAAAAAGATTTCAGCATTATGAAGTTTGATCCAACTTATTTTCAAAAACTACGGAAAAACAATTTAAAAGAAGGGAATTTATTCATTATTTTTTAATACATTTGTCAAATTAAGCCATTAACATGATATTTTTTTATTTGTTTAACACGTCTATATATATTATCTATAAGTTAGTATATAGTATTGATATTATTATGAATCATTAGTTTCGATATCAGTTTCAGCTTACAAATCTTTAAAATATCAAAATTTATTTATATTTTTGTTTATATTTTTGTTCTTAATTGTCGAATTTCATCCAACTCTGTCATAGGTTTAGAATGTTTTATATTGAATTCTTTTGAATATATTTTTGGAACGATTTTTTTCCCAACTATCTCATAATTATCTAGAAAATTATCCATTATTGATTCGAAATCCATTCTTTCAGAATCTCCTTTTGATTCTTTATCACTTATATCATCATCATATTCTTTTTTTATCTAAAAAATTAATTTAGCTTTTTTGCAAAAATAAAATCTTTGCAAGATACTTTTTCAAATCTATCGTCCAAAAGCATTAACGCCTCACTTCTAGGAAGTATAGAACTAGATATGGAAGAATAAGTAGCCGTAGACAGTGGTTTTCGAAATTTTTTCTTTTTATTTTTTAAACATTCACGAAAAATAGAATCATTATTATATGTATGTAAATCTTGAGAAAGAATCTCTTTAGAAATCTTTGTATCATCAGAATCCCAATCTGTATCCAAATTCTCAATAACACTTGAATCATCTGCTTTTCCTGATTTTATCAATTCATCTAGATCACCATCCTCATCTGATGATAAATAACGATCATCTTCCAATGCCTCCAAAACTTCTCTAAGTCTTATATCCATATCTGGTTGAAAACCAGATATATCATCAGGAATAGATTGTTGATCCCGATAACTTCTTTTTTGCTCAGTATCCGAAGGAAACACTTCCTTTGGAAGCTCATCAATAATGCTTAGCTTTTTATCTATAGGTCTCTGTAATAAAATTGTACCAGGTGATTTGCCTATTCCACGAAGATGTTGCATATAGTCATATTTAGTATCATCATATGAAATACCATATAAAATAGCTTCCCCAACATTTTCCCTTAAATTTTCTACTCCTTCATCCTTTTTTAAGGATTCATTATTGTTTTTTTCTAATGAAATATTTTCTTGACTTTTTTCAATCATATTTAGCCCATTAGATATCTAAAAACCATGAAAAAAAGGGAAAAAATCTACTAAACCCATAACAAACCTTCTTTTTGTTGCTATAAAATGCTGGAACAAGAATCCTTGAAGGCGCCTGATCATCATGAATCAGAGGATCTTTTTGGGACCTAATTTAACCGTCAGTTATCCATTTTTTTTCATTCTTTTTTTGAAACCTATGAACAAGATGAAAAGTTATAGAATTTTTCTTATCTATAAACCGTTTTCTAGGCTAAAAGTTCATGATTAGCTGTATTTTAAGGAAAAAATAAAACTTACCATTTTTATGACGTCCAGCATAGCAACGGTTGTCACCGTAAAAATATACTTGTCCTGATATTTTTTTTAAAAAAATGGTGAGTTTTTGTGCTGATCTTTTCTCAATAAACTAACACTTTTTCAGAATTTTTCTAAGGAAAAGACACATTATTGTCTTGGAAATGCCTTAAAAAATAATATTCTGAATTTTCACCAAAAAAAATCTCATGTTGGTTGAGATATTTGAAAAACAAGAATTAACTCTTGAAAGGATCATATACGCTATAGAAATAGACTCAAAACTAAGAAACTAGAATCTATTGTTCATGAGACATCGCTGGATTCTTTTTTATCTGAAATTAATCTCTCAGAAACAGAGTTTATAAGAGGCAAATAATTATTTTTATATAAAAAAACCAATCTGAGAAGAATAGAGGAGAAAAATATAGAAATAATTGAAAAAAGCCAAAGAAAGAATCATATTTTATCACAAGATAAAGGAAAAGAGCTGCTAGAAATTCATCAGCAATTAAAATCAGATTTAATTATTCCAAGACGGTAATTTTATAGAGTTTATTAGATATTTTTAATATCTAAGGCCATACTGGGATTCCAAAACTACAGCAGAGGAACTTGAAAGAAATGAAAAAGAAGCTTTTTTAAATTGGCGTAGAAAATTGGCATTGTAAAACTTTATATCAATCGATATAAATTAATTTTATTAGTCTTCAAGAAAATTATAATTTATATTTGACGCCTTTTGAACGAAATCTGGAAGTTTGGAGACAATTATGGAGAGTGATTGAGAAATGCGATTTAATTGTTCAAATTGTTGATGCAAGAAATCCTTTATTATATAAATCTAAAGATCTTGAATCTTATGTTGAAGAAATGAATAAAAAGAATTTTTTGTTGATAAATAAAGCAGATTTACTGACAGAAAAACAAAGGTATTTAATAAAATTTGTATGATATATGTAGTTGAATTATTATAGAGAATATTGGGCGGATTATTTTAAAATGAAGGGTATATCTTATACCTTCTTTTCAGCAGTAGCGAAAAAAAGTAATGATGATCAATATATTAATAAAAAACATAAAAATTCATTAAAAAAGGTAATGAATGAAATAGAAGAGATATTCGACGAAGAAATTTTAGAAAGTGAGAAAGATGTTTTTGATAGTAAATTAAAAATAGAAAATAACAATCCACTTAAAGATGAAAGAATAAGAATAGTTTCAGTTGATGAATTAAAGGATATTTTTTTCAAGGAAATAGAACTATTAAATAATAATAATACTGAGAATTTCGAGAAATTTTATGTAGGATTAGTAGGATATCCAAATGTAGGGAAATCCTCAACAATTAATTCTATGATTAGCGAAAAAAAGGTATCTGTTTCATCTACACCAGGAAAAACAAAACATTTTCAGACCATTCATATTACTGATAAAATAGTACTTTGTGATTGTCCTGGACTAGTGTTTCCTAATTTTACTACAACAAAGGAAGAGCTTGTTTGTAATGGTGTACTTTCTATTGATCAGCTTAAGGATTATATAAGTCCGATTGCTTTAATTGTAAGTCGTATTTCAAAAGAAGTTTTAGAGATGATCTATGGAATTTCTTTGAAAATAAAAACTGTTGAAGAAAATGGAATGGAAATTCTTGCGGCTGAAGAATTCTTAGAAAAATATGCTTCTAGTCGTGGAATCGATAAATCTAGAGCTTCTAGACATATTATTAAAGATTATATAAATGGGAAATTATTGTTTTGTACCCCACCTCCAGAAATTGATCCATACATGTTTAATTTTGAATATTATGATTCATTTAAATTATCCGGAGACAAGTGTTTACAAACTAAAGATTATACTAAAAATGGGATGATTAGTAGACCATTAAAGAATAATAAAAAACAAACATATTCCGAAGATGAACAATCTCTACATACTAAATTGTCAAGATTTGATAAAGATTTTTTTTCTCAAAATAGATTATCTTTAAATTCAAATCAAAAAATTACAAAAGGTTTTTATTATAAAAAACATATAGGACCCTTCACTACGCATTCTTTTGAGGTAATTTTTAAAAATTTTCAAAGTATTCATATTTAAATTAAATAAGAATTATCAAAATAATATTTTAAATAAATCTAAAAAACACTTTAACGCACATAAACGAAAAAAGTATTACATTCAAGGAGTAGACTAAATAACACTATCATTTATCGTTTTCACTTAATTTTTGAAGATAAACATACTACTACTTTTATTTTTGGATGCTTAATTATTATTTATTTTATCGTTCTTTCATCTTACAATTCAGAATTTTTATTTATCATTTATGATAATCATATAAAATACTTCTTTTTTCAACAATTCATGGAATTCTGGATATAAGTCAGTAGCTAATGTTAACTTATGCACATTTATTTTAATCTATAACTTATTTTAAAATTTCAGAATATCACGTGATCGTAACCCATGGCAACCGCTCCAGTGTTTTGTTTTTTATGATAAATTTAAAAATCATACGAATATTAACTCAAAAATTTACTTATTATTATAAGGATTTACTTGTCTTTTATAACAAGATAGTTAATATACATATAATTGTTTTTCAGAAAGTTCTAATAATATTAGATATGGTCTCATTAAGTAATTTAAATAAGGCATTTAGTGTAGAAATTGAAGATACACCTATTCAACCTATGCATCAAGGAAACTTAGATCTTCAACGTCAACTTTTGAAGAGAAAAGTTATATATGGGTTAAATTATTTAATTTGATTAAAAAAGAATTTCTAATATTTTTAGAGGAAATATAGCATCTCCAACAGATGATCTTATGTCTCCTACTACAGCTAAATTGCAAGCTCATAAACAAAAATACTATGGAAAGTATTAATTTAAATATATAAGTTTTATATATTTTTTAAAACTTTTATAGGGCAAAGCCTCAGTCATTACAAAATATGTTTACTCAAATACAATCTGGTTTAAAAGAGCATCCTATTTAAATGTGGTTTTGAATTCTATATTTTTTGATTTATCTAAAATGTTTTGTTATTGTTCTATGGCCTATAAAACTATAGTAATCAATAATATACATATGTTTTTAAGTTAAAATATATTAGAGGAAACGAATATTAAAAATTCAATTTCATAAATTGATAAAATGTATTTTTATTCATTAGGTGTATTTTTTAGATAATTTTCTAACTTATACTATGCTTTATTTTTATTCTTTTTTATCTTTTTAAATTATTAAAACAAATATTCTTTAAATGTATATTATAAATTAGAAATATTATTATTTAAAAAAAAACTAATATTGTAAGAATTAATGAAATTTATATTTGCAATTAACATTTAAGAAATAATATATAAGAAAGGAAAAAGTATCCAGAGATTCTAGGATAGTATTAAGTCAAATATTTATCATGAATTCTCTTAGAATTATTTAGCCTAGTTAAATTAAACGTCAAATACTATTGTTTTAATAGATGCAAAAATACAAATAATTATTTCAATTTAAAGCAAAAAAATATTATAATTTTTAATTATTATAAAAATCCAAAAATCTACTTCTTCTAATCACATTAATAAAATCATTTGTTTTATATAAAAATACCGCTTATATAAAATGTTACATAATTAAGGATATACTAGTAAACAAAATTCACAATAATCATAGGATAGGACCAATACGATTGCATATTTCAAATAATTAAAAGACTCTAAAAATAATGACATATGCAATGTTAACAAAAATGCTCTAATTAATTAGCAGAAAATTCATAATCAAAAACATTTCGTAAAAATTTTCATAAAAAACGTCTTTAAAAATGCTAAATATCTAAAAAAATTAAAATAAGAACCGCTTATAAATTATAATATACCTTAATAGTTGAAAATAACAAAAAAAACTCTAAATTATATTCCTTTTTCTTGTTTCAAAATGCATTTTTTTTACAAAAATAGGTTTTATTATGAAGAAAATTTGAAAATAAAAAGAATAAAAATCGTAAATAAAATTAAGAATTGAAAAACAATAATCCATCTTTGAATCAAAATCTAGAAAATTTAGTTTTTTCTTCATAATTAACTTATAAATAAAAACCTCATTAGACAAATACTCTAATTTAGAGGCAACCATATCTACATCTTTTTTTGACTTATTTCTTTCATATTCGATCTTTGAAAGAATATTTTGCCATAATTCCTCGTATTGATGCTTCTTTTTATAGATTAAATTAAATTGTATATAATCACAATTTCTTACCAATATATTTAATCGAGAAAATACAGTAGAATTTAGCGTTTGTATAACAAAATCTATTTTATTATCCTGCATTTTTTCCATTTTAATAAACGTATTTTTTAACATTTTTGATTGTTGTTCAATATATTGCAAATAAAGAGAAGTATTCATTTCCAAAAAAGATAACCTTTTACTAATAGTTTTATATATATTTTCTTGCATTCCTAAGTTTTCTATATTGTAAAATGAAGATTGTGTTGTATTCTGTGTTGTTTGGTTATCCATTATCTTTTTTTCAGTAAAATTCAAATAAAATGTGCTAGAAGAAAAATTATCTAAAGATGAACAAATAGGATTTTTTATAAAAAAAGCTGATATCCAATAGTGATTTCCATTTAGATAAGGCGATTTTGATCTAGAAGAAAAAAACGAAGAATCAGAATCTCTATAACGATTTATATCTTGAACAAAAATATCATTACATAAATTAGTAACTATTGATGCATTTATAAAACATTCAGTATGTAAAGGTGAAATTTCGTGAGTTTTTTCACCATCGAAATTAATTTTATGATTTTCAGTAGAGCGTTTATTAAAATTTAAGACATCATTGGGTAATTGTTTTAAATCCTGAGCCTCAAGAACAGTTTTATCATTGAATTTAACACTTTCTTTGAGCTCGCTTTCCTCATATTTAAGCTCCTCAATCATTGTTGTACCATGAACCCTTAAAAGAGTAACTGGACAATAAAATTCATCACCATAATGTGTTAAAAAATCTATACGCAAATACTTTGACCATATTAAAGGATTAGAAATCATAAATGTTTGAACATCTTTTATATTCGTAGCTGTAAATATACCCAATTCCTTCCACTGAGTTTCTTTAATAGGATATCGATCTGAAACAGAAACACGAAAATCTTTAAAAGTTGAAGAAAAAAACTCCAAATTCCCTAATACAATAGTATCAATAAGAATATCATTACAAAGCTCAACAATCACAAATTTATTAGCAGCTGAACATTTATTTAACATATAAAAATCATTGTCTGAGGATAGTATTGACGATATACCCTTTGCTTCTACATTTGCTCTTAAAACATTCGCTGCACAATCAACTGATGCATAATTAAATCGTTCTTTAAGAGATTCACTTAAATAATCATAAAATTTAAATTTCTCTGGAATATCTTCCTTAGTAAAAACATAATCTTTAACTTTTTTTGTATCGTTATCATCTTCAATTTGATCTTTTCTTTCTTTAAAATCATATAACAATGTTTCATTATGAACCATATTATTCTTATGTTCCTTTTCTAATAGAATCTCATGATTTTCATCTATAATTTCTCCAACTGCTTGTTTCTTCGATTCTTCAAAAGATAATTCTGAACAATATTCAAAATTCTTCAATTTTACATCCAATTCTTCTTTTTTAGAGACAAAAAAAGACTTTTCCAAAACATCTCTATATTCACAAGGAAAACATTGATTATTTAGCAAAAAAAATGCTTTTTTAAACTCATGCCAATGTGGATCTTTAATTAAAGATAAATGTTGTGTATAAACGCTTAAAAAACCCAAAAAAAAAAGGGAAAAAAAGGAAATACCAAATATTCTAGTAATATAACAAAGATAAAATGCTTTTATACTCATTTCATCCACTATTTACGTCTTTTAATCAGTTTATTCATTCTTTATATTTTTTTGACGTTGGCCTAGGATCGAGATAACGAAGTATACCTCTTTTATATGGAATAAAATAAGGTATTCTATAATAGAAAAAAACGCGTAAAATAGAAACTTTAAACATCTTTTTAAATTGAAACAAGCAAGAATATTCCTTTTTTTATGTATTTTTTAAAATGAAAAAATCTTGTTGAAAAATACGACTCTTCACGTTTCGCGTCAACGACAAATAATTTAGAGGCATAAACTTTAATAAAAAGAAGATTAAAATCCTATATTTTTATAAGATTCTTCGTATTTTAATCATAAAAAATCGTTTTATTGTGTTTATATTCCATGGAAATGAAAAAAAAAGCGGAAAAAATGACCCAACAAACGCTGTTGGGGTTTATTAAAAAATCAGAGAAAAAAAAAGAAACCAATTCATTAGACTTTCCTTATACGCCGTCAAAATCTAGTGATTTATCATCATCAACAGAGAATTGTCAGGATATTTCATTTGAATTGGAGACAGAATTGCTAAATTTAGGAGAAACATCATTTAACGGTATATTTACACCGATTACATTGAATATTGATAAGTCAAAAAGAGAAGAAAGTGGAGAAAAGGAGAATTCTTCATCCTTTCATGTATCACCTTCTTTTAATCGTGTAAGTATTTTATATTTTTAAATAATTTAATAATTTTCTTTAAGTCTAGAAAAAAATTGAATTATAAAGAAGATAGTGAAGATGAAGACGATATAGGATATATATGTAATAGTTGATATTTTTATTTTTGTTTATTCTATTATTAATATTTATAAAGCTGTTAAAAGAAAAAAGTCAAAAGTGATTCATCATAGTGATGATGAATTTGAAATGACGGTTTCTGAGAATGAGAATGGTAAAAATGACGAAAGTGGTAAAGATTTGCTTAATTACATTCTTATTTATTTATTTATTTTAAGATTCGTGTTCTACTGTTTCAAGTAATCAAGAAGAGAATCATTTAAATACAAGAAAACCAAGGAAATTGACAAATAAAGATAAAAAACGAAATATAGAAGGGAAATCTATAGAAATGGGGAAAAATATGGTAGTTGAGGATCGATATTTATCAATTGATTCACCTGATAAAAAATTACCTTTTACGTCTCTATTTAATACTCAAAAAAAATCTTCAGAAATTTCTAATCATGATAATGAGGAGAATTATAAATTTTTGCTTCCTGAATATAGAAGAGATGCTGATGGAAATTCTCCATCTTCTCCTAATTATGATGAAAGAACATTATATATACCCCCTAGTACATACAAATCATTTAAGCCATTTGAAAAACAATATTGGGATATTAAATCTAAATTTATGGATACGTTAGTTTTTTTTCAAAAAGGAAAATTTTATGAATTATATCAAATAGATGCGGATATTGGTCATCAATTATTTAATCTTAAAATGACAGATAGAGTTGGGACTATGAGGTTTTTTTTTTTTTGATATACTAATTTAATATTTATTAAACTTAGAATGGTTGGAGTTCCGGAAGCCAATTATGAGTATTGGGCTTCCAAATTTATAGCAAAAGGTTTTAAAATTGCTCGCGTAGATCAATTAGAAAGTGCTCTTGGGAAAGAAATGAGAGATAAAATTTCTAAAGTCAAAGATGAAAAGGTTGTTAGAAGAGAATTAGTTCATGTATTAACTTCTGGAACACTTGTAAATGAAGGGATTATAGCATCAGATATGTCAACTTATTGTATGGCAATTAAAGTTTGTTCTATATTTTCCTTTTAGCTAGATTAGTGATCATATCTAGGAAGAATATGAAATAAATAGTTCTGTAATATCTTATGGGATATGTTTCGTTGATGCTGCTGCAGGAAATTTCAAAATTACATATTTTAAAGATGATCTTTCAAGAACAAAACTCTATACCCTTATTACTCAAATAAAGCCAAAAGAACTTATTTTGGAAAAGGTAATCTAACATAAATTTCAATCTTTTTCTTAATCATATAAGGCGAATGTTACTCCTAAAACTATCAAACTTTTAAAAAATTCTGGAATTAATGAAACAATATGGAATTTCATAAAACCAGGCATAGAATTTTGGGATGAACATACAACAGAATCACAATTTCTAATGAATAACTATTTCAAAGATAATGATTTCAATAATTGGCCTCCAGCGCTTAAAAAAGCGAGAAATTATCCTATAGCAATGTCTTCTGTAGGTGGATTAGTCTGGTATTTGAAAACGGTAAGCAATTCAATTTTTACGTTGTTTTCATTAATTTTATAAGCTAAAAATGGACAAAAGTTTATGTAGTCTTGGAAATTTTGAATGGTATGACCTTATTCAAAAAACCTCATCACTTATTCTTGATGGACAAACACTTAAAAACCTTGAAGTTCTCTTAATAATATATTAAATATATATTAATGAGCTTATAGATTTTTAGTAATTCACATAATGGAGGATTAGATGGAACTCTTATCAAACTTCTTAATAGATGCACAACACCATTCGGTAAATGTTATAAAATATAATTTTATTATTAATATCTATCGCAGGAAAACGATTATTTCGACTTTGGCTTTGTCATCCATTACGTTCTGTTAATGAAATAAATGAAAGATTGGATGTTGTAGAATTATTGAGTGATCTTTCTATTAGGAAATTTATCATTGATTCTTTTAAAACTCTTCCTGATCTTGAAAGAATGATTTCGAGAATTCATGCTAAACATTGTAAGAGTAAAGATTTCATACGTGTTTTAGAGGGATTCAATACTATATATGAGATATTAGACTATCTTTCTAAAAATTTGAAACAAGATAATGGTCTTCTTTGGAAAATTATAAATGACATTCCAAATCTTGTTGATGTTCTTAATGATTGGCAAAAAATGTTTGACTGGAAAAAATGTAAAGATGAAGGTATATGGCAATATTTGTAAATTTACTTTTTAAATTTTAACGTTATTAGATATACTTATTCCTAATCCTGGAACTGAAAAAGACTTTGATAATTCTCAAAACAAAATAAAGGCAATTGAAGATGAACTTTATCAGATGGAAAGAGATTATAGAAAACAACTTAAGTAAATACCCTTATTAATTTTTATAATATTAATTTCAGATCACCTCAAATTACCTTTAGAGACATTGGAAAAGAAATATATCAGATAGAGATTCCTAAATCTATTGAAGTGCCGTCTTCATGGGTCAAACTCTCGTCTACAAAGGTTATATTTATAATAATCAAAATATTAAAATTCTAATTATTCAGTCTGTTAATAGATATTGGTCTCCTGAATTAAAAGTAAAAGTGCGACAGCTTCAAGAAGCTAGAGAAGCTCATAAAACTGTAATAAAGAATGTTCAAGATTCGTTTTTTTCTAAATTCGATGAAAATTATTTCCAATGGTTAAAAGTTGTCAAAAGTATTGCATATTTAGATTGCTTAACAAGTTTATCTATATCATCTATGGAATTTGCAGAGCCATCATGTCGCCCACAAATTATTGATAGCGAATATAGTATTTTGGAGTTTGATGAGCTACGACATCCATGTATTATTCCAAGGTCGCTTTTATATTTTTTCTTTCTTCATTAATTTATTATAGTGTTTCATCATCTTTTATACCAAATAATATTAAATTAGGCGGATCTAAAGATGATCCAACAATTGCTTTATTAACAGGGCCAAATATGGCGGTATATTTTTATTTGTTTATTATTTGGCATAAATTAACTTATACTAGGGAAAATCTACTTTATTAAGACAAACTTGTATTGCAGTAATATTAGCTCAACTTGGATGCTGGGTTCCCGCAAGGTAATATGAAATTTTTAATACAAAATATTATTTAATTTTATTAAGACGTGCTGTACTTACTCCCATGGATTCTATTAGAAGTAGACTCGGAGCAAATGATAATATATTTGGGTCACAATCTACTTTTATGGTGGAACTTTCGGAAACTAAAAGAATTATTGAAGAATCAACTTCAAAATCTTTAGTTATTTTGGATGAACTTGGAAGGGTATTTAACATCATATTTCTAATATAATAATTTATTTTTTATAACAGGGGACATCAACCTATGATGGTTTAGCAATTGCATACTCTACACTTCATAAATTATCTACATATGTAGGATGTCTTGGGTTCTTTTCGACACATTATCATTCGTTAGTAAAAGATTTTGAAAATCATCCAAAAATAGCAGCGTGTTATATGGCAGCACATGTTGATGAAGACGAAAGGAAAATAACATTTTTATATGAACTCAGACCAGGAGTAAGTTCTAAATCATATGGAATGGTAAATATTTCCCATATATTGATATAATTTTCATTATTTATCCATAGAATGTTGCTGCTATGGCAGGTATTCCCGAAGAAATTATTAAAAATGCAGAAATTGCAGCGAAAAAATTCGAAATATCTTCACAATCTACTCAATCAAACAAAACTAATTATAAATCATGTATTTCATTGGCATCTCAAAGTGACTTTTCTTGGTTAATGAAATTGTCGATTTCTAAAGATCCTATTCCTTCAACACCAGACCTTAAAAGACAACTTTATGTAATTGCAAATACCTTTTAATTCATTTTATATTTTCAAACTCTCTTGTTTATAATTAAGATAAATCAAAAAGCTGTGTAAATAGAAATATGTCATTCTTAATAATAATTATTATCATTTAAAATTATTTTTTATATATAAAATTAATTTTATCTATTTAAATCTTAAAAAATATTATTATATCAAATTAAAAAATATAACTTTAATGAAAAAAGTCAAAAAAACATTTGAATATGTTTTATCTTAATTTTTATAAGATTTAAGATAACTATTATTAGTTTATTTTGCGTCACAAAGTGATTACTTTATATAAAGAATTTTTAAGATATACAAGAAGTAAATATCTTAAGATTTATAATTAAAATTAAACTATTTTAGCGCTAGAAAAAAATAAAAAGAATGAATTACGTCAATGGGTAAATATTTTTTAAAAAAAATCCTACTTAACTCATTAAAGTTAGATTCGTCAAGAATTTGAAAGAAATAAACATATTTATGATATTGTTAATAGAAAAATATTTAAATATATAACCTAATATTAACAGGAACAAATAAAATATTTATATTCTACAGGAAAACAACAGCTACAACATGTTAATAAATTAATAATATTATCAAAAGTTCCTAAAGTTAAAAAAAATGAAAACGAATATAACTGAAATATATCAATACTTATGCAAAATAGGCAGATAAATTAATGATATTATAAAGATAGTTCCATATTATATAAATTATTATCGTAAATTATAAATTAGAGCTTAAATTTTAAAGGATCATCATCATCAGTATCATCTTGAGTTATATCGAAATAATTTTGAATATTTGTTGAAAATGTTTTAGTTTTATTTTTAAATATGAATGTTCTATCAGAACCAGAAATTGTATTTTTAACATTTTTTTCTGCAAAAATTAATTTATTTTTATTTAAAAATTTTCTTACTAAATATTTGTTCATTACTCTTTTGTTTACTTGATTCTAATTATATATATTATTAAATAAGTAAAATTTAAGATATTATGTACCCTGAATAAGCCTCATATTAGGCTTATATTCTACAAGACGAACATGCTGTGTAAATGTTAGAGGTTGTATTCTTTTAACCTAAAAAAATAAGCTTTGTTCATAAAAATCTTCAAAATAAACTCTTATGAATTTTTTGAAATTTTTTCTTCCATTCCATTTAGGATCCCAACGAGGAGATAAATTTACAAAAGATTTTTGCGGTTTTAATTCTACTTTAAAATATTCAATAACTTTTAATTTTTCATCCTTTTCAGCTGATTTAGAAAAATGTGATACTGACGATTCGTTTTTTATAGTCTGAAATGAATTTGTTTTATTTTCTTGTAAAGTTGAAGGTAAAGAAATTTCAAAATTTTTGGCTGTAGAAATAAGAGATAAATCTGATTTTAAATGATTATATGAATTAGTTTCATATGTACTTTTATTTGAATTTTCTAAATCCAGAGCATTTTTTTTTGGAGAATTAGATGTATTACGAAAATCAACTTCATAAATATCTTTATAAACTTTAGAGAAATATATATATATATTTAATACTATTACCATGAATAATATTCGAATTGTTTGAGGGTAAAATTTGAGAACGAAGAGACTTTATAGGACTATAAAATTCAGAATCCATTTTTATATTAGAATTAACAGAAATAGTGTTCTAAAAAAGATTTTATTAGTTTTTATAATTTTTAACATGAAAGAATACTTCGTTGTCAGAAATAGGATATATAATTCTCGCTTTCGTTGAAAATTTATTGCAATTTGAAAAATTTTGTGATAAAATATCATCTTTATCAAAAATTTCGTTTATATGTTCTGAAGATTTAATATCCCGTTTATTATCCTTAAATAGTCAATGCTGTTTAAACAACAAAATAAATAAAAACATTATCATTTGAAACCACATTTATATCGGATTTTTTAAATACTAATAATTTATATTATTTATTTGAAATATTGAATAATTCTTAATTACCTTGAAACGTTAATTCATTATTTAATTCAGATTTAGAGGTAGGAAATATTTCTAAATTGATTATATATTTTAGAAAAGATATGTAAGATTAATATAACATACGGGAGTTATATTTTGTATTATCTAAATTCGGTTATAATGTTTTAAAATAATTTTTTATTACTTATGACGATATCATCTTTATAATTTGGATCATTGTTCGTATAAAAATCTTTCTCAAATAAAGACAAATCCATTTTTACTATAGGTTCAAAAAATTTATCTTGACTTATCATGTTTATTCTAAGTCTAATTCATAAATTAAATATAATATATATAAATATTAAAAAGAACCTTTTGCATGCCATATCAACAAAATAAGAATCATCAAGAGGAGATACTGCAATTACATTAGAATAATTACGTATGAATATAGTAATTTGTTCAATATTGGAAGTTTCTTTACAAAATGCTGTTTTCCCACTAGCAGCATTTATTGGAAGAGACAAATTGCAATACTAATCATATATACCATATTTCAACAAAAACATAAATATTACCTGATTTTTATCAAAAAAAATAAATGTTAAACCACGAAATAAATGTCTCCGTTGCTTATTAGGCAAAAAATCCTTTGGAGAAACATTAATATTTAAATAATGATTATCCTGAGGAATATGATCTTCAGGATTAGGAAACCCTTGATCGAAATTGAATTCTAGAAGATCTATTGTTCGTACAAGTTCTTGTACATAAGAATATGATACTACAAATACGCCATAAATAAAAGCTTGAAGATTTTTCGTTGTATTCCTCTGTTTAGAAACAACATGTGTCGTTTTATTACAATATTCTTTTGTGATTTTAATCCCTAAAAATAAACATTATATAAAAATTATTTATTTGTATAAAACCATATGTTTCCACTAATAATTGTATATCTTTTATTTTTATCCCAGATAATGTAAAAACAACAGGATTCCATGAAAGTCTATGGAATCTTTAACCATAATCTATACATATTTACCCATCTATACCTAAATTTTCCTTGACATTTTCCAAAAGTAATTTCTTGAAAATTTTCATCACATTTTTTAGCAAATTCACCCAATTTTTCACCATTAACCATTGTCCCAAATTTAGAATTAAGATCAATCAAGTAAATTACTGTTTTTTCTTCCAAAAGTAACTAGTTCATTTTATAAGTTTTTTTAAGCTGAAAGATTCACCCACTGATGCTCCTTTTTCTACCGAAACAACAACAAATTTGGCATGTTTCTTACTCACCGTCTTAGAATCAATCGTAATATCCGTTATATCTTCAAATATAAGCTCCTTTAACACTTATTTTACTCTTTTTTTACGTTTTGCGCGACCAACTAAATATTCTTTTCCTGGCCTTAAATATTTTCTAATTCCTAGAAAAAACATTAAAATATATTATTATAAACGAAAAATGAGTATATATATATACCATTTAATTCAGTTGAGCTGCTTTCTAAAACCCACATTTTTTATAAAAATACTCGGTCGTTAAAAGCTTATCGACAAGATTATCCAAAAAAAAAGCAAATAAAATCTAAAAAGTATAAAAAGGCTGAGATCCCCCCAAAATTTCTAAATGTCTCTTGTTAGCTACATATCTTCAGACGAGAGTGAAAATGGGGAAAAAAGGGAGGAAAAAGGGTCTAATTGCACAAGAAAAATAGTAGCAGCACCAGATGTATCTATACAGGTCTTTGAGGGTTTTTTTTTGCAAAAAAAAGGCTAAAAAAAGAGTTTTAGGACACAAAAAGGCTTAGATTGATGCAAAATGACTTTAAAAATGGAAAAATTATGCTAAATATCCCATATGAAGATCTTTCTAAACCTATTCAAGGACCAGTTAATCCATTTAATGGAAGAATGTTAGAAAAAAAGACAGTAATTACAGGTATATATGTATTTGTATAAGGGAATGATGGAATGATTTGTGTATAGGTCATGCGGAGGAGCAAGGTTTTTCAGAAGCAACATTTCGTGATCAATATCGTACATTTAATGCATTTGGATATGCTAGAGATCCATCGCTTCAATCGATAGGATTTGATGGGCCAAAGGCATTTGTTGGAGATGTGGAGCTTGCTATGAAGCAGAATGGAGAAAGTGTTTTGGAAAGAAAATTTAATAAACAACGAACTAAAGAGATAAAAAGTTTAAGAGAAAAAACTGGAGATTTAGGAACGGTTTATGGAGAAAATACATATAAAGGACCATGGGCGAAATATGTATTTAAAGAAACAGAGCAGACGTTTTCTCCTCCAGAAACAGATGAAGATGAAGAAAATGAAATGCCAGTCTCGAATCCGATCATTGAATCTCAAAATATCGATGTTAATACAACTGGTATAGAAAAAACAATATTTCATGGAGAAAGCATGTACGATTATCAGGGTAATGTTTTTAATTTGATTGATTTATTTTTACATTTTTAATAAGGTCGAACATATATGCATGTACCTTTCGATTTGGATATTAATCTATTAAAGGAGCCAGGACAACAAGAATGTTTTGTTCCTAAAAAACGTATTCATACATGGGAAGGTCATACTAAAACTATTTCAGCTGCAAGATTTTTTCCACGCTCTGGGCATCTTATTCTTTCTGGATCCATGGATTCTAAAATTAAGGTTTTTCTATTTGTTTACAACTATATGTATTCATATTCATTATTAGCTTTGGGATGTTTATCATGAAAGATCTCTTCTTCGTACATATTTTGGGCATAGTACGGGCGTCAGAGATATAACATTTACGAATGATGGACGAAAATTTTTAAGTGCTAGTTATGATAGAATGATTAAACTTTGGGATACAGAAACAGGTAAAATATATTTTTTTTCTTATAAAAATAGTTTAATCATGAATATTAAAAGGGCAATGCATATCTCGATTTACTACAGGAAAAATTCCATATGTTGTTAAATTTAATCCAGATGATGATAAACAACATGAGTTTTTAACAGGGATGTCTGATAAAAAGATTGTTCAAGTATATTCTTACCTTTTATTTTTATCATTCATAATTTATAGTTCGATATAAATTCTGGGGAGATTATACAAGAATATGATCATCATTTAGGAGCGGTAAATACAATTACATTTATTGATGAAAATAGACGGTTTATAACAACTTCTGATGATAAATCACTACGTGCTTGGGAATATGGAATACCCGTTCCAATTAAATACATTGCAGAGCCTTACATGCATTCTTTGACATCTGTTGCATTGCATCCTTCTGGAAAATATGTAGCATGTCAATCTCTTGACAATCAAATAATTGTATTTTCGGTTATAGATAAATTTAGACAAAGACGTCAGAAAAATTTTAAAGGACACAGCTGTGCTGGATATGCCCTTGAGGTTAATTTTTCTCCTGACGGTTAGTTTATTTTTTTCTACATCCGTTACTTAATTTAATAAATACAAGGACGTTTATTGTGTAGTGGAGATTCTGGTGGTTATGCGTGTTTTTGGGGTGATTTATTATTTTTTTCTTTACTAATTAAATGTTAATTTATATCATAGATTGGAAAACATGTAGAATGTATAAAAAATTTTCTGCACATAATGGTCCTTTATCAACGATAGCTTTTCATCCCCAAGAAACAAGTAAAGTTGTAACTGGAGGTAATATAAAAATCACCTTATTTTTATTTTTATATATTATTAGGTTGGGATGGAATGATACATTATTGGGATTAAAAATTGGATTACATATATTTAACATTTAATTGCCCAAATATAATAATAAAAAAATCGTTTAATTTCTTTTTAAAAAAATTATGAATTATTAAAAACTAAAATATGAATAAAAAACGAAATTATAATGATTTATTGATATGTAATCGTCTGAAAAAGAAATATAAAGACAATTTCCCTTCACTTGAGGAAATATATAGTAATCTTTATTAATACACTGTTTTTTTGTGTCTATTCCTAATCGATATTAATAGCTTCTACATTAGCCAAATTATATTCAGCTCAAAATACAGTCATTAATCATTTAATTGAAGAAAAAAAACCTGATATACAACCATTACAATGTGATGACTGTGATCAAGTCATTATTCCTACATCTGATATCCTACTTAATCTTAACGATTATTCTTGTATCGCCTGTCACCATATTGTCTGTGACATATGTCGAGTAATACAGTATATATAATACAAAGTAAGTATAAAGACTTATTTTATTATAGATATCAAAAAGATAACATTACTTATTGCCTTAATTGTATAAAATATATAAATAAATCTTAATCTATATAAATATTTAAGTATTATAAAGTTTATTTAAATTTGTAAAAAGATATAGAATGTATATATATATACAAATATGAACCATTATATATACCTTTTTCATGAATATTTAATTTATCTATTTTCCATAAAACAGAGTGCGTTTTGGCATACTTCTACGTATTCCAAGGCGTTTAACGATAGGTTTTTCTATTATTTTATTTGTTCTTAATGGCTGTATTGGTTGTATTTTAGATAATATTGTCTGAGATTCTAAGGATATATCATTATTATCGGATGTGTTTTCTTGTATATCTAACTTCTGAATATTTATATACTTATTGAGACATTTTGGTCGAGATTTAAGGGAAATATTCAAATGCTTGGTTTCATTATTGAGTGTAGATTCTACAGATTGATGTGTCTTATTTTTCTTAAAATTATAAGCTTTCTGTTCTGATAATTGTGTTTGATTATAATCATTTAGTTGATTATGAAGAATTGTTTTAAGATTTATAAATCCTGTATATTTAGGATCTAGTTGTCCTTCAGACATATCCATATCATTACTAGAATATTCAAAATGTTTAATTTCTGCAGTATTTTTATTTTTTTCCTTATAAAAATTGCAAAATCTACTATCAATGAAAATATTGTTATTATAGATATTAATTCTAAAATTTATAAGAAAGTATAGAAAAAAATTTAATTTAATACGTTGAAAAATTAAGAATTGGTGTCGACCGTTTTAAAAGTTCAGATAAAGTCTTAATGAATGGGATATCTAGTTTTGGGTTTTGCTTTTCAAATGAAGAAACAAAAGAGATTTTTTTTAAAAAAGATGAAAGCTCTAATTTGTCTTGAAAACTATTTTTGGTAGGGTAAGATAAATAAAGCATAGCTTTTCTATTAGCTTACTATAGAAAAAGCAATTAGTTACCTTGAGCACGAGTGACAGCAACATATAATAATCGGCGTTCTTCGGATATATCTTCTGCTCTTGAATGTGGTACTGATCCATTATATAGGCCAGGTAAGAATACAATTGGCCATTCTAAACCTTAAAATTATAAAGTTAAAGTCACTTAAGTATAATAAGATAAAATACCTTTTGCAGCATGAATAGTAGAAATAGTAACCTATTTATATATTAGCTAACATTGATTTGACTATTATATCAACCTTTAAACATGAATTGTCTTCGTTTTCTATTGTATCAGAAAATAAAGATATATTGTCGAGAAATTTTATCAAAAGTTTTTGATATATATTATTAGTTTCGCTCATATGGGAATACATATCATCATCTTCTGAATTAATATTATTAAAATTATTGATAAATTGTAAAACATTATTCCATCTTTCATGAAAATTATCTGGGTATTTTTTTAATAAATATTTTTCATAATCCAATAGTTCACAAACATAAAGAAGAACGTTAGAAATAGGCGAATTTATTTGAGTATTCATATAATTTTTAATTTTGTTTATAGTATTAATAAATGATATAATTGAATTTTCGACATTTTTATCTATTATTTTTCCAGTATTGTGTTTTCCTTTAGTTATCTCTTCCAATATTACTAGTATAGATTTCTTATCCATTTTTGACTTGTTTACAATAAAATCCCATCTATTTTTGCCAATACCACGATTAGGAATATTGATTATTCTTGACAATGCCAATTCATCATTGAAACATATTAATCGTAAATATGCAATAATATCTCTTATTTCTTGACGATCATAAAATTTATAAGCACCAACCTAATCATATAATTACATTTAAAGATATCTTTAGATTTATTCACCATTTTATAATTGATACCAAATTTTTGAAATGCATTTTCAATAGGTTGTGTTAAAACTGAAGAACGCACTAAAATAGAAAAGTCTTTATATGTCAAAAATCCAGAAGTATTTTCTACATATTTTTTGATTTCCTTTGCTATCCATTGGGCTTCCTTTACATTATCTTCTAACACTTTTAAAACAGGAGTAAAACCGTCCTTTAAACTTGAATAAAGTGTTTTTTCTGGACGATTTATATCTAGAAAAATTATATAAAATATACCTATAAATCGTTATATACTTTCCTTGTTCAATCAATGCTAAAGCTGTCTGCAAAATAGCTCCTGAAGAGCGAAAATTGTGTTCTAAAAAAAGAGTTCCTGAATCCGGAAAATCCTGTTTCATACGTTCAAAATTTGTAATATCAGCAAATCTAAAACCATATATACTTTGATCCGGGTCTCCTATTGATTGTTAGGAAAAAAAAAAAAGATTAAACAAATACCAACTATTGTTAAAGAAGATTTTTCATGTATCAGAGATTTTATAATATCATATTGAATAAGATTTGTATCTTGATACTCGTCAACAAAAACATACTTAATATCTTTAACACAAAAAGGATATTCTTTGAACAATTGTAAACAATGCAATAAAAGATCATCAAAATCCTAAATGATTTTCTTTAAAAAAAATATTATCAAATCAAATTGAATACTACAAGCAAATTGTTTTCAAGAAGAGATTGCTGATAATAACTAATCATAAGAAATAATATGAATCAATATAGATCATCAAACCTATATATATTTAAAATCTCTTGATGATATAAGAACTTAGATGAATTTGTAAATCTCCCCAGATCTGAATAAGCAAAAACAGTGATCCCTTTTGATTTCAAGGAAGAAATCAGATTCGTAATTGAATTCGCTGAAAGTTTAATCGTAGTATTATTTATTGAAATTTCTAACTCTATAATATTCTTTTCTTTTAGATATTTTTTAATTAAAAAAATACTTTAAATTATTAAAGAAATAAAATAAAGTAGATGTCAAACCTATCAGATCTGTCTGCAATACCAAAAATGCCTAATCCAATTAAATATCCATATTTTACAAGATATTGTCTTGCAAAAGAATGAAATGTTCCTAAATAAAAAATTAAAAGATAAATAAAAACATGACATTTACCAGAGACTATCCTATTCCCAATATCTTCTCCAATTATAGTACCAATTCTATTTTTAATTTCTTTTGCTGCTTTATTCGTAAAAGTCACTACTACAATTTCCTGTGGAAATACATTTTGCTCTAAAAGTATATGAATAATTCTACTAATTAAAACAAGCGTTTTCCCTTGATATTTGTAATTTTTTTTTTCAAAAAAGTTATTTCTTACCAGAACCTGGTCCCGCCAAAATCTGCAAAAATCGCTGAGAACTCGTTACAGCAAGACGCTGTTGAGTAGTCAAAGAATCCATTAGAGACATAAAAGTAGCCATCTCGCTTTTATTTATAAAATCTCCTATAAGACCCTCCTATTATTTAGTCATATTTAAGCGATACTAAGCTGAAATATAAAATGATAAAATTAGTTTTATAAAAAAACTATTTAAAATATTGAATAATAGAATTAAATTTAAATACTATAATACAATAAATTTTGATGTATATATTACTTTAATGTCTTTTATATTCAAAGCTAAACCTTAAGTCCTAAAGCGCTTTCAAAAAAATACCAACAACTATTATTATTTAGTATTAAAAAAGTTGATATTTATAATAAGATACCTTGGCGAACCATAAATATAACTATTTAATACAATTAATTAGGAAAGGAAAAAACAAAAAAATAAACATACGAATCCATTGCTTCTCTAAATCTATTTTTATACTGACGAGGTGTCACAACAGTAGGTTCTTTCCCACCACCACCTACCAAACCTTTTTCTTTAACCCAACTTTCTAATTTTTTATCCCATGTATAAGTACGAATGCAATCTATAAATAAATAAATTACAAAAATCAAATGATTTTAAAATATACCAATAATTCCAACGACTAGTTCTTGTCTTTCATCATCAATACCAACAACCATAGAATAATCCATAACATTCATTTTTGCCAAAAACAAGGTATCATTCCATAAAGATGCTCTTAAAATTTTTTTAAAATGCTCACGAATAAATAATGGGGAATCATATATAACTATAATTGATTATTTATAAGTCCATTTAAAAGATAATAACTACATTCAACTAAATTTTCATCCAACAATACTTCATTTTCTTTGCCAGTTGATTGTACATGTCTATTTCTCATTGAACCTTTCAAATCAAAAATCTAAAAATTTCTTAAAAATTAATGTATATTATAAAATATATTACTCGAGATGTTTTTTTTCCATAAAAAAGATTTTCTGTTACTAGTACATCCATTTTTGTAACCTTTCCTGTATGAGGATTTCGAGAACCTATTTGATAAAACCCAATAATCTTAGCCATTGCAGTAGGTAACTTGATAAATTAATAAAACTCAAAAAAATAATAGAATAATACTTCATGAAAAAATGCCTGAGACATATATTCAAAATAAGAAGGTGCAAATTTTATAAAAGCTTCTGTTTCTAGTCGAGATAATTGTTTTAAAACTAATCTATCATCTAAAAATATTTTAAAATGATTAATTAATAAAAGCGCTAGATCCAACCTCTAGTTTTAAGAAAAGCAGAACCTGATTTGCCACCAGAAGAATCCCATTTAAAACATCTTGAAAGAGATGAAAGATAGTCTTCATCACACTTACATGCACGTCTAAATGCATCAAATTGTTCCGCATAAAATACTTTGCAAAATAGCTGTGCAGAACCTTCTTGAAATTCTAAATTTTCTTTTTAGAATTTTAATAGTATTTATAGAGTCTTACGATATTTTAAATGAGTTCCAGTAAGTTTTAATAACGCATTTTCTAACGGTTTCTTAGTTAAATCTCCTAGATCCTTCAATTTTTCTTCAGTTTTTGAATTCTCAATTATATTATGAAGAGCTTTAATATGCTCCATTTCTTTAAGTTTATTTAAGTAATCAACAGAACTATAAAATTACTAATATTATCTTTAGACTTTAAACATTCTACCTTAATGTAAAAGCAATAAGCGAACTTGGTTCATCCTCTCGAATGATTACATCTGAATCCGTAAATACATGTTCATATGGATTGCTAAATATTTAATAATAATATAATTAATTAATATGAACTTACAGCGGATAATTTAACGCAGACCATCCAACAGAAGCTCTATCAGCCCAAAATGCAAATAAACTTTTCATAAGTGATATTCGTTCAGCACCATGTGTAGGAATTTCATCTATAATATCATCATTGGAAAATTTAAAGCATTCAGGGGAAGTATAAAGAATTTCCAGAGAAGAAAGATCAGAATCCTTTTGCGAGTTTTCAAGACCCATTTTATTCTCGTATAAATTAAACGAGTCAATAGTCTGAGATCTTCTGATTCTTTTTTTCCCTTTTTTGTCTGAATTGAGTTCACATTTGTCTTTTTTTTTCAAATCTATATTTATTTTTTTATGTTCATTAATAAGATCATCATCTGAAGTTTCATTAACAGCTTCTTGAACATTCTGAAAAACCTCTACAATAGGTTTTGATGATGGAAGAAATGAGTAATTCTTTTTAATTTTTAAACGTCTTTTATGAGTCCGTTGTTTTTCAAATTCCTTATCCAATGGATCAAAATCGTTGGAGAAATTAGAAATATTTCCATTAAATTTTTCCGAATTTTGAGACTTAAACTGTATATCTAAATCTTTTTTAGTTCTTAAAGTAGATCGAAGATCTATGTTTCTCAGCTATGATACATCTCAAATGTATTATTTACCCTTTTTATAATTACAATCGGGTTTTTTTTGATCTGAATTAAGAATTTTTGCAAAATTCTTTCTAAAAAAATAATTTTTAAAAAGAAAACTTCCAATTGATGATGTAGGAAGAGAATTATCAAATTTTTCTATATCTAACTTCTGAAATGAATCCGAAAAATTATTGTTATCAAATAAAACTTCATTTCCAGTATTAATAACTTTATTCAAATTAGTTTCTTCAGCATTATTATCAGATTCTTTTTTTTTAGAAAAATTATTATTATCACTCGAAAGTTTACGTATCTCTTGAACCAATTCATTGTTTATTTGATTATAAGTATTTTTAATAAAAATATCCTGTTTTTTATTTGAGACCTCTAAGGCGTTTTTTGTGAAATGAGAAATATTTGTATCAGAATTATTTTTGTTTAATGAGAGTTCTGATTCACTAGAAGACATGAAATTTAAGTCCTTTTCACTGGAAACCTTCTTTAATAATAAAAGCCTGTTCTTATTCTGCGACAAAAATTAGTAAAAAGAAAAAATGAAATCATACAAAATACTCTTAATAACTTATCACCAACTTCGGAATTTAGATTTTCAGAAACTTCTAAACCTTTAGAATAATTATGATCTGAAATAAGTTCTTTATCCATAAAGAACTTTTTAAGATGCAAAGAAGTAAATCGTCGCATATCTTTTTCAGAAGGAAAAAAGTCTTTATCAAATTCGCTAAAATCAACATCCCATTGAATAACCATCTCTTGAATACTTCTCAGAACACGATTAAGTGGTAAAATTTTTAAAGGGTGAGAATTTTCATATGATTCTTTCAAAAAAATTAATAGAAAAGCCCTTTCATCTTTAATTCTTTTTCTAAAGCGATCTATTTCGAGTTTACATCCTTCGAATTTATCCAAAGGTATAGTATCTAATGGAATACTATTTAATCTAACTTCAACAGAATCACAGAATTTCTCAATTTTTGATTTTATTGAATTATATTCCTCTAATTTCAACCGAATCCATCCTTCTGACTTCCATATTATTTCAGCACGAGGCAATGAAAGATCATAAAGCTCAATATAATCGAATTGAAATCTTACAGCAAAATTTTGATATCCAAAATAACGAATATGATCTCTATTTATATCATGATTACAAATACCGGTTTTGCTGTAAAGAGAAATATTATAAAATATCAATTCTAAATATTTCCCAAATGAATACTTCCAAGTATTTTCAGACATTGGTATCATTGGTGTACTTTTTTTACAAATCTTGCACTGACTCCAAAGAAAAATATTTTTTTGTATTTCAGAAATAGCATGATCCAATTCCTGTATGAAAACGGTAATACGAGCATGATCATGTACATAACTTCGATGATGTTCAAAAAGTCTCCGCCCACAAAGATTTGCATTACAAATTATATTAACGGTTGAACACATATCTTCAATATATTGTCCTAATGTACAATCCGTTTCGCGATAATATTCAATAATATTCATACCAGGACCTTTACAGGGTATCGCTGATGCAGTACATACACTAGAATAAAGTACAGCAAATCCTTGATGAGAAAAAGGGCTAGCAACTCCAATATCTTGAACAAAATAGGATTGCCAATTTTTCTCTTGGATTTTTAATTCTTGTTGTGCCTTTTCAATTTCAGCATTTTTTAATATTTCCGTTAGATTTATATTTAATAATAAATGATCGTTATCTAAAGCATTCATTTCTTTTAAAAAATTATGAACCTTTTGATCCAGAATATCTGATTTCTTGTCATTTAAGAATTCTTTTAAATATTTTTCGGAATCACGAGCTTTTAAAAGCATATATGGTGGAGGAAACTTAACATATGGAGAAGCAGATAAAAGTCTTGTTTCGAATATTTCTATAATAACATCATACGATGTTATAGGAGCATTACGATCAATTGTGGAATAAGAATCTTTCAAAAGGTCCAATGCAAGCTTATTCGAGGGTATATCTGATAATGAAATAAAATGATCTCTCATAAGACATGTTTCTAATTTTAAATTGTAAACCACGTATACCATTAACTCTGTTATTCGTTTTACGATAGAAAGTTCATGAATAGTTGGCCCGCGAAGAATAATTGTACAGCCAAGATCTTTTGGACATCCTTCTAAAAATATAAATGTTTTTTTCATGATAGGAGAGGTTGAATTTACAAAAGTCTTTAAATTAAAATAAGCACACTTTCCTATTCTTGGAGATAATGCAAGTTTGTCAATAGATGAAATAATATCAGCTCTTGTACAACGTGAGATTGCTTGAATAACGGAGGGTTTTACATTTGATGCAACGACAATATTACTTTCAAATAAATATTGCATGGCTAGCCCGGAAACACTTTTTTCGACAAATAATATTGTAGGATGTAATGAAATTATTCTATTTACAAGGTTTCGAAGATACTCTTTCTCCTGAGCAATAACGGGATCCAATGACATAAAATGAGTTTCTGTTCGATGATACTCAATGGGAAATGTTATCAAGACAATTCTCGGATTTATCAGAGAAGTATTCATTTTCTTTAATGCGAGTTTTTTTGTAAATACAAGACCTTGAACATAACAACTTAATGTAGGATCTCCTATGATTTTTTTGATTTTAACATAATGACGTACATCAATATCATCCCCATTTCGAAGATTAGGATTAATATTATCAATAATCTTAAAAAGCATTGGAGTTAAAATTTGTTCCCAATTTAAAACGGATGATACGTTTGAGTCTCGCAGTAATTGTTTCAAAAGTTCTCGGATATAGTATAAAGGAAATGAATTTGAGTCCATAATTTTTAATGATGTATCACTCGGTGATACTTTATGAGATTTTTTTTTAGAAAGAGCAGAAAAAGATGAAGTAAAAAATGCATTTTCTGATGTAAATTCAATATCTTTTGCGTAATCCGCAGAAACAGAAAAATTCCCATGTTTACCATCAATTTTTTTCTGTTTTTTTAAACGACGATCGATTTTTATTGCATTTTTCTTCCCCATTTTTACAATTTGAAGTTTTTCGCTAGTTATAGGCAATGGAATTGAATGTGTCGAAGATAGATGTTCGTTTTCTTCTATAAGAGGTGTCGAAACTACCATTCGATTTGAAGTTTTTCTCATATCTCCTGAAGTCGTACTAAATGATTTTATATCAAGACCAGCAAAGTGATTTCTCTTATGTAAAACATGATTTTTTCTTTTCCCTTCTTTCCATTCATTTTTCGATACAGACCATTTATCATCAGTGGGATCTAAATTAAAAGATTTTAAAGATGATGCTAAATAATTCTCATTAGTTTCAGACATATTATTATCCATCATATCGCTCATTCCAAAAGAAACTGGAGACATGGATTCGAGAGTATCGAATACATCGCACGTTGATTTCTCACTGTTTTTCGGGGAAAAAGTGATATCTAATGACTGTTTCTTTGGGAAAAAAACTTCCATAAAATGATTTGAACGAAATACATTCTGAGAAATCGATCGTAACCATGGTTTTTCCGAAAATACATTCCCCTCTTCTCCATTCACATCAATATATTCATTGATAATTGCGTGACAACGATTACATACACGTAAATCCTCAATATGACCAAAACTTTTGCCCGGAATCAATGTTGTACATTTAGAACAAAAAATTTGTCCACAGGTTCCTAAAGATCTCATCAATTTCATTTATAATAATCCCCTTTCATCCAAAAACTTACGACAATGATGCCGTCGACGCCATGCTATCTTTTCTTAGTTTATTCCTATAAATATAACTTCATCCTTACCCGTAAATATTGCATCACATAAAAAACACGCTCGACAATTTTCATCTTTCATCCAAAAATCCTTTCCAAGTCGTCCTGTCCTCAATCTTTCTAAAACCATTGAAATAGATCGTTCTCTAAAACTTTGTTCAACCGGAGGTACCCAAATTATCTCTGAATCACTTGAAACGTCATGTTGAAGTATAAATCCTGGCAATTGTGCTCCTGAGACACTAATTCCTTGGACTTGTCCTTGTAATATCTGGTCCTCTTGAACGCTATGTCCTGCAATATTTGTATAAACCCCGTCTTGAAGAACTGAAATTCGATCTACTACTGGTCCAACTCCTTTCTTTGTTTTTCGTAGGAAAAGTGCTGTAAGTCGTTTTAAAGGATTAGATGCCGCAACATTTGTATTTTCCGAATTATTCGAACCCGCATATATACTCGTATTTGACGCATACATCCCATTATTTGGCTTATAAAGATTTTTTTCTGGAATACACATATGAGTTCCAAGAGCATACATCTCATCAAGAACATTTATTTCATCTTGTCTATCTGAGAACCCCGTTTCATTTCCTGTTTCAGTGAAATATTCTACGCTTTGCCTATCTTCAATCTCATTTATATCGGATTTTTGCACATTCAATGTTTTAAAGCTTGTTAGTCCTCCTGAAACATTTATATCTTGAGAATTTATGGACTTTTTCCTCAGGAAATCCGCCCAAAGCCTCATTTTCCTCTACTTTTAATGGATGGATTTTGTCAAGAAATTGAGCTCAGGAAGAAATCTCTTTAAACACTAAGGCACGTGACCGTGTCCAAAGAATCACGTGACTTAATAATGAAAATCACGTGATACTTAGAATACTAAGCATCTTTAAATCAATCTTCGGACCTCTTTATAAACGACATGATGAGTGGAATCTTAAAAAGCTGGATTCGTGGGAAATTGAGGGACTCGTTGGCATCTATATTGGAGAATCCTATGCATCTTGGACAGCATCATCGTGTTCAGGTTGTCAGGGTTTGTTTTTTGTTTAGTTTTAGATTGAAATGTTGAAGAAATACTTAGTTTCTTACTTATAAAAACCCGGTTTTTGCAGAGGTTTCTGACATGGAAACCGTTATTTTTTGCGAATTTACTAAGGATTGTGTTGAAGCATATCAAAAGTATAAAAGAAAAAAATATTTTATATTTTGATAGGTTGTTTTAGTGAATTTGGGAAGCGTTTTACGCAGATTAGGGGTGCATATTTAACATTGAAGAATATGTCGCTTGAGGTTTATGAGGAGAGTAATTTTAAAATATTAGCAAAACTTATTGTTCGACAAATTCAATTTCTGGGAGGGGATGGAGAGGCAATTGTTGGACATCCAGTGTTTTTTGATGAATATCCAGAAATACGCACATTATTGTATTCTATACATATTAAAAAGTAGTCGAATTATTTTTTAAAATCCTTTTTTTTTAAAATATTCTATCTAGACTTATTTGGCCACAATCATTGATTAAAGAACAAGAAGGTAAAAGGTATTGAAATTTAGGAAAGTATTTTCTTAAAAAATTCTCTTAGAGGTTGACAAGCCACCTGAGATTAAACTATTAGTATATATGATATGATTTAAAAGAATTAATTAATTTTCAACAGAATGAGTCTGTTGAAACATTTACAAAAAAGAATAAAAAACGTATATTTTTTTCAACACCTCTTTCAAATAATCAAGGAGATTTGTCTAAAAAAAAACAGAAAAGATTTTTACATCCGGGATGGCGGGTTTTTTTTTCTATTTTTTTATTTTAACTTATTTTAGTATATAGGGATTTTTTGAAGTCACATATCAAGATTGTATTATTAGTGATGACCAAAGAAAAATATTGGAACGAGACGAAGGTAAGAATTGATTATTAAGCATTATCTCTTTCCTTACTGCGAATAGCATGGTACCCACCGATTAGTATGCCTCATGAAATTGTAATCCCTGAAAATACCGCTCATAATGAATCAAAAGATGATTTTGGAGATGTTTATTTACATTTTTGATTTGATTTTTCTCATCCTTATAGATTCTTCCTTTGAATGGTCCTATGATAGATAAGTTAAGTTCTCCATCTGGAAGTCCATTTTCGTGGGAAGAATCACCTACGTTAAACCAAAGCTCTACATCCATTTCTGAAATAAAGGAAATGCAAAATGAATCGTCTTTTTTTATTGACAAAGAAAGATTTTTTAGTGATAATGATACACTTCCTCCATCAAGTCCATCAATTACTTCATATAGTCCTTTGCTACAAACATCCATGTGAAAAAATTCATAAAATTTAAACTAAGTATAATAAAAATAATTTTAATAATTTTAATTTTTTTTAGAAGGATTTTAACTATGATTTAAAAAATATGAAATATTACCATTCTAAAATGATTTTTTTTCATTATCAAGTTTCTTTTTTTTATATATATATTGAAATAATGATTTAATGATTTGAATATTGAATTTTGAAATTTGTATTTAAATTCAAAAATTGATTTTAGCTACATTTCAAAAGATGCATAATACAAATAGCATTTCAGCATCATTATTTTAAATATATTTTAACATGCATAAAAAAAACATAAATCATTGAATAATATTTTTTTAATATGAAACAATAGCAGTAGCATAACTAACACTACTATCTGATATCTCTTTACACAAACTACTTTGTGTATAATGAAGAAAATGGAATTTTTGATGAATTTCCGCTTCAGCTAATGCACAAAGTATTACGCTAATAGGATGTCTATTTGTTGATGTATTAGCTATATTTTTAACTCGGTTTAATAGATTTACCGTCCACAAATCGTATTTCTTGTTTTCAATAGATATTCTATGAATTTTTCATGATTTCCATCCTCAATCCTACGCATGCCTTCCCTATCACATTGTTCAATCGAAGCATAAATAGGACATGCTAAAGACGGTGGATTCAAGCGAGATATTTGGCGAGGAGGTTGACCTGGTTCTGCATAATAAGTATATGAAAATCGACGCCCCCTTAATAATCTTTAGTCGATTGAATAATTTGACTTTTATTGTCCTACCAATGACAAAAGTCAGATGAAACAATAAACCTATTCTTTGGATTTTTTAAATATGGCGCTAAAAGACATCCATAGATATGTTCTTGTTCCGGTAGAATTGCACCAACAAGAATTGGAATAATTTTTGCATTTGGCGACGATCTCAAATATATCATATCAATACATATATTCCCATCCATCAAAATAAAAAAAACATACTCAGCAAGTTGATAATATATAAATGGTAATTGTAATTCAATGCTATGTTCATCTTCATCTGTTTCAAGATCCATTTGAGAAAAATATCCTGTCTTTATTAACGACTTAACTACTATTTGACACATCAGACATAATTCTTTTCATGTTACACTTAATTATTACCCTCTCGATCAATCTTTAATTTTCCTAATGGCGTCTCATATTCAGTACAAGATGAAACTGCACATTCTTGAAGATCTACATGATGTGCTGGTCCAAGAATAAAAACTCGGTCACTTTTAATATTTCCTTTAGAAAAAAAGACTTTTACATTCCTTTTTCTCTTACACATCACTCCAATTCATGTGTGAATATCCAATTCCTGCTGTATTTCCACTATACTCGTATCCTGCATGTCTAAATATAAATCAAAATATATGTTCAATTAAAAAAATAAATAGTACGGTGTAATTAACACTTTTCCTTTCTGATTTTTATTTTTCTCAATTCGATTAGTTTTTATTTGTAAAAATTTTTCAAGATTATTAATTAATATTGATTCACTGCTTGGATACCAGGTTCCTGCATGAGAAGCTCGTCGTAACATTTTTTAAGAAAACTTGATATTCTGTCGTCTGGAATGATTAAAGTTTTGAAAAATTAAAGTTTTGAAAAAAATATTTTAGAAAAAATAAGAAAAATTAAAGTTAGAAAATAATAAATATTTTTTAAAAAATAAATTAATATTTCTTGAAAAAATAAATATAAAAAAAATTAAATAATAAAATAAAAAAAAATAAAGAAACAATTGTTTTGTTTAATCTTTTAAATATTTATTCAGATTTTAGTCACGTGACTGGCTGATATGAGTCGAGATTAAGATTTTATTTCATCATTAAAATTTATGTTAGCATCAAACAGAGTTCTTCGGCTTATTTATCCATTAATTATTCCATATAATCAGGTAGATTAGGTCTTTATGTCTTTATTTTCCTAACAGGTAGTAGAAGAGAAAGATTTCTGGTTTTTGGAGGGAAAAAAAAGATATTAAATTTATTTCAAAATGGGTTTTAAGATCAATGTTTGGCGGATTTTTAGGGATAGCAATCGGTATAACAGCGTATTCTGTAGGGTATCCTATGAGTAAATGTTCAGAATGGTTTTGCGAACGAATTCCATTAATTCAACGTATCGTTGTGGCAGTTCATGAATATGGTTTTGATGAACGCTATTCTGATATCAAAGAAATAAGGAAAATGAAAGATAATGACGATAACGAGGAAAGGTTTGCTCCATATTTATCATGGAAAACAAATAAACATCTGGAAGAAGTGGTAAAAACAAAGGAAATAGAAAAATCAGATGAAAGGAATAATTCAAAAAAAGATGAATGTTGCAAAAAAAAATCATCAGAATCTTTCGAATTATTAGAAAAAGAAAATTCGGATAGGTCATCAGAAACATCTTTAGAGACATCAGTTTCAAAATTACCTGAACAGCCTGTTCATTCATCAATGCAAGCTTTAATGGATTCTATTAAAGAAATCGAGAAAGCAGTTCATAATTCAAATGCTGTTGATGAATTTAAAAAGTCTCTTAAAATTTTGAAACAGGAGGCATATTCTTTAAACAGTTTTTTAGAACATATTGATAATGAATCAAATACTACATTGAATAAAAAATTAACAGAACAAAAAGATTATTTCGAAGATCTCTTAAAGATTCAAGAAAAAACTCTTCAAACACAGATGGAAAATCAGGAGACGTATTGGATATCAGCGCTGTTACATGAATATGAACGTCTGGAGATACTTTATCGTGAACGTTTACTAGAAGCATTGAAAAAACAAGAAGAAGTCAATGAAAAAAAGTTGAAAAATGAACTTATTCAACAGGCAATTGAATTACAAAGGCGTTGGATGCGTGAGATGAAAGCACGCGTTGAAGAACAGCGTGGAGGACGATTAGGACAATTAGAACATCTTTATAAACATCTAAAGCACTTAGAAATACTCTTTTCTCAAACAAAGAATTTTTCTGAAAATATAATCCATATTCAACGATTACAAATTGCATTCCAAGCATTACGAAGGACTATTGAAGATCCACAACAAAAACCATTTACAAAAGAGCTTAATGTCTTAAAAGATTTATGTAAAAATGACGAATTTATACAGTTAGCGGTTGCATCAATTCAGCCTGAATCTCATCAACAGGGAATTATGAGTAAAACACAATTAATTCATCGATTTCAACATCTTGCTCAAGAAATTCATAAGGTTAGTTTATGTCCTGATAATACCGGTGTATTAGGTTATATTTTCAGTCGATTCTTGACTTTTTTTATGTTTCAAAAAACTGCTTTTACTGATGGTAATCATGTTCATCATATTCTTGCACGTGCAGAAACACATCTTAAAAAAAATAATCTAGATGCTGCAACACGCGAACTTAATCAGTTAACTGGTGTTCCAAGGAAACTTGCAAGAGATTGGCTTAAATATGCTCGTCAAAATTTAGAAGTTTTACAAGCACTTTATGTAAGATCTATTCATAGCTTTTCTTATTAATTTTTTTTAGATGATTGAAACATATACACTTTTGCAATCTATCTTATTTGTATGAAATATAAAACATTTTCTCCCTTTATTACTTATTTCCTGTATTTTTTATAACCCTCTTTTTTAAGTTTGCCTTCCTCGAGATCTCCATCAATGGCAGAAATATATCATGGTTGTTTAAAGGTTAGATAATGTCAGAACAGAAATGCTAATAAATATAGGTAAAGAAGAGATTGAGAAGATACTTAATTGCTTAAAAAATGATCTCGAAAGAGAAAAAATTGGGGAAGAACGTAAGTTTTATATAAAATTATAGATTATATTAAAGATTAAGAATATGAATATGTTTTTCAACTAAAAAGAATTGTTAGGGATAATGAATCAGCAAAAATAATAGGTTCAGGAGATGTATTATTATACGATATACTTTTTTTTTCTTATTTTGTTAATTTTTAGGGATTTTCTATCTTGTTTCAATTAGCATTCCCTGATGATCTAAAACAAAAAAAATCAATCGATGCAGCACGGTGTATTTTCAATACAATGCTTCTTTATGATGAATCAAGGGATATCTTTATTGAGAAAAAGGGTATTGAACGTATTATTAAGGAATATATGTATTTTTTGGAATTACCTTTAATTTATAGAAAAGTTTGAAGAGATAAACAGATTAATAATATATTGATAAGGATTTTCTTTATACAGGAAAATTTTGATCTAATGTTTGTGCATACGCGAATTTTATTTTTATTAACAACACAACTTGGAAAGGCGATAATAATATTGAAAGAATTGGGAATTTTTCAAATTATTAATAATGTATTTTTTTTATATTTTTGAAAAGAGTAATTTAATGAATTTTTAGTGTTTAAAATATTTTGAAGCATATTTGATCTCTAATGATTCATGGTCAGAACAGGATCTTCATACTGTTCAGGAATACTTAAAACTTCTTTTTAATTTAATACGACATGAAGATGCACAGTCTTTAATGTAAAAAAATTATACATATTTACTAATTTAACAATATTTTAGTAATATATCTCCTCTTATTAAACTCTTGAATTTATCATTTACTAATTTAATTAACCAACAGTTTACTTTTGAAATCATTAACTGTTTGCTAAATCTTCCTATTGCAACGTTTTTTGATCAAGAACATATATCTGAGCGATGTGTTGGACAATTACTTGACATCTTAGATACGCTTTTATCAAGCATTGATTTGGAAATTTATTCGAATGATTCTCCTTCATCTATTACCTCAGATACACTTATTGAAACTAGAATTCTTTCACTTGTTACTTTCCTTCGAAAGATTCTTAAGTATTCAACGGAGTCTATTCGAGAATTGTTAGTTTCTCGACTATTACCACAAAGCAGGTAAATATACTCCGTATTTTTTGATTTAATTTGATTTTTTTGTCAAGAGATCGAGAAAATATTCTTGGAAGAGGTAATACGCTTTCATCTAAAGCTCTCAGAGCTATTACAGTACCAACCCCATTGATTCGTGAATCCATTTCATGGTTACTTTATGAACTTAATCATTTAAACGGTAAATTTTTGCTTTTTTTCATTTTAATTAATTTTGATTGACATCTTTTACTATAGCAACGGAGTTTATTAATAGTATAGGTTTTGGTTATGCCTCTGGTTTTCTTGCATCTCAAGGCATTCCTTTTGTTTCCCCGAATTCTAAGGATTTTGATGCTCCATATGGTATTAACCCAATTACTGGGCAAACACTTGAAGCAGAACGTATGGCACTTTCTAATCTTCCAGAAATGACAGAAGAAGAGAAAGAGAGAGATGCTGAACGACTTTTCATTATGTTTCAAAGGTTTTTTTTAAAAAAAAGACGCTATTTTATTTACAATATATTAGGCTTGAAAAAAATGGTATTTTTTCTGTAAGGAATCCAGTTAGAGATGCATTTGAATCAGGGAAGTTTTCTGAATAAATTGATTTGTTTTATCTATAATCTCATTTCTTATCTTTCGGACACAATATCACTAAACTTTATCCGAAGTCTTACAAACTAAATTTAAATCTTTTCATAAATAATTTCATAAAGATTTGGTATTTTTGTTTTAAAATATGGAAAATAGCCAAGCCGTTATACCCTTTTCTGCCTGTAATGATTGGAATGTTGTTTTGTAAGTTATTTTGAATGTTTGATGGATTTAATCGTTTAGTCGCGATTCGATTTCTGGTGCAGTAATTCTTTTTAACCGTGAGAATAAACAGTTAAGCCTTTATCGTAATATGAAAGATGGTGTACTTATGAAAAAATTGGATACGGCATTTTGTCCTCTTTGCTGTCGACCATTTCATTCAAATGATCTTCATGAAACATTAAATGAATTTTCACAGCGTCCACCATCATTCATTAATTCAGAATATTTCCGATTTCTTGAGGATTTTCATTGGGATGTTACAGAAAGATCATCTACTCCATCATCATTTTCAGATATTACCACACCAGAAATTACACCATTTGATTCCTCTTCTCCCAAATCAACTCCTCTTTCATCATTATCATTTAATCAGGGTTATTTCAAAAGGTTTTTTATCTCTTTTTTTTGATTTTGAAGCTTAATTTTTGAAGATTTTTTATTTCAGAAGGATTACTTGGCCGAGGTAAATCATGTATTATACATTTTGCATTATCATTTATAAATAAAAAGGATCTAGAGGTGAGGTTCTTAAAGTATTGCATGTTTTGGATGGTGTTCCTCTTGGCTATTGTGCATTTATTGTATTTTAAAAAAACATATTTAATTCGAGTATAGATGCAGTCAAACGAATTCCTGTTGGCGATAGCCATTCATGGCTTAAAAAAGTATATAATAGGTTCTTTGCGGTCTTTAAAATATTAACTTTATTTTAAAGTTATTGAAAGAAGTGCATTTATTACGTTTGAGACATACTAACTTAGTTCATTATAATCATGTTTGTAAGTGATATTTAATATCGAAGGTTCAGTAAAAAAACTGAAATGTCACTTAAGGGCTTGAGAATTCCAAATTAACAAAGTTTGGACCGTCTGTCCCAGTTTTATATATTTTACAGGAAGTAAAAAAACTTTTCCTTATGTTTTTAGCAATAAATGTCATTAGTATTGTGATAGAGGGGATTTGGAAAGTTATCTTCATGATTTAATATCGTCTAATGAGCCTACACTTTTTGATTTTAAAAAAAAAGAAAAAAGATTGAGAGGAAAACCACTTTTTACAAAACGTCTGGGTGAAACTATACTTCCTCTGGAAATGATATTTTCTTTCATTAAAGACATTGCATCTGGGCTAAGTTTTCTTCATGAGAATGACTTAATTCAGTTTGTATTATGTTTTTATTTGACTAAATTAAGAAATCTTTAAGTCGAGATTTAAAGCCAGGAAATTGTTTACTTCAAAGTACAAAAAAAGGTCTTTATCCGAGAGCTTTGGTTAGTGATTTTGGAGAGAGTCAAGTAGCTACTGAGGTAGATCCGAGATCTGGGGGTACAGGAACATTAGAGTATGTTTTTCATTTCTTTTTAGCCGCATTATTTAAAAATATATTAGATATACTGCACCAGAAGTACTACTTGGTAAATATTTATATATTAGTATAAATGATACATTTTCACTTTAATAGTTGGAGAGGATGGAAAGTTGAAAGGATTTTTTACACCTGCATCAGATGTGTTTTCTCTTGGGTTAATTTTATATTGGTTACTTTTCGAGGGAAGACTTCCATATAAGCATTCTGCGGAAGAATATGATAATTTAAGAGATGAAATATTGAATTTTAAAGGGTAGATTGATAAAATTATGTGATTTTTCTTTAAAAATAATATAGTTACCAACATGATTATAAAAATTCTAATTTTCCGGCATATTTGTGCAAATTTTTGGAGACAATGTTATCTTCAGATCCGTATAGAAGGCCTTCATCTCAAGAAGTTCTTACGTTTATTACTAGGATTTCAAAAGAATATACGGTATCACCAAATGATAATTGAAATTGTATCTTGATATATAATAGACTAAAAATGATTTTAAAAATGACCAATTATTAGATTTTAATGAATTCGAAAGATCACGTATCGTGTCTTTACCATCTCAAGAAAATTTCAAATTAGAGAAAGCTAAATTTTCATTTCTTAATCAACAATTGTCTATAAAAAAAAATGTAAGATTTTAATTGATTTATTATATAACCTTTGACTCATTCTGGAATAGTTCTTACATATTCCTTTCATATCATTTGATAACATTAAATCTTTGTTTTATATATTTAATAATAAAATAATTTGGTGCATTAAATTCATTCTTAAAGTAAAGTATTCCTTTAATTTTTTTAATTTTATATATTTAATTTTTATAGAGCGTTTTGGTTTATTATTCTATAGGATATATAATATTTTATTGTGTTGATTTTTTACCTTTCTTTTCAAATAAAACTGAATTATAATATATTTAATTTACTAATATTAAAAAAAGAAAAAAATATCTATTTTTAAAATATAATAACAGGATATAAAATGAATTTTAAATGAGTGCTAATTTCACCATATTTAATATCAATGTCTAAATACATACACAATGTCCTTTCGTCTTTGATAATATAGCAGCTGGCAGAAAAACTATTCTTCAACAATTACATGTAGATGATGCATTAACAACCGATGATCGCCGAGATAAATCAACATCTCGAGTTAATCCTGCACTTCGTGGTTTATGAGTCGGATGTTCTAATGGAAGTGCCTTGGCTAATTTTTTTAAGTATATATAAATCTAAAATTATTTCATTTACCGATACAATGGAACAATTCATTTACATTTTGTGCACTTTTTGCCGACGTTTCAAAAAAAATTAGCCCTTCTTCTTGTGCATATGCCTGAGCATCCTCTATTTCTATAGCTCGTCGTTCTGATAAATCTGCTTTATTTCCTGCCAATGCAATTATAATATTTCCACACGCTTGTCGATGAAGTTCTTTCACCCATGCTTTTGCCTTATCCAACGACTCCTAACCTTATCTATATTTTTTTCTCCCTATTAAAATTACTTACCGCCTGCGTAATATCATAGACGACAATCGCACAATTTGCGTTGCGGTCTATAAATAAGAATATCTTTCTAAATAATTAATAGCACTTACAATACATTGGTGCTAACGATCTATAACGTTCTTGACCTGCTGTATCCCTAAAATAATAAATTTAGTTTTTATTAATTTCTTTTAACTCCGAAATCTTTACCAAATCTCAAATTTGATTGTTGTTGTTTTGTCAAGAGATAAAGTTTGTGTAAGAAATGCAGCTATTCACATTATAAAAACACACTCAAATATTTCATTTATAAACCTCCTATTGTACTTTCTCTATAGTCTAAAGCCATAATTAACTATGAAAAATATTCAAAAAAATTACCATCAAATTGATCTTTAACAAACCGTAATACAAGGCTACTCTAAATAAATGTTAATCTCATGTTAATTTCTTATATAAAACTTGCTTTTCCGACTGCTGATTCTCCTAAAAGGACGAGCTTGGCACTAAACAGTTGTGATTCCATTTTCTTAGGTTGAAGAGGATCACCAGCGAATTCGTAACAGGTAATAACCCTAATAGGCGGTTTGGGTTAAGATTGAGGATTTAGGTATTATTCGAAGGGTTAGGGTTAGGGTTATACATGAGGTAGATTACTCCCTTTTCTACTGATTTCTTATAAGGCAATTATTAAATACAATGAATAAACATATTTTCTATATATTTTTCTTAGAAAATATATATTTATTAGGTATGTGTCACGTGACAATAATATCAGGTTTACAAAGACCCAGGAGGGTTATCAAAAAACCAAATCAAAAGAATTTTAGAAAGAAGAAATTAAAGCGAATGAAATTGAGTGAAAAAGAAGGTAAATAGAGTGGATATATTGATGAATTGTTTTTGAAAGCAAAAAAAAATGTTTATTGGATCAGATAAAGAAAATACACCATGTTCGGAAAATGAGGGAATTAGAGAGGAAAAAGTCTCAAATAAGAAGAAAGTGTTGTTTTCTCCGTTTCCTGATAAGGGTATGACGCGTCATTTTTTAAATTTTGTTTTTAGTTGAAGGAGTATTTGCAGATGGAAAAGAAACAGAGATTTCAACGCCACAAAAGGGATTAAAAGGGCCACCAAAGGGTATTCTTAAGGTTACTCCGTCATTTCAACAGTTTTATGTGTCAGGAGAGGATTCTCAAGTTAATACGGATGATGAATTATTAGAAAAGGAGAGTTTTTCATCATTTTTAAAAAATGTTAAAGAAAATCTTGAAGGAAATCTTCGCTCTAAAAAGATTGAAACGTATCTTAAGCTTTCTATGTTTCTTCGATCATATGAAACGATTCCTGATAAAACTCTTCTTTTTCAATATTTTCCTGAACTTATTCGATCTATTAAGAGAGATTCAGTCTTAATTAAATCTTCTGACATTGGTGGTTATCAAATGTATTTTGAGATTGTCTTTTTGAAAAGATTTTCTTATGGAATTAGGGCATCGAATGCTTTTAAAGTTTTGGGTTATCTTTTATCACAACAAGAAATTTCCAATATTTTTAATTGTAACGATGCAAAGTTTTTTATTGAGCATTCGATTTCTGTTTTGGAGGATTTGTCTCTTACTAAGGTAGTCGTTTTTTTTTTTCTTTTTAAAAATTTATTTTTAGACATCAGCGGCTTTACATCTTTGGCTTTTAAGCGTTCAAAAATTATCTTCTAATGTTATAACTCAGGAAATAGCTGATAAAATCATTCATGTTTCTTTAAAAATATCTCTTCCTTCTATAACTATTACTCAAGAACGATTAAATGTTTTAATTCGAATTATGAATCAGCGTCCTCAAGTGTTTATTAATTCTGCTTCTGAATGGATCCCATTTTTGCATAATTGTTTAATTGATACTAATAGAGTTATACGGGAAAAAGCGTTACAGTGTTCTTTCGATATAGAAAAGGCTATGCGTGGTGAATCTAAAATTAGTTTAGCTATTATAAATAATATGAAGAAAAAATTTCAAGGAAAGATGATTATAGATATATTTTGTACACGGTTCCAGGAAATTATTAAAGAAGATGGAGATGGTATTTTTGTAGCACATTCATGGAGTGTTCTTGTTGCTATTATAGGCACATCAATGCTTTCTAAATGGAATAAATTGAATGTATGGCTAAAAATGATTCAGGTAAATTGAAAAATTTATTTATATTTATATTTATTTAAGCTATGTTTTAATCATATTGATGTTTCGACAAAAATAGCTGCTCAGGTTGCTTGGGTACGTTTTATACATGCATTTACTTTCTCTCCTAAGGTTCAATCTATTCCTTTGAAAAAACTTCTATTATTATCTCAGCCAATGCAATTAGTTTTGAGTTCAAAGTCTTCTACATCTCTTTTACTAAAAAAATCGGCAATTAAAACGGTATATGCATTATTATATTCCACTTTGCGTCCTGGTATCTTAATGAAAGATATAACAGTCATATGGGAAAATCTTATACTGCCATTATATAATAAAATGGCTTCGTTGAATGAATATGGCGTACTTAGTGGAAGTAAAATAATTGCTTCTTTGCTCGATATAGAAAAAGCTAAACCATGGAGAGATGATCGTCTTATAGATAATTCTCCTGTAGAATTATCAGAGATTCCAAGAATAGATCCTAAATGGGTAAGAAATAATTCATCTATCATAGCACCTATTATTGAAACAATTTTAATGTCTACTATTGTTCCAAAAGAGATTAAGTTAATAGTATGGACGAATTTTAATAAATCTATTAATTTTGCTACTAATAAGGAAATAAAAATATCTTTTGAAACAATGGATGCAGTTACAAGAATTTGTAGATTATTAAAGCTTTTTTGGTTTTCGTATTCTGGGAAAAAATTATTGGCAAAAAAAACAGGTAATATTAGTCTTATTTTTATGATCTAATTAAAAATTTTCTAGAGCAAGATTCCGATGCTCATGTTGATTTATTTGTAGAACTGGTTTCTATTTCATTTAAGACAATAGATTATTTGTATTTTATTAATAAACTGTGTATTATAAAAAATGATGATTTAATTCCGGTACAAACAACGGATTTTGAGGATTCTTCTACTAGACAAGATTTATGTACTCCGATGGTATTTCTTTTTAGGCTTTTTCTCACGCCATTTTCCTGTGCCTTAATAAATAAGGCATATATTAAGGCTATATCTGATGTTATTAATATTAACCTGTCATGGCATAAAAATTCTAAAAAACTTGATATATTAGTTGAATTTTTATCTGTTTTTGATTACGCTAAAGATTTTGATCTTCAATTGCAAGTATGGAAATTGTTTGTAGACTTTATTAAAAGTTTTTTTGTTGAATTCAAGCAATTTTCACATACATCATCTTTTAATTATATTTTGGAAGGCAAGGAAGTTATTGAATATTCGAAAAGTTTATTTAAAATATTAGAATGGGGATTTCGGTTAGTTTTTTCTTTTAAAATAAGTATTTATATATGATCTAATATTTAAAAAAATAGACAAGAAAGTTGCCTTTTAGAATCAGAAATGCTATTCGATCTTCTTTATCGGGAAGTTGAAAGCACATTAGGAATCACTGAAGCTTCTTGTAAAATTATTGAACCTCTTGCAGAGTTGCTTCTTCAGATATCTCCTGAAATTAATCCGTAGATCATTTATACTTCAACAATTCATTAGTAACTTTATTTAGAAATGTTTATAATATTTCTGGAATTATAATGAAAAGAGCCCGGTTTCCTTTTCATGATAATACTTCAAAAAGAATGAATTTACATTTAAAAACTTTAAAAGTCCTTAAAAAAACGACGTAAGTATATATTAATAATAGTATATCTATTTTTGATTTTATAGTTCTTTTGAAAGTCTTAATATATTAATAAGTAATCTTTTGGCATTTTCTTATAATCATGATTTTAACGAATTTGTTCTTTCTTTTATTCAAGGAGTTTGTGCTTATATGAAAATAATTCCTGTTGATGAAATTGCACTAAGTTTACAATGTATACAAGGAGGACTTTCATTATGGATATCTGATGAAAAAGAAATACTAAAAAGTAATCAAACTATCTCTGATATAGTAATATTTTTTACAACAGATGATCTTAAATTAATTTTAAATATAGATTAAGGAAATATGGTCTATTATTTTATTAAAGCTGAAAGCTCTCGGTTCTTATGAAAGCACGTTATTACATTCATTATCACTTCTTTTGGAATCAGGGTTTAAAAGTAAAGATGATACAATACTTTTTTCTACGCTTGAAACATGGAATGAAACATTTGCAAAACAAACAATATTGGTTTATCCTCCAGAAATTGTTAAAATTATGAAATATATTTATAAAATTTTTAAAATTTCACTGCCATCATTTCCTATTCCTTTAAATAATTTAGAAGTAATAATTTTTTTTTTTTTAATTTTATTTTTATTCTTTTATAGGAGGATTTTGCAACAGATGATCTACAGTTGGATTTGGCTACTGTCTCTGATCTTAAGGATTCAGCATCTCAAGAATTACCCTTGAACTCATCTTTAGATAATGGATCTAAAATTATAGAAAATATGAGTCAGGAACAAGAAAAAGATCAAGATGCTTTAAAAAAACCTGCATCTTTGAAACATCATAATTTGCCGTTGTCATTTGAAAAAACACAAATTAATAAGAAAATAAAAATACCCTTTGAACCCTCAATAATAATGACTAGAAGGAAATCATTAGAATTAGCACGAGTTACATGCCAAGATTCTTTTCAGAATACATCAATGGATTTAGATTCTATAGAATTGGAATCTAAGAAAAGTATGAAACTATCTAAAGATTCCTTATATCATAATTATATCCAAGAAATGGATTCATCTATTCAGAATTATAGTAAAAAAAAAGAGCCTTCTCGGAAATCATTATCAACAGATAAATATGATGATTTAACTCCTTTGAATTCTTTTAGAAAGACGTCTAAAAAATTGGCATCTATTAAACATAATGATTCTTTAACGTCTGCTGAAGATTTTGTAAAAAATACAACACTTAAAAAGAATAAAATGATTCAAAATAAAAATGTCAAGAACCAAATAGCTTCTTTTAAAAAAAGAAAACAATTTTCTGAATCGTTAGATGGTAATTGTTTATAAAGAAAAAAGATTTTAAGTATTAATATATTTTAGACTCTAGTTTGGATGATTCTTTTTCTTATACAAAAAGATTACGATCTAGGAGTATTAATAGTCATTCAAAAATACCTTCAATTCATCAACAAGCATCCTTAAAAACACCTAATTCTAATCGTATACATACGTCTTCTGTTGCAACTTCAATGATTTGCTCGAAAAAAACTGATCCACTTGTTCATTTAGATGAAATATTACCTTTATTAGAAAATACTATTCCACAAATGACTCATGAATCATTATTAAAACTAGAATCAATTTTATTTCATTTACAGCATACTGTATGGAAAACACGGAAGAAATCTATTGCAAAGATAGTATAAAAGTATTTATTTTTTACATTTTTAGCTACTTTCGATTTTCAGTGTGGACTTTTTCATATAACTTCTAAATATTGATTTTTTAAGCGTTATAGGATGAAGGGCGTATAACTCAGTTGGTAGAGTGCTCGCTTCGCGTGCGAGAAGTCTGGAGTTCGAATCTCCATTCGTCCATCGCTAATTTTTCCCTTTAAAGATTATGAATTTTTCTCTACTTAAAAGGTGGTGTGTGATTAGATTGACTATTTAAACTTAGCATTAGGTTTAGATATGTTTTTCGACGATTTTATGTAATATTTCAACAAAAAACAAATAACGTATATAAAAATACGCTTTGTCTTCCTCAAACTAAATTTTCTTTATGGCCTTTAAAAGGCTGTTTTGATTCAAAGGAATTTGAAATACTTACTCAAAGGCTTTATCAGTGGCAGGTATATTTTTATTGACATTTTTTTATGGAATTTATTAATTATTCTTTTTAGAAAACATATTTGCCACCAGAAAAAACATTTATTTTGCATGATGGACCTCCTTATGCAAATGGTACATTGCATTTGGGGCATGCTTTGAATAAGATTCTTAAGGATGTAATATTACGGATAAATATTATGAAAGGACGTCGTGTATCATATATTCCAGGATGGGATTGTCATGGATTACCAATAGAATTGAAGGTTTTAGAAGATAATGAACAACTTTCATTTTATAAATCGCCAATGATGATACGTAAGAAGGCAAGAGAATATGTATTGGAAACAATTAAGCATCAAAAAGAAAGTTTTAAAAGCTTTGGTATTATGGCTGATTGGGAGAAAAGTTATCATACATTAGGTTCGTAGATTATCTTTGATTGTTAATAGGAAATATGTTAATAATGAAAGATGTATCATATATAATTCAACAACTCGACATTTTTAAAAAAATGGTGGAAAAAGGTAAAATTTTTATTTTAAAGTTATTTTTTTTTTTTGAATAGTTGAAAGATCTCATTTATAGAAGATATAAGCCTGTATATTGGAGCCCATCTTCGAAAACAGCATTAGCTGATGCTGAATTAATATATAAAAATGATCATATAAGTCAAGCCATTTTTGTTAGATTTCCTTTAATTAATTTAGGTAAGATAATCTCTTTTCCTTTTTAATACTTAAATTTTAGGAAAATTATCTGCGATAATTAATATAAAAAATAAAAAACCTCTTTACGTTTTGATTTGGACAACAACTCCATGGACATTACCTGCTAATAAAGTCATTAAGAATTCTTTTTTTTTATTCTTATTTATTTATTTATATATATAGGCAATATTGATTGATAAAGATATGGAATATACAATTGTTAATACGACTCAATATGGAAACTTAATAGTTTCTCGTAATCGAGTCCCTCATTTACTTAAATTTATTAATATATCTGAAACATCTTTGCATTTTTTTGGTGAAGCATTATTAGGAGCAACATATTATAACCCTCTTGAGGAGAATTTTAAGGAGATGCCTTTTTTTCATACGAAGTATATTACTTCTGACTCAGGAACAGGATTGGTTCATGCAGCGCCTGGACATGGTATGGAAGATTATGAAGTTTGTATACAACATAATATTCCAATTTTTTCTCCTGTTGATGATCATGGTTGTTTTACTAAGGAGGCACTTAATGGAAAGTTAGAGTTTTTATTCGTATTAGAACATGGGAATAAAAAGGTTATTGAGTTATTGGAAAATCAGAAAATGTTGGTATCATTGGAGAAATATATTCACAAATATCCATATGATTGGAGAACTAAGAAACCGGTAATTCAGAGGGCAACTGCTCAATGGTTTGTCGATATTGAAAAAATTAAATATCAAACGATTAAAGCCCTTAAGAATGTTAAGATGATTCCGGAAAACGGTTTTTAATTACCTCCAATTGGCATTGATTAATGAGATTCAGGAAGGGAACGGCTTATTTCTTTTCTTCGATCAAGATCAGAATGGTGTATATCTCGTCAGAGGGCGTGGGGAGTTCCTATTCCTGTATTATATTCGTTAGAAAATGAAAAACCATTATTAACTGTTAAAAATATTAATCACATTATTAATATGGTTAAGAAATATGGTATGGATACATGGTGGCAAGATTCAGAGTCAGATATTTGGGTTGCTCCAGAATATAAAAAGGATGGTATAAGATATAAAAAGGGGATGGAAACAATGGATGTATGGTTTGATAGTGGTGTATCATGGAATGTTATCTTTAATAATAGAGACTACGATAATCTTAATTCGTAAGTTGGTAAATTTTATATTCCTTTTCTGAAAAAAAGATAGTGAAAAAGATAAACCACTTATAGATCTCGTTCTTGAGGGATCGGACCAGCATAGGGGATGGTTTCAGTCTCTTTTATTAACATTTGTTGCATCTCAGAATGATCATTCAAATATTGCTCCATATGGAACTGTTATAACACATGGACATGTTCTTGATCAATATAATCAGAAAATGTCGAAATCTATTGGCAATGTTATAAATCCGGAAAATATTATTTTTGGTGAAAAAGATATTAAAAAGGGACCAGCTTATGGAGTTGACGTTTTAAGGTTATGGGCTGTCGGAAATAATTTCACAAATGATATTAATATTAGTTCCCTGGTTTTGAAAAATGTTGCTGAAATACAACGGAAATTTCGTGCAACTTTAAGATTTCTTTTGGGAAATCTTCATGATTGGAATGGAGATAAAGTAGAATATAAGGATCTGAAAAAAGTATATGTTTTTATATTATTATATAGTTTATTAAAGATATTAGATTGATCAATATGCATTGGCTCAAACATATGAATTTAATCGCAAAACTATAGAGTTATATGATAAATTTCTGTTTTTTCAAGGTAATTTATTTTTTTTTTGGACTTGGATATTTTATAAACTTATAGTTGTTCATGCTATAACTAATTATACAAATAATCAACTTTCGTCATTTTATTTTGATATAATAAAGGATAGGCTCTATGCTGATCATCGTACGAGTAAAAGTAGGACTAGTTGTCAAACAGTTCTCTTTCATGTATAAATAACCTTTTATTTTTTTTTTTAAATTTTTTTAGATATTTCGAAATTATATATCAATAATTTCGCCTATAGCACCATCTCTTGCATTGGAAGCATGGAAGTTTTCCAGAAAAGAAATAATAGGAGAAATAGAGACACCTTTTCATTCAGGATGGTACAAATGTGAAGAAGAATGGCTAAATTTGGAATTGCAAAAAGAATTTCAGAATATAAAAACGATTAGATCAGCAAGTAATCTTATTTTAGAAAAAGCTAGAAAAAATAAGTATGATCTATATTTTAATGTAGTAGCTAATACTTTAAAGGTATATAAGAAGTTCTTTGGAATGTGAAATAATTATAAAGGCGCCTTTGAAAACACAGGCGTTTAATTTTTTAAAGAAAATAGGTTTTTTTTTTGTTTTTTTTAACTAATATTACTGACATTTAAAGAACATGAGTTATCACAAATACTTATCGTCTCTGATATTTCGGTAATTTCTATGGACTCTGAATTATTGAATCAAAAATGGGATGATTATCAAGAAATTACACTTTTTGGAAGCACTTGTCATTTAATAGCTAAACTTTCAGAAAAAAAAAAATGTTTACGCTGTTGGATGTATACAGCAACTATGAATGCAGATATATGCCATAGATGTAAAGAAGTAATGTTAAATAATTGAAATTATAAATAGTATTTAAAAAGTTTAATCAATATATATATTGTCATATTATAGACTATATGGCTTTCTATATTCATAGTATTATGTACTTGGATCATTATTATGAATTTCATCATTTAACTACGTTAAATGGTTTTTTCGACAAGTGTATTATTGGATAATTCAATGTTTGATAGTTTGCTTTCTTGAACAGGTGCTATAAACCATGGTATCTAAAAAGATTATTAAAAATAAATAAAAATATTGAAATGACTTTTCCGCGTATAAAATCATTAATTACCTATATTATAATTAAAATAAAATATATAAATTATTTAAGCTGACCATTTTTGCAATGCTTGATTCATCAGTTTCTCCACCTTTAAGTAGTTTTCCTGTTTTTTGAGCTAACAATTCTAGAAATTTTGTAGAATCGTTTTCCCATCCTGAAATTTGATAAGTTCTTTCAAGATGTTTAGTTTCACAAAGATTTAAGATAGCACGAATATACTGTTCCGGATTTGAGACTTTTTCTATTCGAAGAACACCTTTAATTATAATTTCTGTTTCACTATCATTGCTGTTTGGTGGTACAATACCAGGACAGTCAATCATAAATATCTTTGAAGTCATACGAACATATTGCCATACTTTTGTTTCACCTGGAATAGGCGCTGTATTACATACTTTCTAGATATCATTAATAGTTTTTCTAAATGAAATATAAATTTATACCTTAGATTTTAAAGTATTTATCACAGAAGATTTTCCAGTATTAGGATAACCAATAAATCCTACAGAAATTTGACGCCTATTGGAATGCAATTTTGAAAATTGCCGTAATAATTGAATAAGGCTACCTTTTCCAAATGGATTATTTATTGAGGCATGAAATGCTAAAGTAGGATATTCTTTTGACAATTGTTTAATCCATTCTCTCTAATTATAATATTAGAAAATATTTAGATTAATATGTAATATATATGTTTTGTAACTATGAAAGAAGAATCTTTAACTTAATTCAACTTTCAACTCAAAAAACACAATTGATTTATTTTATTATAAACCAATATCTTTTTCCCAAAGTTGTAACAGAAGCATAACAATAGAAACATTATAAATGCTTCTTGAAAACTTCTTGACTTACAATGGGTAAATTGTTTAAAATATTTATGATCAAAATTACTTACAGTACACCATGTCGGAATTAAATCGCATTTATTTAAAAGAAAAATCATATGTTTATGAGGTTTTTCTTTCTTGAGATATTCTTCAATATGTTTGCATCTAGTACCCAATGGATTACGGGCATCTAATAATTGTATTATCACATCAGATGAATCAATGACCTGAAATAATTATTATATAAATATTTTATTTTAAGGAATACTTTATAAAGCTCATTCCATATTCTTTTAGATGTTCCCTTTGAAAAAATTTTATCATACGATTTTTGAATATTTTTATTAACATTTTCATATTCGCAGTTTTTTTTAATATAATTTTCATATGATTCAGAAGCAAAATTTGAAAGATTTTCCATTGACGACGTATATAATTTCGTGCGTTTTCTTTTTGATTTTGGACCAAATGTATCATCAAAAGGTTCTACATCAATAATATTTGCTTTACGTGTCTAAAATTTCTTCAGTACTGTTTATATCTTGATAGACTATAATAAACTTTTGTAGGCTCTCTAAGAAGAGATACTGGAAGCTTATTCTGTCTAAGCAAAACTTTATAGGGATCATTTAATTTTTCTGTAAATGATTCACGAAACATATTCAGTACATCTTGAGAAATAACTCGTGTATTGTTAAACCAACGCCTATCTGGTTGTATTCTTGCGTCTGGTATATCTTTTGACTGAAATTCTCCAGGTTTAATTATTTTTCCCTTCTTATTTCTCTTAGCTTTTCCACTTTTTAAAAGTCTAACCCATTTGACTTTCTTTGCATCTCTAAAATCTTATTAAAAACTCAAAAAAAAACGCTGAAAAAACAATACCTATAAAAGTTCTCCCCCTTAATATGTTGAGATACTCTTTTTTCAATTTTAGGCCTTGCTTTATCCTCTTTTTTATTTTTTTCTTTTTTCATTTTTTTTTTGAAGTTCAAGATTTCGATAATAACCTCCAATTTTAAAATATTATGTTTTGATTTCTATTTATCTTAAAAATAGTCTTTTAACCTTAATATTTTACCAGAAAATGGGCCAAAATAACTTAGTTTTATTTAATACAACATCTTGTATTTATATCCTTAATTTTTCTTTGAAAGAGGATTTTTTAGGTACTTTTTTTCTCCCAACAATACGTCTTAGAATCGGAATTTCTGAGCCATTTATTGCTAGAAGCTCTTCTGATGGTCTTTATCATCTTATTTTCATTATATTTGTTTAGAATTGATAATTGGTAGGGAGATTTATTGCAATCTCTATGGATTTTGTTTATTTATATGATTTAAAGGACTCAGAAAAGGTCTTTGTTGTTCCAAACTCAGAAGTATGTATGTCTTTTTAGAGAAGCAATTTTATTTATTTTAAAGAATGTCAAACACTTTGTTTTTGGAGACAATTCTGATGAATTTTTTTTTATCAATGAAAAGGATCAAGTAATGAATTATAATATCAGGAATAATAAGATTTCTTCATTAGCGACTCAAAAAGTTAAAGATATATATTTTAAGATTTTAATTGACACTTTTTTAGAGACATCCTTCGCCTATAACATTTATGACAATATCAAAAGATTCTAGGTTTATTTTAACAGTTTCAGAAAATCCATCTATTATTTTTGTTCAGGATTGTAACACTGGATTAATGAATAAAATAATATCTGGTATGGCCTTTTCGGATGTTACTAACGCAGTTTTTCATCCTCAAAGATCTAATATTTTTTTTCTTCTTTTTTCTAATGGAGTACTTGGATTTTATGATGTTAAAAAACCTATGCAGCTTATATTTAAGATAAAAGATCTTTCTATTACATCTGCATCGTTTTTGCCGAATGAAAATTCATCTGCTATTTCTATTGATTTAAATGGACAAATTTCTATTATTGATTTTGAAAAAAGAAATGTTCAAGTAAAATGGTCAATAGATTTTTTTAGTGATTTGTTGTTTGTTAAAGAATTGAATGATGGGGGTTGGAATGTTTTTATTACATCTAATGAGAAATGCTTTTACTTTAATCAAGAAGGTCTAAAACTTTCTGAATATTCTTTCGATAATTCAGAAAAAATTATTCAAATTTCAACAGTATAATGATATTTGTTTAATTATGTTTATTAATTTTGACATTAGTTGGCAAATGATATACATATTTCTGAAAAATTTTCGGATATTGTTATTGAAAAATCAAATCTTAAAGTATCTAGATCATCATTTTCTACAAATATACAAGATTGTTCTCCAGGAGAAGAAATACAATCTTTAGACAATAAATTTTTGAATTCATTTTTTTTAGAGGACAATGTTTCGAAAAGTATAGTCGATGGAATTCATTCTGAGATTGAAAACAGTATTAGTTTTATTGAAATATTTCTTTTTAATATTAATTTTTTATTTAGAATTTCATAAAAACCAAAATAATATATGCAGTAAAAAGGAGTTGCATATTTCTGATACAAAAATATCAGGTAATAATTTATCAATTGTTTCAATTGGAAAAGGTATGTCTTTTCATTAATTAATTCTTTTAACTTTTAAAGAAAATATACCTCTTGAAAATTCTACTAAAAAAATATCTACAACAAATATGCTTGCAAAAGAATCTTCTACGCCTATTTTTTCTAATAACGTATTTTCACCGAGTAAGATTCATGAAATTCGGCCAGGATTCAAATTTGAAACTCCAAAAAGTTCTAAAAAAATACTCAAGTCTTCTACAAAACGTTTTGATAAACGGGATTTTCAGATAAATGAAACAGTTTCAGAGAAATTGTTTGAAAAACACATAGAAACGCCATCTACTACTGATATATGGCTTAAGTTTGAAACTAATCAAAATACAGATATTAAAACTCCTGCTCTAGATCGTTTGACATTAGGAAAACATGTTCAAAATTCAGAAATTGATGACTTGATAAAAACTTCTGATATATCATTCTCATCTTTCAAATCTCAAAAATCCGATGTATTTTTAACAAAAGAATTACAATCTAATTTAAAAAAATCTGATTTTTTTTCTGATAATATGTTGACATTTAAAGATATGCTTTTAGAGAGCCAAAAAGGAATACGTCAAGATATTCAGAATTTGCATGTTGAATTAATAAAACAATTTATGTTGCAAAAATTGGAATTTGAGAAGATATTGAAATTTAAGAATAAAGAAATTAAAAATTTAAAAAAAGAAAATAGGAAGCTTGCTCATGAATTAAGTGTATATAGAGGAGGTTGTCAATAAAGAACAATTTGAATATATGAATAATTTAACTTAATAAAATGTGATTTAGCGGTCTCATATTTTATATTAAAGAAAATAAATCATATCCATTGACCTTTTTGTATTAATGTCCAGAAATCCTTTTTCATTTTTATTAATTCATCATAGGTGCCTGTTTCAGCAATTCGTCCACTTTTTAACAATACAATTTTATCTGCCAGTTTCATCATTTCCTTAGAATGTGTTACAATGATAACAGTCATATTAGTAATATTTTTTATAATTTCTTGAATAGATGAAGCGCATAGTGAATCTAAAGAACTCGTACATTCGTCTAAAATAAGAATCCTTGGATTCCTAATAAATGCTCGTGCTAAGGAAACTCTTTGAGCTTGACCAGTAGATAGACCTCTTCCGTAATCACCTAGAATAGTATTATATCCATCGGGTAATTTTATAATAAAATCATCTATAGCTGCTTTTTGGGCAGCTTTTCGAACATCGGATATATTAAATGAATCTATACGTTTTTAATAGTGTATACAAGAAAATTTAAACAAATTAATCATTACCTAAGCCATATGCAATATTTTGTTCAATAGTCCGATTAAATAACATTGGAGTTTGTCTTACGACTGCAATATGATTTCTTAACCATTTAGTTTCAATAGATGATATATTATGCCCATTTATTGTAATAAACCCACTATGAGCTTGATATAATTTTTGAATCAATGAAATCATTGTAGATTTTCCTGAGCCGGATAAGCTAAAAACTATTTAGAAAGATTATAATATTAATTATAAAATATTTACCCTACTAATGCAATTTTTTCATTGTTTTCTATTTTTAAATTTATATTTTCTAGTACCTGAATATCAGAATGTCCAGGATAAGAAAAGAATATATTTTTAAATATAATTTCTCCATTTAAAGGAACAATTAATGAACCCTTGTTTTCAGTATTCTTTTCTGATATATTAAATAAATCGTTAACGCTTTCATATGCTTTTTTGACTTTATTATATTGAGGGACTTTAATTGTCAAATAATATAGTTAATAATTCAATACTCACCCATTGATAAAAATTGAGCAGCAGTAATAACAGAAAATATAATTAAAGAAAATATAGTTAATACAACAATAGGTGTATATGTCTTATTTAAAATAGATCTTGAACCATAGAAAAATAATAACGCTGTATTAATATTAGATTCTAAATCATGGAAATTAATGTCTAAACCTTCAAAAGAAAAAATAATAGATTCCATAATTCCATAACCAAATCCAATATAAATAGCTTTTCGAATACCTTTTACAAAAATTCTTTTTATTGATAACATAAATTTTTTCTGAAAAAAATTGTCAAGTAATAAAGCCTTAACAGTAAAAATATTCCCTGAAAACTATAAATGTTACAATAAGTATGATAAAAAGAAGAAAGTACTTCATATAAAATAGACATTGCATTGATATTTTCATCTTTATATTTATGGTCCCATTTGGTATTTAGATAAGAATTAAGTCGAATTGAAATATATAATAATGGCGCTACTCCAACTATTATAATGCTTAATTTCCATGCAATAACAAATGACCATATAACCCCTGCAAGTACCATAACAACGGCAACCAAAATATTTCCTGTAATCTGTCCAAAGATAGTTCTCATTAATTCTGTTTCATTAATTATGATTCTCGTAGTATTTTCACTAGAATATGTTCCTTCAGAAAAATAGTGGATATCTTGAAATAGAATATTTTTAAATAAGATAGAACGAATATTAGTTATCCAAGAATCGGCAGAATACTCAAGAAGATATATTTTTAAATAGAGAGTGAGTGAGTCAAAAAATGATACCCCTAAAATAATCATAGAATATTGTAATGATTTTCTTTTAATTTCTAATATACTTTTTGAAGAAAAAAATAATGCAAGAAGTTTAGAAAGTGTATATGAAAAAAGCGGAGTAGAGATACCATTTCCTATACAGAAAAGCAGACCTATGATAAAATACGTTTTTTTATTAATATAGCTCCAGTTATTTTTTAGTATATTCCACAATGATATATTTAGTCGAAAATATTTTTTTAGAAAACCATATTCTTTTTTACTTTTATAATTATTTATGTTTGAAGCTAATAAATTTCGGATATTAGTAGTATTTCTTCGGTTCCTTAATGTAATATTCCCAGAATTTAATAGAAATATTTCTTCCTTATTTAACTTTGTTTTTAAAGATTCATAAACAGCTTGATCCATCTGTGGTTTATCATTAGAAAATGATTCTATCGACATATTCTTTGATATGTTTCCGGGTGAGCTATGTATTCTTTCTGGAGAAATAGCATCAATTTTATCTCCTTTTTTTTGTGAATAAACATTAAAAAATGTCCCATTTTTGTCTTCTAGAAGATCATTTTTAAACCCTTTTTGAACTAGAAAACCGTCATTCATAACATATATATAATCTGATCCTTTTATTTGACTCATATCATGAGTAATAATAATAGTTGTTTTATTTTTGCGCCAAAATCTTATTGCGTCATAGATAAGAGAACGATTAATGTAATCAAGTGAACTAGTTGATTCATCTTATTATGTAAATAAACAAATAAAAATAGTGGAATATGATCTTACCAAGAATTAAAATAGGTGTATCCCTAAATCTTGCACGAGCTATTGCCACACGTTGCATCTGTCCATTACTTAATAACATTCCATTCATCCCAAGTCTGGTATCATATCCATCGGGAAGTTCATAAATCATTTCTTCAAGCAATGCCATTCTAGAGGCATTTTTTATTTCTGAAATATCTGTTAAATCTGGCGAAGGTTTTCCAAGAGTTATGTTTAGTTTTAGAGTTTCATTGAAAATTACAGGTTGTTCTATTAAAGTTACGTTATTTCGTACCCAATTTGTATTTAATAATCCAATATGTTTATTGTCTATATAAATGGAACCACTATCTGGTTTATAGATCTTAATTAGTAAAGCTGCTAAAGTACTCTTTCCTGATCCGCTAGACCCAACAATAAAAGTAGTTTTTCCGGCAGGAAAAACTAAGGAAACATCTTTTAATATTATTTTTTCTGGCCTTAATGGATATGCAAATGAAACCTATTTCTTTAGAATTTTTAAATACTACTAAGTAGATATTTTTACCAAATCATATACAATTTTTCCATGACATTTTTCTGGAAAAAGGCTACCCTGAAAAGAGTATGGACTTTTCTTGTTTTTTTCGTCTTTAAATATATTTTGTAAATCGTAACTTGCAATTATTCCACTTTTAAGATAAAGTAAAAGCTGAATAATTGTTTGCATTGAAAAAGATATCATGAGACATGCCCAAAAAACAGTTAATACGTTTCCAGAAGATACTTCGTTTGTGATAACTAAATGTGTTCCATACCAAAACCCTTGTATAAACATAACTAGGACAAAAAATCTAATAATACTTTGCTGTATAGAATATGTTTTTTTATAGAGACGTATAAAATTACTTGATTTTGATATATAGCTATCAAAATTCCGAGATTCATATTGTTGAGCATTAAATATTTTGACGATAGGCATATTTACAATCGCTTGATTAACATGGGTTGCTGCTCGGGTTAAAATCTCTTTTTCACGATATATATAAGGTCCAATGAAATAAGATGTAATGGCAGCAATTAAAATAACAACAGGAAGGGAAACTAAAATTGCAAATGTTAACTTCCAAGAATACCAAAAAGCAAGAAATAAAGAGATAACAAGTGTAATAAACGAGGATAACAATCTTCCAAGTACATTTGAGTGTGTATAATGCAAACTTTGAATATCTCTAGTAAAAATTAATAAAAAATATAATTTAGAAAATTCATACTTTTCACAACGATTAATAAGACCCGAAATACCAGTTCTGTTGCTGTCATACCATTCAAACTCTTTAGATGCAAAACTAGAAAATAGTTTTTTATAAACTCGTTTAATATAGATCTCTGCGAAAATATGCCATAATGACTGAAATAACCATCCTCCAATGAAAGAAGCTATTGCTAAAACCAAAAGATGAAGAATATATTGATCTATTTGACTTTTAAATTGTTTTTCTGTTATTTCTTTTAAAGAAATTAATGAAAAGGCATGAAAAAGTCTTCCTAATAAAAATGTCATGTATGGCTTAAAAAAGCCATTAATAATTGATATAATACAAGCAAAAAGAAGTAGAAATGCATCTTTTTTTTTAAGAAAAGCAAAAATATTTAAAAAACTAGCATTTTTTATAGCATTTCTGTAATTTTGCGCCGAATTTATAAAAGATGCTGAATTTTTTTCTAAATCAGAAGTTTGAACTTTTTTCATAAAAGTATTTAATACTATATTTTTTTAAAACATTTTATTTAATGATTTTGATTATAATATTATGTTTCTATTGTTTTCTCCAAAAATATTTATAATGTATAATTTTTTCAAAATATTCGAAAAAAAAAAAGATACACCTTAAAGAAATGTTTTTTTTAGAAAAAAAATATGCATAAAATGTTTAATTTAATATTTTTTTATTTTGTTTTATATGTTTCATAGATCCAATCATTAAGTCCATGTTGGTTGCGTGCAATTTCGAATGCGTAAAACTTTATTAATAATAAAAAATATCTAATAAAACGCAATGATTACCTGTATTCTAGGAACTGCATAGAAATCATTAGTTATTGTTTAAACATTGTACCTTTTTCACCAAAAATAGTAGTTTTTTCTTCATATTCTCCATGTGAATCTATTCTTAATAATGTACCAAAATTATAGTCTTCAATCTAAAATAATATCATTGGCATTTTTTATAATCATATTAATGCTTTATTAAACCTTATTTTCATAGATCATCATGAATTTACGCCATCTTGCTTTATTTTCAGAAGATTTTATTTTATTTTCATCAATTAAAGAAACTGATTCTTTTGATGCATATTCCTGAAATTCTCTTATAAAATGATTATATATTTCGTGATCTACCCTTAAACACCTGTTAATATTACATATATTATTTTTATATACAAAAACCTGGTAAGACGTAATGTGCTTCCTTTAGTTCTTGTTAATAATTTCCAATAGACTTCTAAGACAATATAAGAACAGAAGTATAAAAATAGAGGATAATACGAGCATGTTCAACAGCTTTTACCGCGAACTAAGTTCATTTTTTGAATATTTTATATAATATAAAAAATAATTTATTTAAACCTGTTTTTCTATCTATAAAAAGCGATTAAAAATGAAAAAAAAAGGAATATATATAATTCCTTACATCCTCAACATTTTCAATAAGATATTTTTCCGATTTTGAAGTCATTTTTCCTTTATTTTTTTTAATTTTTATTTAATTTCAAAAAGCTCGGTTGTATCTGAGAACTTGTCTGACGTCAAAAAAAAGAGATGAAAATATTTTAACTAAAATACATAATATTTTTTATAGATTCTATGATTTTTTCAGTGGGAATAAAATATATGAGGAGATGATAGATATTGTTGAAAACAAGGATTTAAATTTGGGAGAAAATAGAGATTTTTTAGCTTCAGAAAATTTAACTGTTAATTCTCAAAATGAGGAGGAAAAAGTAGATGAAAATGAAAATAAAAGTATTTATTTTGAGAAAAAAAGCGAAGAAGATAATGGATATGTACCTTTTTTTGCGAAAAAACCAAGAAGATCGAATAATCCTCTTCATATTTTGATTCAAGAATGTTCTCGACAAGTATGTCTTAATATTATAAGAAAAAGGGTATATATTTATTTTATGGATTAGTATATTGTGAATTTTTTGAGTAAAAAGTCGGAATCTTGTCAAAGACAACTTATTTCCGATTTTGATAAGCTTAAAGATGATTTGAAATTATTTTGTAATTACGATGTTCTCGAAAATGCAAAAGAATCTATAATTTCTCAGGTAAATATTATTTAGATTTGTTTTATGTTTTTTTTTATATTTTATTTCAGAATGAAAAATTCCAATATGAGGATATTAATTTGGATTCTGAGGTTAAAAGATATGAGTGTTTATAAAGGTTTTCTGATTATTAAAAGATAATAAATCTTCGTTTTGATGAGAAAGATGCTGTTATAAAGTCTTTTTCAGATGCTATTGATGAATTATATTATGAAAATAGTAAAAAATCTAAAGATGTTACAGAGGAATTGGATCTAGATAGTATCATCTTTTTTATTTATTTTTTTTTTCTTAATGAAGGTCTAGGTATAGATAAATCTTTGAGAATTTGGTATGAGCTTGCAGCATCAAATCACATAAAAGATGATACAAAATGTTTTTTAAAAAATGTTCCTCGTGAACCTAAAAATATGGAACAGAAACGGAATATGTCTCGTAACCGTCAACGTTCTCGTTATCGTGATAAGAAGTATTCAAAAAATGTAGAAAATTCTCATTCTATCCATTATAGTGATTCTCGCCGGGGAAGAGGACGAAAAGAAATGAGGGAAAAGTTCCGTAGTTTACAGAAGGATCACAGCAATACTAGTAATTGTTCTTTGTCTATTCAAAAGAATTCCAATGAAAATTCTCTTAATAATTCCGCTAATCTTATTCCCGGATATATTCATCCTAATTTTCATCATCCTGGTCTCCCATATAATAATTATGTACAACAGAATTATATAGGTAAAATAATGTTTATAAAAATATTTTTTAATGTAAAATAGATTATAATCATATTCAAATGTCTGCAAATCATACCTCTTATCCGGTACAATATAATAATGCATATTACAATTATATAAACCCCCAGAATGTTCAATATGGGGCACCGTTAATGAATAATCAATACCAGAAATTGAAAAATTATTCAGAAATTAATCAATCTAATATTCCTATAACTTGGAATTCTCAAGAAAATATCTCATTTACTTCAGATCAGCAAGGAAGACATCAGCATTTGCCTCTTCCTTCAGATTTTATGCTTGGACCGATCGATGGTGCAAGAATTGTAATGCCAGAACCTCATTATGTATTGGGTGTTATTAAAGGCATGGTTATTAGAGATGGACAAGGGAATTTTGGAATAAGGTTTAATATATTAAATTTCTTATAATTTTCTAACTTTAGATTATAGCAAATATTCATTTATTCCAATTTAAAGGCTATAAATCTCAGAATAATCTGAAAATTCGGAAATTATATATCTCATTAAAAAAGGTGTAATAACTGATTATACACAATTTTTTTGATATTGTACAAATGGTGTTTGAAATTAATGATTTTACATGATAGAAATTGTATATATAACCTAAATTGTATCATCTTTAGAAAACCTTTCTTTTTTTAAAGTAAAATTTGCTATAAGATTATTTATTGATCATTTATATTTTGTATAATATTTAGTATGAAATATTTGAAATGTCAGAGGTTTTTATTATAGAATAACAATTGATCATTTCCGAAATTAAGTATTTTTAAAAATTCATTTTTAAAAGACAAAAATTTTATCTAGTTTTGATCTTTATTATTGAGATATGTTTTATTCGTTTTTTCATGCTCTTTAGAAATTAGTATTTTTTTCCTCCTTTCCATCTCATCTATTATAATTGTTATTATATAAAGTACAAGATAATATTCTTACTCCACATGCATTGCATACTAAATTATAAATTAGAAAAAAATAATATATTATTTAAATTAACTTACATGTTCCAGGTCCATCTGGACCTCGACGCCTTAAAGGAGTTTCCGTAGTATTGCATATATTGCAGTTCCAATCTTTGGGAAAAACTATATGTTTTTTTTCAATTTTTTTTGAAATTATTGGTGATGTAGATTTATTGTTTGTAGATGACAATGTTGTTATATCGTTTTCGTCAATCTATGTGAAATTTAGTATTGTATTTAAAATATATATAAATACCGTTTTTCTTTTTTGTGGAAGTACTGATTTTTTATTTCTAGAAATTATGTTTATTTTTTCTTCTGATTCATTTTTAAATGTTTTTGTATCTGTAATTGTTATTCGATATTGAAAATATAATTTTTCTGAACGTTTCCCAATTAGAATTTTTGACATAGCCTCGCATACTTTTTCTTTATCATTTGAATATTTTGATATAAAATCCCATAATTTTTGACTACAAGAAGAAATTTTTAAAGTAATTGGTTGGAATTGAGATAGGGAATCTTCAATATATATAAATGATATAAGAACCTAAATTATAAATAAATTTTCTATTATACGAATTAATATTTACTTCAAATGGCTCTTTAGTATCTAATTTTTCGATTATAATATCCTTAGGAAGTATCCATTTTTCTCCTGGATTTTCTTTAAATTCAAAAATAATTTCTGCATCTTTATAATTATTATTTTTCTTTTGTTTTGTTTTTGTAACTTTTTTATTATTATTTTTGTTTTCTAAACATTTATTTTGAAAAACAGATGATATGGTTATTTTTTCGTTATAATTAGAAGGTATTTGCGATGATTGAGGTGATGTCATATATAAGTTAAATATTTTTTTTTGTTCAATTGTTGCTTTCCCTGTCATGATTAAATGTAATATTTCTTTAAAATCTGGATTTAATGGAACAATTTTCAGTCGTTCTATGGCTTTATCTGTTTTTTCTAGTTTTAAAGGATCATTTTTAAAGATTTCTAAAAAATATTTTTCAAAAAAATCTAAATATTTGATTTCTGGTGTAAATGTTGAATAATTAGCTATATTTTCTGATTTTATAACATTAATGTCATTATTGGCACTATTAAATGTGTCTTTATTTTTGCATGAAAACAATGTATCCGTATTTTCAAGCTGTCTTGTACCTTCTATATTCTCACATGATAGATTATTATCTGTTTTTGTAACATATTTTACTAAATAAAATACTGTTTCTGGAAAAGAAAAAAGTTCAATATGTAATGTAAAATTTCCAATTTTAGAAATTTTTTGTTTAATATTTGTCTTTTCTATTTCATCATCCTGTTTTTTAGAACAATAGTTTTTTGAAAATTTTTCAAATATCAATCCTTGAAGAAGTGCTTGTCGTGATTGAGAGATACATGATGCAAGAACACCACTAATATTTCATAAACACTATCTTTATAGAAATATATGAATACCTCTCCTCTATTGTCTTATATTTATCATTATTTTCTTCTGAAATCACCTGAGGTTTATTAAAAATAGGTAATCCAAATCCATTAAGTATTTTCTGTCTTAGAGAATTGTTTTTTTTCGAAAGAAAATCACATCCTGTTAAATCTTGAGTATTTGAGCTGTTTTCATGCATATTCTCTGCTTTTTTATTCTTTTTTATCTCGTAAATCTCTTATTCCTTATCTTTATTTGTCGTATAAATCACGTGATTCAGAAACTTTCTAACCACTATATAAAAATGGGTATTATAAGTAAAGGATATTACTTTGTTTTAGGCCTTTCTATTAGTTATATTATTTTTATTTTAGCTCTTTTAGTGCCTTTTATTCAAAGAAAGTGAGTTTTTCTGTGAAAATTGGATAAAAAACTGATATTTTAGTGTTTTTTATCTTCATAAAATAAGAAGTTGTTCAAAAGGAGATGTCTTGGAGCCAGAATTGCTTGGATTTTCATGTATGTTATTCTAAATAATTGTTTAACAACTGAGGAAACTTATTGGCAAAAAGTTCGAAGAGTTGATCCTTTTTTTTTGAAAACATCTGATAATGAAAATATTTTTGTTTGGCATGTTTTACCCTATAATGTTTATTATAAAAATCTTTTAAAATTGTCTGAATTTCAAGAGGGAGAAGAATTGCATGATTTTTTTATTTCCTTATTATCAAAAAGTCCTAAATCAAAGCTTATAATTTATTGTAATTAAGAAAATTCAATATTCATAATTATTTAATTAAATTTTAGTTCATGGTACTGCTTGTAATATAGCAGCTAGACATCGTTTGAGTTTTTATAGAATATTAACTTCTTTTGATGATGTACATGTTTTTGCTGTTGAATATAGAGGGTTTGGAAAATCATCAGGTGAACCAAGTGAGGATGGATTAATTGAAGATGGAGTTTCTGTTGTAAAATGGGCAATAGATGTAGCAAAGGTGAATCCATCATCTATATTTTTAGTAGGTCAAAGTCTTGGAACTGCTGTTGCAATTGGAGTTGCTGAAAAATTATCAACTTTAAAAAATCCTATATTTGTAGGTCATTTAGTATCAATTGCTGGTTTTTCTTCTATAAGATCTTTATTAACTACATATAAATTGGGAGGCTATTTTCCAATCTTGTCTCCCTTGAAAATGTATCCTGGTATAAGAAAGCTTATTTTTAAATTTTTATATCATCCTTGGAATTCATTAGAAAGAATTCAAGTTTTTTCAAAAATATCTGAGAAAAGTGGCACTAAAATATTGTTTATTCATTCAAAAGATGATAGTCATATTGATTTTTATCATTCTTTTGAACTTTTTGTTGCTGCTGTTAATGCAACTGTTACTCGAGAAAATCAAACATGGAGGGATCTGGTCACCTTAAAAGAAAAGAAAGGTGAAGTATCTATTGTATCTAATCATGATAATGAAAGAATTACATATTTGCAGGTTGCATGGGGTGGTAAGTTTTAAAAAAATTAAAAAAATGCTTTTTTCTCATTCTTTAAAGATCATAATCAAATTATCCTTCATGATACTGTTATTTCTAGGCTAATTCATCCGCCAAGTTAGCTAAAATAGGATTTAATATATCTTGTATTTTTTTATTCTTTCAAAATATTTAAAATTTATTTTTGTCATTTTTTTCATTAGAAGTATATATTAATTTACATATAAAGATATTTATTTTAAATATATATATTCATTTATACATTAATCTCTATTAGATATAATTTTTGAGTGTTTTTTGGTCTTTTTTATAGAGTAAGAGATTTCGAAAATTTGAAATTTTTAGATTATATTTAATTTTTAAAAATTATGGTAAAAATCTGTTTAAATCTTATTAATAAATTCTAAATACTGTTAATAGATTAATAATAAAAACTATATTTTTTTATTTTTTGTATCAAAACGTTTGAATTTTGTTTTAAAAAGATGTTTTTTTTGTTCTACAAATATTAAATCTTCTATTTCTCGGAATAAAATAAGAAATACAAGTCCTGGGTCCCACAATTATGTTCCTGGTGTTAAAGGATATGCGCCTGATATTTATCCTCCAAGAAAAATTAGTTTTGAATGTAAAAAAAAACCGAAATATCCTGATTTGCATAAAACAGTTGCTGAACCAAGATTAAAAAACGAAACAAATACATGGAGATCCAAAATGAAAGAATTAAGACGTAGATATTTGACAGAATATGTTATGGAACAAAAAAAAAAGGACTTAGAGAAAATGCAGGAAAAAGAAAAGATAAATGAGATGATTAAAGCAGAGAAATTAACTCTTTGTTCAGAAAAACATCATAGATATTCTATACCGACAATTAAATCATTAATTGAAGATGAATATCCAATTGCTGATTCAAATAAATTGGAACGAATGAAACAAAAAAGAAATAATTATGAAATAACGAAAGATAAAGATAAAATAGAACGATTACGTCATTTTCTTACTTTGTATTCTCATTCCGAAAACTTTATTTCTTCTATGGAGGAATTAGATGATGCTGTGAATAAATCTTTTCAAGAAATTCCTACTGGATCTCCGCCAAGTTACAGTATTCAGTTTTTATATGATAAAAAAGAAAATTCCTTTTTGAATAGTAAGGATTCAGTGCATCCAGAGATTTTTGATGCGCTTTTAGGGACAGTTGATGGAGGCAAATTAGGACCAGATGAACTCATAAAACTTAGTAAAATACAAAATGGGGAAAAATCGAATATTGAAAATTAATATAATATTAAATATCTATACCAACACTTGTTTATATTTTGAATTTATACAATAAAATGATGTACATAAAAAAAAGATATAAATCTTTTAAAGAAGTATCTTTCATTATAATTTTTTTAGTGATAATATTTTAATCTATTAAGTAACAATCGTTAATTAATAGGGCACAAATGATATTTCACTATAACATAACAATACCTATAGAAGATCCATTTTTAACATCTAGTTCTCCTGTTTCTGTTATACCGGAATTTATATATTTTGCACGATAATTGAATAAATAATAATTTAGTTTCCCGTCTCCTGGACCAAATTTTTGATTTTCAAGGAAAAATGGGTTATCCATTAGTGTCAGTGCATTAAAAACGTCGAAATTAAACTATAAAAATATTAAAAAAGTAATTAAAAGAAAAAGTTGATGCATTTTTTGCAATAATTAAGCAGTCTTTCATTAAAAGATTTAATCTATCGACATATGTTTTAAATTCAATTTGATTCATATTTTTTTTAACACCGCATTCTAATGCATAATAAAATAGATATGCTGCATTAAGAGTTTTGTACTTTGTATTTGAAATAATACTAGAAGGGAGAGAATAAAATGAAAAAAAATCGGTTATTTTTCCTGTTGAAGGATCCTTTTATATTATTAAAATATGTTAAGATATAGTTAAAAAATACTTCAACAACATATGAAAAGAGTGTTTTTCCATCTTCGTTTTCTTCCTTACTTGGAATAAGCCAATGTTTTATTTCATCGTCAGAAAACATTTGAGAAAGGTCAAATTTTTTTAAAAAAGATTTTAATAATTTTGAGATTTGTTCAAGATCATCAATTGTTGCAGGCCTTAAACCAGGAGTTGATGTGTCTTGTGGAAGTTTAAATTTTTGAATTTGTCGTGTTATTGTAGAGTCTCTAGGTAAGGGAGAAAATCCTATATTATATAATTTTTGCCAATTAAGACTGCGATGATAATATTGGCATGAAGATATAGGACTAGGAAGTATAATTCCTGCTGTATATATGGCCTGCCAAATGCCTAAAAGATTACAGCGCCTAGTTATTTCTTTTATTAAAATAGGTGCTAATCTTTTTGATCTAAGTTTCTTATGTATACATAGAAAGTTTATTTCGCTGCAGTTTATAATATGATCTCTGATACGTAGAGAAATAGGTATTCCTGAAATAAAAGCAACTAGTTTTTGAGATGCACTGACACGTACTCCAACATGCCAGTTTTTATAAAATCCAGGTGGTTTCATTGCCCTAAATTATTTAGAAAAAAAAAGACATATAATATGAAAAAAAACCATGTTAAAAATGATGTTGAGTAATCAAATCGAAACATTGAATCATCATCTTCAACGTAATTATTTGTAAGAAGTTGGTATAGCTCTGTTAACTGAATAATTTATAAAACGTGAAATTTTTTATATGAATTGCATACCTCTTTTCTATCATCAAGATCTAGAGTAGTCCATTCGAACTCTTTTAAAAGCATATATGGCTCTTTATTAACTTTTTCAAGATCTTTACTATCATCAATAGGACCTTCTTTTGTAATTTTCTCATCTATAAAGAGTTAGTCTGTAAATGCCACTTTTAATTCTTAGATATTACCAAAAGAAGATACTGGTTGTGTATTCCAAAATTTATAGTCGTCCATCTTTTTTTTTGTAGGTTTTAGTGAGAGTTCACTTAATAATTCAGAAACTTTTATTTGTTTTAACATTTTTTTAGGTGTAGTTAGTTCTTCTGCATCTCGATGACAATTTTCTTGCAACTTTGCTGAACTATTAGACAAATTTTGTTCATTAGATGTACCAAAAGATTTGTTATCAGTGTTCCATAAATATTGAAAATTTTTACATTTCTATAGTTGTTTAATCTTATCCAAGAAAATTATGATTATTCTTGTACTTTTTTTTTTTGTATTGCACATTGTTCTTTATAACATGGTGTTTCTTTAGATGTTTTGTTATTTGATTGATTATTCTCCATTCTAGTTTTTTTTTTTGAAAAAAGAACTGACAAATTCCAAAAATATAAGAGATATTACTTAATATAAATCCTTAAGGATATTTTATTTATATTTTTTACTTATATATATATATTGATGTAGTTTTAAAATTTGAATCTTAAAAAAAATCAAAAAAAAGATTTCTTAGTCAAAAATTATCCTTTTTTTTCGTTGAAAAAAATATATCATATAATAAAGCCTCTATAGAGACTTATTAAATGTTCTTTAAGACGAAAATAGTATTTATTCTCTATATTTTTTGTTTTTATTTTTTTTTGAAGTTAGGTCGATAGTAAAGGCTCTGTACTGACCTATGCGATGTTTGAAAAAAAGCAGAAAAAATAAAGTTTAGCGTTTTGATTAAGAAGGCATATAATTATGCTTAGAAAAGTACTTTAGTGCTTCTTTTGAACGCTATTAATAAGTTTTTTTGCTTTTTTTCTGAAAAAAATGGAAAATATTCAAGAAGTTCCAAATGAACAGGAATTGGAAACATGGGAGGAAAAAGAATTATATATGATTGAGATGTTGCATAGTTTGACACTTAAGGTGAAGGTAAAGAAGATGGAAGCTAAACTTTATCGAAAGCGGGAGTTTGTATGTTTTTTTTAAGTGATATTTTTTGTTTTAATATGTTTAGGATTTGCAACATTATTTATCAAATACCCCATGTGAAGATCTATCTCAGTGTGAATGGCAATTATCTTTGTTAAAGTTGATGAAACTTCGTCAGAAGAATGGTTTTTTTTTTTTTTTTATTGTTTGTAATTGATTAATTTTGTAGATCAAATTTGTCAGGAGATTAAATGGTATCAAGGTCAGATAGACACATGGAAAGCAGAATTGTCAGACCTGAGGCTTCATAAATGTTCTTTTTGTTTTTTTTTTTATTATTTTCCTTTAATTTTTATTAGTAAAATCTCGAGGTTTTATGCAATGGCTTAAACATCTCTCTGATAAGTCACCGTTTATGTGTAGGAAATACCGTTCACAAACGGAGGTTTGTTTCTATGTCTTTTATTATTCTAACTTCAATAGCTTCCTGGAATTACTGGAATCTGATTTTTTTTTGTATTGCTTTTTTTTTGGAAATTATATCTTTTTATGTCATTTGTTTGATTTTTATTATTTAATGATGAGTTGAAAATTGCATTAAAGTTTTCAAAAAGTATTTGAATTTGGTATATTTTAAATGTTTTTTTAATGATTAATGAAATAAGTTTTTTAGTAAGCAATCATTCTTAGATATATGAAAAAAAAACGAATTTGATGCTGTTTCATAATGGAATTTTTGTGTTTTAAATGTTTTTTGTGATTAAAATAATTTATTTTTTTTTTATAAATGTGATTTTGTATATTTCATGATTAACGTTTGAAAAAATATAATAGTAAAATATATCTATTATATTATAGCATTTATTGATAACTGGTAATTCCCTATAGATGTTTTATTTTCTTTTGAATATTTGAGAAGTTGATTATAAGCTTTTATTATTTTTTAAATTTGAGTTTAATCTTTTTTTTTCTAAGAATTTAATGATAATTCATATATATTTAAACATCAATTTCCTGTTCAATTATTGTTTTTTAATTAAAATAAATATGTTTTTTAATTTTTAAAATTTTCATTTTGAAGATATAATTTATATTAAAATATTAAATATATTTAGAACTTTTATCAAAATTAAGAAAAATGTTATAAATTTTTTAAATAATTAAAAAATGAAAATATTTTATTACAATTCAATTTCACTTTAAATGTTAAAATATTCATTTTTAATATAATTTATCTTAATATTTTAAATTTCAAAGAAAATATAGTTTTCTATTTTAAAATATTTGAAAATTTTAGAATTATTCAAATTTTTCTATTCAATTCTCCAATTCACTTTATTTTGAGAAAAGTATACTCTTAAAAACTAAATCAATCATTTTATTTAATTTTTATACATTTTTAAAACTTTAATTTTAATCATAATTTAAAAAACTGATTATATCTTTAATAATACTTAAAATTTAAAACTAAATACAAACTTAATTTTAAAAAAATACTTTATGAGTTCTAAAGATAGAAATAAATATAGAAAAATATTTAATTTTCTCTAGGCAATCTCACATGTCGATATATTATATATATATATATCTTTTTGACCTTTAAAAAATTAATTAATTATGGGATCATACAACTCTAGATGATCTTTGAAATATTTTAAACATTTCTATATTTTTTTCAGAAAAAAAAAAGACTATAAAATGGCTTTTCATTCATATAAAGTTTGTTATTAAGAATTTTAATAATTATTATAATTTTGATGAATAAAGGATGCTATAAGAGCTTTAAATACACTTCAAACGAATTCTAAAGTGCTTAAAACTATAGAAAAATCTAAAAAAATATTAAAAAGTGAATCATTATCACAAATGATTGAATGGTTAGATAGAATAAGATATAAGGTAAAAGAGACGACATAAGAGTTAAAAATTATAAAAAAAAAGTCATAGATTAATGACATTGAAAAATTAAATGTTATTCACGTTACTGGAACTAAAGGAAAAGGATCTACATGTGCATTTGTGTCATCTATCTTAGAAGAATTTCGATCTCGGTATGGGAAACCATTTAAAACGGGATTATATACGTCACCACATTTAATATCTGTAAGAGAGAGAATTAGAATTAATGGAATTCCTATTTCAGAAGAATTGTTTACAAAATATTTTTTTGAAGTTTGGAACCGTTTAGAAGAAACAGCTATTTCTAAGAGATTGGATCCAAAGATTAAACCATCCTATTTTGTTTATTTGACGCTTATGTCATGGCATGTATTTATTTCAGAGAAAGTGGATACTTTAATTATGGAAGCAGGTATTGGAGGAGAATATGATTCTACAAATATTATTCAGCGTCCTACTGTAACAGGTATTACTAGTTTAGGGATAGATCATGTTTCAGTATTGGGTGATACTATTGAAAAAATTTCATGGAACAAAGCAGGGATATTTAAAGAAGGTGTACCTGCGCTAACTGTTCAACAACCGATAGAGGCTTTAAACATATTAAAAAAAAGAGCTTTTGAGCGCAAGGTAGGTTTTATTTCCTTTAAAAAGTATACTAAAAATAAAGTCACCATTTTCCGTTATTAATGTTAGTTCGGATTTAAAAAAAATTAAACTTGGTTTATCTGCTGATTTTCAATATATTAATGCGTCACTTGCACTTTCACTTGTTTCTCATCATTTATTTCGTTTAAATATTTTAGATGAAAATATTTCATCTGGAATATCTGATAGTATAAAAGCAGGCCTTGAAAAAGCTTCATGGCCTGGAAGATGTCAATTGTACAAAGAAAATAATATCTCTTGGTATTTAGATGGTGCTCATACACTTGAAAGTATAAAAGAAGCTGTTATTTGGTATACAAATTCTATATTTTTGTCAAATAATTCTTCTAAAAAGTCTATTTTGATATTTAATCAACAAACTCGAAATGCTATAATGTTATTAGACTGTTTATATAATCAAATGATGCAAAAGAAAACGTGTAAAAATCCTTTTGATATAATAATATTTTCAACGAATCTCACTTGGAAAGATGGAACGTATAGTCAAGGTAATCTTTATTATACTTTTTACACTTTTATAAAGATTTAGATTTGATAAATCTTAATTATTCTATTGAGGAATCCAAAAGCCTCAAATTGCAGTATAATTTAAAAGATCATTGGATCAAATTAGATAGTTATGCATCTATCAATATTGCAAAAAGTATAGAGGATTCTGTAAATATAGTTCGTTCTCATGCTTCTTTCTCTGATGTTAATGTATTCGTTACTGGTAGTTTGCATCTAATCGGGGGGCTTTTAACAGTTCTTAATGTTCCAGTGTCCTAATTAAAATTTGTTATATAAGATATCATTTAGTTTTTAGTTACATATTTTTATAGTTTTTTGCACAAATATAGGGTCAATTTTTAGGGAATTGAGTATTAAAAAGAAGTATGCATATTTCATGGTTTTTTTTATTATGAAATTAATTACTTTATAATTAGATGAATTTTTAATTCGATTGAAATTATATTTAGTTTTCAACAATATACTAGAAATCCAATTAACATATATAAAATAATACAACTTATTATGGAATACTAGCTATATGTCATGTTTTTATCATTAAGTGATTAAATTATATTTATTAATCTTTTAGACATTCTTTTTTAAAAAAATAAGGGAATATAAAATTATTTATAAATTAATTATTTTTGGAATATAATAAATAATGATTAACGAATTGATTACTTATGCTTTTTTAGAATCTATTGATTATAATTAGGTTTTTTAATATTTTATTAAATTTAATCAGGTATATTAAAATATTTATTTTTTTTTAAAAATTTCTATCTGATGAAGTTTATTAAAAAATATCAACTAGAAGCTGTTTCTGAATATATGATTAATTTAATAAATACTGATTTTTAGAAATTTTAAAATTTTTAAAAATAAATATTTAGAATTATACTGATTAATAAACAGGAAATTGTTCTATTATGAAAAATTATCAACATAGAAAAATATTTATTTTTAATTATTTTTTAAAAAATTAAAATTATATCTATTATATAAAAAACTTTATAAAACTAAGTGTATTATTGTAGCTTTAAAATACACAATTCATAAAATTTAATATTTATCGACTTTTAAAAAATATTAACATGAAATAAATTGACTTATTAAAAATTATTTATACAAGCAAAAATACGAAAAATAATCATAAAACAATATTTTTTTGTCTTTTTAATTTAATTTACAAAGCGAATAAAAGGTATATAAAAAAATAAAAATAAAAAAACTAATAACAAATAATGATATATCATATCTTAAAAAAATTATTTAATGATAAAGCTTTGCCGTTGTTTCTTTTTTCTTACGAATAAAACGTGTTGCTAATAACAAACTAATAAAAGAAACAAGGCTAAACACACACGAGAGCCATAAAAAGAAAAAACCCTTTAGACCCTCCTCGCTCTTGACTTTAAGATAACTTGCTTTATCTCGAATTAAGGAGTTTAATTCGAGATATTGACCAGTTACGAGGCCTGATCCTAAAATCTGAACAAGTGTCGTAACGCCAGAAAGAACAGAAGTAAATACTGCTGTTGATCCAGCCAAAGTAACTATAACTACAAAAACAAATGTCGAGAATGACAAAATCATTCCGAGAACAAGTAGTGCAAGTGCACTAACAAAAACATCAGTATAAAAATTATATTAAATATTCAAAATTTGTTTAATTTTTGAATACAAAAAACTTACCTGTAACTAGTAATTTGAAGCCTTTTATGATAAGAGCTAGAACCAGAAGGAATCATAACCCTGGCATTTCTTTTAAGCCTAGCCTTCAACAATCTTACTGAATTGAAGTAATAATCAAATCTAGGCTTGGAACAATAAACAAACTTCATATCACTATTAGATTCACAGTGGTTCCATAGATAAACGTAGTAATAGTTAGTCAATCTAAGGAAATTAATAAAAAATAGATTTTAAACAATTAAAGGATTCTGTGAGTATTGCACTCATCCCAGACATAAAATCCCATTCCAGACATATAAAACTCCATTCCATAAACATTAAATTCCTTTTCCTCCTATTCTCCGCCTATAGAAACACATATCCATCTATATTTCTCCATTTAAACACTTACCCGACACTATTTGCTGGCGTAGAACCTTCATTATGAGGAACACCTTCATGTTGTGCGAAATCCGTTGCATCAATCTACATAATTCCTGTTAATCCATCTCAAAAATCCTCACTTATATTATACTTTAAAGACGTAATTATGATCTAAATAAGGATTACGTCTTACACCGGCAAATATCGTAAAAGAAATTGAAACAAGTGCAACTGAAATAGCCAACAACGGCAAGGCCGTCCGAAAGAAACGTATTGCCCAAACACCCATTTCTAAATTCAATAATTTTCTTGACTCCTTTTTTCTCGTATAAATATTAAACTATTTTCCGGGAGTTTCTTCAAAATTAAAGATATATGATACTGCATACTTGTTAAAAGATATTAAAAAAGAGAGTTTATGAGGGTTAAACTCTATATTTTCATGGACGCAACAGCGTATAAAATAAAAAAATTCCTAAGACTCCGAATCCGGTGTGAGAAAAGATGTCTAGTGACAGTAACCGAAGAAAAAAACGCGTATCGAGTAGGTCAGAGCACAACGACAATAACTACAAAAAAAACGAGAAATCAAAAAAGAGATAATTAAAGAAATTTATAAGGAAAGATAATAGAAGATTAAGAAAGAGAAGAGTAAAGTTAGTTAGGAAGGTTTTTGAAGGAAAATTTTTGGATGAAAAATGATGAAAAAATAGGGGAGTTTATATCAGGAGGAGAAACGTCTATGTCTAAAGTTTTGAGAGAAAAAAGAGTGTGTTTAAAACACATTAGACTAAGAAAGCAGCGATATCGGAGGAACTGAGGGCTTTTATTGAAAAAAAAACGGAAAAATTCTATAAAAAAGATGGGGCAGATACAAAGTCGAAAAGAAGAAGAAAAAATAGATACAATAGGATTTTCAAGTAGGTTTGATAGTAAAGGAGTAGAAGGATTATGTAAAGGAGGCCAAGGGATTAATAGAGTTCAAAAGAGTTTATCTTTAAGGAGTTATGAAGGAGGAAAGAAGGATAAGATGAAAAATACAGAAGGAATAGTGGAAGCGGTAGAAAAAACAATGGAAAATTTAAAATTAAAAGAAACATCATTAGATGAACAAATTTTTGAAAAAGGATCGGAACATGAATTGTCAGAACGTGCAGCAACAATTGGTGCATCAGCAACGGATGCCTTACCATTTAAAAATCATGCGCATACTAGGGGCTCTATACCATTTTCTTTCTTTGAGAATATTAAAACAAAGAAGAATAATGGTCAAGATAAGGAAAACCAAGTGAATCACCAACTTTTAGAAACATCAATTACCCAACCATCATTATCTATTCTTCAGCCAAAAGATACCATCCTTATAAAACGTGAACGAGATTCTATTTCGGATACAATAACTCCGGTTAATTCTTTAAATCTTAATATGGAAACATCATCTACATTTATGTTTTTTCCTTCTTCATATTTATCATTTAAGAATCTGGATGTAGATGATATGATACAAAGACTATTGGATGCAGGATATTCTGGGAAAGTTACAAAAGCAATATGTCTTAAGAATGCAGAGGTTTTTGCTATTTGCCAAGCAGCACGTGAAATATTTTTATCTCAACCTTCTTTATTAGAACTTACTCCTCCTGTTAAAATTGTTGGAGATGTTCATGGTCAATATGCAGATTTGATTCGTTTGTTTGAAATGTCCGGATTCCCACCATCTGCAAATTATTTATTTCTTGGAGATTATGTAGACCGAGGAAAACAAAGCCTTGAAACAATCTTATTATTATTATGTTATAAAATTAAATATCCAGATAATTTTTTTCTTTTAAGAGGAAATCACGAATGTGCTAATGTTACAAGGGGTACTTATATTAGCTTTTGGCATATTTTTATCATTGCTAATGATATTTAGTTTATGGCTTCTATGATGAATGCAAACGAAGATGTAACATTAAAATTTGGAAGACATTCATTGACGTCTTCAATACTTTACCAATAGCATCAATTGTTGCTTCAAAAATATTTTGTGTACATGGAGGATTATCTCCCTCACTTTCATATATGGATGAAATTCGACAACTTGAGCGGCCTACCGATGTTCCTGATTATGGCTTACTTAATGATCTTTTATGGTCTGATCCTACAGAAACAACGAGTGGGTGGGAAGATAATGAGCGTGGCGTAAGTTATTGTTTTGGAAAAAACGTTATTCAGCAATTTCTTCAAAAACACGATTTCGATCTAATATGTCGGGCACATATGGTTGTAGAAGATGGATATGAGTTTTTTAATGAGCGTACATTAGTTACTATATTTTCAGCGCCAAATTATTGTGGGGAATTTGTATATTTAAATTAATTATTATTATTATTATTCATGTTATTTTATAGGATAATTTTGGCGCAGTAATGTCTGTTTCAGAAGAACTTTTATGTTCATTCGAATTGTTAAAACCATTAGATTCTCATCAGTTGAAACGAAAAATGAAAAAAAGTCGCCGGAATGGGTATTTTTATTTCTTTTTTTATTTCTTAAAGACCTTGTCTCTAATAATTTATATAGTTCACATATTCACTTATCTCCTCCTGCACATCAATACCCTCAGTCGTTTTAATTCGTGTATCTCTTTATTATACTTACTATTTTTTATCGTTCTTTATTGTATTCATGAAAAATTAAGGTTAGTTTTAATAGCATCAAAAGTTACTGTATACAGTTTTTGCACCTGCTCCTAACTTTTGAAAGGAATTATTGATTTTATAACAATTTGGTTTTTATTAATTTACACATGTATATACTTTTTACTTGCATAACAGATACATGTCAATTATAAACTATTTTATTTTTCATCTTTTTTCCTTGAAATGACTTATATATTCTCCTTTGAAATACCATATTACTCTAATATTCTGATTAATTAGATCATAAGAAACTAATATGATTTTATCGAGTTTTTAACTACATAAAAATCTTTAGCATATCAAAAATATTAAATGCAGAAATCTTCAGAAAATACAGAGAAAATAGCCTGGAAACCTTCATCTTGGAGATACAAGCATATAAAACAAAATGTAATATATGAAAATCAAGATGCACTTAAAATGGTGAGTCTAATTGAATTATAAAAACATATAACTAATTAAAGACTGTAAATAAATTGAGGTCATTGCCACCACTAGTTCATTTTCAAGAGGTATTTTTATTATAAAGTCTTTTTTATTATTTACATTTAGATTTTGCAATTAAAAAAACAACTTAAAAATGTTGCACTTCATAAATCTTTCTTATTCCAAGGAGGAGATTGTGCAGAATCTTTTAATGCATGCACTTCTGTAATATGGAATATTCTATCGATAGTTTTGTGACTTTTGAAGGATTTAATTGATTCCAAGTTAAAAGTTATTCTTCAAATGAGTATTATTTTGATTTTAAGTATTTTTTTGGAATAAATAGGCTTTTCTTACATAAAAAGACATTAATATTCCTGTTGTAAATATAGCTCGTATAGCAGGTCAATTCTCAAAGTATTTGATGCATTTTTATATGATAAAATCTTATAATTTGTAAGACCAAGATCAAAGTCTACAGAAATTATAAACGGAAAAGAAGTATTATGTTTTAGAGGGGAATGTATCAATGGTTACTCTTCAGATGAGCGAAAACCGGATCCAGAAAGGATGTTAAAGGCATATTTTCATTCTTCAACAACTCTTAATTATATACGTTTGCTCTCATCTTCTAGAGAAGACGGTTTATATACACTATTAGAGTCAGATTATTCTTTTCTTCTGGATAATAATTTAGGGAAAGAATGTTTTACAAACATTAAATCCTTTGATTTGTCAAATTTAAAAAAAATAAACGGATTAGATAGCAATTTTTTATTAAAAAAACCATATATTTTTACAAGTCACGAAGTATAATATATATATTGGTTACTTTAATGATTGATATAAGCTCTAGGGCCTATTGTTGGAGTATGAAGAATGTATGACACGAAAAATAAGAGATCCTGAAACAAATGAAGAAAAATGGTGGAATTTAGGAGCTCATTTTTTATGGATAGGTGATAGAACAAGAGACATTGATGGTGCACATGTGGAATATTTTAGAGGCATTGAAAATCCAATAGGTTATTAGAAAAGCCGCAAAAAATAAATTAAACTAAATATAGGCATTAAAATTGGCCCAACATTGAAACCTGATGAATTAGTCAGATTATTAGATATTGTAGATCCTAATAAAGAATTAGGGAAAGTTACTTTGATATTCAGATATGGTTATGATAAGGTATATTAAAAATCAATTCTTACATAATAATAGTTTTAGATTAAAACATATTTTCCACAACATATTAAAGCAATTCAATCTTCAGATCATAAAGTTATATTCGTATGTGATCCAATGCATGGTATAACTTTTTTAGTTAATTGCGAATTTTAATATTAACTAGGAAACACATTATTTTCTACTGAATATCCTAGTTATAAAACAAGGAAATTTTCTCATATTTTACTTGAACTTAAATTATGTTTTAATATCTGTAAAGCTTATGGTTCTCACTTAGATGGTGTTCATTTTGAATTAACTGGAGAAGAAGTAACTGAATGCTTAGGAGGTAGTATGCAACTTGAAGATAAAGATCTTCCCAAGACATATAAGACACTCTGTGATCCAAGGTAATTGTAAAGATAATAATATTTAGATTTAATCTTTTTTTTAAGACTCAACTATAAACAAAGTTTAGAAATAGCATTCTTAATTGCAAAATATTGGAAAAAATATCAAGATCCAGCTTCATCTGCATAAAATGTAATTTTTTAATATAACAATCTATTATTGTATATATTTACACATTTCTAAATAATAAATGTTTTTTTTATAATCAACAAGGTAAAATATCACTAAAGGTTTAATGACTACATATCTATTTGTTAGAATTCAAACTATAAAAATGCTAAAAAATAAACCCATGTTAGAAATAACAAAGAATTTCATATGGTATTATATATATAAACACATGCCAATACATGACCTATATAATTGTAATCAATAGCATCATGCATACATTTTGGATTTTGCTCTAGTGCTTCCGGAATGCGCTGAATCAGAATGCGAATAAAATTCAATCATTTCCTTATCTGGTATTTTCATTGCTTCTCTAAACCGTTTCCTACATTTGATTATATATATTTTTCTTTCTATATATCTCAACATACCCAATAGCTCTTAAAACCTCTTCATTACTTGTTGATCGAGTCCAAAGACCCAAGCGTACAAATCCTTTTCGAATATTCACTACCACGCCCATCACCTCATTATCCCCTTCATTTTCTAGTGTTTCTCCAATCGCTGCTAGCATCTAATTTTGTTAAGCATATATAACTAAATATATCTACCTACAATATGCAACCATAATTCATCGATATTGACAGATCTTCTATCTCTATTATTATATGACCATCTTCCACCCCTTTGATTCTGCTTATCTTCCCATTCAGGCCTAACTCCTGTTTTGAACAAATGGTAATCACTTTTGGGTGGCAATTGCGATGCTTTAGCAATGTTATTATAAATCCTAACCCTAACTTAGTAATGTAGAAGATCTACCCAGTGATCTAACCCCCAGAACTCCTCAACACTATCAAACGTAATCACTTCTTTTAAACTATCCGCCCAAGCATCTGTTGTATTTGCTCTTTGACCTGGTGTTAGAGGCTTAGTAAACCAAAGCGTCCATTTATGCATAAGTGGATGTTTAACTGTAAAATTCTTCGAATTATGAAAAACCGTTACAACCGATGATACATTTGAACTATTTAAATTCTCTGAAGAATCAATAACATTTGATGAAACCCCATTTCTTAAAGAATCCTTATTTTCACTTTCACAAGGATCATTCTCTTCATCTTCTACTTTATTCTCCTCATTTTCCTTCTTTTCTAAATCAATTTTGGAGATCTTTTTGATCTGATTTTCTATTTCATCTTTTTCAACTTCTACTGAACTTTCAATTTCTGTTTTTTCTGGAAGATCCTTCTTAGTATGTTCCTCCATTCCTTCAAAACTGTTCTTATTTATTTAATTCATTCTAATTGGTTAAATCTTACTTTTTTATATTTTTTTTCTTAAATTGCTATTTTTTTAATGTCAAACTCGATAATTTAAAAAAAAGTCTAAAAACTTAATTTTGATTCTTAATTTTTTTTAAGAAAAATCTACAATTATTTTTTTTTAAACCTGATCTTTTTAACTTCTTTAAAAAAAGTTAAAAAACCTTTTAACTTTTTTTAATCTTTTTTTTAATATTTTCTAAAACATTTTCTAAGGGTTTATTAAAAAATATCTAAGGTTCAATCGAATATCTTAAAATATTAAAAAATAAATTAAACTAATTTATTTTTTAATAAAAATATAAGAAATCAGTTAAGAAAAGGCTCATTTATACTTAAGAAATACAGAGGGCCTTTATTAGAAGGTTTTATTTCTTAAATTTATATTTTTAAATTACTCGGAAATGAAATGGCAGAGTAATAAACATGAGGTTAGAAAAAAGATAAAAAAAGTAAAAGATTAAAAAGGTTAGGAAAACGAAAAAGAATTGGAAATTAAAGGGTATATAAAGGGAATTAGAGTAAGAGAAGAAAACTGATGAGTTTGAAAAAGGGAAAAAGAAGATTCGAATGATTATGAGTTAGAAGATCTTTCAGATAAAACTACCCTAACAGAATTTTTTAAAAAAGTATGAGAGTTTATAAAAGAGAAGAATGGCTTATAGGATTCAGATTGAGGATCTTCGCAATATGATTTCTACTATTAAGGAAAATGTACAACAAATTGAACAGCTACATCAAAGATTATTGAATGAGATTACGGAAGAACAGATAACATATTTGCATCAACAGTTGGATGATACGAAGGCACGGACTCGGCATATACAGAATTTGGTTCGAGATGATATTAAAATTTTAGAAAAAAAAAATAAACAATCAGCGCAAACAGCCGATTTGCAAGTTCGACTAACACAGACGAGTAATATTAAAAAAAAGTTCTTAGAATCGATTCAAAATTATTCAAAAGTTGAGAATTCATTTAATCAACGATATCGGCAGAGATTATGTCGTCAAATAGAGACAGTAAATCCAAATATGACGCAAGAAGAGATCCATGTTGCACTAAACGATGATCAAGGGATGCAAATCTTTAGTCAAGCAGTAAGAAATAATATATTTATAAATCAAGATTAAACTGGATAGTTGTTGCGAAGTAATCGACATGGCGAAGCACGTATTGCTTTACAAGAAGTACAAGAACGGCATCAAGATATTAAAAAGATAGAGCAAACAATTATGGAATTAGCAGAATTATTCAATGAAATGAATATTTTGATAGAACAGCAAGATGAACCGCTTCAAGTTATTTCACAACAAGCAGAGACCGTTTATACAAATATTGAACAAGGTGTTCAACATCAAGATAAAGCAATTGAAAATATACGTGCTGCGCGACGTAAACGGTGTTATTGTTTTGGGTATGTTATTTCTTTTATATGTAATTATATATTAATAGCTTGAAAGATTAGTCGTTTTAATATTAATTGCAATTAGTGAGTTATATTTATTCTCTAACATAATATTTATAATTTTTTAGCTATTGTTATTATTATTGTCAAATGTATTGGAGGCGTTTGCAAAATATAATTTTCATAGAATTTATAATACATTTTTTAGGTTATAAAAACTTTATCTTAAAATAATTCATATTTATTTTTCCTTTTATTTTTTAATCGTAAAATTAATATTTAATTTTTCTTTCTATATATCTTAGATACTAATCATATTTCTTCTTTTTACATATTTCTTTTATATTTCCTTTTAAATAAATCTTTTGCAATAAAACCTTTTTTCTTATGTATAACTCCTAATCATCCTATTTAAATCTCATTTCTTTAAACATCATAAATATCTTATATTTCATGTTTGATATATCTACATATAAAATCTACGCATCTTGCGCCCTGCATATCTATCATTGTGTTGTTTCGCGCTCTTGCAGAGAGCTAATTTTACTATTAATTTAGCTGTTTAACTAACTACAGTCGCAAGGATAAGGGTCTCTATGACAGTTTTTTATATAGAAATACTAACTTTATGTGGGCGCTCTATAAAAAGTTTAAGGTTAGTTTTCGGTTAAAACTTTCTTAAAATGTGGAGTAAGCGTGGGTTAAGCAAGGGTTAAATTCATATTAAACGAATCTTAAACGTAAATTAAGAAAAATAAACCTATACGCTTCTTCACAAATTATATTAATCTTTGAAGCTATTACATGCGTATTTAGACAAATGGTTTAGCGTATTCTGCATATTTCACCACCTCAGGAAATATCTGCTTAAACAAAATTCACCGTGCGCTTCGAATGAGTCACTGCTCAAAGCCTAATGTGCGGGACCGTCACAAACATTTCCTCCAGTATCAATGCGAGACTCTAAAGCATCGTTCCTGGTCAACTCCTCACCTCATATAAGCGGATGACATATAGAATGTCTCCTTACAACTGCCACGAGGCGGTTTATAGGGACACGAAATCATCAAGACGCGTATAGTGTAATTACAGTACGCATACAATACGCATATACTTGCTGGATAAGGTGCCTAGGCAGGAGATAGAGTGTTAACTTCGAATTTGATATTAAATATAAAATATTTTGTTTGGCAGAACAAAAGATGCCTGTCAAAAGTATAATTCCCGATTCATGTTTACGAGCAAATATTGCGAAACAACGTAGGCCATCATTACCCTTATCTCCAATTTCAGGTGAAGGAACTGGGGAGTTTAAGAAGCGTAAAGAATCTTGCATAAAAAACACGCAATCATCAATGATTCAAGACGATTATAGGGAAGAAACAATAGCATATATGAAAACTATGGAGGTTGGTATTTTTAAAATAGTATAGTAAAGTGTTAAAAAAACCTTTAGAAGGCAACACTAGCATCACCCAAAATGATGGATTTACAACCAGAACTTGAATGGTATATGCGGCCATACTTGATTGATTTCATTCTTGAAGTGCATTCTGGGTTTCATTTACAACCCGTTACATTATATTTAACTGTAAATCTAATTGACCGGTATACATCTAAGAGAGTTGTTTTTAAAAAACATTATCAGTTACTTGGATGTGCTGCATTATGGATTGCAGCTAAATTTGAAGAACCAAAGGATCGTGTTCCAACCTTAAAAGAATTATCTACCATGTGTTGTGATAGTTATCGCGAAGAGATGTTTGTTCAAATGGAAAGTCATATTATAAAAACATTAGATTGGATGATTGGGCATCCGACGGCTTTTACATTTCTTCAGATGATGACTATATATGCAAATTTTCCAGAAAATATAGTAACACTTGCACAATTTTTCACTGAACTTGCTTTATTTCATCGTGATTTGATATGTTTACCAAGTACGGTAGCAGAAGCATCTCTTTTTCTTGCACAATCAATTTTACAGCCGAAGAAATATTATATGATTTCCTCTTCAGATACTTTTGCATGCATTAATACATTTCACTCTCATCTTAATAATATTTCAGATGTTATTCTTAAAAAATATTCACATATTGGTATCAAAAAGATAATTAGTGATTATCTTTCCTCAATTTCATCAACACGCACTTCTTTACAAGTCAATTCCCCTCATACGCCTTCTCCACATAGACATTCTCGACATTCTCAATTTTACCTTTGCATCAATAATCATACTTCGGAAACAATTGCTGATCAATTTGGAGATATACAGAAAAGTGAAACTGGTCTTCCTACACCACCTGCTGATGATAATGAATGCAATCATTATGCAGATGTGAGTCCTATGACTTGATTTTTTTAGATATATTTTTACAACTATCATGCTTTAATATCGTTTTTGCGCCGGAAGGTTAAATCTATCTGGATATGTTTCGCTTGATATTTATTGATAACATCTTATATTTACATTTTTTCATATTTAACATTCATATATATATATATATATATATATCAGTTGGCCATTTAGCGTCTATCTCTCTAATGCATTATTTGTTGCATTTCGGTTTTCGTTTGAATATTATATATCATTAATAAAAGCAATTCAATTTTCTATTTTATTTTTTTCTATATTTTCTCCTTAATTCCTCTAATGTAAGACTGGGCCGAAGCGGGCTCAAGTTCATCGAAAATCATGCTTCATCAAACTTTATATTTATACACATCTAAAGATGAGTTTGTTCTCGTTCCTGAAAGCAAATCAGGAAGCTTACTTGTGATTGACCGGCTAAATGGAAAATTGAATTTACATCGTTGTCTTTATATAAATTTTTGACATTTGTTAATGATTTAAATAGAAAGAGATACTTATCCTATTCCAATAAATCATGAAATCCTTCGTATTTATGGAATTCTTGGGATAATACGGTTAAAATATGGTTTTTTTATATTAAAATAACAATATTTATTTAATTAAAATAGACAAATATTTAATTATTATAACAGAAAGAGAAATTGTTGGAAAAATTGATCAAAACGATATATTTCGGATTAAATCAGTTCGTCTTATGTCTTTAAAAAACAAATATAAAGTTATTATTGATTTCTTTTTAAGTAAGTTTTAAAAATAACCGGTTAATAGGATCATGAAGAAGTGGAATATCTTAATTTAATAAAAAAACATTTAAAAACAGGAACATTTTATTTCTCATATACATTTGATATAACAAATACAATACAAAGGCAGATAGTATTAAATACTAAATCTCCATCATGGGAAATTGTAAGATCATTTGTAATAATGTAAAAAAATTATTAAGATTAGGCGGATGAACGATTCTTCTGGAATAAGTTTATTCAGTCCGATTTGATTGGCTTAAGAGAATCTTCTCATTCTGATGTATGTTTTATTCTTATTTTTATAAATTTATTATTTATTGATTATATATAGATAGATAACTATATACTACCAGTTATCTATGGATGTAGGTTTTAAGTTTTTCATTTTTCATTCCAATCAAGAAAATTAGTTGTAAAAATTACTCGTATAGCAATTAAGAATCATTTTTTAACTATTCTATTAATATCAAGACGCTCTAGATTTAGGGCAGGTATTATGTATTTTATTTCTAGGATTAAAACTAATCTGTTTATTAGGAACAAGATATTTTTCTAGAGGAATTGATGAAGATGGGAATGTTTCAAATTTTAATGAAACTGAGCAGATTGTTTTATTTGAAAATACAAATAAACTTTCAGGTGTTACTAAGCAATTAAAATTATCATTTGTTCAAATACGGGGAAGTGTTCCAATATTCTGGGCAGAAATAAATAATTTAAAATATAAACCGAAATTACGCGTTTTTAATATTAATGATTCTGTATCATATTTTTATATCTTTAATTTTTTTTTAATTAGAAATAGGTTAACTCGGCACGATTGCATTTTGATAAGCAAATTAGAATTTATGGGGATCAAATTATTGTGAATTTAGTTAATCAACATGGACGTGAATATAATATTAAGGCTGCTTATGAGGAAATTATTAAGATTTTAAGTGATCCTAAGATAAAATATTTTTATTTTGATTTTCATCAAGAATGTAAAAAAACGAGATGGCATAGAGTTCGAATTTTAATAGACCAGCTTATACCATACCTTAAACAAAAGTAATTTATATTTTGGATTTTATTAATATTTAATATTATAGTTATTGTTATATTGATTGTTCTGATCAAATATTCCCAATTTATTTTCAAACATCAATAGTACGCACAAATTGTATAGATTGTTTGGATCGTACAAATGTTATACAATCTGCATTAGCAAGATGGGTATTAACTAAACAATTAAATGATATCGGAATTTTCAATGATTATGAAAATATTGAGGATTATCCAGATTTTGATCACTTATTTAGAAATAGTAAATATAATTATTTTCATTATTTTTCTTATACAAATTAGTGTGGGCGGATAATGGAGATTTTATAAGTATTTCTTACTCTGGCACAGGAGCTTTAAAGACAGATTTTACAAGGTAAATTATCTAGAATAACTTTCTATTTTTGATAAATAAGGACCGGGAAACGTACGAAAAGAGGAGAATTTCGCGATTTAATTAATTCTATTATACGATATTTTCAAAATAATTTTACTGATGGGTCTCGTCAAGACAGTTTTGATTTATTTCTTGGAAATTATTTACCATATCAAGCCGGAAAAATTTCTTTACCCTATCATAGATCATTATTTATAAAATATGTAATATCTACTTTTTTTTTTTATTTTTTTAAGCTTATAAAAATTATAGATCCCATATGTTTTATTTTTTTCTATTTTCATGATTTTAGCTAAAATAATTTTACCTGGTTTAGAAAGTAATAAAATCTTAATTTAAAACTTTATAACTTATTCTAGATATTATTATTTCTCCTCATATTTTCTTGACCTTTTGGTTCTTTGTACTCATATGCTCGGCTTATTTTATAATATCTAATGGTCTATATTATGTAAATTGGCCAAAATTAGTTCCACCTGAATTTCTGAAATATAAAAAAATTTAAAATATTAGGTTTTATAAATAATACAAAAATTGATAATTACAAAGTTCTAAAAGGCTATTTATTATTAATATTTTATTGGCTTTTAATATATATTTATAACATTTTTTAATTAATTTCTGATTATAAAATCTTATATTTAAAATTTCCTATTATCTTTAATTTCGATACTGTAAAAATATGAACCTAACATACTTAAGATGGATAAATATAAAAGAAAATTCAAGATTCGGGTTATTTCCAATATTTAAATCCTATAAAATACGCAATATCATTAAAAACCGTTCTTTTTTACCAATATTTCAAGTTTCTGGAATGAAAAATCAAACATCTGTTAAAAAGCTTTGTGAACATTGCTACAGTGTCAGAAGAAAAGGGCGACTTTATATAATATGCAAAGTGAATAAAAGGCACAAACAAAGACAATCATAGATATTTAATAAAAATTAAAGAAATTAGCATCTGCATTTTTTAAAATTTAATTTTTTAAAAAAAATATATTTAAAATGATGAAATTATATTTATTGTATATTATATGGCTATATTTATGATTTTAACATGTTTTTTTTATTTTTTTGTATTAATTCTTTACGTCTTTTTTTTAGTCTGTCTATTTCTTCTTTTTTCTTTAAATTGCTATGAATCATTTTTTTGTAAAGTTTTCTTTGTTTATTGGTTAACATGACCTTTGAAAGATCCTTTATCTCTTCTGATTCAGTTTCCTTGGTTTCATTTGATTTTTTGGTTTTTTTTATATAATATGAAAATGGTAAAGAACTGTCCTGTATATCTTTTTTTTCATAATCATTCATGTCAATATTATTTGATTCATCCTGCTCCTTCACATCATAATCCTCTTCCGCTTCTGGATTATACCCTTCATCCTCTATTTTTACAAATGGACTTAAATGAGGAGGTAATAAAGAACCTGGTGCATATTCATTTGTACTCAATATTTTTTTTTTATTGATACAATCATAAACCCATTGGGGCTGAATATAAATTCTGTTCAAAATTTTTTTATGTAAAGTTGGTCTATCATAAACTTGATGTGTAATTGTCATGTCATCTTCTTTAAAAAGAGAGCCGCTTCCAAGGACAGGATCCCATCCAACCTTTCCTCCAAATGACTTTATAACAAATTCTAACGAATAACGAGGAACTTCTCGAGATAAATAGAAAATAAATTTTTCAAATATATTGACTTCTGTAGAACTAGCAGTAACAGGTTGAATTAATTTATTAGAATCATCAGAATTATTATGCAAAGAAAAGTTGTCGAGAACAGCTTCATCAGCTATATTTTCAGAAATCTTTAAGTCATCGTTTATTAAAAAATTTGTTTCTTCTGATATCTTATCTAATTTTTTATCTAATGTACTAATTTGTTTCTTTATATCTTTAGGTCTTTTATTTCCCTCTAATTGATTTTCTGTTTGAATTGTTGTTAATTTTTCTAAATTATAAGCCGAAATATCTCCTGCTTCTTCAAAAAGAGAAACATTAACAGGAGGTGGATAAGTTAAACCAGAATCGGTATATAATTTATAGTTAATAAAACCAACAAAAGTCTGATAAAATTCCAAAAAAGTGAGCATAATTCGAAGATCTATGTCAACAGGTATCTAATAAAACAAATGAATGAATAAATAATCAAATTCTATTAATACATACTCTCTGAGAAAATTTATATGGAACCAACCATGTAACCTCTTGACCTTTGATCTCAACTTGATAATAAATACCCTTAATAGAAAGAAAGGTTTTTCTTAAAGCCTTAGATACTATAACATAATTTTGAAATTCTAAACATAATCGTTCACAATTCGAAATAATGGTGGAATCAATTTTTTCAGTAACTTGTACAGATGAAAATAATGAAAGCATAGAAAGAGCGTCATCAAGGTCTCGAATAGCATCAAGAAATGTAGGATATCTATATAAATAAATAAAATAAACAATAATAAAAAGGCTAACCTCTCTTTAATAATATGATCTAATGTATAAAAAGGTTTATTTTCTTCTAATGATCTTACAATCTCGTATTCCTTATGAGTTAATGCACGATTGAATTTTTTTATATAAATTTTATATTGACGTATTTTATCAATAATAGGTTCATGAAGAAGATACTTATTAAATTAATACTTAAATGAAATTCTTGAAAAATATCCAATTACTTGAATATCTTTAGAGTAATAAAATGTTACTGGTGCTGTAGATCCTTTGTTTGCCTTTTTTTTGTTTCTTGGCTCTCTAGGATATATTCCCTTAAAAATCTAATAAAAAAATAAGAATATTCCAGATCTTTCAATATAATAATTACACATAATCTTCTAAAATCTGCAAGAGTTACTTGTAATTTTTTAAGAGCTTGATTGCGAGTAATAAAATTTTTAGCTGCTCCTGATTTACCTAAAGAATAACTAAAAAAGGAATAAATCTAATTCTGTAAAATTAACCTTTAGATTTAATTTTTGTCATTTTTTTTAAAAAAAAAATGATTAAAAAAGTCTATTTTTTATATTTTCTTAAAAAATATAGACATCGATAACTTTTTCAACCATTTTTTTTAAATATTTACATGCGTTAATAAAAAAATAGACTTTAATGTCTAAAAATTAATGGGAGTCACTAAACTTTGGACTATTCTTGAGGAAGCTTCAAGATTTGTTAAATTAGAGAGGTAAGTTTATTAAAAAATTAGGGTTTTTTTATATAATTTAGTCTTTCTGGGAAAATTTTAGCAGTAGACGCCTCTATATGGATGTATCAAGTAAAGGGATCTTTTATAGGCGAAATAGGATTAATTTGTTAAGTTTCTTAAAGGATTTAGGGACAAAGATGGGAATTTTATTAAAAATGGACATATTATTGGATTTTTTCGAAGAATATGTAAACTGTTATTTTATGGGATTAAACCAATCTTTGTTTTTGACGGAAATATTTCAGTTCTTAAGGAAAATATTATTGTAGTTTTTTTTATTAGCTTTTTTTTAAATACTTATGATTTAAAAGAAAAAGAGAACAGAAAAGAGACTTAAATATGATGAAAATTCAGAAAAATTAGCAGAGAAAATATTTTTATTACAAATGAAGAAAACTGTCCAAAAAGATATTCAGGGAAAAAAACAGAAGTTATCTTTTTTATTCTTTATTAGTTTATTGATTTGTTTTTAGCAATAAATTAAAAAAATCTCCATATTTTGAAAACATGGAGAATTTATCTAAAGATATTGAAATCATACAGAAAAATGGAAATAGGGATATTTATAATCTTCCTAGTCTTAATGTATCTTTTGAGTAAGTAGCTTTTTTATATTAATTGTCTAATTTTTACAGACAAATTCAGCAGTCAGATGATTTTAGAATGACAAGTCAGGGGAATATACAAGAATCAATACATAATTTTACAAATGAAGATCTTAATTCCCTCGATGTGACTAATTATTTGTAATGATTATATTTTTAATAATTTAATATTTAGTTTTCGAAAATTGACTATGATTCTGATTTTTTTAAGTCTTTATTACCGGCAGATCAATATAATATCTTAAATATAGCGCGTCTGAGATCAAGACTTCGTATGGGATTAAGAGCAGATGAACTTATGACGATGTTTTCGAATTCTATGGAGTTTTCTAAGTTTCAAATTACTAAAGTTAAAGAAAGAAATGATCTAACTCAAAGATTACTTAATTTCAATGAAATAAATAAAGCGGGCGCTTTAAGGGTTGTTGGAGAACCGAATAGAGAATATTTATTAGTAAAAGATGAAGATACTAAAACAGGTTGGGTTTTGAATTTTGATTTAAAAAATCAAAAGAATCTTATTGTTATTAATGATGAGGATCATGATTCCACACATGAAGATGAAGAGTTTGAGGATATACCTTTATATGAGTAAAAATTTATTTTTGTATTTTTATTATTGATTTTTTTCAGTATAAATTCATCTCCTATGGAAAATATAGGTAATTTTTTAATTGATGATTCAGAAAAAGAAATTTTTAAGAAAACTGGTAACTTATTATATATATATATATATATTAATACTTATTTAAGATGATTATTATAAAATTAATTGTCATTCATACAATATAAAAAATAAACCATTGTTTTTAGAACTTGATGATTTTGATATTAATTTAGAATGTAATGAACATGTTGAAAAAATGAAGAGAGATGAAAAAAAAATTGAGCACTCGAAAAATAATCAATTTAATGATGAATTAAAATTAAATAATATCCGTTATCAATCTACTCCTAATTCAGAGGAAAATATAGCTAAATCTAGAAGGTATTAATATGCAATTTTTCATATTCTCTTCATAAATGCTTTAGATTAAAATCTAATAATAAATTATCTCTACCTCAATTTGATATTTTCTCGAAGTCTAATGAAAATTCAGAAAATCATCTAAAAACAAAGGTTTTAGTTCCTAAAAACGAAATTTCAAAACTAAATCAAAATTTTGAACCCTTATCTAATTTAGAGAAGTCTGGGCATATTTTAAATTTATCAAAGCCAAGTTTTAGATATAATAAAATATCAAGCCAGAATCTATTAAATAATACTATTTTTCTAGAGGAAAATATTGAAGAACCACAAGAGGTGTATAAATCCCGTAATAAAAAGGAATCTTTTATATTATTTACTGATATTTCAACTCTTAAAGAAAATTCAGTTTTTTTAAATAACTTTAAAGCGCATAATTATTTTGTTGATAAAAACATTAGTCATGGTATTTTCATTTGAAATTTTAGCATTTTTACTGTTAACATTTCTAATTTAGAAGATAACTCAAAAAAAGCTCTCGATATTAAAATTAATTTGGAATCTATTAAGAATATTTCTGCTAAAAACACATCTATAAAAGAAACTGATTCGAAATCTGATAAATTTATGTCTTTATCTATTCCTATAGTTGATAATTGTTCTGAAATAGAATTAGTTGCGAATAATTATTCTAATTCATCTAATAAAAATCAAGAAAAAAGTAAAATAGGCGCTGACTCTATTCATAATATCTCTGACATAGATGAGTATGATGATTATAATTTAGATTTGGAAAATGATACATTAACAAATTACCTTCTTGAAGAAAATGAAGAGCATAATCGTTTTTTTTCTGAATTAAATAAAACAAATGATTCTACTGAAACTAATATCGAGAAAGACTTAGATCTTCTTATGAATAGGTATCGAAAAACTAAGAAAAATGCAGATAGTGTTACACAGATAATGATAGAAGAGTGCCAAAATCTTTTAAAGTTATTCGGAATACCTTATATTATTGCACCCATGGAAGCAGAAGCACAGTGTGCAGAACTTCTTAAATTGGGACTTGTAGATGGAATTATAACTGACGATTCAGATGTATTTCTTTTTGGTGGTACTAAAGTTTATAGAAATATGTTTAATCATTCAAAATATGTCGAGTTATATCTTTTATCTGATTTAGAAAGGGAGTTTAATCTTGGCAGAAAAAATTTAATTCGTCTTGCTCATCTTCTTGGGAGTGATTACACTGAAGGTATTCCAAAAATTGGTCCTGTTACTGCTCTTGAAATTTTGTCCGATTTTCCTAATTCTGACAGCTTAAATGAATTTAAAGAATGGTATGATCGCGTAAAAGATTCTAAAGAAACTCAGGATGATGAAACATCAAAGTTTAGATATAGATTTAAAAAAAATATTTACAATATACTTTTACCAAAGGATTTCCCAAATCCACTAGTTGACAAAGCATATCTTGAGCCTGAGGTTGATTCAAATTTTAAAGACTTTGAATGGGGAATTCCCGATTTAGATAATTTAAGAGATTTTTTGGTATCTACGGTAGGATGGTCTTTACAGAAAATTAACGAAATGATTATTCCTGTCATTAGAAATATGAATTTTAAACGTATGAATATGGTTCAAACAGTTTTGACAGATTATTGGTTTATTGGCTCTAATATATTTATTTCAAAACCCAAAATATCTAATAAAGCTACTAGATTTACTAAGGCTTTAAATAATTTAAAAAGATCTGGTAAAACAACATATAATCAACATAAAATACTGAATTCTGAATCAACATTGAATGAAAATATTGCAAACGCATCCAAAAATTTTTTAGAATTTGGAAATAGTCTCATAAATGTTAAAAACAAGGATTTTGATATTATTAATAAAAACATTAATTATACATTTGATAACACTAAAAGCTTTTCTGATAATGCGAGCATAATGAATACTCAAAAATATAAGAAAAATATATTTTTAAATTTATCTCGAGATTTAAATGAAAAAAAAGATATATTCAAGAATATAAAAAGAAAACAACAAGATATTAGTTGATTTATGACAGAAGTTTTAATTTTATTCAAAAAAAATAAAATTAATATGAAACTTGTTACAAATTAGATTAAAAAATACTGTTTCAAGAGTAGAAATATTAATTCAAGAAAAATCAGCTCGTAAATATTTATTAATATTCGGATTTACTTTTTTTTTTATTATTTTTCGTTTTAATTTCTTTCAGGATTTTTATTCTTTTTTTATCTTTATCATATGAGTCTGACTTGTCTTTTTCCCATAAATCCAAAGGCACAAAATGGATTGTTTGTTGGTTATACCTAATTAAATTAGTCATTATTATTGTCTTGATCGCTTATACCCATAATCAAATAGAAGCTAATGGGAATAAATTATTTACTTTTAATTTAAATATATATTTACTTACTTCTTCCCCAATTTTAATATCTCTAATAGCATAAAACCCAATCCTGTGAGTGCCATTTACTAAGCTAACACGAGCAAAACAATTGGGGTTTTTTCTGGAATGATTGGCGTATCTAAATTTATTACCCATCCTTGTAGCATCTACAACATGATCTTAAAAATTAAAAGAATTTCTATAAAGTTAAGGTATATGTGTCGTTACTTTTATTCAAATTAAATAGAAAAGATATTCCAATTTTATCATAAAGTTTTCTAAAATTATTATTATGAAATGGCTTTATGATGAACCTACCCACGTCTTTCAGATTCATTGTGAGATATAATTTCTCCTTTATACTCCTATAGTATTTTTTAATAGATTAATAGAATATTTATTATATTTTTTACACCAAGAAATTTATCAGCTGTTACTGATTCTCCAATAAACAAACCCCATCCAGAAATATTGCTTTCTCCCAATATCAAACGACAGCTTAATCCTTGCTGTATAGGAACATTTTGACACATCAATGCTAAACGATTAAAATTATATCTATTTATTGGATCAAGGGCTTCTGCTGAATCACATGCAATACAGATATCAGGATCGCATTCTCGTTTCCATTTCACGCATTCGCAAGCCCATGTGCTGCATTTATTTGTTTTGCATAGACAACCCAACCATCTTCTTGGACAATCATCGAGACAAAGACAAAATTTTTCACAAAATACTCTATTTTGTACACATGGACAATTTTCATCACAAAGGCCTAAATGATCGCAAGGTTTTAATTCAGTTCTTTCTGTACTTATTCCACTTTTATCGCAATCATCTGGGTATAATGTCCATCTTTTTCTTTTAGTTGATACTTTTTGATAATTAGTTGTTTTATTGTTCTTAGAAAAATTTTCTATTTTATTTATATTCCAAAAGTTTTTAAAAAAATCCTTAAATGATTCATCATTTATCTTCATAGATACCTATTTATTCAATATTTGAAAACAATATTTATCAATAAACAAACCTCTATACATGTTTTATTTAAACCTAATGCAATTAAACATGAAAGTTTAGAGTTTGTATTTAAAACTTTTACAGAACTTGCTAAAATAGACATTTCATCTGATGTCCATTCAGATTGGGGAATATCTTTAAAAGATGAAATCTTTAAAAAAATAAGTAGACTAATAGAATACTTAATTTAACATACATTTAAAATACATGTTTTAGAACAAGGTGTTTCTTTATCATAAGGTTCTTCTTTTTCAAGAGAAAGAGTTGGAAGTCGAGTGATAAAAGAATCTATTATAGTTAAAGTTAAAAAGATATTATAAAATATTTACCATGATAAGGACATCCATTCATATAACAAAAAACACATAATAGTTGTGAATAAGAATCTAAGGGGTCAGAACTAGAAGGTTTTAATATAACAGTTCTATTTTATTAATATTCGAAAAAAATATCATATGAAATACTTTTCTCTAGCATGATGTTTAGGTGTTTTATCTATCCTACATATTATTAATTTGAAATATATTTATATATGTTTTATTACCATTGCATAGTTTTCCATAATTCTACTGGCATATAATAATTCCATGATGAAGTGAAAATTTCAAGGATATAATAAGATTTTTCGCCTAAAGTAACTTTAGCTGTAGAATTTTTCTTACAATGCTTTAAAAATAAGGACCATTCTTCCTTAAAATTTTGAGAAACTATAATGTTGGTTTTAGAATCTAAGTAATAATTATAAAGCATTGGAAGAGTAATTCCACATTCTGAGATTGTTTTAACTAAAATATTTGATAGGTCGCTTGCCACTAAAAATGTGTTAAAAACATAATATATATAATACCAAAAACATGCTTTCTAAAATTTCTTCTTTGCTTTGAATTTTTATTTTAATATCAAATGTTTCATGCAAATTAAGATCACTGTCTTCATTACCCTCCCCAATATAAGGTATAAATCGAAGGGTTTCTTCATCATTTTTAATAACATTAAGTCTTAACGACATATTTTCTTTATATTTTGGAAGTCCCGGTATATTTTCAATAGTTATACATTTTTGAAAAATAGATTTACTGGTTTTTGAAGAACTATTAAAATTCTTTTAGATTTTAGTAATATAAAATAAATAGAAAAAGAATTACCATTGTGTAAAAATTTATCTTTTTTTCAGAGCAATCAGCTTTTGAAATAAGAGAATCATTAATTATATTTCGATCTAAATTATTAGACCATTGTATATCTTGGGTATATTTTATAGTATTTTGTGCAATTTTTAGTTGATTCTTTTAAGAATTAAAAAAAATATATACTAAATATAAACTTACTTTAAAAAATTCACCATGTTCTAGCTTGAATCTTATAAAAGCATTCTGGATTACTTGATTTATTTTCTCACTGAATTGTATTTTTTCAAAATCCATTACTAATTTATATTTTATCTTTATAAGAATCCTTAAGTCAATAAAATACGATATTTTTAATAGCTTAATTTTTTTATAGAATTCATAAAATTAATAAAATTAATTATAAAATTATTTTTATGTAATTATATAAAAAATGTGTAATCAAATGAAAAAAACTCTAACCCTACTCCATAAATAGCTAAAATTTCTTTATTTAAAACTTTTGCAATAGATATTCCACAAGGATCAGCAATATATGTATAAAATTCGGCAAGATAAACTAATTGTGATGTATCAATCTTCCATATTTTTAATTTTTGATCTGTTGCTATAGAAAATAATAAACCAGAGACACTAAATGCTAAACCGGTTATGGAAGAATTATGCGCGTTTAGTTTATTTGTAATAGTCTTACTTGATATTTTATAATTTGAAAGATTTGAGTCTAATTTTACTATAATTTTCAATATATTTATCTTATTATCATCACCGCCCGTAACTAATAAATATACATTTTCTAAAACATTCAATCTTTTAGTTTATATACATATGTATTACCTTCTAGACGTCTTAATATCATCGACTTAATATTTGATTGATGTATTTGATTCTTCCAAATCGGAAGAAAAGATTCTTCTGAACTTTTTATAATAATTTCAGATGAATAAATGTAATTACTTATATCCCATAATGTTATGAAACCATCAGTTGATGTTACTAATAAATAACAATAGTCCTTTTCTAAAATATATGTAACATTTAAAAGACATTTTGTAGAATATTTTTTATTTAAAATTAAGATATATTCTGATGTTTTATATAGAAATGACCAAATCTAAAAGTGTTTTTAAAAATATTATTTTATCGAAGTAATAATTACCCTAATTGATGAATCTGAACAAGCCATTACAATTAAATAGTTATCTTTATTACTAAATTCTATGACTGAAAAATCCATAATGCGAACATTTTTTCTTTTATTTATTGCTGGACAAATTGCATGTCAAATTATTCTTACTTGATTCAAATCTTTCATTGAAAATTTCCAAGCAACAAATTCCTCTGCTCCTCCACATGAGAAAAAAAATAAACCATTTTTTGACCATGATATTTTTTCTATGCCCGTATCATGTTCTTTTTCGCGATATATATTAATAATTTCACTATAATTAGTAATATACACTTGCTTCATGTCAAACTACAATATATGTAATATCAAGAATAACTTACGTTTTGACAATCTTAAAGTAGTGTCTTCTGCACCTGTCAGGAACAATAATGTATTTCTTTGATACAAAATAGGATAAAATGCCATGCTTCTAATTTCTCTACCATGTCTTCCGCCTTGAAGTATTGTTTTTTGGAAGTTTTGAAAAGGGAATAATAAAAGAAAGTTGCAAACAATAATCTAAACGCTCTTAGTTGATAATAAATATAATTAAATAATTCAAACAGAATTTGATCTAGTAAAAATAAATACTGAATTTCCATTTTTTTCTGAACAGGAAAAATATATAGACCAATGTCTATGAGATCCACCACATATCACTGAAAATATACGAAATCCTTTTGACTGATTCCATATGGAAAATCTAAGCTTTTTAAAACCATAAAGTATTAAATCTCCTTTTAAATAAAAACCCTAATATAAATTATTTTTTGCTAGAATATAGTTGAAATTACTCCTTCTATTCCATGCTTATTACATTTTCCCTGATGTCTTTTTTCAATAGATATTTTATTATCATTATTATAACCATTATGAATAGTTAATTCCAATATATAATATACCCAATCACGCCCAATTGTTGTTATTTCTAATTTTTTATTTAATAAAGTGTTCTCATGTGGATGAAGGATAATAGTAGATAATGAATTTTTTTTATATAAATCTTCAACTAAATAAATACTAGAAAGTCCTTTTCCAAAATCTTCTAGACGATGTATACTTAAAAGCCCTGTCTTGAACCCAAGAAATATTAAATTTGTTTTAAAATCAATTGTAGCAGCAGTTAACTCCACTGGAGCAATTGAAATAATATCGTTTTTTTCATATATAAAACTAGACTGTTTTATAATCTCTTTATTTATTAATAATTATATTTATAAACATACCTCAATATATTTAAACAAATGAAAATGAATGCGTAAGGATATTGCTGAAACTGTTATGAGATATAGAGAATCTTTTTTATTAATATATGTAAGATATTGGATAAAAAATACTAAAAATACCTCCAAATGATATAGGAAACAATGATTGTATTTTTTCATCACATATATGATATTTTGAAGTCTAAATAGAATAAGTAATATTTTTATAGAAAAATTTTTACAGATAATTTATTTTTAATATTTAAAACGTATATATTGCCAAATTTGTCAGAAATATTCACAAAATCCGTTTTAGACCAAAGAGAAACTTTAGAAAAACCAATAAGATCTAAATCATAAAATAAATAATTCGATTTTTTTGTTTTAATACTATGTATTAATACCCTTCTAAAGAATGTTATCATTATTTTATGAAATATATATAAATATTTACCCAGACATAGAAACAATTAAAATTTGAAAAGAATTAACTAAAACATAACTTCGAAAATTCTAATATACGTTATAAATTGCTAGTAGATCAAAAATGGCTACATCGTATAATCTATTAAATGAACTGAGGGCATTTTTAATATCATATGGAGTTATGTAATACTGAACTATATCATATATTATATTTGAATATATATATATATAGCTCTTACATTTTTCTTTATCATTTATCTCCCAGAGGCGTATTTTTCCGTCATTTCCACCAGTTGCAAAGATATTTTCAAAAACAGAAACACACCATATATTTTTTCCTTCATGGCCATCATATACAGAATCCTGTTCTAATTCTGATTCAGAAGTTATTCTCCATAATCTAGCAGTAGTATCTTCTGATACACTAATAAGTTTAGACTCATCATTACCAATAAATTTAACATCCCATATACGAGAATCATGACCCCATCCAGTAGCCTTGCATTTTCCTGAATTTATATCCCATACTCTAATACTTCTGTCATCTGAACAGGTACAAAACAATTTTCCATTTTTTGAAAAATTAATTTTAAAAACTATTCCTTCATGCCCTCTTAAACGATGAGTTATTTGTATCATTAAGTCTTTTCTTTTTGCAATTTCTACATTATTAATATTCCATACATATATTTCATTAAATACTGTTCCAGAAACAATAGTAACAGAGCCATCACAATGAATATAGAGGCATGAAGAATATAAAAGAGGATTTTCTGTGCATGAAAATGTCTGAATATAACATTTTGTTTGGATATCATAAAGATGTACTTTATTATGAGCTGTTGCTAGCCATATATATAATTTATCACAAGACGGTTTTGCATCAAAAATCCAATCTAGTGTATAATGAATATCGAAATCATAATTATTGAATAAATCATCTAAATTAACAATACAAAAATCTTTACCACCCCAAAGAATTAATGTGTTTTTCTTGGCTTTGTATAATTCAGTAAACAAAATTAGATAAGATTATAATAAACCATATACTATTCCATGTATTCGATTTTTTTTAAAAACCTTCACTGTATGAATAAGTAATCCTTGTATAACATCATAAATTTTAATATATGGGCCTTGGCCTGCAAACAAAATAAATTTATTAAAAAACAAAAGTGATGTAATTGGGCCATGAAATCCTAATGACTTAAAAATTTATTTAAAATTGTATTTTAATACAAATTAAACAATACCTTTAACCATGTATTTTTTTCTAATTTAAAATCAGGTATTTGAATAATCATTAGTTTATAAGATCCATTAATTGTTATCTAATAAAGTCAATTAATTAATATCTAATAAAATTAATTTTCTTTTACTATATTTTCAATTAAGATCGATTTGTTTATAAGCTTTAAAAATATTTAAGAAATTATAAAAAAAGCGTTAGAAGTTCATACATTATTGCCATTTAATAATAGATTAAGAACAGACTCATTATAGGGGAATGATAGATACAAAAAGTCCAGAATCAAAGTGGGAATCTATGAGACAAGGCATATTAGATAAAGTTATATTGGATAAAGAAAACCAATCACCAAATAAAAATACAGGATTAGTATTAAATGAAGGACCGTATTTAAAGCGTTCAAAGTCTTTTGGTGGGGAAAGCGATGAAAAGTTTGTAAAGCCTTTGATGGCTAAACAGGAGTCAAGATCAACAACATTGGGGGTTTGATTATGAATTCAATTAGATTAAAGTTTTAATATTTGAATATAGATGCCTAATAAGGGGATATTAAAGACGTCTCTATGTTCCTTAGATTATACACATGATTCATCTTGTAAAAATGATTTGGATAATCATACTGTTATAGGCATAATGCAAGTTGCTTTAAAAGATAATGAAAAAGATTCCGAGCGTAGCGAGACAAAGAAATCTCAAAGACGGAAGAGTCTTAATCGTCGTGTTAGTTTTGCGAATTATGCGTCTGTAAGGTTTGATTTTGTTTTATTTAATTATTTTTTTTGATCAAATAGATTATATGAAAAAGATCAGGAATTTCAATCACCTAATCCTACTTTTCCAAGTAAGACTACACCATCTTCTAAAGAAAAGTTTTTATTGTCCCCAATTAAACGGTTTTGATCAATTCTTTTTACTCATTATACTAATTCTAATAGAAACTTTAAATCTAAGAAGTCATCAGCATTAAATGATTCTCCAAAAACACCCTCTCCTATAAAATGCATTTCCCCTGTAAAACCTTCAAAAGCATATATAAATTCTCCTATTCCAATGCCTCAAGGACAAGAGTTTTCAGATGATATAGATCATGTTGATATTGAATCATCAGAAAATGTATTTTTCTCTGATATTGGAAATAACCATGAAAAGGAGTTTTGCAATTATCAAAATAAGGGTATTTTTAAAGATATTGATGGAGAAATGACGATGGATTTGACGGAAGTGATTTCTAATCCAGTATTTGAAAAAAAAAATACTCAAAAAATAGCAATGGATTTGGTAGATGTTGCTTCTGATTCTATTCCCGAAGAAGGCGATGTAGAAGTAACAATGGATATAACTAAACTACTCCCGTGCTCAATATTTGAAAAAAGTGCTACTGAAGAACCAGTAATTCATTTAACCCATGTACCTGACAGCTCAGTTGTTGAAAGAAATAATGAAATAAAAATGAATTCAATTATAACTTTGGGGGAAATTCAAAAGAATCAGAGCAAATTATTTTTTAATTTCCAGTCACTGTCTGATAAAAAACATAATGAAAGTAAGATAATGTTTATTATTAGGATTAATTTTGAAAAAAAAAACTAGAAGAGCCAACCATGGAATTACATGCAATTGATAATGGATCTTTAAAAATTGACAATCACGTAGATTCTGGTAGGGTTTATTAGTAATTATATTTTAATTAATAAAAGATGTAGTGGATATGGATACTACTAAAGTTGTTGGAGGTATTCTTAGGAATTTAAATGGGATGGATCAAAAAGATGGTATGTAATTGTTTTTTAATAAATATATCTCATTTTATAAGGATTAACCATGGATTTTACAACTACTATCGGGAATATTTTGACTGTTAACGAAGAAATTACAAAGGATTTAGATTTTTCTTTCAACAATGTTTGTTTAGAGAAGAAATTGAATATACAAAGAAAGATGCAGTCTAATACGTTTTCTGGGTGCTTCTCTTTAGACGATTTTCATAAGCCTATAGTTGTTTATGAAGATGATAATACAGTTGACATGGATCTAACTAAAATTGCACCATTAGTTTTGGAACACGAGAATAATTTAACTTTAAAAAATGTGAAAGAAGAATTTGTTTCGTTAAAACATGATAGCTTACCAATGGATATCGATATAAAGAAATCGCTTAATACTGAATTGAAATCTCCTCAAAGGATTCCCCGTAGTGGTGTTTTGGCTATAGATGCCCTTTTCGGTAAAAATACATTAAATAATATTCGTAATATAAGCGATACAGTTGTGCCAATTCAGCTAGGATCTCCAAAAGCTGCAAAGCTTTTGAAAAATAGAAAAAGTATAGGTTATTTTGAGGAAATGAAATTAGTAGGATTAGGTAGTCCAACTACTAAAATTATTGTGGGTAACAAATTAACACGAGAAAATGGAATGTCCGAATCAGATATTTTTACTGTAAATGGCCTTAATATTTTGGATCGTATTGCTCAATTAACTCCTAAAAAGAATGTGCCATTTCAATTAACTCCTGAGAAGAACATTATCTCATCTCAATTATTATCTCTTCATAATATTTCAAAAGACAATATTCTTGAGAATTCTGAATCTAAACTCAAAAGGAATTATGAAAATACTTTAAATAACACTTATACTATTAGTCCTACGAAAAAAACGTGTAAAAGTTCTAATATTAAAGAGTATTCAGATCGTTTAATCGAGACACATGATGAAGATAATGTAAGTTATGTTAGTTATGTTAATGAATAGCTGATTTGTTGTAGTTTTTGCCTTCGATAACTTTAACTGAATTTTTGAAGATGACATCAATATCTTTTTTGGATGGTCTTACTACTACAAAACGAAGAGAGACTACATTTTTTCCTTATTTAAATACAAATCCTCCAACTTTAAAAGAATTAGTTTATACTTCATCTCTTACGCTTCCTACTCTTGAGCTTTATCAATTTGTATGTTATATTTTTAACCATTTTATTTTTTATGTTAACTTTTCTAAGAGTTGTAAAGAGCTTCAAAAATATATATCAGAAGGGAAAGAGGTTGTTAATAAAATTGAGAAAGATACTTCTGAAGAGAATCCTTTACTTTTTAGAGAATATATCTATGCTTCTCATGATATTCAGGTTATTATGGTCGGGCAATTTAAATTACTTAAAAATTATTCAAGACTTTATGCTAAAAGTGTATGGTATGATTGGAGGGATAAATTATTATTAGGTTTGAAAGAAGGGTTAGAGAAAAATTTGGAAGGATTAAAGAAGGTATTTTATTTATATTTTTTAATTGATTATTAATCTATTATCAAGGATGAATTAATAATTAATGAGTCAAAACCCATTTTAAACACATGCTTTCCTCTTATAAAACAGACGTATGAATCTTTGAAAGAAAAAATAAAACATATGAAGGCTATTAAGGAAGAAATTAGTCAGTGCGATCAAAAAGAATTAAGAAAAGTTCGCTCTAGTTTATTTAATATTAATGAGGAATTACAAGGTGATACGGAGGATTTTGAAAAACTTAGAAAATGCATAAGTGAAATTGATGATAGATTACATGAGTTATCTGAAAAACAAGCAAAATTAAATCGAGAGATAGAAGAATATAAAAAAGTTATGAAAGTTAACCGTTGTTTTGAAAAAGGCGAGATTGAAAATATTAAGAAAATGTTACAAATTCTTAAATCTGTGACGGGGTGGGAAGTAAAACGTTTCTTTCATGATACTGTAGTTTTTATATATTTAGATACGATTGAAACTACATTTAATTTTATTAAAAATGATGCATCAATAAAATGGAATGGAGGCGTAAAAGACAAGGTTTATTTTTTTAAGATCTATAATGTATTGGTAATGTTTTTTAGGTTAAAGAATTTTTTTTTGATTATTTAGAAAAAAGATTAAAAAGTTGTACAGTTAAAGAAGTGAGTATAATGATATAAATCGATAAATCATTTTAAATTCTATTTAGGCATTGTCACTTATATGTCGTATATGGTATACGGCAACTTTAATATGGTCGGAATTTTGCTTACTTAAAATCCGATACCCTTTATTGTATAATTTAACTATTGAAAATGATCAACCATTATTACAAGTGACTGCAAAAGTGTTTTTGCCATCGTCTTTTTCGAAATTTTATGTAACCTTTAAACTTCGACACTCAATTCTTTATGAATATCCTAATTTAAGTAATTATGATTTAATAGATATTCACATTATTTATGGGAATTCTAATACTTCTAAAATATTGAAGACTATACTGGAAAAAATCTCAGTTGGAGGCATAAAGGCGTTAAGTTTTGTATGTAACGAATTTTAAACGATTTATATATAATTATGTATAATTTAATCAAGTTTTTAATTTCTAAGATGATGTAATTTATTTTGAATGTGACTTATTTTTATCGTTGGAAATATTATCAGTAAAAAAAATTAAATACCATTAATGTCAGAACTTGTATTGCAGTCTGAACGTGGTTTTCAGAAACAGCCGTAAGTTTCCTAGGTTGTTATAGTTTCTGATTTTTTCTTAGACATGTTTTTTTAAATACAAAAGCTTCATTAAATAAAAAATTTGGGAAAAATCGAAGATGGTATAAAGATGTTGGTCTTGGGTTTAAGACACCAAAAGAAGCTATTAAAGGAGAATATATTGGTTAGTATAGCTGATATTTTTTTAATAAGCTTTATTTAAGTTTTACATTTATTAAGATGTTTTTAGAAAAATAATGTTTTTTGTTATTTGCTATATTTTTTTTCAGAAACTAACATAAAAGCAATATAGATAAGAAATGCCCTTTTGTTGGAAATGTTTCTATTCGTGGGCGTATCCTTACTGGAATAGTAGTTTCTACTAAAATGACTCGAACTATTATTGTTCGGAGGGAATATCTTCATTATATTCCTAAATACAATCGTTATGAAAAACGTCATAAAAACTTTGCCGCACATTTGTCTCCAGCTTTTCGTGTAAATGAAGGAGACATTGTTACTGTAGGTCAATGTCGACCTCTTTCAAAGACTGTTCGTTTTAATGTTTTACGAGTTGAAAGACATAATGAAATAGATACTGCAAAACAATTTGGAAAATTTTAAATATTTTAATATATATAGTAGAAAAATATATTATTATATTTATTATTATATATTTTGATTAGCATTTTTGTTTTTTTTTTATTTAATAACTTTATTTTCTTGTGGACATTCTATTTAACAATATTATTTTATTTCTTTAAAATATAACTAGAATGTTAAAAGTTTTTATATTTTCCTAAGCTTTAATTGATGTCCCTATATTTTTTATAATAAAATATTTAGAAACAGAATTTTTGAGATTAAAAGTTTTCGATTTATAAAATCTTTTTAATAAATTTTGAATAATTTTATAAATTTTTGAAAGATATTGCTTTTTGTAAATATTTATCATTTAAAAATAATACAATCTTTGATTATGAATTTTACATATTTTATTTGATTTTTAAATATAATTTTTTATATTTTAAAAATTTAAGTCAATTTTATAAAAATTTAAGATTTTGATTATTAAAACTAAATTTATAAAAAAAATACGATTAAGCAAATTTTAAAATTTTTAAAATAATAAATTATTAAAGGAAATTGTCAATTTATATTTTATTATGACTAGTAAAACATAGTTTTGTCTATACAGTCCTTTTAATATTTATAATTAGTTTTATTTTACTTTTTTAATGTCGCATTCTATAATTAACCGAAAATATTTACAAATTTCTAAAGATCTAGTAATTGAAATGCGATTGTTCCTAGATAATCCATATCCTTTATGTCTTAGCAACTCTCTTTTACGAGTATGTCTTTTAACAAAAACTATTCTTTATATATTTAAATTTTTAGAATATTGTAGATCTTATTAAACCTTCAGTTATACTTAAATTGCAAAAAGAGCAATTACAAAAACAAAAAAAAAATATGAAAGATTTAATTGAAGATGGTAGGAATTTTTAAAAATTGAATAGCTCTGGAAAAATGAAGATAGGTTTAAAATTACTTTGTTTTTCGTTCCTTCAAAAAGTTGTAATTTTTTATTGAAAAGGGTAATTTTTTGTGAGTACATAATGTTATAATATTTAAATTGTTACTTAGGTTAATGACTTTGTATTTCTTTTAGAAGAAAAAGACAAATCTACTATAGATCATTTTACTGAAAATACAACAACTATTACAAATTTTGATATAAAAGAAGATTCTGAGGCATTTATTAAACCTATGTCTATAATTACGTACAAAAAGTATAGTATATATAAAAAAATTCTTTATGTAAAAGTTAATTTTAAAGACTACAAAGAAAAATGATATCTTAAATAATTTTTTTTTTTTTAAAAAAACTATATAGTTATTTTAAATTAAAGTACTTATTTTTTAAATAAACATAGAATTTAATAGTATAATTATTTTGATTTGTTATAATAGTTTTAATTTATTAAATGTATTTTATGTAACTTTATATTTACCAATTGCAGATATTTAAATAGAAACACTATTTTGTTCTATTGTTTTTTTATTAAAAAATAATCTTTATTTGTATATAAAACATGTTTTTAATTTGAATTTTTTAATTTCGAATTTTTGTAATTGTTTTTAAAATTATAATCAATTATGAGATAAAATTTTGACGTTTTTAAATGTTTTGTCAACTCTTTAGATCACCTCTGTTTTCTATATTATTAAAAAGATCAGAAAATAATCATTTATATTTTGGATTTCAATTGAAATATTTATCATCTGTAGTAAATACTTTTTCAAATTCAACTCAATATGTATTCAAAAAAAAAAATGAAAATATCATGGAAAATAACATGGGTTGTTTGTTTTTTTTGCTTTTTTTTTCTTGAATTGATTTACTAGAGCGTTTAAAATGGCAAAGAAATGTAGGGATTAGTGCTCATATTGACTCTGGAAAAACAACTTTCACAGAACGTGTACTTTATTATACAGGAAAAATCAAAAGTATTCATGAAGTTAGGGGAAAGGATAATATTGGTGCAAAAATGGTTAATATATTTTATGTTTATATTTTATATTCTTATCTAATATAGGATTTTATGGTAATAAAGGTCTTTTTAAGAGTTAAAAATTGATAACAAAGGATTTGGAAAGAGAAAAAGGCATAACGATTCAATCAGCTGCAACGTATTGTGACTGGGTTAAACAGGATGAGGGAAAAGAACAAAAATACTCTATTAATATTATCGATACTCCAGGCATATATATATATATTTATTGTAGAAATAATTTAATAGGTTAGGTCATATTGATTTTACTATTGAGGTTGAAAGGGCTTTAAGAGTATTGGACGGTGCTGTACTTGTATTATGTTCAGTATCAGGTGTACAGGTAAATTTATAAAATATGTGATTAATATATTTAAAAAATCAGAGTCAGACTATTACTGTTGACAAGCAGATGAAAAGATATAACATTCCCCGTATTTCTTTTATTAACAAAGCTATATTAACTATATTTTTTGTCATTTTTAATAATATATTATAGATGGATCGTGTTGGTTCTAATCCATGGAAAGTAATTGAACAGATTAGAAATAAATTAAAAATTTCTTCAGCAACTATACATGTACCTATTTTTGATAATTCTACATTTGTAGGTGTTGTTGATATTATAAAAATGAAAGCAATATATAATGAAGGACATAGGGGGTATAATTTATGATAATTTATAAATCACTAAAAATTTTTAGAATTAATGTAGTTGAAAAAGATGAAATTCCTAATGGCCTTCTACATTTGGTTAATGAGAAAAGAACTGAATTGATTGAAACTTTGGCAGATATAGACAATGAAATTGCTGAATTATTTCTTAATGAAAAAATACCTACTGAAAGACAATTATACAATGCAATACGCAGAACAACGCTAGAGAAAAAGTTTACACCTGTACTTATGGGTTCTGCTCTTCAAGATATAGCTATTCAGCCTGTTTTAGATGCAATTTGCGATTTTTTGCCTACACCTGCTGAAGTTGAAAATACTGCTTTAGATATTTCGAATAATGAAGAATGTGTTAAGTTAATTCCATCTGATTCTGAAAAATTTGTTGGATTAGCTTTTAAGCTTGAAGAAAGTAAATATGGACAACTCACGTATTTTAGAGTATATCAAGGAACTTTAAAAAAAGGAGATTATATTACAAATATGAGGACAAGGAAGAAAATTAGGATTCCTCGGCTTGTTAAAATACATTCAAATGAGATGGAGGTAATTGCTTGTCTTCGTAAAGGGTTTTGTTTAATTTATAAAAGGATATAGAAATAATAGGTTCTGGAGAAATTTGTGCAATTTTTGGTGTCGATTGTGTATCTGGAGATACTTTTGCTGATGATTCTTTAATGTATTCAATGGTATATATTTTTTTTAAGGAGGAAAAGAATTACAACATTAATTAGACTTCAATGTTTATTCCTGAACCTGTTGTTTCACTATCTTTAAAACAGAAAGGAAAGGAATCAGCAAGTTTTTCTAGAGCTCTTGCTAGATTTCAGAAAGAAGATCCAACATTTAAAGTTAAACTTGATACAGAAAGTAAAGAAACTATTATTTCAGGAATGGGAGAACTTCATTTAGATATTTACGTTGAGAGAATGAAACGGGAATATAATGTTGAATGCACTGTAGGAAAGCCTCAAGTTGCATACAGGGAAACTATTACATCTAGATCTACTTTTAATTAGTATAATTTTTTATCTTTATGATCGTTTTTTCATAAATATTAGTACTCATAAAAAACAGACTGGAGGGGCAGGCCAATTTGGTAAAGTTGAGGGATATATAGAGCCTATATTATCGGATAATTCTTCGAATTTGGATGTAGAATTTTTAAGTCGTGTTACTTGTGGTAATATCCCAACGAATTTTATACTTGCATGCGAAAAGGTTTGTTTTTAAAATTTTATATAATTTCGGCTAATTTTAAAAAAAGGGATTTAGAGATGCTTTAAAAAATGGGCTTTTAATAGGATATCCTATTAAAGGATGTCGTATGGTTCTTGAAGATGGTGCTACACATTCTGTTGATTCTTCTGAATTATCTTTTTATATAGCAACTCTTAATGCTTTTAAACAGGCATATAATAAAGCAAATCCTATAATTCTTGAACCTGTTATGAAATTAGCTGTTACTGCTGAAAATGAATTTTCAAATGCAATTATTAGTGGGCTTAATAAAAAGAAAGCAGTTATATTAAACACTGATATTAGATCTGATGATTTTACAGTGGAAGCAGAAATTCCGCTGAATAATATGTTTGGTAAATTAAATGGTTTATAATTTAATTTAAACTTATAATAAAAGGATATAGTACGGATTTACGAGCAAATACTCAGGGTAAAGGGGAATTTACTGCTGAATATTTAAAGCATTCAGTAGTTCCTGACTACATTCAAAAAGTATCTAAATTTTTATGCAAATAGTACTAATGACGTTTAGGAGTTAATTATAAAATATCAAAAACAAGCTCAACGGCGTAGTTAAGATATAGATATCTGAGAGGAAATATTATTCATAGGTTTTGAGATCTAATATTTTCTATTTTGATATAATGATTGATTATTTTTAGAAAAAAGTGGTATTTTAAAAAATATTTCATGATAATGTAATCGATTATAGATAAATACGATATAATATAATGTATATAATTCTTACTTCTCTTAATCAGATTTTTTTTAATATTCTAAAAGTTTATATTTAGATTTATGTATTTATACTTTTTCTAAAAATGTAAGTATATTAAAATAATAATTCATTTTGGTAATTTTATCTATAAATAATAGTTATTTTTTTATGCAAATATGAATTCGAGGTGTTTATGCAATGTTTTTTAGTTGTGATATAAAATTTAATAATAAATATTTTGGAATTAAGATAATGATAATTTAATAAATTAAAATATGAAAATCATAATATATATCAACGTCTATTGAAAAGGTATAGTATTCATAAAAATTATATTAAGAAAATACATTTATTTTATATTTTTTGATCTTCAAATTAAAATAAAATTTACTAAAATGTTTTTTATAAGCAATTATTTCAATGAGAAATATCAATAACATATTATATAGTTGAATCATTATTTAAAAGCCCTGTATTTTCTGAACCATCTTTATTCTGGTCTTCAATTTCTATTTTTATTATGCCTGTAATATAAATATAAGATATAAACCCCAGAATACTGGCAGCAACAGTAAAAAACTTCCTTCTCTTTTCAGGACTATTTACTCCTACCAATTCTTTTAGTTGAATAAATGGACTAAAAGAAATAAAATTATTCCATAATATAGTTGTTGTATTGTAAAAATAGTTTGATTTGGTGATTTCAATATTAAGCGGCTTGTTTTCTTGAAAATATTTAGAAAAAGAATGATGCAAATAAGATACAAGCAATGGCTCAGTAGTTTTCAGATGCTCAGATAATGTAGAGTTTGGTAAACTTGGAAAAAATTGTAATGCAATATGACCAAATATTAAACAGTCAAGAGAAGTAGGCTGATCTCCAAATATAAATGGTTGAGAAGAAAGTTTAAAAGCTAATAATCTATAAAAATTTGAAGATAATACTTTTAACTAAACTTATTAATGATATTGATAATTTGAATGAGATTAATTTACTTTTTCAATTTTTGCTTCTTTTTTAAAATCACAAGATGTATTTTTTAAATGATAGTAAAAAATTGAATGAAAGTTTCTCATTTCCTTAGAATATGTTTGTTTTATATCAAAATATTGAGTCCGTTTTTTTGCAAAGTTTCTAATGTGTATAAGGGATAGATAAGAAGATAAAAAAGAAAAATATTTTTTATAATAAAGTGGTCTAGTAATATTTGAATAATTTTCATCATCAACATAAATATTGAAGAGCTGTTAATTATTAGAGAAATAAAGGGTGTCGATGCTATCTTACTGTAAGATCAAACCCGAGACCATGAATAAGAGACTCGTATCTTTTAAAATTAGCTCAAAATTTTTGAAAAAATAAATCAAACGCAATGCTATCCGCTTTTTGAATATCTGTTAAAGAATTGTCTGCATCAAATCCTTTCTGTTTTAAATAGTCTATAATATTATTCCAGCCCCCAACCCATGTTCCTGAATCCCTAAGAGCTGGTAATTTACCTATTTCTATGTCATTTACTTATTATAAGATTATAGAATTATACCTGTTGGAGACAAAGTATTATTATTAGAATAAATCACAGAATATAAGCCTGGTGCGGTTATTTGTAAGTAACAAAGAACACTGAGGCAATAAGGATCAATGGACGGAAGATCAAATCCCGGAAAATGAATATGAAGCTCCAATGGTGTCATAATCGTTCTTATATAAAATATAATTATTTTTAAAAATAAATCATTAAAATTCACGAAATAAAGTTAATTATATATTTTTTTTAAATTTTTTATTTAAAAGATTTAGAGCTTATTAAATAATTATAAATAAGAAACTTTTAAATCAATTTTTTTATATTTAAAATATTGTATATTTAAATAAGTTAAAGGCCTCACCGAGGATCGAACTCGGGTTGTGGGAATATTTTGTATCAAAATCCCATGTGCTACCACTACACCATGAAGCCTATAAATGTTGGTCTCGGAAAATTGTATATAACTAGAAAAAGGTATAAATAAATTGATAAAATTAACAAGTATAATAAAAATGGATTTAAAAAAAGACAATATTGCTAAAATAGCTAATAGTCTTTGTTTAAATGATCTTAGGAATCTTATGCCATATGATAAGATTTATAATTATAAGAAGTAAATAGAAATTAACTAAATTTAAAATAATAATAATAGTGATGATATATATGAAGTTGAATTATTTGACATGAAAAATATTAAGGAAAAAGATATATATTATTGCTTTTGTCTTGTGAAAGAAAATTTAGAGGAAATGTAAATTAATGTTTGTCTTTAAATTTTATTTATATATATTGAAAAGGTATAAAAGATCATCTTTTGGATGGTCATCTAGGCGAAAACTTAAAGAAATGAAAGCAAAGAATACAAAATATATTATTATCAGAAAAGAAAAGAAACAAGATATTATTGGATTTTTAAGTTATCAAATTGTAACTGAAGTAGGTGAGCATGTTATTTATTGGTACTATAATTTATAGAGATAAATGTTTTTTTGATTTACAAATTTTAGTTATGAAATACAAGTTCTACAAGCATATCGTGGATTCGGTGTTGGATATAATCTTATGAAAATAATGGAAATTTTGGGTCTAAAATTAGGTCTTCAAAAAGTTATGTTAACTGTATTTAATTGCAATATATCTGCATTGCGTTTTTATGAAAAAATGGGGTAATTCTAAATATTAGTATTATTTTAGAAAACTATTTATTATTAGATATTCTCAAGATAAAATTTCACCGCTTTTAAGAAAGTTTTCTGATAAAATTATAGACTCAGATTATAAAATTCTGTCGAAAAAATTATCTTAATAATTTGCTTGAATAACATCAATTCCTTTCATATCAGGCCTTTCTATTTCCATTTCCATTTTTAATATTGCAAAGACTATATCAGTTATAATAATGCTTAAATTGAAATTCCAAACGAGTGTGATACTATAAAAAAAGTTTGCATTTCCAGAGCCAATATATGTCCAAAGATAATAAAAGGCTGGTCCAAGAAAAGTACAATAAAGAAAACAGATTGTTGTTACAAAAATATGACGCATATCTAAAATAAGTTTTAGCATTAATTTTTTTAAAAATATTAAAATACATGAATAAATTGAATGAAGAAATGGAAATAATGACATGAATAACACTACATCTGCAATCGATGGATATGATTTAAGAATAGACATTAATCCGCATAATATAATAATTATAAAAAAAGGATATTTTCTTATGAGCATTAAAAAATATAATAATGAATTAATATGAAAATACCTTAATCGTATGCATAGTGGTATTATATAAATGAATATGTGCAATTGAAAAACAAAAACAAAAAACAATCTAAATGAATCGAATATTTCTGTAAAAAAATACCACCAAAGTCCAATATTGGGTGTAAGATCAGATACAGATAATCTATGTAAGATTATTAAGTAAATATAAATAATGTAAATATTACATGGCCCCATATGTTGCAGATAAGAAATCCCATGAATTAGTTGTAATAAAACTCAATAACAATAATAATAATAATTCTATAAGAAATAATATAATATTTCTAGAAATAGACTAATCATCTCTTAATAAATTTTTTAAATAATTCAGAAGAATATTACGTCCTTTTTTTTAATATCATTTTTTTGAAGTATAAGTATTAATGGTGGAAATAAAACAATGGGATAAAAACTTAAATAAGTTGCCAAAGCTAAAAAAAAAATAGATTGTATAGATTTTCCTAAAATATTAAGATGATAATAATATTGTAATTAAGACTTACTGCGTTGTACATAAGAAAGGCTAGTTAATATAAAACAATTAGTAAAAATAGCAGTTGACATTCCAACACAAGAGATAATAGAATAAGGATTAAAAAGGAATCTAAAAACAATAAAAAAAACGAAAAAAATGAATAATATTACAAGGAAACAGAAATATATTTTTTCCAATGATTTAAAGAAGAATCTTTTGAAAACATAGAGTCTGATAAATCCAAAAGAGACCATGCAGAAAATATGTCTATAAGCGCGTAAAGCAATAATACAAGCATTTCGGAATTAGAAATAAGTTTAACTATTGAAAATAATACAAGTAATAAAGGTGCCTAGAATTTTAAGTAAAAATATGAAAAATATATAAAAAAATAAAACTTGATGAAATAAACCTCCACTATATGGAGAAATTCCATGTTCATAAAGAAAAAGACCTTCTTTAACTAATAATAATTATATGAAATTATAAAGAATAAACTCATCATACGCCGTTTATAACTTGTTACTGCAGTAGCTATTTCAACACGATTGCTTAATAAAGATACAAGATTTTTATTTTTGAGTAAAATAATTCGAATAAAAAAGCCTAAGCTAAATATTAAAGTAACAATATATTTAGAATAACTTTCTTTTCTGAGCTCAAAAGAATACATTATATATTTTGATTTTTATAGAATTTTTGTTTAATATTTTTATCTAAGTTTAAGCTTATTATGATTTAAAATTTGATATAATTTTGAATTTAAAAAATAGAAAAATTTATAAGTACGCTTTTTAAAATATTAAAATTAAAATATGTTCATTAATCTGTTTTTGACTTCTAAAAATAAATACATAAAATAATACCTTTAAAATATAAAATAAGTTCAAAAATTCATATTTCGAATATTACTATACTTTTAAAATAAAAAGCTTCGCTTAAAAATTACGTAAATATTTAAATTGTAAAATAATTTTATAGTAAAAGGAAAATTTGATTTTAAAATATTTTTTAACCGATTTTTAATGATAAATTACATTTTAAAAATCCGATTTTTTTTATATAAACAATTAAGACAGTGTTTTTTATTAAATTTTATATAAAATATATTTAAAATAAAAATAAAATATACTTGCTTTTATATTTTTGGAAAACTTCTAAAAATTAATATTGATCTTTAACTTTGCTTTTGCCATATAATTTCTAGAATAATTCAAAAACTATATTAAATATTCTAAAATACTCTAAAAAATCTACTACTTGTTCTTATAAAAGTAATGACTATTTAAGACTATATTGTAGATAATATAGATAATTTTATATTTTCTAGATGAATTTTTACTGATATTTTTATGTAATTAGATCTTTAATATCAATTTTATTACAATATATACATTACATTAAAAAACATTTTTTTAAGAAAATTATAGATTATTTCTATTTATAAATTGATATGCATTATATTGATAAGAATGACACGATAAACGTACCAATTTTAAATTTTTAAATATGCATTAAAATTCTTAAGGTATTAAAAATTAAAAATCTTAATAAATAAATAGAAGTATTCTCTCTACATTTCATTATATTTCATTAAAAAGTTTAATTGAATTTACTTTAATATTAATTAAGAATTTAAAAGAATACTGATTTTTTTGAAAAGGTAAATTCACTATGAATGAATATTTTAATTAAATTAATTGGGATTCAGAAATGCACAGAACATATTCTGTAAGAAGCACTCGTACCTCTGGCACTTCCCAGGCAAATTTTTTTCCTTTACCTGTATCTTCAACAAAAGCCAATCGCTTTTTTGGATTAAGGTCTATTGGACATTCATTCAGAAAGTCATCTGCTGCGTATATATTTCAATATATGATTTAGAAATAGCTAATAATTCTAGAATCTTTTCACCAGATCTTGCTAGGCGCCTTGCTGTTCTTATTAAGATGGAAAAAAATGTAATGCGTTCATATGAGCTTGTTGGTCGAGAACGTAAAGAAGTTGCTAAACAATTATCTTTATGGGGAGAAGATTGTGATGACGATATTTCCGATATAACTGACAAGCTTGGGGTTCTTATTTATGAAATTGGTGAATTAGAGGATAGTTTTATTGGTATGTATGCATGTTTATTCACCATAGCTCAATTAATTATATATTTAAAATTAAGCTTTTTAACTTTTTATAGATCGTTATGATCAGTATAGAATGACAATGAAATCAATTCGTAACATTGAAGCATCAGTACAACCATCTCGTGATAGGAGACAAAAACTAATTGATCAAATATATATGTTAAAACATAAGGAACCTGATTCTCAAAAGCTTCTTGTCTTGGAACAGGAGCTTGTTCGTATTGAAGCTTCATGTCTTGTTGCTGAGGCTCAGCTAAATAATACTACAAGAGAAAAATTAAAAACTGCATTTACTTATCAATTTGATGCAATTAAAGAACATTCAGAAAAATTGGCTTTAATAGCAGGATATGGAAAATATTTACTTGAGCTTTTAGATGATAGTCCTATAACGCCAGGTGAAGCACGTGCAACATATAATGGTTATGAACAATCTAAACAAATAATTATTGATTGTGAAAATGCTCTTTCTCAATGGAGTTTTGAAACATCATCTATAAAACCTACTATTTCGTTTCATAACAAAATTGATGAGCTTACTGATGGTCTTTCAAATCAAAATAAAAATCTTCAAAATGACTCTTTTTGGGTTAGTAATATAAAGGACGAAAAACGACCTCAAGAATTAGAAGAGTCAAATAAAATCATTCTTGCCGCATAGTTTATGGATTATTATTTTTCATAGATTTCGCAAGTATATATAATATAGGAAGCTAGGATTATAATATTGCATTTTTACTGTTACATTAAATTTTCCAGGTAATTCATTATTGCATATTTTTAATAGTTTAATAGATATTTATTTATTTTTCATTTTGCTTAGATTATAATTCTTTTTAGATGATTTTCTTAATTAAATACATAATCATTTTAAAAATGTAACATAAATTTAGTATATAGTTATAAATGTTTTTTAAGTAATTTATTATTATGGACTATATATTACATATTTTTTTTTTCCGATTTGCTTGTTTCTTATGCCTCTTCACACGTTTTTGTATACAACTGTAAAGCATGTATGCCATTTTCTAATTCTTCTTTTAATAAATTATAAACTATTTTATGGCGTGCAACTTGTCCATGACCTTTAAAAGCATCAGATACTATTATGATCCTGCTATTGGGTTATATAGACATATTTTCCTAGTTAAATTGCTACCTAAAATGGCTTTCAAGATTTGTATTATTTTTCATTGGCGCATGATATTTATGTAGATATGAATCATTATAAATCTCTAAAATAGATGGAGATAATGCTTTTGTTAACTAAAATAAAAAATCAATGATTTTGATTTGATAAGAAACATATATACTTTTTGACGAATTATAGATTCTGTAGAGTGTAAATAGTTTAAAGACATTTAAAGAAAAGTTAATCGAATTATTAAAATATAATTTTTTAAAAAGAAAAAATTAAAAAAAATATTAAAAAGTTTTATTTTTATGCTTTGTTATTGTCCTATAAGTGATCCTGGTAAAGGGATTGCATCAATTTTAAGTTTTGGAGAAATTAAAATTCTTTTGGATCCGGGTTCAGACGATCTTCTTTCAGAGTTTGTAGTGCTTGATTTTGTGCCAGATTTGATTCTCTTTTCTCATTCAGATATATTTCATTTAGGATCTTTTGTTCATGGCTTTAAAAATTGTGGGTGGCATAATGTACCAGTATATGCAACACTTCCGATTTTTAATATGGGTCGAGTAACAATGACTGATTGTTACAAAAACCTTTTGGATAATAGTATATGCAAAGAGGATATTGATGAAGCTTTTGACTCTATAATTACATTACGTTATTCTCAACCAACGTCTCTTTCGGGTATATCATTTTTTATATAATAATTATATTACAGCGTTATCTAGGAAAATTAGATGGTATCTCTATTACAGCTTATAATTCTGGCCATTCTCTTGGTGGGACTATCTGGAAAATTACAAAAGATTCTGAAAATATTGTCTACTGTGTTGATTGGAATCATTCTAAAGATAGTCATCTTAATGGGAGTATCCTTTATTCTAATGGTGTTGTATTAGATGCTTTAAGTAGACCTACAACTCTTATAACAGATGCGATAAATTCTAACGTTTTTATTCCTTCACGTAAAAAAAGAGTAGAAGCTTTTTTTGGTAAAATTATTTTATTATATTTTTTCATAATTAATTTTGAAGATTCTATTAGAATTACGCTTATACAGCTCGGAAATGTATTAATTCCGACTGATGCAGCAACACGTTCTCTTGAATTTTGTTGGATTTTAGAACGTTATTGGCAACAACACAATCTTCAATATCCTATTTATTTTCTTACTCATGGTGGAAGTAAAGTAATATCATATGCTCAAAGCATGATGGAATGGATGAGTGATTCTATTATTAGTGAATATGGATCGAATGGAAATGTATTTGAATTTGCGTAGATAACTTTTTTTATTAATATTACTATTTAACAATTATAGACATATTAAAATTATTTCTAATGAGCATGAACTTTCCACTATGGTATCTGGCCCTAAAGTTATTTTAGCAACTAGTGCAAATATGGATTGTGGATTTTCTCAAAAAATATTTCTTGATAATATTGCAAGTGATTCAAAAAATTTAGTTATTCTTTCTCAAAAATCTATATATTATGAAAATTCTTTATCAAAAGATCTTATGGATCGTTGGAATCTTGTTACAAAAAATTATAATCAATCTATAGCTTCATCAGTTGTTTTAAATTTTAGCAGAAGTGTTACTGTAATGATATTTGATTCCTTTAATTTTATTAACTAAATCGTCTAGATTCGTACTTTGGTACCATTAGTAGGTGATGAATTAGAAAAATTTCAAGAAAAAGAAAAACTTTCTCGAGAAAAAAAAAGCAACTGAATTTATTTTAGAATTTCAAAATAGAGATATTTTTGATAGTTCTGATTCTGATTCAAATGATGATGACAATAATAACCATAGAATGCATTTCAAAAATGAATCTATAGTAGCAAAAGGCTCTGCATCTTTATTAAATCCTGGTATTCATGATTTATATCTTCAAAGTAATGAAATAAAAAAAAATGTTGCCACGTTGTAAAATGTTTCCAACTCTTGAGAAAAGGAGGAGATTTGATGATTTTGGCGAAATAATTATACCGGAAAGGTTTGTTCGCGTGATGGAAGAAGACTTAGATTTTAATATTACTAATGAAACCAACAAATCGATTAATATTCTGACTAAAAAGCGAAAATGGGGAGGTGTTTCTAATAATGTGCAAATCAGGGAAAACATTGATAAAGATATTTATATTCCTAGTAAAATCGTTGTTAATGAAGAGAAAATAATGATTAAATGTTCTGTAAGGTATATAGATATGGAAGGCTTACATGATGGAAAAAGTTTGAAAACTATAATTCCAATGGTTAATCCAAGAAAACTTGTAAATTTCTTATGTTTATATTTATATTTTACTAATGATAAAGGTTCTTATTCATTCCAATCAAGAGACTAGAAATAATATGATGACTATATTTAAAGCTTTAGTTTCTTTTACTAATGATATTTATTCTCCCCAACAAGGAGAAATATTGAAAATCGGCATAGGACTTAATTCTTACAACCTTAAACTCTCTGATGATATTATAAACACTTTAAGATGGAAAAAGGTAATATCTTTATAAAAGTGGATCATTTCTTAATATTATAGCTTGGAGACTATAATGTATCACATGTTATTGGGAAACTTAAACTTTGCACAAGTTCTGTCCCTAACGAAACAGATCTTCCTACTTTAGATGTTTTGCCTATGAACTCAAATTTAAAAAATATCCCCCAGTTTCATCCATTATTTGTAGGTGATGTTAAACTTGCACATGTTAAACGACTTCTTCAAGAACAAGGGCATGTAGCAGAATTTATTGGTGAAGGTATGCTTTTATGCGATGGTTTAGTAACAGTAAAAAAAATTGTTGGAGATAAAGTTATTTTAGAGGGTGGAATATCTCAGGAATTCTATGATGTAAGAAAGATAGTATATGATAGTATTGTGGAATTTTTATGAGATTCATATTATTATATTTTGAAATTTATTAAAGAAATTTTATTATAATTATAACATTTTTTAACACATGAAAAAATATAAATTTTTAATTTATAAGAAATTCATTTGCATTTAAGTATGTATGTCTCTATTTAAAATAGAAATTATTCGAATAATAATACTTAATATATTTTAAAGAACGTTATCTTTAAAATAAACTTTAAGAATTTAAATCATAATTTGTTAAAAATACTAACGTTTTTATCGGACTGCACTATTTAAATTACTGTTTATTTTTTTATAATAAACATTTGAATATTGAATCATTTCAAAGGAATTTAATCGAAAATCCTTTCAATATTTTTAATATTTTGATTTTATAATTTTAAATTAAAAAATTATACATCTTAAATTATTAATATTGATTTTATTTAAATTGTACTCCAGTAATTAAATATTCATTTTATTAAATCATTTTTATAGTTTTAAAAGTATTATTTTCAAATGATAAAAATTCAATTTTATTAAAATTTAATCATTTTTTTCTAAAAAGTTTAATATTTATAAAATTATAAAAATTTATAAATATTTAAAATAATATTATAATAAAAAGTAATAGAAATCTAGATGTCTATAAAGAATTTATAAATATAAAATATTGTTTAATTTTATTGCAGATCCAATTTGAATTTCATAATTTTTTGAATAAAATTGCATATTGATTTTTTTTATACTAAACATCTTTTATTGACAAAATATAGAATATATTAATACATATGGAAGTGAACTATTTTAATATTTTTTTAAAATATTATTTTATGCTAATTTATAAAATTTAAGTGCAAATATTTAAATATTTCAGTAAAGTATTTTAAAAAATATCAGATTTTTAATATAAAAACTATTCAAAACAAAGAGAATTAATACAATTTTCTGATTTAAATATTAATAATTATATACACATCAAATTAAATTATTGTATACTTATAGCAATTATTAGTAAACTTTATACATTATATATATTTGTATGTATATAATATGATATAAGTTTTTATAGAGGTTTTTCTACAATTTGTACTTCATCTTCATTCAAACAAACTATAATAATAATGATTACCACTTATGTAGTCCAAAAATGTTTACTTCATATTTTTAATATCTATAGATTCATCTGCAATTTCTTGCATAAGAATATAATTAGAATTTGTAGAATATTTTTTTCATTTTAAAGTCCTGAATTTTTTATAATATACCTTCCCTTCAATAATTCATAAATGAAATGAATTGATTTCTAATTATCATTTAACCTACGCTTATTTACGTTTTTCTAGGTATTTCTATATTTAAATCAACAAATCCTAGTCGACTTGAGCTCCAAATTAGATTCTAGATTTAATATAACAATAGAAGGAAATGCTAATATATTTATCTTTTAACCTTAAAAAACCAGCAAATAGATTTACTGAATTTTTTGATTAATTCTTTAATTTTCTTGTTTTAATATAAAATTAAAAATAAAATTAACTGTTATAAAAGACATAATAAATGAAAAAATAAAATAACAATTGCATAAAAAAGCTATAAAAGTTATGAAAATAGGATTTGAATATTCAATAGTGCTTATTATTTTGTAGTTTCATAATTATGACTATAGACTTCGATGAACATATATTCAAAAAAATAAGCTTTAAATCTGCAATAACGAGATTTAATCTTTGATCAAGTAATAAAACAGTTTCGCCAATAAATTCTAAAGAATGAACTTTAAACTCTTTAACTTTTATGAAAAATTAAAACCATAACTTAAATAATTTCGTTTAAGAATGAGTTACTAGAATAATGTAACTTCCATCTTTTAGATTAGTAAGATTAATATCTTCTTCGGTCTAATTATAAGTAAAAAAGGGTATGTAAAATAAAAAATTAGATTTATTCTAATTTTAAATAACAAATAATTATTCCCAGAATTGAAGCCGAGAGCTACCTCATTTTAATTTAAATATATTTCATTAATTTTCCATAATTTCACTTGATGATCATACCAATTTATAATTATTCAAGAATCAGAAAAACTCATGACTGGTCTTTGAGAAACAGTCTGTATAATTCTATAAACTTGCTTCTCAAATTTAATAACAGGTACAATTGCTAATATCATATCAAAATCTCGTAATATATTAGTATAGTCATTAAAAATATAGATAAAATGACTCTTGTTAGAAGAATATCGATATCCTTAGATTCATAGAAAGCCATAACACGAACATCGTGTATATGGAACCTTCTACCAACATCTGCCCATTGTTGATTTTCCTTGTTTATAATACGATACATAATTGTTTTACAATCTACTCCAGAGAAAATAAAATATTCCTTGCCTTCAAAATTAATACAAATATATGATAAAAAAAGATACTTTATTAGAAGACAAACACAAAACACCCGCAGTATGACTTTTAAATGACCAAAGTAATAAATAATACTTTTGATCCCAAAATTTAACAGACTCCATAGAATAGCCAGTAACAATAACCTCGTTTTCCAAATTTTTTATTGCCCATAGTAAGGTATCTTCATTTCCTACTTTACCAACACTCATTTGGGAATAATATTGCAATGAGTATCACATGAATTCCAAACTCAAATAGAGCTATCAGAATAACCAGATATAATATGATACAGATTATTCCAAGTAAAAAAATTTTGAAGTTTTAATTAGTTAAGATAGATAAGTACTCCATAATTCTTTTTGCGGGAGATGTATTAATGGTTACTAAGTTACCAAAATCACAACCAACAGGCTTATCTTTATGCCGAGATGTAAACATGCTCGACATAGGCCCTAAATTTATATTTAAATGTTTTAAAGGAAGTAATTTCTTTAAATTTCATTATGCAATAAGAGTTAAATATCTAATAGTAAAAAGTCTTGAAAATTCTTGGACAATAACCTATAAAATTCTTTCAATAAACCTATTTGTCCCACTGTGAAATATTATCTCATGAGTCCATCGTTTCTGAAGACTCGATATTTCAGAATCACCATTTGTACATCCAACTGCAGAACAAGATTTAGGTGTCAAATTTAAAATAAACAAATCATGAGAGAAATAAATAAATATTATCGAAGAATTGTAATCAATAAAATGGAATTAATGAATATTTATTATATAAATATTTTTATTTCTAATATTTTTTAAAATTTTTAATTTTAAAATATTAAAAAAACTTAATGTAAAAATATTTAAAATCATAAAAAATAAACGTTTTTATCTTTATTTATATGAAATAATTTAGAATTTTTGATATTTTAGGATTTGCTTTTAGCCATTTTATAAATGTTATTGTAACAGTTTAAATTTATTATAGGATTAATAAAGAATAAAGAATATTTTTATTTTGAGAAATATTATTACCAAGAATGACATTAACAAAAGATTATCAACAAAGACGATTAAATTCAAGAATGATTAAAATTATCTTTTTGTTTTTTTTTCTAAAAAATAAAACATTTGATTATTCAAATTGCTTAATTTCTAGAAAAGATTGCCTTTAAAACACAGCTTTCTTTTTAAATAATTTTTTATATAGGAAAAAATGATCAGGAAAATATATCGGATGAAACTAAAAGTGTGTGTCAAAGATTATTAGCGAAGCATTTTTTGATTAAAAGTGAAGATCAAAAAAGGGTTTGATTATAAATAAATACTGAAAACAGTGTAGTAATTAAAAAAAGGGTTTAGAAATTAGTTATTCAAATCAAACAATGTCAAAAAATAAGGAAAATATCGAGTTTAAGGATGATAGTATAATATTAAAAAAGGGATAAAAATATGAATGAATTGTAAAAAAATTCAAAAGTTAATAAATAAAACAAAATGTATATATATATTATTTTATAAAAGATTATTGAATAAAATGAGAAAAAAATAAGAAAAATAAAAATTTAAAATTTATAATCAAGAGTTGTAATGATTTTTATTTTTAACGGTTTCTCCTATATTTTTTTAGGGTTTATCAAAATCGTAAAATTTTGTATCTTTTTAATAACCATTTAAAATAAGCATTAAATTTCACAAATTTCAATTGAAAGCATATTGCGAATATTTATATTATATATTTATTGGAAAAGAAGCTATAGAATATACTTTTTTTCAATGATTAAGATTATACTGATACCAATATTAAATTTAATTGGTAATTATATTTTAGATTATTTTCATTTTTAATTATTTTTAGCTCATATATATGGAAATCAAAACGTAGACTTAAGTATTAGAAGCTCTCAGATAAATGCAGTAAATCCGTCATTTAAAGGGCTTATTGATAATGATGAAAATATTTATGCTTTTATTTTAAAAAAAGATTATATTGATGAAAACAAATGCAAAGCAAAACTTGAGGAATATTGTAAAGAATTAAAGGACATAGATCCAGAATTAAATAAGGTGGATAGTAAGGTTAAAAAAATTTGTGATAATAACAATAAAGAAAAAGAATGCAAAAACATAAAAGGAATGATTCAAGAAAAATTAAAAATAATAAACAAAGGCATTAATAATTTTTTTCAATATGGAGGTACGAGTAGAGATTGTATAGAATATTTAGAAGAATGCTCTTTTTTTCAAGAAGTTGACTCGGGTGAAATTAAAAAAAACTGCATTTCATTGAGAAATAAATGTACCAAAAAAAAAAATATCGTTATTGCACAGGAAATCATTTTAAGAATTTTAAGTGTGTCTTCTATTAGTTTAAGTGAATGCAAAAGCAATATTTATAATTTTTGCACACTATTAGCTTGGGAATCTGATGCATTAATGGAATTATGTATTGACACAAATAATTTCTGTACAGATTTGAGCTATGTTATTTATAGTTTCTGTATTTTTATAGGTGATTTCGATAATAATAAAGAATGTCATGAACAACTTGAGAACTGTTATTTTTATATGCCATTTTGTCAAAATCTTAAGGAAAAATGTGATAAATGGAAGAAGGAATGTTTGAAAAAAAATATTACATATGAGTCTCCAGATTTGGATTTAAATCCGCTTAAACCACTAAAAACCGTCTTTCAGGTGATTAAACTAGAAGATATTTATAAAGGAGAGGCAGATAAAGGAAATATTATTGGAAAGCCAGAAAAAATGAACTTTAGAGATTTTATATTGCTTTTGAGCCGTTTAGAAGGAATGCATAATATAGAAGAAGCATGTGAAAATGCTGTAGAAAAGTATTGCAAAAATACTAAATATCTAAGTTATGAGATAGAAAGTTTTTGCAACGATCAAAATAAAGGAAAAAAATGCGCCGAATTAACAAACGTGAAAGCGAGATGTATGAATTTTAAAATGGAATCTTATCTAAAAGGATTGTCAACAGAAATTAGTAGTGAAGAGTCACGTGTTTTAGAGTGGGATAAGCTTCCAAAATCTCTTACTAGGAAAGAATGTATACACTTTTCAACGGAATGCTTGCGTTTATCAGGGATTTGTAAAAATGGAATCAGTCAAGTATGTAATCATATAAATGAAGTATGTCATAGAAAGGCAGAAAATACGGCATTGAATAAAATATTTATGCCTGCATTACGCGGAATTCTTTATAATTTTGGATCCAATGCAAGTATGTTAAGTTGTCAAGAAAATGTATTAGATATCTGTACAACATTTAAAAATTCCAATAAAAGATATTTTGCAAAATGTCTTCGACCAAAAGAGCAATGTCTTGAACTTAAAAACTATATTTTCTCTCAGTCGGAAGAATTAGAACAAGTTTTGGATAGTGTACGGGATTTACCAGTAGAAAGTGAATGTATTAAACTACAAGAGGAATGCCGTGATCTTAAAGGTTATTCATATTTCATTGATAATAAATGTATTACATTGAATAGACGCTGTAGATATTTAGAAATTACAGAAGAATTGAGAAAAAGATTTTTAAAAAGAAAAGATGATTCGTTAAAAACAGCGGAAAATTGTATAAAAGCGTTAAAGGAAGAATGTGAGAGATTGTTTAGAGGGGAAATGAATCCATTTAGTGTTTCATGTGCTTCACTAGAAGAAACATGTAGTTTTATGATAGAACGGACTACAAGGGACTGTGATTCTTTAAAAAATTCAATAAAAAGCAAAAAAATTATAAGTAAAATTGGAAATGGAAAAGCAAATGAAACATTGGCTGAAGAAATCTGCACGTTATTTGATCCATATTGTCATCAATATATGGAAAATTGTCCAGATAGGTTGAAAAAAGGAGACACTGGGAATGAAAAAGGAGTCTGTTTAGAGCTGGAAGAGAAATGCAAGCCATTCTTTGAAAAGTTGAAATTGGAGGATGAGTTGATGCATGAATTAAAAGGTAGTTTAGGCGATGAAACTAAATGTAAAGAAACATTAAGAAAACATTGTACTGAGCGGAAAAAAGAAGGGAATCAAACATTGAATAGTCTATGTGAAGATGCTAAGAAAGAAGAACTTTGCAAAAAGTTTGTTGGAAAAATAAAAGGAAAATGTCCAACCCTAAAAAATGAACTGGATAAAGAGAAAGATGAATTAAAGAAGAAGAAAGATGAATACGAAAAGGTAAAACAGGAGGCAGAAGAATTTGGAAAGGAAGCTAAATTATTATTATCAAGACCTGAACAAGATGGACAAGGTGGAGGGTCAAAGGTGCAAGATGGCAGTGTTCCTAAACCAGTGGGACCACCGGTACAGCCACCAGCACCAGCACAACCAACACCAGGAGGCGTACCAGCACCAACACTAGCACCGCCAGCACAACCAACACCAGGAGGGGCACCACTACCAGTACCACCAGCAGCACCAGGAGGAACACCAGGAGGGGCACCACTACCAGTACCACCAGCAGCACCAGGGGGACCACCGGTACAGCCACCAGTACCAGTACCACCACCAGCACCAGGAACACCACCAGCAGGGCCAGCAGGGCCAGCAGGGCCATCAGGAGGAACACCAGCAGGGCCACCAGCAGGACCACCAGCACCAGGAGGATCAACACCAAGTGGAACGACAAACACTAGTAATGTTATACTTGTTCGGAGAACATTTGTAAGTGGAAAGGCATCAGAAGCAGACAAGAAGGCATTTGTTGCAACGGCAAGAGCATTGGAATTGTATTTAGAATTGAAAGAGAAATGTAAAGCTTTGAAAAGAGACTGCGATTTTAGAAAAGATTGCAAGGAATGTGAAACGGTCTGTACAGAAATAGACAAGTTATGTGAAGGAATAAAACCATTAAAAGTTACACCGCATCATACAATGACATTAATGACGACAGAGATAACGACTACAACAATGATTACAACGACTACAAGAATGATTACAACGACTAAAACAACGACTACAACAACGACTACAACAACGACTACAACAGCGACAAAGTCAATACATGGAGGGAAAGTAACAGAACAATGTGCATTTCCTCAAACAACAGATATATGGATGACGAGTACATCGTTGCATACGAGTACGTTGACAAGTACATCTACAGTGACATCAACGGTGACATTGACGTCGATGCGAAAATGCAAACCTACGAGATGTACGAGTGATTCAAGTAAAGAAACAGAAACACAAAAAGAGGAAGAGAAAGAGGAAGAAGTGAAACCGAATGAAGGAATGAAAATAAGAGTTCCGGAAATGATAAAAATCATGTTGTTGGGAGTGATTGTTATGGGAATGTTGTAAAAAGAATGAAAAAAGAGATTAGAATGAAAAAGTGCATATATCCATTGTTTATATATAATATAGAAGAAGATGTAGAAGAATGAGGTGTAGATTTTTAATCTAGAATAATGAAATAAAAATTGAGAATTGCCGTTTAATTATAGGAAAAATGGAGAAAAAAGCCCGAGAGTTAGTGGAGAATTGTTAAAGATGATAAGAAAGTTTAAAGAAGTTTTTATTAGAGATGAGATTTTGGAAGAATTTATTGAAGATGATAGATTAGGAGGGGGTTTTTATTAAATTTAAGAGATTAGAAGGAAGTTTAGAGAGATATTTATTGGAAATGAGATATTAGATAGAGATTTAGGGTTTTTTATTAATAAAAATGATAAATGAATGTTTTGGATGATTTTATTGAAGATAGTAGATTAAAGTTTTTATTAAATTTAAGAGATTAAGTGGAAGTTT